TTATGTATATTCACCACACATGATGTGTAAGAATTTGAGCACGTGATCAAATATGTCTCATTTATAATTTAAAAGAGAAACTATGTATTATAGATTGCTCATATACTAGTTACTATCAAATAACATGATATGAAAAATTAAAAGTTATCAACTAAATGATATGATATCTTAGCTCAAGCCGATCTGACTAGCTAATGGACGAGTCGAGCTCGAGTAGAGCTCGTGAGATCAAGTGAACACTAACCAAGGTTTTAGTAAGCAAGTCGAGCTCGAGCTCGACTTATTTATTGACGAACCGAGCTCAAATTAGATCAAAACTCGACTCGACTAGGCTCATTTATTTGCAGTCGTATTCTCAACACTACATATAACTTACAAGTAGTGACATAGCTGTGTTTTGGTAACTAGTAAGCGCCGGTACTGTAGCTATAACTTCTCTCAAGGTGGGTCAGATGTAAAAGTCAAAATATTTCAAATGGATTTTATTAATATTTAAATGACCCACGACACATAGTTTGTCGACATATTTTCGTTTGAGGATGGATAATTCGACTTTAAAGTATGAATTAGTAAACTTAGAACAAACAATTAAAGAAACATTTCATGTAAAATTTAGAGTTATTTATATAATATGCAAGGATGATGCGTGTCGCAAAGTTCTCTGCATTCTGTTGGTAGACAGGTTAAACTAGTGAACATGTGGTATGAAGTAGAGTATTATGGATCGCTTACAAAGATTGTTATTATCGATATCTTAATCTAGAGCTAAGATAGATCTCGAGACCCACCTTCTAACAAGCTGGCTTTGCCATTGTTAAGAGCGAGGCTAATTTCCATGTTATATTTAGAAAAATAACATGGAGCTTGTAATGAATTTGGAAAATACAATAATTATTGACAAGGTTTCGACCCTTTTGGTGATTGACTATACTAGAGTTCAAATCCTTCAAACTTTATCGATAGGTCTCGTATTCGAATCTTCGATGATCCTTGACAATAACATTTGTCTATTGACAAGGAATGTGTGCAAACTTATTAACATGAATTAGAATCCAATTTCCTTGATAGATTTGGTCAACGTTCAACCTGCCTCTCCTCCACGAATAATGATGAACTATATTCGCCGATTGGGCAGAAAGATGGTTAGGTTGAAAATTGGGAGGCGTACTCATAAGGTCAATCGGTATTTATAAAAATCACTGATTATTGAAAGTTTATGTTTTTAATATTCCAGAAAAATGAGGTTTGATCTAACCAAGGACTCAACTACGTTTTAGTAAACAAGAATAACTTCAAGATGCCTTTGTAGCTAGCTAAACAATATATATATACATGTACACATTGACAATGATAGTCGATAGATGAGTTATATTCATCGGATGAAAAGTCATAAGTTTTCTAACACTCAATATATGTTAATGTATGATTATGAGGTTGTATTAAATAATGATACAATACACTTAAAAAAATAATAATAACGATACAGAACTCATAAATTGCGAGCTACTTTCGGTACTATATAATAAAATAAAGAAAATTACAAGTACATAAATAGATACCGAAGCTTTGTAGTTCATTTATGGTGGACGAAGAGGCATAATAGAGCGTTCGGGAACGGCTACGGTGCTAATTGTACAATAGTTAGCACCGTCCTAACCAAGGGGAAAACTACTACTAGTTTGAATTAGTAGTGATTTAGCTTAGATGTTTGTATTGATTTTATAATAATCCGTAGTGATTTTTACTAGTTATCACGGTGCTAACCCCTATAAGGGTTAGCACCTAATCCCATCCCAGAGCGTTCTAGTAGCACTTGATTGAGAGCTTGCACGTGATTGTGAAATTCGAATCGAAAAAGATAATTAAATTTCATTCTATTGTTCAGATAAACTAAGAAACTGTCATGTGATGAAATAAGCTTCTAGCTATAAGGTAGAACATTCCAAGATGTGAAATCTTGCCTATTATCGCTTTTATAAGTACCTATTTATACCTCTTACTCTCAAGATAAAATTCTAAAATTTCTCTTTTCTTCGGTATGAAATTTTCACGTAGACTTTATTGTTTGAGAGTTTCACTAGATACCCACATTCTATTTCCCTTGAATGGAAATAACACACAATATAGAGCCGAAAAGGATATCCACCTAAAGAAAATAGGTATAAGTAGGGAAGGAATAAGTAGTTGAAATGTTTAAGGTATTGGACTCTTTTAAATGAAGTTTGTAGTTCGAATCCATTGGAATAGAATGAATATTACCATTTCGCATTACCATATTTAGCCCAAACTCTCCAGTTAGACTCACGAGTCACGACCTTCACTTGGTTGGGCCTTTAAGGAGGAAAAATCGTCTCAACCGCAACTAGCTGCGATTGCGCGACGGTGGATTCTCCCCAAGAACTATTGCCTTTGTTTTTGCTTCAGACTTGATGGCAAACCACTCACTCGAGCCACCTTGAAAACTTGTTTCTACGGTTTGCATATGTACCTTCAACGGCCACTATTTTTTACTTTTATCATTAGAGCAGGTACATATTACTTCTGAATGAACTCCCTCAAAATTCGTCTCACCACTTCGTTTCCCTTTCTCTCATCGAAACGAAGAATTAATTTCTTCCGTCACCACATTCTACAATGTAGATACTACACACGATTTTACTTTTATCATTAGAGCAAGTACATTACTTCTGAATGAACTCTCTTCTGGTAAGTACGTAAAATCTGAGCACCAATTCATAAAAATGATATTCCTAATTAAAGATATGACTCAAGTCTAGATGGATGGCTGGCTATGGTGTTGGATTAACATTGCTTGCTTGTATTGATGGTTAATTAGTGGGGGGGGGTTTTGGTTTAGTTTTTTTAAATAGTTTAGTACCTAGTGTGTAGTCAATTGTATTTTTGTTTGTTTGTAATTGTCAGTGTGCTAATTATGCAGTACATCCATGGATGAGTTAATAGTTAATACATAAATAAAGAAAGGATGGTGGTGGTCTGGTCCATCAAGTACACACTGCTCAATTGCCTTGCATATCAAGCAATCTCCCCTCTCCCCCTCCCCTTTGCTAATTCTTTCTTGTTTTTATTTCCTCTCTCTCTCTCTCTCTCTCTCTCTAGATCAGAGGAACATTCATGGCTCTGAAAGAATGATGATCACCACTCCCACATCAATCCCCATGTGACTCTCTCTCTCTCTAGTCTCTCCAAAAGGAAAATGATCTCTTTTCTCTCCAATTTTTTTTACCTTTTAACCATTGTTCATTTACAGAAAATGAATTTATTTAATTATTTTGAAAATGAATTTATTTAATTTTTTTTTACCCTGATCACGTTTTTTTTACCCACTTAATTAATATGCAACAAGTAATGAAAATTATTTATACCATATTATTGTATGGTACTTACTAGTATAAGTATAATAAGAAGAATAGACAAAAGAGTGGGGGTTTGGAAAATGTGTTGGGTATGGAATTGGTATAGCAAGAAACAGGCAGCTAGCTAGCAAGAGAGAGAGAGAGAGAGAGATGGCCGTTTCTTTTCCTTTTGCTTTACTAGTCAAGCAACCTCCCCCAAGACCAACCTTTTGTATTCTTTTTTTTTATCTTTAAACAAAATAAAAAGTAGAAAACGATTAATAAGGAAGAGAAGAATTATTGAACCAAAGGAATTATACATGGTTCGGTTGGATTGGAGATCGATTTTAGAAATCGATGATGCGTATAAACAGTACAAGTCGAAGTGTGTTCGTTGAAAAATGTCATAAAAAAGGAATATTTTTGAACAGATTGTATAGAAAAGGAGTTAACAAAACAAATGTAATTTTTTCTTTACGAATCAAATGAAAATTTCAGATGTTAAAGCGGCTCCAAAATTATTATTTGCTGCAAGGAAAATATATTATCTTTTTTCCCCCTTCTCCTTGTGAAGTTATTATACTATGTAAGCGTGTGAAATGGCTCTAGTGACCTCACAAGTTTTTGAATTTTTTATTGAAAGAAAAATAATAGGTATTATGTATTAAGAATACCAGTTTATTAATTATAAAGTAGGTATAATTCTAGGATTTAAACGGGATGTCCATCCATCTGAAGTTAGATTCCAAAAATTGAAAAGAATATTATGAAATCAACTTGAACCAAAAAAAGCTGAGCCTAATTGGGTTGGTAATATGGTGGTTGGTTGTCTCATTCTTTTTATCTTCATACAAAAATATTAGTCTATAATCGTGAGAATATAACTCAATTTGCTACCTCCACCTGTCTCTCTGGACGTATAACAATCTTCGATGAACATTTAGTCACTAATATCCTAAAAAATACACCGATAATTATAATAGGGAAAAAAAAAACAAAGAGAGCTTTAAGGGGGTGTGTGCTTGCTTTTGTACAGAATAATAATTAAACATCAAAACCAGTATTTCCAGTTTTTTTTTTTTCCTTCTTCTTCCTTCTAATACATCATTCCCCTAAATCTCCTCTTTTGTTCTTTTGGAAATATCTAATCCTCTTCTCTCTCTCCCTCTCCTCCTTTTGCTTTCTAACACACCGCCTCTCCATAATTAACCTTACCTCCACGCTAGGTAAATTCTAGAGAGAGAGAGAGAAGAGAGACATAGTTCTTCCACCTTTTTTTTTCCCTTTCTCCCTTTCTGTTTGGAAGGAGCTGGGGAGAGCTAGCTCTCTCTCTCTCTCTATCCTCTCTGCCGCCTCTTCAGTTAAAGTTGGGAGCAAAGGAAAAGGAAAGGAAAACCCTTTAGAGGAGAAAACCAGGGATCCATTTCTCTCTTCTCCTCTTCCCTTGTTTCACTCATAAAGCTCTCCCCGTTTCTCCATCCGTTTTTCCTCTCCCCTCTTTCGGTTTCTGGGGTGTTGTTTCAGCGGGAGAAGAGAAAGAGGGATATGAGAGGGAAGGTGAACGATAGTTTCATACAAGACTTCAAGAGCTTAAGGGAAAGAACACCACCACCATCATCATCATCATAGCACTATCATTTCATATATATGGAGAAGAGCTCGATGAGCAGCGGCAGCAGCAGGAGCAACATGGGTTCGGCCTCAGCGGCCATCAGCAGCTCCGATCTCATCGACGCCAAGCTCGAGGAGCACCAGCTCTGCGCCGGATCCAAGCACTGCCCCGGCTGCGGCCACAAGCTCGTCAAGCCGGTATGTATAATATATAGTTCCGGGATTCTTTATTTTTCTTTTTCGGCTTTCAATCCAAACCTTCTGATTTTTTTTTTTTTTTTTTTTGTGTGTGGGTGTGTTTGATATTGGTCGCGGGGGAAAAGCAGGATTGGTTAGGTCTGCCAGCTGGGGTAAAATTCGATCCGACCGATCAGGAGCTGATCGAGCACCTCGAGGCCAAGGTCGAGGCGAAACACGACATGAAATCTCACCCTCTCATCGACGAGTTCATCCCCACCATCGAGGGGGAGGACGGCATCTGTTACACCCATCCCGAGAAACTCCCCGGTAAAATTAATTAACATCATCACCAGACCAAACCCTTCTTCGCGTATAAAAAATAAAAAAAAATTTGTTACTTAATATTGATTGATTGTTATTGCTTCCACCCTTACTCCATCCCTCAATCCCTCACCAGTTAATTATTATTAAAAAAAATAAAATAATTTTTTGTCATTTACATGTTCTTTTGCTTGCGTGAGATCGATCGACATCTCAGTCTCATTTAGTTGTTATACCTACGTGAACCTAACTTTGATTTTTGTGGCCATTTTTTTTTTTTGGCCTTGGCATTTTCTTTCCCTTCTTTCACAGGAGTAACAAGAGACGGTTTGAGCAGGCATTTCTTCCACAGGCCATCGAAAGCTTACACCACGGGGACAAGAAAGCGCAGGAAGATACAGAACGAGTGCGACCTCCAAGGCGGGGAAACCCGGTGGCACAAAACGGGGAAAACCCGACCCGTTATGGTCAACGGCAAGCAGAAGGGTTGCAAGAAGATCTTGGTTCTCTACACCAACTTCGGCAAGAACAGGAAACCGGAAAAGACCAACTGGGTCATGCACCAGTACCACTTGGGACAACACGAGGAAGAGAAAGAAGGCGAGTTAGTGGTATCCAAGATATTTTACCAAACCCAGCCCAGACAGTGCAACTGGGTCGATCGCACCGGTGTTGGCGGCGGTGGCAATGTTGGGTTGATGGCGGTTGGTGGTGGTGGAGGAGAAGGAAGCACGAGCGGGAGTTGTTCTTCTTCCAAGGAAGTTATCATCCATCACGGTCAGAGGGAGAGTGGTCTTGATCAGCTTCATGGAGCTGTTGCGGCGGTCATGTCGAGTTACTCTACTCCCATGGAGATCGCGCAGCAGATGAAGTCTCATGATCAACATCATCATTTCGGGTTCGCCCAGTTCAGGAAAAGTGGGTTTGATGAGGTACATACATTCATCTATAATCGAATATCTCTACGACTTATCGAAACTAACTGGTTCTTGATAAATTCAAAGTTTACTGCTTTTTGTCGTATAGTGTTCTGGGTCGAGAGTTAATAGTAGAGAGTAGAGGAAGAGGAGGGATTTAACTAAAGCAAATAAAAGGGTTCAGAGGGGAATTTAGAAAAGGGGGTTTCTTTGATTTTTTTTTTTTGCTTTTAGTTGATGGCATATATTCCCATTGCTTGCAAGTTCAGCATGAAAATGCAGTGCCATGGACCTCACTTGATTATCCTTTGGCAGCTAACTTAAGCTAAAGCTATGGTAATGTGGTTAGCCTTAGCAGTCAAAAAAAAGTTCTAGTGGTTAAGTGAGATGGGAACCAAACATTCAAACAAAGACATAAAGCTGATGAGGGGGCAAGTTAAAAGCAATTAGCATCAAAGAAAAAGGGTACATATAGTAAATGTTAATGCTGGGGAGAGATGAAAATAGACTAGCTATAGCTAGCAAACTATATTTAGTATAGGTTTGTGGCATCGTACCGGTGATTATACCGTAAAATTGTTTGATATCAAAACTAAATTGGTACGATACACATACATAAGAAATGTTTGCGTATATTGATCGATGCAAACATTGTCAGATCAAAACTATTTATCAGTGGGTTTCTCAATTTTGATCAGTACTTATACCGGTATATCATCAAATATATTATTTCTTTTTTTAGTATTATTTAACGATAATAACCTATCTTTACATGTACTACTTGATTAAATCATATTATTGTACCGCTAATTATATACCATTATGCTAATCTGTTTGACGTAATCTCCTATCTAATTTCATAATTGTATGGTGCAATTTCATAGCATGATATGAAATAATATATAACGTGCGTGGGAATGGGATATCAATTTTCAGGTGGGGATGGTAGTAACAGGTGGAGGAGGAGAGGCTTCAACGGCAAGGGAAGGCGGGCCGGCCCAAACGTCCGGCACGTGCGATGAGATCGGAGATCACCATCATCACCATCAAAATCCACATCATCATCAGACGGCGCCACATCATCATCAACATCTGGCCCACGACCATCCACATCAGCACCATGCAGTCGCAGTAGCAGCGCATCACCATCAACAGCATCATCATCAGAACATAGCTGCAACGTCGGCGGCGGCGGCGTTCCACATAAGCAGGCCGTCGCCGCCGATCTCGGCGATCATCTCGCCGCCTCCGATCCACCACACCTCCATCATCCTCGACCAGGATCCCTACCACGTCTCCCGCCTCATGCTCCACAACGAGATCCAACAGGTTCGTACACTCTCTTAAATGTGTGTTCACGTTACAACTTCGTCGTCGTAACGTTGTTGTTGACTCTAAAGTTCGAACTTAAAATTTTTATTTCTTGGAAGTGAAATATATATAACACTAATTAAACAAGCTATCGGTAGAGAGTTTTTTTTCCTCCAATGGTGAAGCAATAACTTGAGATTTATATTGAAACACATACACCATGGTTCAAGAGGGTAGCTCTCTTAGTATTAATGTGGTAATTGAGAGCATTAATAAAGGTCAAGGGATTTGGCAGCCTAATGATAGGAGGCAAGTGCCGCAGCTACTGGGATGACGATTTTGACACGACTCGCGTCCTACTCTATCTGATTGATGTGTTTTGGGATGATAATAATAATCATCCCATAAGGAGTGGAGCCGGAGCGTACATGTATATTCTCATCGACCTGACATGTTTTGACCCGTTTCATTCTTGATTTTTTTTTTCAATTTAAGATTTAATATATTTTAGCCATAGTAAATTTATAAATAATCAAAAATATCAATTTCTCGAATAATTATCATGTTATCGTTTCTTTCTCAACTTTTGATTGGAAAAAAATCTATATTTGAAGTATTTTCCTTTTAAATACGTATTCTTATAAATCGCGACCTGTCTCGACCTGCCCCAAATCAAAAAATATCGAAATTTGTGATCCTTCTTGAATCAAATATGAATATCGACTCAGTGCGCCATCCTGACCTGTCTCATTGCCATTCATACCAAGCTAGACCACCTCACCTCTTTCTCTCTCTACACAAAGAAACTTCCTATTTTTTTTTTTTTTCCTTCTCCATGCTACTCTTTGGTCCCCCCCCATAACATGATTATATACTCTAAAATATTTAAAGCATACATGTATATAACGCCTATACTCTGTGGGGGATTGCTTATCGTAGAAGTAGGCTCATATACTAGTATAACCAAATTGGCATATACCATGTGTCTTCTTCTCTGTCTGCCCCTTTCCTTTTTCTTCTTTTCTTTTTTTCTACCCTTTTCCTTTTGTCCTCGACTGAGTTCGAGTAACTGACTCGCTCGATCGAGTTTCATTATTATCACCAAACTCTCCAATGGACTCCACCGAGTTTCTTAACTTACCAATGCATGTGCTGCATTTCACTTTGGAAGACATTATGATTGAAATGACGACTACTGATACTATATATGTTTGTTTGTTTGTTTGTTTGTGTTCCCATTTTTGTGGGTGTGTTTTGAATGGTGGAATGGAAACAGCAGCGGCAGCAGGAAGAGCAGCAGCAGCATCATAAGATGGTCGGAGGAAGGTCGGCGTCTGGCCTGGAAGAGCTCATAATGGGGTGCACTTCGTCGTCGGCGGCCTCTGATATTAAAGAAGTAAGTGAGTGAGTGAGTGATAAAGCATTATATTATCTGAACCAAACCTTTTTGACCCTGAATTCCATGTTTGTGTCTTTTTTTGTGTTTTCCCCACCACCACATTGTCTCTTTTTTTTTCTGGTTATGATTTTCCCAAGCTTCAAATCATAAAAAAGACAGCAATGAGTTTAGGGAAATGGGAGGAAAGCGAAAAGGTGGTCTTGGGAAGGATTGATTGCAAGGAAGCATCTTTTCAAAACAAAAGAAAAAAGAAAAAAAAGGTTTTTAGAGGGTTAAAACTAAGGATTGTAAAATCGTATCGAAATTTATATAAAAAAAAAATAGCGGTATGATATTTTATACTGAAACTGTAGTTTAACTGTGGTTCAACAGTTCGTACCACTGAAAATTGTCTAGTGGTTTCGGTAGACCGCTATATTACGGTTTCACAAACACTTTGTTAAATTTAGAATAGCTTATATATAGACAGAGTGTCTAGGTTTAACATTAAGGTATTTATAATTTAGGGTTCAGAGCTTAAAATTCGATTCGAGTTAGTTGAGGATTAAAATGGGATGGGTATTTTAGACTCAATGGAGAAAGATTCTAGCTCAATTCTATTCGAGGTGATTCGGGTATAAATTCAAATAATTATATGTTACATTAAAATTTAGTTGAGTTAGTTGTAGTGTTAAACTCAACGTAAGAAAGGTTGTAAATTTAAATTCAGTGATCTCCTACCAAAACCTCCTTAAAAACTTTATTGTCTCTCTTCTTTATTAATTACAAAAAAGAGCTTTTTTAAGAGTATTATTATAACTTGATCTCTTTTTTATAAAAAAAAAATTAGTGCACTGGTTTCAGTGATTAAGATATAAGATCACTGCATTAACCATGCACGAGCCTCCTCTCCTCAGCCTCCCAACACCCTTTACTTCTTTTTCCTCTTTACCTCTCTTTTCTTCCCTTTTTTCCCATATCCATGCTTTGGAAGGGTTATATATTATAGGCATAATCTGAAGCATAAAAGTTGGTCGTGAAAAAGAAATCTAGACCATGAAATCTAGGCGAGTTAGCATCTCCCTTTTCCTATGCTTCACTGGAAAGAATAATACCTAGCAATAACATGTAGTTTTTTGAGGTGTAACAGTCTACTCAAGATTAAGTTAAATTCATTGTTAGGTATTCAGCTAAAATTTTCCAACTTATCCAAAATAAAAGTCGCACATTTGCCAACACAGAATTAGTCAGAATGGTTGTGCCGTCGTTGTTTTAGAGCTCAGATATCTTGATTTAAACACCTGTTATAAAAAATCGATATCACCTATGGTAAGAAGGTTAAATGAATATGAACCAATGAGTGTAGGGAAAGTCATGTACATTAATGTCTCATGCATTAAGATAGATAATGTAATCTAATATAACATTTTGAATGGAAAGGTGGATGATCAATGATAGCAGCTTGAAAGCTTTTATCATGCGTTGTCCTCCTCAACACAAACACCACCATATATGAGACAACTTGATTGCCAATGAGATTAAAATATAAAAGGACACAATGAGAGAAGCTTCCTCTATTTGTTTGTTACCACCTTTCTCTTTGGGAGGGAAAAAAAACCCTAATGGCCAATATCTGTTTGGTTGCAGGAATCCTCCATTGCCAACCCTCAAGAAGCAGCAGAATGGATGAAGACCTACTCTTCTTTCTGGCCAGACCCTGACAACCAAGATCATCATGGGTAAAAAAAAAAAAAAACAGAAATAGTTTTCTTATTATCAAAACCCTAAAAAAAGAACAGAGAAACCTGCACCATATAATATATACAGACACACCATCATTGTCATCATCATTAGTACTTGAAGCCTCCATTTCTAGCTTCCTCTCTAGTTCTTTCCAACAAAGAGGCCCCTCCACAACCAAGCAGCTCTCTCTCTCTCTCTCTCTCTCTCTCTAGAGTTTGGTTTCTTTTTGTGGGTTTCTGGTTGGGTTTTTTTCTGTGATCTCTTTGGGAATTGGGGCAGCCATACTTTAGGTCTCAAATGGCTCTCAACTGAACTAACTGTCCATGCTGGAAAGAAAGGAAAGGTAAAGAGCGACAGAAGAAAGGAAAGAGCCAAGAAAAGAGAACCCAAGGAAGAAAAAGAGGGAAGAAAAGAAAGCCAGCTGCCCTCTCTCTCTCTCTTTCACCTAGTTTTACCATCTTCCTCTACTACAACTGACCAAAAGACCACAAGAAGAGAAAAGCTAGGTTAAAAATCTCATCCTGCAGCATGAAAATCAGCACCACCATCATTACACTATCATCTTCTTTTTGTTCATTTATTTATTTCCAAGACACATGTATGCAGATGGATCTCTCTTCTCAGTCTTTGTAAGTTCTTTGCAATGTTCTTTGGATGAGAGGAGCAAAAGTAACTAAAAAAAAGAAGGGGTGTGGGGGGAAAAAAGGTGTCACATAGTTTGTGCAAAAAAAAAATGCAGGGAGGGTGGAAGGAGCTCTTTGTGAATTAATTACTACATTTTTCTTGTGTTTTGTAGCTAATTCTTTTTTTATTTTTCTCTAGTCAAAAGTATCACAGAATTGTTCATTAATTTATAGGAAATTTACTTATATATATATCATATATATTCAATTTTGTTTCTGCTAGCTAGTTCAGATTTTATTTATTTAGATTGAGTTTTTTTGTAGGCTGTTGATTTAATTTGGTTTCAGTACTTATAATTTCTCCTTTGTCTGAAAATGAAGCTGGACAACCTGATGCTTCTTTATCTTGTACTTTCACTAAACCACCAAAAGAGATGCTCCACGAAGTTGCTTGGAGATAGAAAGAACTGATGTACAATCCTTTTCTCTGGATTTTCTTTTCTCTTAAATCCTTTTCATATTTCATGGATGAGATATGACCTGGTTCTAATACATTTCCAAACCCTTCATATATAGTAGTTTTTGTAACATCTCAATTTCTTTCCTGGCCAATATATTGCCCACTTTGGATTTGACCTCGCACGATTTTGTTTTTGGGTGCATCATGGTGATGTGTCTAGAAGCCACTCATCTATGTACCGCTTCACTATATATATGTTTAACTTCTCAATTCCTAAAAGAACTCATTCATTTCACCTGAAAGCATGCCTTGACAATTAAGGTTGAGTTGTTCATTATGAACTATGAATCTCTCCAATATTTTGTCGATGTGAGATTTGTCAAAGGGAGGGTGTAATGTAACACCTTAGAAGAATTTCATATTGACAGACCACGTGAGAAATTCATGGGCTATTCATAACAATTAAGCTTTAACTGACAAGAAGTCTATCATCCCTACAAATTCCTAAATGATCAATTATTGTATTCAAACCCTCTAGTTGACCCTTGATATTAGTAACTCAAGAACATAGTATGATCGGATTGTGGGAAGTTTTTTGGCTGATGATTCACTATTTTTTTTATAGACAACGGAGCGGTTAAAGGACACACCAACCTCTATTCAGTAACAAAACGGGTTGTTTGGACACCAATAACACCATGTTACAACCAATTACTTGAATAATTGTTAGGATGAATTGCTCACCTAACTATGATTAATCATTTGTATTTCTCATACTTAATCAGCAGACATTTTCTCTAACCCATGCAATACCACATCAACAACCATTTTCGAGGGCCCAATATGACCGTAAAATTGGTGCATTATTTTTCTTTCATGTCTCTAAAGTTTGATGATCGATTAACAACATTATCTATCTTTCCATTTCGTTTGGTTTTTGTATATATGACACCACACCTTCTCTTTAATTTTCCCCCCCTTTTGACTGAATCATTACTTCAATTTACTTAACCATGGAAGATAATGTGGTGGCGACACACCAATCCTTTTTTCACCTTTTATTGACATCCATTAGTGCAAGACAATCGATTTCCTCCCATCTATTGGACCTCTTATTGCGATTGATAATGTTTTGAACACAAAGCAAACTTACTTTGAATGCATGGCTAAAAAGAAACTTCAAAGCTTTGATCATGATAATGTCCCTACACCTAATTATTAATTTTACCCATAACCATGTCATTCATCCTTAGCTCACCCTTAATATAATAATAATCCATGCATGGCTAAAAAGTAATCTCATGCTGTAAATCTATAACATCCACTACGACTTGCACTCAATTATGGTAAATAATCTAGTATGTGTGTGTAAAAGTACATATTGGAACCTCCACACATGTGTTCTAGACTATCTCGGTTACTAGGAATACTCAATCGACACATCGGAGCCAGTGTTTCGGGCTTACACTACTTTAATCAATTACCACTCATATAGATTTTTTTTCATCAGAATGATAGGTCTTAAAAATTGAACACGAGAGCACGTCATGCGAAACCCATATCTTTACTGTTTGCACCGCCGAATTTGTTGGTTCGATCTGTGTTTCTGGTACAATAATGTTGATTGGGGTTAGATCATATATTGAACCATTAACTAGCTTTCAGGTATATGGATGGTTCATCGCTGGCGGTTCTAAGGGTGCCCGGGCCACGGCCTAGCCCTCTGAGTCCAGAGCTAGTATAACAAACGAAACTTGCTTGCTTCTCGTCGCCATCTTCGTCTCTTTTATCCTATAGTGCTAGTTGATAACTAACTTTCTATTTAAATGTGGTCCAGTATTCTACTACATTCTGAATACGCCTTTGCGGTTCAATAATTGATAATCTGTTTTACTTTATGAATTCCATATTTCCATTACCAACAAAGAATCTTGTTAGAAGGAAACAAAGTCGACGTTACCATAGCAAGCTACAAAAACGCTCTTTTCTTTCCTGTTTGCAAGTTATTTTGGGGTTACTAGGGAAACTTCTTTTGAGTTACTTTCAATTTTATTCTATTCCATTATAGATTCGAGCTCTTTTCCTTTTGGAGCAAGCCAAGATTTAGAGAGATTGTAGAAATTGTGCTTATCCCATTAGAGAAAGAGGTCCCTCGATGGAAAGATAGGAAGAGAAGTAGTCGATGAACAAGGGTTTGATTTACTGGTAATACTATTAGTATTGAATCTGAAGATTTTCGGTTTGAATTTCTCTAATATATAGTACATAAATAATTAAAAATAAACTTGTATAACTCTTATAAAAAAAAAAGTTGTGTAAATTGTAACGCGTTTGCCATCTCTTTCGTCTCTATAGTGTGTTTGTGCATGCATGAACGAAACTATAAACTAAATTCATGGGAAATATTGTAAAGGAATAAAGATGCAGAATAGGATATAAATAAATATCGGAACAAAGTGAAGCAACGGGGGGAAAAAAAGAACCATAATATTAGAAGGAATAAGCAAGCAGACAAGAATAAGCTTTAACTTTGATGTGACAGAGTTTCTAAATCGTACATTTATTTTTTCAAGCTTTGTTACGTTATGCTGCTTTCTTTTTATTGTACATTTATACCTAACATGACGTACTTCATTTAACAGCATATCTGGTGAGATTCTCGAATCCGAATTTTGTTAGCTTCTTCATTATGTAGAATTTCAATTAATTCCTTCATTATCTGAAGCAGTCTCACAAAAATTTAGTCATTGTAATTAACTTTGTAAGAATTAGGAGGTCCAATACAAAAATATGGTCAAACATTCACATTTTTCATAATCATAGTTAAACTTGCTGAGTTGGATAACCCAATGAAGCTAATGTAGATGCAGTCGGTATATATATATATATATTTTTTTTTGTACAACTATCTGGTTTCAAATAACCCATTTGGATTGGATCCAAATGAATTAACTTAAATTAGACTCAATTTAAACTCAAAACCATTAAAATGCATATGGATCCATTCGGATTCGACTCAATACAAATATGGATCATATTATGAATCGACTCAAATTACCCAAAAAAAAATCGACACATCATCATTCCTAACACCTCATTATAAATACATACGAATTTGTTTGAATTATCTTGTACGGATTATCACAATCTGTGATTGAGGAATGAAATATCATCTGTAGAAAAAGGTGGTATTCAATTTCTTTCGCTTTTGTGGAAGATTTTGGATATTTGCTTTTGAAAGTGGAAGAGGGATTTTGCAGCATTTTGGGTTAGGAGGTGTGGGGGGAAAAGGAGAGTACCACTGTGAGAGCTTAAAATTGGTGAGATTTGGTCCCAAAAAGAAGTTGCAGCAGCAAGTATTCTTCTCTCTGCCTCTGTGTGTTGCTTCTAAAATCTAAAGTGGGAATATCACAACATGGCCCCCCTACCTTTTTGGGATTCTTCACTTTGCCTCTCTCTCTCTCTCTCTCCTGCTCAATCTCTCTCATAAACTTAACCTGCCTATTCATCTGTTTATGCAACCCAGCAGAGGTTAGATTATTTTAATCAATGTGTGTGGAGTGAAATGGGATGAGGATGAGGTAATTATTAGATTATTTTAAATTAGATCGATGGATATGAGACGGGTACTGATAAAATTCGTGAAAGAGTTGACGAGATGGGACGGGTATGGTTTTAGATTTCCCTTCTTCATATTCATCTTTGTCCAACTAAGAGTATTTTTTTTTGTATATAAAAAAATATAGGATCCAATTTTACCTTCTTCATACTCAAGCTAAACACTAATTTCTCTCCCTCCGTTCACCCTTCACTCATTCACTTCTTTCCTGCTCGTTAACAAGATTATGTTAATTATTTATTGCTCACTACATGTGCCAAAGTCGAAGATGAATGATTTAGATAACATTGTACTTGTTGATGGATTAGTGGAGGTTTTAGGAGTGAGTGCCTTAAATTCGTATTAAGAACGATTGAATGGCTGACTTCATGATTTATTAGGTTGTACTATAACTGAAGATCTACAAATTAAATACTAGATATAGTAAAATGGTATAGCGACATTTTATATACGAAGAGGGTATTACCCACAGGTACCCATGTACCCTATAACCACGGGTATATAAATGGGGTTGACTTCCTGCATAAATATGTTACAAATATGAATTTGAATATCTAAATACAAAGATGAGAATGGTTTGTGAAAATTTGAAAACCCACCCCAATCACATCTCTACCTTATCTCTCTTGTTTGATGATTTGATAGCCATTTTTTTTTATATCATAGTCCGATGGAATATTAGACATATATGTTTACAATAGATAAAAACAAACGACAGTCAATACTAATCGTTCAGTCGATAAAAGAGTCGTTTATACCACTAAATGAACATCTCTGTTAGTTAAGCTAAGCAGGCATGGCGTATTCTTTGCAACCCCTCCAGCACTCTTGCCCAGATTTATCAAGCACGATATCATCCCCAACGGGCATTCTTAGAGGCGACGGTAGGCTCCCTTCCCTCATGGGCGTGGCAAGGCATCCTGACAGGAAGAGATCTTCTCAGTCGGGGGTTAAGATGGCAGGTGGGAAACGGGTCTCGGATCCATACTTTAACGGATAATTGGCTTCCTTCTTCTCCTCCCTCTACCCCGGTTTTACGGCCAAGTTTGAGTACTTGCCCTCCTCTCGTCTCGGATCTCATTTGCTCTACCTCTCACTCATGGAAGAAGGATCTCTTACTTTCTCTGTTCACCCTAGAGAGTGTTGATCTCATTTTGTCTATCCCTCTCCCTCTTTCTGTGTCCACTGATCGTTTGATTTGGCATTATTCATCCTCTGGTCTTTACACTGTTAAAACAGGGTATCATCTTTTGTCTTCTGAGTTCGATCTTCATCATCCTCCGGTGGTCCTCCCTTTTGATACTCGTTTTTGGAAATTTCTTTGGAGTATTCCTGTTCCCCCAAAACTAAAGTTCTTTTTTTGGCGAGCTGTCCGTGGCTTCTTGCCTCTGCAGATAGTTTTGTTTACTAAAACTCTTGTGACTGACACGACGTGCCCTATATGTTCCGAGGAGCCAGAATCCTTTTCCCATTTTTTCTTTTCATGCAGGGTAGCTCGCGGATTGTGGCAACTGGCGGACCTTGAAGAATTGAGAAATACCCTTGGAGGATTGAGTCCTGACGAGTCCTGGCATCATCTTTTCTTTTTTTATGAATTTGTCAAAAATTGAGATAGCTAATGTTGTTTTCATTTTCTGGCGGATTTGGAAGGGCAGGTGTTGGGCGGTTCATGATGGCATTCAATATCTCCTAGTGGCTCTGTTTCGGCAGTTTCAACGACAAGTCGATGAATGGAGGACCTTAGGGCCAAACCCTTCAACGCGGCCACCCGGCGGTACTGTTTCTACAGCTCCAGGGCCCTCACGTGTTCCCAGAGGCACCCATACGACTCCTGGTTCCTCTACTTCTATCAATGTCTGGTTTGATGGTGCTACCAAGAGTGGCCAAGGAGGTAGTATTGGATTTGTCGGCTTCCATACGGCAGGTACTGTTCTGTTTGCCTTTGGAAAATTTTATGATGGGATTCAGGACCCTTTTCTCATGGAATGTTTAGCTCTACGGGATGCTGTGCAGTGGTGTCTAACTCATTCCTTTCTTGCTGTTTGTTTTCATGGGGACTCTCAACTCTTGATCCGTCGGATGATTGGAGGGGATGTGCAACATGTTCGGGGTGGCGCTATATTGGAGGACATTCGGAGCTTGGCATCTTCATTTCACAGTGTTTCCTTCTGTTTTGTGTCCCGTCACCTTAATAGGGCTGCCCATCATGTGGCACAAAAGTCCCTCTCATCTGGAGTTCGACTATTGGTCGACTCCCGCGCTTTTCTGTCTTCCGGTTTGTGACTTTTGATTAATACTGACTTTGAAAAAAAAAACATCTCTGTTAGTTCCTACGATAAGCGAACGCCCAATGCCCCAATGCACACCCAACTAATGCGTGTTGAAAGTCCATCAGCTCAACCTCCCACCGCACGTATCCACGAAAGAGTCACCGCTGTCAGACGCCATTCTTTTGCCGACGATGAAACGGCCCAATCCGAAAGCCCAATTTCTCAAAGCCGAAGCTATCCACAGTCAGAGTCGGATCACCTACTGGGCCTATGGAACAACAGCACAATCCTAAGGCCCAAACAAACAAGAAAAGAAAAAAAACAACTCTTTGGACCTGTGCGGACGATGAACAACAGTTCGATGACATCATTCCAAAGACGATGATCGAATATTCAATACCGTGTAAAGTTCTCATCATCAATCATAATCCTAAACAGAAAGCAACCGATCAGCATTTTAGAGACCAGATAAGAGAGTGAAGGTGTAAAATCAAACCGCCTACCTTTCCACAGCAAATAAAATCCAGAGCTTCTTTGTCACTTGCCGGAAACCACAAGTTCTGTTTATTGCATAGAGATCGATCCTCGGGCATATTCCACCACCCGCCAGGAATCTTCCTCTAGCCTTCATCAGAACAATACTACCTATATTCCAAAAATACACCACTGCAACTGCAGCATGCAGGTACTAGAGACTGAACATCCTACCAAAGGTATCTGAATCGAACTAAAGCGGTACGACAATGGCGACGTGACAGAGACCAACTAAAGCTACAAAGATGAAGCTACATCACTATTCATTTAGCAAAACCCTGTGGAGGAAAACACATTTGCAAGCAACAAATGCTGAAATGATAAACTAAGAGCCAAAGCTATGTACAAGCTGCAGCTGCTGGTGAGGCCTTTTTTTTCTTCTTCTGGCAATTGTCATGGCAGCATACACAATTACCTCCTATTCGTTTCTCTCATAATTCTTTGGTCATAAAAACATGATGGGCTTTATTTCTATACAATACAACACAACCTTCTCGCGACAGTTCGGTGTGATGTATCCCGAGATCATTTAGCAAGCACGTGCCTCGGGCATCCGACCAGCAACAGGCCCAGAGACACCGGATACCTTCAAGGATGCAAAGAGGCAGGACAACCGGGCGATCATGGGCCTTGACTTCATTCTTGGTACAATTGCCAATTCCTTACCGGTGCTAGTAGCACCATCGTCGGAGGAACTGTGGTAGCCTTCAAGATCTGCTTTTGTAATGAGAACCTCATCCCCAGATGGAGACCACGTGGTGGAAGATAACCGGCGTGAGTTGCGTCTGCTGTATTCTTGAACAGCCTGCATATTTCCAAGGAAAGATAAGTAGAGTGCAGAGGTTGTACAGTGAACCCAATCTTACCACATTGTCCACAAGATGTTCAAACATCCCTCAATTATCACTTATCACCCTTCTCTAGAAGCTCAACCTCCCAACATAATTGTGAAAAATGTGATGAATTACCTCCCACTGCGTTGGAGCTAGCAACACTCTAGGTCTTCTAGACCTCACGTAATCAAGGGCCGCACCAGGTGTCATGTGCTTAAACTTTACCTGCAAACATATAAAACGACACTAATAAATGTCATAGCAGGCAAGAGCGGTCAACAAGGGAAGCTCGATGTAAAACAGCCCTTACCAAATAGCAGAGCACAATGGTAGTACTCCTTCCACGCCCAGCTTTGCAATGAACGTAGGTAGTTTTGCAACACAATGCATTCTCTGAAACCCAGATAGAGAAGGGATCAAGTTTAGTAAATACACAATAACCAAACAGAATGGATCCACAGGTACTTCAACAAAACTTTACTCACTGTGGATGAAGTCTACTGCCAGACTAATATCCGCAAAAGAAGGGGCAAAAAGATAATCCCTTGTTGGAATTACTAGATGTTCAATTCCATGGACCTGCAAACACGCATAACAAAAAAGCAAGCATGAGAATTCGTTGGGTTTGGTAATAAGTTACGAAGAAAACTTAGGTCTCTTCCAAACAGGAAGCCACACAGCAGCTTGTTTGCCACTTTACTCTCGTGGCATGGCACAATTAGATGGCTGACCAAACATCAGTTTCCCCAAGTATAGAATTGACATTACTTCAAAACCGAAGCAGATTGTAAACAAAGAAATTGAAAGAAATTCAGACTAATACATCCAGGATGGCGGCAAACAGACCTACATCGAACCACAAGCACAAATGGAGCAGTTGGAGGGTAGAAAATAACCCACACGATACAAGGCTGATGGAACCAAAGTTTCGTATGGTTCATTGAGAGTGATGACTCCACCAACGCCGAGCTTCTTCAGCCGAGGAACATCCTTAGGAAATGGGACGGCACCCAGAAGTAGATACTGCAGAAAGATCAACGAAGAACACACTACTGTCACAATACTAACCAAAGAAGAACAAAAGCTCAAATCAAGTGAACAATTACTCTCTACAGCTACAAGAAGTAGCCATCTTGAATCCCAACAACCAAATTTCAAGCTGGGAAATTGGCTTCCCAAATGACCCAGAACATCAATCAAAATTATTTTCCTCGGCAGTGACGTGAAGACCATCTTGAATCCCATTTGAACACGGAAAACAAATTCTAAAATTAGAAGTTTCTCATCAGAAGCTAAACAACTCTTTCAGTTTCTCAGCTACCAAAAACTAGATAAACCAAATAAAGTGACAATAAGAAATCACCCAAACGGAAAGCCGATCTATCAACCGATCGCAAACTTCCATCAAGAACAGAGCAGCAAAAGAGTGAGAAGAAAGAAAGGGAGGAAAGATCAACCTGGTCAACTTCATCCCACCACCGGAACTCAGCCTGGATTTTGTTCCGAAACACATTATAGAAGAGCGTGGGGTAGAAAAGAATCCGAGCACCAACTCCAACCAGGGCTCTCTTGGCGTCAACCCTAACAATCTGTAGCTGCATCTGCTTCTCGTAGACGCCACGCTCTTCATCCCTACACTCCGGATCGTCCAGCTCCTCAATCTTCATTGCTCTCTCACTCTCGAATCAAGACCTCCAGGTAAAAAGTAGCCAACCAAAAGTCCTGGCGAACTCGAACACGGAATCGCAGGAAATCGGGTCCCCGAAAGGTGGAGCGTTGAATTGTATACCGGGAATTGAACCGAGAGCTGGATATCGCAATCAATGGAGGGGAAGAATCGGAGAAGATAGATCGTTGAGGGGATGGAAAATGGAAATCAGGGATTGTGGAGGGATCGGGGATTAGGTAGCGGAGAGAGATGGATTGGGATTTTTGGGAGAGGAAAAGTAGCTGAAAGTGAAAAGTGTGAAATTGGGGAAAACTGGGAATTCAATTTCTCGTGGACTGGAGAGAGAGAGAGAGAGAGAGAGAGAGTGGAGGGTAGAAAGAAAAATAAAATTAAAAGGATAAATAATTTGAAGTGACGGAAATGCCCTCCCTGCTGTAGGATATTCACATTGTGCCACTGCTGCCTGGTGGCGGTCTTAATAAGTTGGAAAATAAAACGTTTCTTTTTCCTTTTACGATTACGTTTTTTTCTGAATAAACAAATGGAGAGGTCTTTGCTTAAAAACGCAGCGGGATTGCCGCGGCGTTGTTGACGGTGACGGTGACGGGGCATTGGTGAGGTTGCTAGGTCCATTCTTTTATGAATCCTCCAAATGTAATGACTAATGAGTCAATTTGTACACACATGCATTCGTATAAATTTCTTTATAGTACAACGTATATATGAAAACATTGATGTTTATATGTATTGTAAAATTCTTTGTTTTAATAGGTGAAGCCTCTCGTTTTTGTAGTATTCTTTTGCTAAGCGAGTGTCTCTATCGATACATCTTAACCTAGACAACTTGATATTTTTGCTGGTCTCTTAGAGTTTGGACATGTTGGGGTTTGAGTTCAATGTTGTATTAACCCTCGGGTTATTCATGTCCTAATCTTAGAAACATTCTCAGGTTTGAGTTTAATTCGGAGCTCGATATTTAGATTTAAATATTTATATCATTTTCAGACATTCTCGAGTTTTAGTTTGACTTAGAAGTCAATATTTAGATTTAGGTTAACCCTATGTCTAGAAAGATGACGTTCTTTGATTCGATGGTAGCCTACATTGCTAAATCACATCCGAAGCATTCTGCTACCTACTTAAAATCCAACTAACCATTTCATCAGTCTTTCAAGTTTCAACACAAGGACGTGGACGGCGATGGACACAGTTTGGGAAAAGGAGCCCGAGAAAATTACAGCCTGCTGACAAAAACTAACCGAAATTGAACTCTCCAAATCCACTGGTTTCTGTGGTTCATCCACAATTCTATCTTGAAAACATCACCATTTGTCCATTTCCATCTCTTATAAAATCTACCTTAGCGGGAAGCAATCCAAATGCCAACCACCCCTTTTCACTCCTCCTACCAACCACAATCTTTCCCTCATCGTCTCCCCTGTTTCTCCTCCGCATTTTCTCCGACCACGTCGACGCCGGCGATAAAGAGAAACGCTCTGTTAAAAGGGTTTTTTTTTAATGTTCTCGTGGTCGTCGCCTGGTCAAAGATTGGTTCCGATCGCCTGCTGTTGACCGGTACAGGTCGTGCTATTTGGTGGGAGCTCAGGTAAGGAGAAAAGCTTACCCACCCCTCTGTTCTTTTACTTTATATTCTTTCCGGCGATTGCCAACTTGCATGCGACCGAAATTTGAAACTGGGTTTTCTAGAATTAGGCTGTTTGGAGGTTTCTATGTAGAGAGGCAACATAGATTTTCTTTTTTGTATCCTCGAAAGTTGATTTGATTTTTTGTATTGGGATAAAATGATGGAGAAATCGATTCTGTGGCGGATTCAACGATGCTCCTAATATGTATGATTGAAGAGTCTGGTTCTGAGTTTGTGAAGAAAGGAAACTAGTAATGCAAAAGAAAAATGGGGGACTTGGTAGGTTGTAACAAGAAGCGCCTTTCGGGACAAAGATCAAATCTTTACCTGGTAAGGCATTTCACACGTATGAAATTTGGGGATTCTGTTCTTATTCAATGCTTATCTGTTGATTTTGTGATTGCGCTGTAGTGGGAACATTGGAGATTCAGGCTGCATTATTCACATTATAGGTTGCTTTGAAACTTTTGATTCATTCTGTTACTCATTGTTATGAGCAGGCCTTCCAGCAATCAGTCAGGGATATGAGGAAGAGATATTGATCTGCGGTTCTGGAATCAATTCTGCTCCTTGTACAGATAAAAGTATTGCTGATACTGTATTTTAAGTATAACTGCATTGTTGAAGATAAGATTTCACAAATCACAATGGAGCATCGATCGGCATCGCCAAAAATAGAGAACCTAGATGCTCCTCTCCACTTGTTAGGGTTTGAGATCGAGGAATTGTCACCAAGCAAAGTCGCGGGTCGCCTTCTGATAACGGAAAAATGTGTGCAGCCTTTCAAGGTGCTGCACGGTGGAGTATCCGCGTTGATTGCAGAGTCTTTAGCTAGCATGGGGGCGCATATGGCATCAGGTTATAAGAGGGTTGCTGGCATTCACCTCAGCATTAGTCATTTGAAGCATGCTGATCTCGGGGATCTTGTTGTCGCTGAAGCCGCTCCTGTCCATGTTGGCAAAACCATTCAGGTTCACATTTTACTCGCTCCTTGCTTCTTTTTAATCTTCTATCTTATTTTCCATTTCTATGATGCGGATGCTTGGCCTAGTGAACGTTGAGCTGGATCTTTATTAGTCTCTTTGATCATCACATGAAACTTGCTGACAATCTTTGTGGAGATTGGTAGCCCTTTGGCCTGATCTTCTGATCTATATATCGACCTTTTAATAGTGCATCTTGATTGGTAGAAACTGTCCCTGAAAGACAGTTCCTTTGCTGTAACAAATCTAGGGAATGAACGTTTGTTCGATTGCAAGTGCGGTTTTAGCTCACAATCTATGTGTTTATTTGATGATAAGCCCTGAATTACTTTGGAGCTCCACAACAGACCATATCTCTAGCATTTGGTGGCCTTCTTGGAGCTGAGATACTAATGATATGTGTTTACTTTGTTAACCATTAACAGGTTTGGGAGGTGCAAATTTGGAAAGTTGATCCTTCGAATTCGGACAAGAAGTCTTTGGTTTCATCATCCAGAGTCACTCTCTTAAGCAACATGCCGGTGCCCGAACATGCTAAAGGAGCTGCTGAAAATCTCAAGAGATATGCTAAACTGTGAAAAAAACATGTGTACTGTATGGTCAAGGCCTTATTCCATGTCAATAATCAATCTTACTACATTTTATACAAAAGAGAACTCTTCATTCTTCAATGGTGTTGGGCAGAGTAGAAACCAAATAATGCAGCTGAGGCGATAGGGTGTTTCACCCCCCACAAGGCCTTGCACCATGTTGAATGGCAAAACCCCAAATTGTCAAATTTTCGGTTAGATTTGACATTCTAGCTCCACAAAAGTCAAATTTGCAAACCGATTAAACAAGATAGAACTAAGTAACTCACGATCAAGCTGGACCAGAGCTTCCACCAAACACAATAAGACGCTGGTTGTCCGTCTGTTCCCACAATACCTTCATCAGATATCTTGTATCTCCTTATTATCACTCGTATCTGTCACAGACTCTGCAGGGTTGTAATCGACTTGGTGGTTCTCATCTACAACCGTGACTTGCCTGGCATAGCCATCGAGCTTCGAACTACGCATCGGCGGGAACCCCAAACCCATCGGTGGAAGATCCTCGGAAGAAGGGGAGTATGCTTCTCCTCCCCAGTCCACATAAGTTGCAGAGTCGTTCAATGTGCTGAATATCCTCTGTGGCCATGTTCCAACTGTTGTGTTGTCCAATCCTATATGAAGAAACCAATCCCCACTTGCAGCATCCTTGAGAACGAAAGATTTCTGGGCCCTTATGTTATTTCCTCTTTCAGAAGCTTGAAGAACAACATCAAGAGGAATGTCGGGGGACGTGATTACGAATTCGGGACAGAACGTGTTGTAACAATGCGAGTCCTTGGTCTGAAATGTTTAGCAGCACCAGAACAACCCTTTTCTTAGGTTGATGGAACCAGATCAAATCAATGTACCTAGCTAGCACGAGTGATAAAGAACTTACACTTGTGTATATGAAATGCCGAGTTGCAGTGTCACCATAGAGACCTGGATTGATCTACAAGTACAGAGAAATAGAAGGAAAGATCATAGTTTGCATAATGCATGTTACTGTCCATCCCACGACAATGCTGTCGGTTCCAGCTTGATCATGAGCTAGTTTTGAATGGGGACCTCTAATAAATCGATATCGATTAGAAATGCCAATTTAAGGGTGTGGGTTTTGTAGGACCTTTGGTAAGTGAAATCAAATGTTAGGTGAAACCAATGGAGTCCAACAACACCAACAAGAGCAGTACGTAAGCACTTAAGCCAATAATGAAGAGAACCGTCGCTGTGTGCGTCAATGGCGTTGCGCCTTTGCCTAAACGCCACCTGGAGATGGCAGATAGATGATGTGATTCAAGACAGTACAGCATTTGGGCCCCAAAGAGCCCCCGACCCAAAGCAGCAGTTGCAGCATCAAATGCATGGATTTGAAAAAGCAGCAGCAAGTCTGAGGACAACAACCTCATCTCTCCCTCCTTTCTCAAATCTCTCTGAGTCCGATCTCATGTCGCCAGCGAAGGGAGCAGTGTGCGTGACCGGCGCCGGAGGTTTCTTGGGTTCCTGGGTTGCTCATCTCCTCCTCTCCAGAAACTATCTAGTCCGCGGCACAGTCAGAGACCCCTGTAAGTCTTTTGTCACTTCCATCTGTCTATAATCAGCAATCCCGCCGGCGGAGTCTGACTTCCTCCCCTTTCTAATTATCACAGTGGATGAGAAATATGCCCACTTGAAGCAACTCCCAAATGCATCCTCGAATCTGGAGCTCGTGAAGGCCGATTTACTTGATTACCCTTCTCTGGTCTCTGCGATTCAAGGGTGTTCGGGAGTTTTCCATGTCGCCAGCCCTGTTCCCTCTTCCTCTGTGTCAAACCCACAGGCCAGTTCCCAATTCCTTCTTCCCTGCTCCTGGGTTCTTCCATTGATTGCAATTTACGGCTTCCAACAACCTAAAGGCAGCGAATTTTTCTCACAATATCTCTGTTTTTTTAGGTTGACTTAATTGAGCCAGCAGTGACTGGAACCCTGAATGTCCTGAAAGCATGCGTCGAAACCAAGGTTAAGCGGGTTGTGTATGTGTCATCTGCCGCTGCTGTTTTTATGAACCCTTCCTGGCCCGATTCTCAGCCCATGGATGAGTCTTGCTGGTCTGACGCGGAATATTGCAGAGCTACTGAGGTCTGGTTACTGCTTTACTCTTTTTATGGCTTTTCTGTTTGAATCCTTACGACAGAAAATGATCTCTAAACGGATGTTATGTGAATTAGTTAGTTGGATAGATAGCAGTCCATGTTTAGCTCCTTAGTTAATTACTAAGTGTGGTAATGGTATGAACAGAACAAAAGGGGGAGAAAAACGTTTGCTTTCTATATGAATTCTGATGATGGTTGTTCATACAGAACTGGTACTACCTCTCCAAGACAGAAGCTGAGATCAAGGCAATGGAGTATGCGAAAGCCAACGGACTTGATGTAGTAAGTGTCTGCCCCAATCTCATCATCGGGCCACTTCTGAAGCCTACGGTGAACGCAAGCACCATGGTTCTCACCAAGCTTTTGAAAGGTAGCCAGACATTACTATCCTGTGAGCAATTATATTTATGTGTTTACATCCTTGTTGCTGAATTGCTTCCAAAGTTGGTTACTGGGTTCTGATTTTTGCATTGGACTTATGATAGCTTCTCATTCACGAACTATTTTTGCTGCTGTATGCAGAAGGGAAGGACTTGGAGGAGAATAAGCATCATCGGGTGGTGGATGTGCGTGATGTAGCTGAAGCGTTGGTTTTGGTGTATGAGAAGCCTGAGGCGCAAGGGAGATACATATGTACAGCACATTCTATCCATGTTAAGGACGTGGTTGACATTTTGAAGGAAAAGTATCCCAACTACAATTATCCTAGGAAGTAAGCGCTTTATAGCCATACTCTTTAACTTTAACTTCGATTCATTATACATGGTCCAAGGTACCATCCTACTATATACAGCAAGATGTGATGGCCGAGTTGGTCTGAAGCGCCAGATTGAAGCTTCTCGTCCGAACGGAAAGGAATGTTGACATATTTGTTTGTGGGTGGCAGCTTCACAGATGGTGAGGAGAAGAAAGAAATGAGCTCAGAAAAGTTGCAGAGGCAAGGTTGGAGCTACCGCTCACTGCAGGAAACTCTGGTGGACGCTGTGGAGAGTTATAAGAAGGCTGGCGTATTGGACTAGAGCTGAACCATTCCATTTACTGGGTGAATCCAACTTTCTGATATGGATGAGGGCATCCATTTCCATGTTGAACCAAAATTGAGGTGTGTTGGTTGCTGCTGTGGGAGTTAGCAGAGCTATTGCGTTTGTTTGTGATGTATGTAATAAGTATTCAGGTTGTTTAAGCCTACTGTAAAGGCAGAGTTTTTGGTGCTGCAGCATAGAAGGTGTTTTGTCGAGTAATAAAACAATGGACGCATTTGTCTGTTGAGGGTGGATTGCATTACAGCAAACGGTAGTATTGAGTGGCATTTGTCTGAGTATGATATTTATAAACCCGTTGTAAAGATCCACTTAAACTTGATAATGTATTTTGAGAATGTATGTATTTTGAGAAAGTATGTATTGTATGTAATATAATACTGTTTGGTGAATCTTAATATTATAGTGAGATTTTGTATTCATGTTCACTAAACTTCATCGAATCAACGAGCAACAAGGAAGTGAGTGATTCTTTTATTTTATTCATGGTTCAAAAAGGTACACTTAACCTTATGCCTAGGCGCTAGGCAATGCCAAAACGCCTTGTTTAGGGGTTCTGTGCCTAATTAGGTACTGGAAACACGTCAACAGTGCAAGGTGAGACCTTAAGTGTCTCCTAAACATAATTAGATGGAGCTAGGTAGTCAATATCAAAGGAAATTAACATAAATTGTGAAGTCAATTTTCTATCTCAGTATTTTCAATAGCTCAAGAACATTGTGAGCTATTGAGCTATGATTCTATCAATTTGTGAGCAATTCTCTTATCATTTGGTGTTAAGTAAATTCTCAATCATTTTAACTAAAGTAAGAAAGTGTTGTAAGTTATTATTTCATTCATTATGTACTGCAAATAAATATTTTCTTCCAACGTCTAAAGTCTAGACACGCTTAGACTACGTCTAAACAAGACCTTGACGCTTGTCTTACGCCTCGCGCCTTCTTGAACCTTAATTTTATCTCAAATTTTCAATGACAAAGCAATACTATAATGCTTTGCTTAACCTTATCTAAAAAAATACCCTATCATTACCCCCCAAAAAACCTATTAGGTATGCAATAATCAAACTAAATCGGTAGTCCGGTATAAGATGCCCGCAACACACCTTCGAGCTCGGATGGATCGAGAATTGACAATGGAGGCTTAATGCACAAATTTAGAGAATTGGGCTTCCAATGCGGGCTCACAATTTAGCTTGGGCCAAGAGGACTTTGAGTCGCCCTGGTGTGCTGTTGTTTGGATACGGGATTTGGTTTTGAGGAATTTGTCTTTAAATCTCTCATCCAAAAAATAAATTATCCTCCATTAATATATGGTAGAGTTTTGAGTATTTTTCTCCATTTCAAATTTCCTGCAACGGGAGTGAAAGTAGGAAGGTCATTTTTGTCTTTACACGTTTATTATTTATTTCATATAAAAATAGCAATATCAAGATTTGAACCCGGGTCTCTTCAAACAAAAATAACAATCACAACCAGTTACACTAAACAAATTTAATGCATCCATTTTTATACAAAAAATAGACAAAGTTAATCTCTGAAAATCAGAGGACTTTTTCATCATAATTAGCAAGCTCAGTAAGTCTATCGTATGTATTTTTATCGAGCTTGATACTTCTATTTTCATAGTAGAGTTTCATGTAATTTTCTCAATTTTAAATTCTCGCTCTCTCCTTAATTTTTGATAAAGGTAAATGGGTAATTGGCCAACATGGAAGAAACTAATTATGTAACTACTGTTGTATCCTTGCATTTTTCAATTTAAATTTTGTGTTTTTTTATCATTTGTTCTTTTCTCTTTCTAACTTCCTCCGAAATTTCATCCATCGTGCAATAGTTTGCGCCTTTCACTTCCCAGTACAGGACTGTCATTGAAAATCAATCTTCAAGTATCTCTTGGCACTACGGTTTTATTGTTGGGGATTTTAAGCTGGGCGAATAGAAGATTTCAACTCCGATATCAATTCATGGCGAATAGAATGGAGTTCATCAATAACTGAAGTTGTAGAAGGAAGATTAGAAATTGAATTTTTGGTTGAATATATGCCTCTTGAGATAGAAATTTGGTTGTACAACGAAGAGTGGTGGCTATTGGATCTTAAGGTTTATGGTGTTTGCAACTGTCATAACTTATTTCTATCTTAAAACGAGGAATCATTGATTGATTGTTTGAAATAGGTCGCTTCTTTATTCAACCTACTGGAACTAATAGATAAGGAGTGTCTAATTTTGCGCCTTATTACTTTGATCGAGTCTATTCGTATATTGGAGATAACCCTGTTTTTTTTTGTTTGCTCTCAAGTTGTGATGGTCCCCTCTTAGCTGAGTTTTTAGTATATAGATGACTTGAATCAACAACTCTTTATTTCTTTTTGATTAGTGACATATTGTTTCTAAAAGGAGAGCATTGAACCCTTTATATAGGATTGTGAGGTTTAAGATTTAGTTTCAAACTATCTATGGGTTGTGTGAGAATTTCAGTAGCTTTTATACTCTATATTTCTTGACTGTCAAAGAAAACTAACCAATAGCATTTTAACAGAGACTTAATTAGCATTATGAAAATGGGGTCAATGATACATTTTATATTTTATATTCTTAAATGATTATGATATTTCTCCGAATGTTCGACCTATATATTATTTCTTTATGTATCATCTTCGATCGAATGATTATCAATAAGATTAAACGGGTTAATAGACTTAAAAGTAACATAAAAATACAAATAATCAAATATGAGCATTCCGGCCAAAGGGCCGGGTTATAAGCTAGTTAATATATAGCACATTTTTTGTGTACTTTTCTCTATTTCAAATTCTTTGATCTCTCCTTAATTTTAGGTAAGGGTAGAGTGGTATTTGAGAAAAACTAATATAAATCAGTTATTTTTTGTTTTTCATATTATATGAATCTATCATCCGTTATTTTTAATCTTTTTATAAAAGTTTTTTCAGGCGTCTTTTATTTACTGAATCTTTTAATATTTTTATTGCTTTTGTTTTTATAATTAGTCTTTTTACTTACTATTCATCTCTCTGTGGAGTGTGGTGAGAAAAAGGAGTTTATTGTTTCAGAAGTCAGAACAAAAGAGTATTGAGGTTTACAGTTATGGGTAAATAAATATTGATTTTTTTATTTATTCAATTTCTTTCTTATCCAGTCATTAGGGGAAGCAATTGTGAAACCACCAACATTGTCAAACATACACCAATGTGCATTAACCCGATCAAGCGGGCAAATAACATCTTTCTCCAATGTGAACTAGAACTAATAGTGTGCTAAATGATGCACTGTTTCTCCTTTACCGTTTCTTATTATTTTTCATCTATTCATATGTTTTTCGTTCCAATTCAAAATTTAATTATTTTTATACAAAGAATTCAGATTTTATATCATCTATGCAATGATATCCATTTTAATGTATCTTCAAACAAAAAAAAATTCTTTTGAATGCCAAGTCACTATGCCACGATAATTTAGAATGATACTTACATGCCTACATGGTATCTGTTTTGCACGACCATGGTATATTTTTATGTCATGGTCGTATAATTAAATACCATCATGATACATGATATTTCCATGTCCGTGGGGGAAATAGTTTATGTCGTAGGAATTTTTGTTTCAATGCTCATTTAGGATATTTTTTAGTTTGGTTTAGGGTATATATCAATGATTGTAAACCGTATAAGAGATTGTGACGGATAAGTTAGTGGTAGAATATATGTAGTTTCATACTGATAAAATCCTATATTGACTTCGCTCCAATAGAAGATTTTTCGATCGAGTTACTGGTATGATTTAATAAACACAAGTATAAACTCAATTGCTTAATGTATGGGCTAGGAATGGTCTTTGGTGCATGGTATTAGTGACCAATATTAAGTATAAAGGTTAAATGATTACATTTTGAGGTGTATGGCTAATAATAATGGGTTTAAAGACAATAGTCAATGTATTCAACACTGGTTGCTTTAGTTTCGATGGTTATGTACTATTTTATTATGAAAAAGTTCAGTTGTGGAACCAATTTTAAAGGAAAATATTTTTTGGATAATCAAATTTTAACTATATTTCATCCATTTTTTTGGATAATCAGGCATAAACTTTGATTTTAATGTTAGGAATTTAGGGATAGTCTTGGTGCATTTTCGAATATAATTTAGCTTGGTGTGAAGGCTTAGACACTATGTTCAATGGTATGCTTTAGAGATAGTATTTGACGCATGTTAAGGATTCGATGTTCCGTGCAAATGGTTAACATTCACTATTTTAAGGTATATTGTTAACTAGATAAGGGCTCGGCCCGTTGGCTGGATGCATTTCATAAAGAACAATAATTGTTTGATGCAATGACATTTTATTAGGTATCTGAAAAGAGTCCAAACTATACAATTATTAGAAAATCGGAAGTTCATATGAAATAAAATTTTCACTTAGTATAATTTATCTCATCCCAACCATGAATTTTGTAGGAGTTTCACTCCTTCTCGAAAGTCATCATTCTTGATATAAAATTGAATTTTATTTTGTTGTATATGGATTCAGTTTTATTTGAAATCGATGAATCTATTATAAACCTCAATTAATATAGATGGTGTATGAATATTTTCCAATTTCGAACGTGTGAATTTGAAAACATTTTCAAAAACATGGACATCTTCAAGAAGTTGTGAGAAGTCAAAAGAAGAAACTTTGACGTTCTCTTATTTTAAACATAAACAAAACTATGGAATGCCACGTCTATTAACTAATCCACAATTACATTATGATCATCACTAATTTCCAATATATAGGATCAGCAACTAAGGTTGGACAATAATAATATTTTCATGAAGATGTGTTGGACATCTAATATAGTGCACTCCACTTTAATTTCTAGGTAACTTCGCCAATTACTGAATTATTTCATCTTTGCTAATAGAGAAGCTATCCCTGAATGAAACGATGTTTTAATGTGTTAGTCATCAATAATGATGCACTAATTCATAGAGATCCATCAATTAAAATTGTTTAGGAGATGTGCTCCCCGTCATTGGAATTATCTCCATCATCGACACTCTCTTCACTTTACTCATATCGTCATTATCTCCATCACCAAATCTGCTAAATCCTAAGAAAAAAAATTCAATGATAAAATATTTGCAATATTGAAACACTGTTTTTAAGATGTTAAATTTACCTCGTCCAGGTTATCAAAATCGTCTAAGATTACTCTTCTTCATCGTTCCTTACCTTGAAAACTGTGTATTCACTTATTGTGTTCAACATATTATAATCTATGAGTTTGATGTTAAACTTGTAATTCCCCTCAAGTCATAGGAGATTAAGTGGTGGAGGTCCTTTGGTTCTGCCACTATCTTCGAATAGCTTCATATTAGCCAGTCCAAAATATCTAGGGGGTCGTTTGGATGGATTTATTGCAATTTTGTAATACATAACAAAATACATTGATGCAATGGCATGAAGCTCGAGTGGATAATATCGCTTCTTGTTTGAAGGAGGTTATGCACCAAAATGTAGTCGTGTTTCTTAGTTTGACATCTCTGCATTGGAGAAATATGCATTGACCTAAACATTATATAACATTAGCATTTGAATATCATGACTCATTATATTAAAATTGAGCGCTTGTTTACTTCATGGATTTGAGAAATGAAGGTTTTGATTAAAACCTGGGTTTTACAAAACCATGGATATATGATGGAATTGCCCCATTTGGTTTTTGGTACAAACCATCGTCTGCTTGTTGGATTTCATGATGGATTTGACATTGTAATATTTGTGGTTGTTTTAGAAATTTACCTTAGCGCCATTATTGAGTATTATTTATTTTTATGGTGGGATTAGTGGTTGGGTTTGATCCTTGACTCTCGTGGAGGTGGGTGCATCTCCATCACTTTTATCAGAAAAATAATTATTTTAAAATTATAATATATTTTTGGAAACTTTAGATTTATAATAAGATTTATAGAAGCTCACGTCCGTTGTCATATTAGAAAAATTAATTGGTATATTTTTTCCTTTTGGGATTTCAGGGACAACTCAGATCATCAAACAATATTTGGATACATCAAAAAATTCCATCTTTAGAAGAATTTGCAGTTTAGTTTTCAAGTCCTCATTGTTCAAATATGAGTCGCAACAAATTGTGTGCTGAAACTTAATGGAAAATTCTTTTATTAGGAATGCTTATTGCTTATTAAATTGTGGTTAAGTCCCATCATCCTGAAATCAACTCAAAGTAACCTTAATACCCCACTCAATGTAGATTAAATATATAAACTACCATGTACAACAACCAACAATTCCATAAAAATAAATCCCAAACTCAAGGTAAAAATGGTACTCATCAATGACAGATCTAAGCTCTTCAATTCTTCCAATCCAATCTCAATAGTCAATACCATTTGAAGAGCAAACTATGTAATCTTGGGATCAAGATTACTCCAATAAAGTGGAACACAGAAGATTTACATTGAGATTTCGGAGAATAAGATCTCTAGGAGTTCGTTCACTGTCATATCAGACAAATGAATTGGTGAGTTTCTAGACTTTTAGAGACAACTTGATTCTCAGCCTCAGGTCGTCAGACGATATTTGGATATATCAAGAAATCATTCTTTAGAGGAGTTTGCAATTCACATTCAGGTATGCATAGCTCAAGTATGAATCGCAATAAATTGGAATATGAAAGTTTTGACAAATTCTTTTATTGGGAATGCTTGTAGAACGAACACCATGCTATATGACACTTATATAAGTTTTCTATTTTAAACTACATAAATAATTAATTGAATTTTATTGAAAAATTATATCATCGATGTTAAATAAATGAGATATAATACCTTGAAAAGTAATAAGAGACTGATTACATACTTAGAATTATTATAGATATAATAATCTGATTGTAAACCAACGACAATCTAGATTACCTATCCTAATACAAATTGAACTCGGCTACTTATAATAAATACAATTTAATATCCAAACCTTTTATTTTAAACAATATAATAGCCAAATTTTTTCGAAAACAATCTAATATCCAAATCGTCAACTTTTTGACTGTTTGACCGTTAGTTGACACTTCAAAAAAGTTCGAAGTACGACATTTCATCAATATCCATCGATATCTTCTCTGAAAAACCACCAACATATCGTAGTTCCAAACCCGAGAAGTCCATGACTCCACCATGATGGTATAGAATATCTAAATATTCAGTCATCTGAAATGCCAAAACAAGAAACAAAGTTGTATTGTGCCAATTTCCTCTAAACAAAACTTTTTTGAAGTGTCAACTAACGGTCAAACGAACGGAAAGTTGACGATTTGGATATTAGATTGTTTTCGAAAAGGTTTGGCCATTATATTGTTTAAAATGAAAGGTTTGGATATTAGATTGTATTTACCCTAATAATTAATACATAATAACAACATGAACAATTAAAGGATGAAAAAACTGATAGACTTTTCGTGGAAGCCCAAATGAAATAAGCCCGCTGCAAAACATAAGAGAAAACCCTAACCTAAAAGACTAATCAACCCTTCCGTACTATGCGCATTGAACAGGAAAATTTGATTTGGGTGGGTGCTGAAATAGAATCTCCATATTTTATTTGGAGGATGGTATCGTGTTGAGATTCTATAGCGTGCCAATTAGGGGAATGCTAAGCATTTGTTTCTAGCTTTCAATTTCTAGCTATGCCTCTAAGCATTTGTTTTCTTTTACACATTATCATTTGCAGTTATTTATTAAATCAATTTATTTCTAGCTTTCAATTCCTAATTATTCACTACTTCCTACCAATTTATGGGAATGCTAAATATATTGTTCATGTCTAATCTATTGACCATAAATGTTGCTTATCACTTAAATCTAACGGTATTCATGTTAGGTTTGATGTCACCAACATATTCTCCCAATTTATCCAAAAAACATCATATCTTGCGATTGATATCATAGTTTTGTTAAGTAAAGTTCAACAAACTCAATCAACATTCAAACTCTTTGAAGTAGCTATCTACATGCGAATATGAAGTACTGAGTAGCTAAAACTCTACTTGAGTTAGTACAATCTTTTGCGCTTTCAATTCAAAATTCAATACATGATTATCTTATTACGATTTAGTCATACTAATTGTGCAGTAGGGAGACTTCTTATCAAAATCGTATAGAAAGACTCTTTGATTGATCGCTTTCATGATGTAATCAATTTGACCAAAATAGAAGTGATCAAATTTATAAGATGCACTCAAAATTTGCTATAATTATTGAGGTTCAGTAGCACGTTAGGCGTAACGCGGTCATTGGGCATTTGTCTATCTCCTAACTCGCCTAGACATGCTTAGACAATATAATAAAAATAAGGGTTAATACCTTATTTTGGCCCGAACTATGACCATATAATCAACTTTGGCCCGTGGTTTCAGAAATTAACATCCTGGCCTCAACTATGCAGCATATAGACTCAATTGGCCCGACACATAGTTTGACCGTCAGTTTGGACGGTCAACTCTGTTGACCGTTAGTCAACACGCCATGTCATTACCTAGTCAGCCTAAAAATCATTAAAAAAATTATTTATTATCAAATTGACCAAAAATAAATTATAAAAAACATAAAATAAATTTTTTTTGGATAATTTGAAAATGATAAATTTTATAAATTAACCAAAAATTATCAAATTATTTTATATTTTTAAAACTTCCCAAAAAAATATAATTTATATAATAATTTTTTTAATTTTTAAAATTTAATTTGATAATTTTGGTTAATTTATAAAATTTATCATTTTCAAATATCGCAAAAAAATTATTAATTTTATTTTTTGGTTAATAGGAAAATGATAAATAATAGAAATTAGGAAAATAATTTGAATTTGAATTTTTTAATAATTTTTATGCTGATTAGGCAATGACATAGCATGTTGACTAACGATCAACGGAGTTGACCGTTCAAATTGACGGTCAAACTATGTGTCGGGCCAATTGAGTTTATATGCTGCATAGTTGAGGCTAGGATGTTAATTTTTGAAACAACGGGCCAAAGTTGATTATATGGTCATAGTTCGGGCCAAAATAAGGTATTAACCCTTAAAAATATCATACTTGTATAATTTGTATAAATTTTTATTAAATAATAAAATAAAATTCATATTTTGAAAAAATAATATAAATAAACTCCGTGTTTGCACTGTTCAAAAAATCTACATATCCTACTAGACAATACTTCACGAACTTATCACATATTCTATATCTAACCTTGTTCTTAATGTAGCTCAAAGTAGAAAAGACTCTTTCAACACTTGCCGTGTAACCATAAAATCAATTCAAAATTAAGAGTAGCATGTACGTAGTTTAATTATTAGGTATTGAAAATAGTTGGGGATAAAGAAATAGTGTTTTACTGTTGCATGATGTTTAAAATAGAATAATAAATGAGTAGCAACATAATTAGAATATGTTTGATAATAATAGTGTCCTAGGTTGGAATAACATAGACTACGACTTATATTTTGTTAATCATAAGCAAACTATTATCGAGGGTAGGATAATCATTTTTTCAAATGTTAGGGTGTCCCGGATTACCAATTATATTTTGTATACCCATACGAAATTACTACCGGATGTTGGATAATCGTTTCCCCAAATTTTAGAGCTGTCCCGGGACACCCCTAAATGCCCATGTATCCGCCCCTGCGAAATGGTTGAACCCTATCAGAATAAGCTAAGAGGAAGGGAAACGTAACAACCAATTTTGGGACGTACCCTGCAAGTGGGGATTGGTTTCTTCAAATCGGATTGGACAACACAACAGTTGGAACATGGCCACAGAGGATATTCAGCAAATTGAACGACTCTGCAACTTATGTCGACTGGGGAGGAGAAGCATACTCTGCCTCTTCCGAGGATCTTCCACCGATGGGTTCGGGTTTCCCGCCGATGCGAAGTTCGAACCAGCAAGTCGATTACAACCCTCCAGAGTGTGTGACATATACGAGTAACAATAAGAGGTACAAAATATTTGATGAAGGTGTTGTGGAAACAGACAACCACCGTCTTATTTTGTTTGGTGGAAGCTCTAGTCCAGCTTGATTATGCGTTAGTTAGTTCTATCTGGTTTGGTTTGTTGTTTTTTTTATATGAGAAAGACTTCTGACAAAATTCGATCTTGATTCGAGATGCAATGTAAGGGTTTGTTTTGTTGGAATTGGGTATGTTAAGTGACTGGCATCTAGTTCGTTGGCAGGATGAATTTCGTTACTATGCTTTCATATATATATTGGTGGTAGTAAAAGCGTTAGCTAGATTGATTCGATATGTGTTGATGTCTACTCCATTATTCCATTATTCGCGGTGAGTTGTCGAATTGGGGTGTCCTAGTTCTATATTTACTTAGGGGTCGTTTGGATATGTTATTTGCTTGAGTTATTTGGATCCAAATAACTCATATTGGGTTATTTGATTCAAAATAACTTGTTTGGGTATGCAAACGTGTAATTGGTTATTTGGCCTTGAGTTATTTACGAATAACTCAAAACGAGTTATTGTAAATAACACCTATCCAGCAGTTATTTGACAATAACGCGTTCTGCGTCATTTCTCTTCCAACTTTGCCCCTTTCTCTTTCTTCCTTTTCAGTTCTTCCCCTCTCTCTCAAACGACTTCCATCTTCTCTCTGCTTCTCCTCTCTTCTATGTTATATAATCTCTTGCAGTCGATTAACCTCCCCTTCTCCAATAGATAATCTAACTATCTTCTCCACTTTTTTGTTGATTCAACGACACCCATAATCCCCTCTCTTGTTGACGATTCAACAGAACCCCGAACCCTCACTGTTGACTAATGTATGTACGATGGAGAGCGAGGGCGAGGTAGACGGAGGTTTCGAGCGACAGTCGTGGTTGGAATCATTGGCGGCGATGGAGGTTTCGAGCGACAGTTCGTAGGCGGCGAGAATCAAGCATCTTTGGAGCTGGATGCGGGTACTATTGTCCAAGCTAGGTTTTGATTTGGGGCTGCATGCAGAGCTTGGACAGATTGACGAATTGAGAAGAGAAGAGAAGGCACCCTTTTTGTTTGGCGGCAGGGGCAGATTGACGAATTTGGATTTGGCCTCCGTCCATAGTAAGTATCCCTAATTGATTTTTCTGTATTTATTTGTCAATTAAGTGGCTTTGGACACGTCTTTAACAAGAATAGAGAGGCTAAATTCTTGCTGGTGGGAATCTTTGGATTCGTGGGTTCTGATTTTCCTTATTCTAGGCTCAATTGAACAAGAACAGAGAAGCGGAGGATGAGAAGAATTCGATGCAAGGGAGGATGGGCGGTGGTTTCTGGTGTTTTCGTTGTTCTAATGGTTTGCTATGAATGAACGAATAAATGGGGGCAAGGTACATTTCTGGGAATGAATGAAGCTATGGGAGAGTAGATGGTGCCCTCAATTGAGGGCAATATTGTTATTTAGCATCTTTTATCATCAAATACCACATGCAAATATTGGTTTAGCCAAACAAGATTATTTATCCCAACTTTCATAAAAATACCACACAAATACCAAATCAACAACAAATGCGTTATTTCACCTTACAAATACCACAAAACTAAACAATTCATCCAAACGACCCCTCAACTCACCCATAGACTAATGGCCTTGTGACCATAGACCAGGAAACCGGATCGTACCGGCCGGTTCAACCGGTTCAACCGGAAATTGGACCAAAAGCGATACGGAGAAATGAAGCTAAATCATAGACCAGGAAACCGGATCGTACCGGCCGGTTCAATCGGTCAAACCGAAAAAACCGGCCGGTACGGTAATTAAAAAAGAATATTATTTTGCCATTTTTCTATGTTGAAAATGGGTCACCGTGGTTGTATAATGCTCTATTTGGTTCTTTTTTTGATGGATTATATTTTTTATACTATCGCATTTCATTTCTCTATCAATAGTGAAAAATGGTATTTACCGGTACAAAACGGTTGAACTACGGTCGTACCACAAAATACCATACCAGAAAGGAATCCGGTATGATGTCCGGTACTGTTTCCTTTACCATGCTTGTGACATGAAATCTCTTAAAATGGAGAATCTAGTGGCCTATAAAGACTCACAATGCCTTTAAAATCAAGTCTAAACGCCGTACTCTCCAGTCCAGAGAGCCTACAAGTGGGCCTATAGTCAGTCGTTATTCTGGCCAATTCACGAAGCCCACACGTGGACGTGGCCCATTCTTCCATCCGCCCATGCAGTCCATACTAGCTAGACTCGTTGTTTTGATATTAGACCGTTTGTGATCCTTTATGTAATTAGCCGTCTGTTTATGTTAATATTTTCGTGAGTTAATAGCAATTTGTACCCTCTACTATTGTATGTTAACAAATTTATCCCTCTATTATTATTTTTTACACATTCATATTCTTCAACTAGGATTGTTAATGAATCATGCCGCTCATGAACGGCTCGGCGTTCGACTCGAAAAAACTCATTCGACACTCAGATTTGTCCTAATCGAGCTAGATCGCGAACAAACTCGTTAACTGAATCAGCCAAACTCGACTCATATCATGTTCAGCTCGAAAGTTCGTGAACAAGCTCGTTTAACTTATTTCATAAATTTAAATAGTTTATTAATTTAATTAAAAATAAAAATAAAAACCTCCCCCCCACTGAGCCTATCTCCCATCCCAGCGTCCTTAGCTCCTACCAAATTCGATGATTGTTGGGAATGTTACTAAACCTGTATTACATAGATTAAGTAGTAGCGCATCAGTATTGTATCGCGTTATCGAAAATTGACGCCAAACCAGACTAAGTAGTAGTGCACCAACATAGTAACGCCTAATCCTAATTCAAACTGAGACTAAGCAGTAGCGCACCAACATTGTGGCGTGCTAACGATGACGTCCAAACTGAAATGAGACTAAATAATAGTGTTGCAGCACCAAATTCATAATGCAACGAAATCCATCATAATATCCAAAAAAAATTTAAAATTCAAAACCTTCAGTTCATATTCCATTATCTGATAGAACATGCTGCAGCACCAAATTCTCTCTACCTCCCCAGTATTTTCGAAACAAACCGAGATACTTATTACGAACCAACCTCTATCTGGTTCAAGCATGGACATGGAAGCCTTCCATCCGCACTTCAGAAATTTGGGTTCATCAGTAAAATAGGATTGGATTGGGTTCAGTTCTAGTCCAATAAGCCAGCCTTCTTGTAGCTTTCCACAGCGTCCACCAGAGTTTCCTGCGGTGAACGGTATCTCCAGCCTAGCTTCTGCAACTTGTCTGAGCTCATTTCTTTCTTCTGCGGTACCTCTGTAAAGCTGCCAAAAATGTTATGTCAACTATACTAGCCAGTTGAAAAGGAGAGGCTGATGAGCAGAGACTCGGAATCAAGACTTAAAAAAAAAGATAATAAAATGTTTGTTGAGAGTGGGATTTGAACCCACGCCCTTTCGGACCAGAACCTTAATCTGGCGCCTTAGACCAACTCGGCCATCTCAACTTGCTGATGTTTGATATGCTAGTAACTATCTATTTTATATAGTTTCATGCACTATTAGTCTGCATAGAAACCCAGTATCTGTTCAATCTCCTAAAGAAACAAGTCTTCTATCCCTATTAAAATTACTAGCATTATTAGAAATATTAGTGTTAGGGGTAGTAGTATTGAAGTCTTTACTATTAGGGTCTTCTAATATTTTCTATAAATATGTACTTACAAATATGTACTTACGTACCGTTTGGTATAAATGAATTCCATAAGTTCTTAGGAATTCATTTTGAAATGAATCGGTACAAATGAATTCCATAAGTTCTTAGGAATTCATTTTGAAATGAAATCTTTTTGTGTTTGGTATTTAAAAGAATTCATTTTCAATTCTAAATTTTGAATTCTACGAAATTGGAACTAGTTATAGCAATTTCGAGGAATTGAGATGAAATTTTCAAATGAATTCCACAAGTATATACCCAATTATGATAAAAGGACATAATTATTCTCATTAATTAACAAAATTACTTCTACATATATTATTTGACGCCAATTCATGCAGTATGAGAAACGTCGACAAGAATTTGATTGTAACGCTAATAACATATACCAAACACAAGAATTCATTTGACAAAGAATTCTGCACAAGAATTCATTTTAAAACGAAATAAATTCTAGATTCATTAGGTACCAAAATTAGCATATGTATCATTTTAAACCCTAATCGCTAGTCTCTGCCTATTAAAGCCTGCCGACCATTCTATTTCTCTCCCTTTGTTCTTCCCAAATTCCTAATTCTATCTTATAGATCTCTAAATCTCCAATTCTTATATCTAATCCCTAATTCACAAGTGTCAAACCCGACCCCAAGACGCTCTAGATCCACGGTTTCTAACAAATAAGAGTATATAAATATGAAAGGCTTACTTCTTTGGATAGTTGTAGTTGGGATACTTTTCCTTCAACACATCAACTATGTCCTTGACATGGACGGAATGCGAACTACATATGTATCTTCCTTGCGCATCAGGTTTCTCGTAAGCCAAAACCAGCGCTTCAGCTACATCCCGAACATCCACGACCAGAAAATGCCTATTATCGACCATGTCCTTCCCTTCTGCATACACCAGCAAATAGAGCTCATGAATGAGAAGATAGTATTATTGTTCCAGCTGCGGTAGCACAGCTAACACGAAGATCGAAACCCATAAACCAACTCTGTAAACAAGTCGTGCACAGGATAGCAATGGCCACTCGCTATACCTTTCAAAAGCTTGACGAGCAGCAAGGTGCTCGCGTTCACTGTAGACTGCAGAATGGGACCCAAGATTACATTGGGACAAACGGTTACTACATCAAGTCCACTGGCTTTCCCGTACTCCAGTGCCTTACTCTCAGCTTCTGTCTTGGAAGCACAGTACCAATTCTGTTGGCAAGCAACGTGTTAAAATTAACATATAGGTTCCTATTAGAGTTGCAGATATAAAAGCATGTCTTCTATATCTCTTTCTGCCCATAAGAGAGTAGTAATAACCAGACCTCAGTAGCTCTGCAATGTTCAGCGTTGGACCAGCAAGACTCATCAATGACCTGAGTATCGGGCCAGGAAGGGTTCATTATGAGAGCAGAACCACTGGACACAACCACAGCTCGCTTGACCTTGGTCTCGTTGCATGCTTTAAGGACGTTAAGGGTTCCTGTCACTGCTGGCTCGATTAGGTCAACCTAAGAACAGAGCTTTGTGTGAGAAAGTCGCTTCCTTTTGTTTGTGGGGGGGATTTGAATTGTAATCCACTGAAGAACCCAGAAGCAGGAAAGGGAGAAATAGGGAACTGACCAGGGGGTTTGGCACGGAGGAAGAGGGAACAGGGCTGGCGACATGGAAAACTCCCGAGCAGCCTTGAATTGCAGAGACCAGAGATGGGTAATCCAGCAAATCGGCCTTCACGAGCTCCAGATTCGAGGATGCATTTGGGAGTTGCTTCAAGTGGGCATACTTTCCATCCACTATGATATTCAGTATTCACAAGTCACAATCGATCAAATTGAGGTAAATTCTAGCGAAGGAAGCTAACTACGAGTTAGAATGAAGGTGATAGTTGGGGTTTCATGAACTTACAGGGATCTCTGACGGTGCCACGGACTAGATAGTTCTTGGAGAGGAGAAGATGAACAACCCAGGAGCCCAAGAAACCTCCGGCGCCGGTGACGCACACAGTTCCCTTCGCCGCCGACATGAGATCGTTCGGACTGAGCGTGAGTGAGAACGAGAGAAAGACAAGGTTCTTGTCCAGGTTTTACTGTTGCTTTTAAAACCCATTTTTGGAAGCTTGCCATTAGAGCTGCTTGATGGGGACTTGGCACCGAGTGCTGTAGTGTCTCGAATCATCCGCCATCTCCAAGTGGCAGCAAGGCAAAGCCCTTGATGCCGAGTCGCAAGAGCGGACGTGGGTCGGTGCAAAGCCAGTGCTTTATCCTTTTGTGTGGGTGGGAGGACAAATTGGTTTTTGATACTACTGGACGAAGTGGGAATTCAGCACGGTTGATGTCAAGGCAGGATTTTGATTGCTGGCTTCTTACTTTGAAGATTGTTGGCTTACAGTTTATGGGGATTATTGTTTCAAGCTTCATCATATATGTGATCATATGATAAAGCTACCACATGAACTCATGAAGCATTCAGTTGCTACAGGGGATCAAATGATGTTCTTCATTATTCTCATAAATATTGCCCGGGTATTATTCAGTTGAAACATGCAAGAGAGTGACAACATTTGTTTGTTTGTTTCTTTTTCTGCAGTTATCTACAACTTGCTTAGTCCATGCAGTTCCCGCCTGATTCGATCCCTCAGAACTCGCCTCAGCAACTTGTTCGAAGCAGTCCGGGGAAACTCTGCGACGATCTTAACATGACCAACCTGCAACTCGATCGGGTATGAAAACCCCCACACCCATATAAGTCATGATGTAGCTCCAAATTTCTGGGTCGAACATAATAAACTGGGGATGAGAGTATAAGAGGGGGGTAAACCTTGAAGAGTGGGTTGAGGTTGGTTTGGATAGCTTTTGAGAGCTTCACTCTCAGCTTGTCAGCTTCCCCTTTAAACCCATTCTTCAGCACCACAAAGATCACCAACACTTCTGGGCCGCCACCTGGTGGTGCCACACTCACTGCAGCAGTCTCCAGGATGCCTTCGGCAGCTCGATCACACACTCGCTCGATCTCCACCGAACTCGTCTGCAATGTTGATGATAAATCATATTAAGAGTGAGCTTCAAGATCCAAAAACCAGATTGGTCATTGTAATATGTAAATATGTTACCTTAATCCCACCGAGGTTCATGGTGTCGTCTGCCCTGCCCTGCACAATGAAGTAGCCTCCAACAGTCCTCTTCAGGATGTCACCGTGTCTCCTTAGTTGCTGTCAGACGAAAAAAAAAAAACGCACACAATGAGTAGCTGCCAACATAACAAAGCTTCACTTAACAAATTGGAAGGCATAGGTATGCGAAGAACTATATCATCGTCATAACAAAGCTTTACTTACCATTCCCTGCACAATCGGCATTCCCTTGAAGTAAACCTCATCATGATCAGCATTGAGCAGTCGATCAGATGCACCTAGGTACACGGGATACAACCCCACTTCACCTACACAAGGTTGATCACCTGGCTGCACGTTCGGATGGAAAGATCCATTATACACAAATTTACAGGGGATCAAAGATGTTAGACTGCTCTAATCAGCTCACTCATTCACTTTGTGAAAGAGAAAAATGGTCCCTACTTAATCATAGACCAAAGCAGCAAACAAATAGTAGTGTGTGTTCTGTGTTTGAGTATTCTGTCATTGTACTTACATATGGAATCCCTTCCTCGTCAAGGATAACAAGTCCTGTCGTCATCGACGCTGAGCTAAATGCTCCGAAAGCCTGTGGCTGTAGGACGCTCCCTTGGATATAGGATGAAGCAAGCTCGGTGCCTCCACAGCATTCAATAATGGGGTTGTAGTATGATTTCGAAGAGAGCCAAAGGTCGTCATCAACATTTGAAGTTTCTCCCGTGGAACAAAAGGACCTGCAATTAATTTACTATGTTTCTTAGAGCACCTTCTCCCTGAAATCCATTTGTGCTTTCCCAAAGACTAGGTAGGGAGATCAGCAACTTTACGAATTCCTATTCCACTTTAACAATAGTTAACCAACTATATCTCTAAAATCTTGTATATATGCAAGTAGACACATTAGAGCAACTGCTGCTAAGATTGAACTACGAGGATTAGTCTATTGCTGAAAACATTAGAGAAACGCAACGAAACTTGGATTATCAAAACTCTAAGGGATTACCTTATTCGTGTCCAGTCTAACCCTTCCATGCAGTTGGAGTTTTTCCAAGTTTTCACTAAGCTTGGAACAGTTCCTAAGACAGTAACACCAGCATCCTGCCAAAACGTGATCAAAGAATGTACCATAGCTCTGACTTTGAACATGATCCGTTACTTTGAAATAATAGATATTACATCTTGCTTTGCAGCAGAAATTTGTTTACCTGAACAAATTTCCCGAAGTCGCGGCCAAGGGGAGATCCATGGAAGAGAGCAAGAGTTGCACCAGTTAAGAAGCAAGAATAGAGCAAAATAGGTCCCATGACCCAACCTAAATTTGTAGGCCAGCAGTAGATGTCACCAACTCGAATATCACCGTGAGCCCAAGCATCGCTGCTGCATCGAATTGGCGAAAGGTGTGTCCATACAATTGCTTTAGGGTCTCCTGAATTTACACACAAATGAAATGGGGTTTGACCATAGTATATGTTCGCAACTGAAGCCAGAAAAAAAAACTCTGAATAATTTCTCCACCTGTAGTTCCAGATGAAAACAAAATGTTCGTCATTGAATCAGCTGGTTGATAAACAGGAGAGTAAACATTCGGTCTGCCAGGAAGTATAGTTTATTACAACACAGGTATAAAAACTAACTTTAAGATGAAAAAAAAAAAATTAAAGAAAGAAACATGGTGACCATTCATTGACTATGAAGCTTTCATGCTCGCAACAATCTGAAGCGACATATTTTACCTTTCCAGATGGTTGGCTCTGGAAAGAAACTCTTTCCATGAAAGATCCTGCTTTTGCAGCTGAATGCCTACATCATTACCCACTGCAGGCAACACAATCGCTTTATGCGGCCTAGCTTCACTAACCCGACTTCAATCATGCAAAAAGAAGAAAGTAACAAGTGTGTCATCAAATTGCTGTCAAGTAGAAATGAAGACGAGTATAAGTGTGGTGTATAGAACCCGATAAGTTTACCAAGAAAAGTAATTACTTCTACTACGACACTACTATGGACAGCGGTAATCACCTGTACAAGGGAACCTTCCGACCTCCTCTGAGAATGAAGTCCTGAACAAAGAGAAAACCATACAGAATAAAGTGAGAATGGGTTCAGTAGAAATGCAAATGAAACAAAAGTCTGGTTGTAAAACTCCCAACTCTTAAGACAATCTTAATTCCTGAAAGCTGACTTGTATATTTCTGCTAAGATAATACGAACTTGATATATGGATGCATTAGAAGTATAGAAGCTCAAACCTTTTGCCATTATTGTCATTAAACCTTAGCCAATATAGAAAATGAGAAACCACCTGTGTGAAGATGCCCTTTGCATTGGAGATGCGCAAACGAGTTGCAATTTCCTTTGCAGCAAAGCTGTCAGCAATTGATACCACAACATAACCTGCCAATACAATGGCCAAATAGATGATGACAGAATGAACTGTCATAGGCATGTCGATGGCAATGGTGTCCCCCTTCACAAATGTTGTGTCTAGAGCATTAGCAACCAACCTGTACATCACATAGGAAAAGAGAAACCATCCATGACGAATATCCCGTTTCGTTGGACATAATCCAGCAAGTGACAGAACAAGGTGAAAAGAACCATTACATTACTTGTTCTCGGAGCTCTTTCAACGTCATTTTATTCACCACAGAGGAATCAATTTCATCCCTCCATACAATCGCTACACTATCGTCACTTTTCATAGGACGAATCGCCGGCTGCAAACAGCAATCAGCAATATTCATAACTGCCCTGGGCAGCCATGTTCCACCAGGTTTTGATTTGTCACTAGTGTCAAGAATGCACTTTGGCTTTTTATGAAAAGACACTGAAAGCTCTTGAAGAACGATTGCCCAATAAGCCTGGAAACACCAATTCCAGAAAGAAAATAGTTGCATTCAGTAAAGGGATTCAGGACTGGTAGGAGACTGGTACACATATGAAGTCATACCTCAGGATTTCTGACACTGAACTTCTGGAATAGGTTAAAACTTGTAAGAGGGTCCTTGTAAGAAGCCCCTAAGAACTTGGATCCATGAGTTTCCATTGCAAGTCCCAAGTTTGTACGGGTTGACTCATCCCTACCATTGAAATCATTGGTTGAACCCATCAAAAATTGAGAAGAGAAGCTTATCCTAATTGCAGATATTAACTAAACTAACAGTAGAACAACAGAACCCATTTTGTTAACTGGAAAAAAACAAGAACAAAGACCAATCAACCGAACTCTTAACCGGCGAGGGGCGAACTTACTGAGAAGGAAACCAGTAAGGAGGAGGTCCACGAACTGAGGAATCCCAATTGGAGTAAACAGAGTAGTAAACCAGCTGGTGGAGCTTATGAGGGTGCCATGGCTGGAGAACCCTCTCGCCCACCACCTTCCGCCACACTTCTGTCGGGTCAGCAGGTTCAGAGCTCGACCCATTTGCCAAAAAGATTGCATTTTTTAGCAGGTGATGGAATCTCCTAGCATCCTCGACGGAAAGGCCTGCCCTGACAATGTCATGGACCCCAATTTCACTAACCCCTTTTTTGTTGATCTCCATTTCCACAACTGCTTTTGGAATCTGTCTCTGGTTTCCGCTGGGCTTGTTGTTAATTTGGGGAAGGTTGAAGCTTTGATGGTAGCAGAGAACGGTAGCGGGAAGAGAAGGCTGGTAGGTAGTAGAAGGAATGGACGTTGAGCCACGTGGGTTCCGTGGGCTCATGTTATGTTACTTACAGGCTACAGTTATAAATTCGGTCTTAAAACCGGTTAAAATCCCCTCCAACGATTGCGCAAGTCTTTTGAGATACTTCAAGTTTACTTGTTTTGCTAGGTCTCGACTTCTCCTCTATGATCTTCCCATTAGTTCATACATGAGCGATAGATGTTGGAGGTGTGGGATCCTTGAGCATTTCCTTCTCGATGGTTTAGGCCATAAGGTAGAGGACCAAAGTACATTGGACATAGTTGAAGTTTGCATCCACTTCAAGAAGCATCACTTTATTCACTTACGACTTACGAGTAAAGTGGTAACCATGACCAAACTGTGTACATATGAAACAACAAACAACGGAACTACTTCAAGGGCTATTTCTCAGATGATCACTTGGCAAATCTCCGAGTCCACTCTGCAGCCAGCTCGTCATGCTTTGCCCTATCCGCCAGATACAAGTGTGCAATACCAGGAATTTGAGGATTATCTGCAGAAAACAAACCACCACGTCCAAAAGCTTGATCAAATATTCAGGTTTGAATGGATCAGGCCAGCATCATTACACAAGAACCCAGAAAGTATTAATGGGGGAGAAAGGAGAATTACAAGGATCAGGGTTGGTGAAAATTGATCTCACTGCAAGTAACACTTTAGTGATGGTGAGAGCTGGACTCCAGCTATCTTTCAAGATGTCCATACTTAGATTGCCAGCAGAATCGACATTACAATGGTAAATCCTGGTCTTGAATGCCACCTGAAAAGAAACAAACCGATGAGGCATTTCTCCAATAGTTAAAGCCACATGAAATGTTAAGCTTTTCAGCTCTTATTACCAGCAGAAACGTTAACATGTTGTTCCAAGTTCAAATGAGCTGAACTGGAAAAAGTTTGTACCTTTGGCGGTTTGAATGGATAGTCGCTTGGAAATATTATGTCAAGGAAAAATATGCCACCTTGATAGGGTGTTCCTACAGTATTGAGTCAAAGAAGGTCATAAGAATCGGTTTGGTAGAGCTTTAACCGCGTTCAATTGGTAGTACTTAGATCCTTAAATGAACCACAATCGGCAGAAAACCAGAAAATCAACACTTCATGATATGAAAGTATGACACAAAAGCAGTTTCTGCTCAATAACCATATGTAGCCTGCAGTAAACCCAAAACTGCAGAACATACATCGAAGTGATCAAACGCTCTAGTTTATGGAACTTAGTAGTTGTAAGAATGATCAGAGCTAAAAAAAACGGTCAGCTTTATCCTACCGGTGTAAATCTAAACAAGCTATATACATAATGTGGAACAATGGAACTCAAACATTGGAGCCATGCCCAAGATAAACACGTTATTCATGGGGGAAAGGGGAACAATTGACATAAATTGACTAGCTGCAGAGAGTTGCTCAATGACAGGAGGCAGGAAGAAATGGTAAAAGAGGAAGGAAAACCTGAAGGGCCAATGATGGTGGAGACCCAATGGTAGAGATTGTCGCCTTTGGGCCCTGCAGAGCAATCAGGCGGCGGATCCATGCTGAATTCCGTTATCTCTCTCTGTATCCTCTTCCCCGACGTCGACACTGATGTGGGCGACACCCATGAATTATTCGCCGTCGCCGATGATGGTCCGCCGCCGCCGCCGCCTCCTCCTCCTCCCTGCGCAGAGACATCACGGCCAGAAATCCTATACATGCTTCGGACCAACAAGCAATTTCGCGTGGAATTCGAGGTACAGCTAGCAGCAAAGGAAAATTACAACTGAACTGAGAACTCCCTGGCAAACATTTTCAACTTGTAGCACCTTCAACCCGGAGAAATCAGTGAGGAATGCCCATCTGACTGAAGTTCGAACTAGGGCTCCTCTCTTTTCTTGCCCAGAAGAAAATGGTTTCCCAGTTCCCACCCAATAAAAGAGAAAACTTTACAAATTCTCCCTCTCGGCTTTGTCTTTTCCGCAGCTGCCGCCGAATCCCACTTGCTCCACGCCGGGCTCTCTGGCTCCGGCTTAACAACGGGGATATCCGGCGCCGTTTCGGGATAGGGTTGCCGCTGGGGATGGGCAAAGCATTGGGTCGAGCTGAAACGGCGTCGTACAAGGGCCGCGAAGGTAAATTAGGACATCTCGAAATATCAGAACCGAGCAGCAAGGGTTTCTTCTCAAGTGTCGTAATTTAAGTGTGCGGCGACAGAGCACAAACCCATCCAGAGCCTGGGAACGTAGAGAGAGAGAGAGAGAGAGAGAGAGAGCGCAGCAGTAGGGTTAATGTGGTGAGGTTTCCTTGGCCGCAAGCTGAGAGAAAGAAAGAAAGGCAACGCGGGCTTGACGGAAGGGAGTAAGGTTAACGTATATTGGAGATTCGCTACTGATTTTGCCGACGGAAGCGAGCTGACATTCGACCGGAAGAAGGGAAGAGATACCAGTTAACGGAAGAGAGAGAGCGGTGACGCACGGAGGGTTCGACGAGGAGAAATCAGAAGGGGTGAAGATCGAGGAGCGCGCAAGATTTCAGCTTTCAGATTCTTGACGCCGGAATTTTAGTTGGTAATTTTCTCGCCCTTTTTATTTCGAGTCTAGAGTGGGTTTGTTTGTGATTCGGCAATGCCTTCACGCAGGATTTCTCCCGAGTTGTATGGAGATGTGCGGGCCAGGCATCTCCCCCGTGCTTGAGATGCTCGGGGCTCAAAGCCAGGAGTTTTTTCTTTTCTTCCTGTGAAGTTGTGAACTTTTAGGGTTTGCTCGCCTGGGGAGTTTGTTTGAGTAGTGAAAATGAATGTTTTAGATTTTGGTGGTGGTTGAAATTGAAGATTAGGCTAGTTACCTCTGAGAATTAGAAATTGGTATATAATCGATAGACATGTTTGTGAATCTGTTGGTGGTTGCAAGTTGCTGTTTCGTGTTTGCTTGAGTAAAACTGCTCAAAAGCTGTCATCGTTTTCTTTCCTTGTGATGTGATCTACTGGGGATTGACTGCCTGCCGGCTGTATCTTCCCCTAACATGTTTGATATGTGTTGATCATCTGGTCTTAACCAGTGGAGAGACTACCTTCCTGTTGTAAGGATGTGTTTCTTCTGCTTCTTAGAGTGGAACTGGATTTCCACTTGCTTATCCAGTGTTTTATTTTTTAGATAGGTTAGGGAGTAGTGGCTCCCTGGCTTTTAATTTGTTTTGTGATTGTTAAGTGGGGAGCAAGAGTGGATAAACACATTTAGTTTAGGATTCAATTGGTACAATATCACCATGAATGTCTGTGAGGGTTGATATTGCAGGTTTTGTTATGCTAACCTGGGCGTCTGTTGGAAATTTTCAGGTAAAAGCTTTGTGAAATGCGAGGAAGGAGTTACAGTCCATCGCCCCCAAGGAGCCACAGTAGGAGGAGGAGGAGTCCAAGTCCTAGGGGACGATATGGTGGTCGCGGAAGTGCAAGAGATGAGCCTACTAGTCTTCTAGTTAGGAACCTTCGCCATGATTGCAGGTTGGTGAAAAGTTGTAGTGTTCTGATCTTCGAGTTTTACTGCAATTTCACACTTGAGAAACTTGGGGTATGCATCTCTTTCTATTATGCAGGCCAGAAGATCTTCGCAGGCCCTTTGAACAGTTTGGTCCTTTGAAGGATATTTATCTGCCCAAAGATTATTATACTGGGTGAGAATGTTTTTCTAATTATGGAATTTATTTTGGTCAATGTTACGTCTTGGTTGTGGTTCTGTAGTGATTACAGGTGTTCAGTGTTACATGGTTATTTTCTTTTCTTCCCCTCTTTGGCACTTTTAGTGGTACCATTTCCTTTGTAGACCACTTGTAAGGAAACATGCAGTAGTTTTAGAGCTTGAATCTCTGGGATGGTAAAAATAACTGAAAAAATTAAAACTTTTGTTTCTGTCAGAGTGATGTTACTATAAGACTTCGGTAAGTACTAAGTACATGTCATTGAGCATCATAGTTTCGTAAAAGAATGGTTGAGTTCCTTAGTAAGTGCAATTTTAAAAAGTTAAATTTATGACAGTTTAATGTTACTACCTACTACTATATTATTTTGGTAAGTGCATGTCATTAAGCACCATAGTTTTATAAAAGAATGGTTGAATTCCTTAGAAACTCCAATTTTAAAAGTTTCAGTTTCTGACTCAGAAAATTTTAGTATTATAAGATTTTTGTTAGTGGATGTATTAAGCAACATAGTTTCATAAAAGAGCTCATTAAGTGAATCTTAAGTTTTTATTGTAGTTCATTTTGCGTGAACTTTGTGTTCTGATCAAAGCTTTTGTTACTATGGTGTTCTCTTTATGATACCATCTCTTGCAATTAAACTTGGGTGGCAGTTAATTAAAGTGCTTGAGATGCTATAGTGAAATATAATGTTTGGAAGACATCAACCAAGTAATTAGAGTTTTCTGGAAGGTGGTGTTAATGGTAGTGAAGATTGGAAGGAAGTGTGGGTTTGAATTCATTATGAAGATGTTTCAAGTCTTGAAGAGTTTCAAGTCATCTTTTTACTAACACTTGAAGGTCAGCAAACCAGGTGCTTGCTTTCAGATGTTTTCTGCGAATGACCTTTGTATATATTATGAATTGTGTTGGTACACTTTGTTCTCTAAGGATGGTAACCTTTGAGCGATTCACTATCTGCTTATGAATTGGATTCTCATCTTCCTTTTTTGTTTCTGCCCCCCTTTTTTTGCAGTGAACCTCGTGGTTTTGGGTTTGTCCAATATGTTGATCCTCGTGATGCTACTGAGGCCAAACATCAAATGGATGGTCGAGTTCTTCAGGGTCGGGAGTTAACAGTTGTGTTTGCGGAGGAGAACAGGAAGAAGCCTACTGAAATGAGGACAAGGGAGCGAGGGAGGTAGGGTTCACTTTTTCACTTCCCTTGATTATTTAGATTGAATGTTCTCTAATGCAATCAAACTATATTTGAGGGAGAAGATGTTAAATTGAGATTTCAATGAACATGGCCAACTGCTTGATTTTGAGTGGGGTTTATTTTATGTCCTGTTGTGCTGATATTTGAACTGAGTAGAATATTGTCATGTTAATTTGGTCTCGGCCTCGAGTACTAGAAAATTGTCATATACTACTAATCTTTCTAGAGTAGAATACTTTGGAATGAGAGGATTGTTGATGAAGTGCAAATCTACACCGTCTATTAATTTGGACATCACATGTAGACTTCCGCTGTCTAACTTCAGTGGAATGTTGGTTAACGTAGCAGTAGAGGCGGAGGAGGAGGAGGTCGAATGCGTGACAGGAGGATGTCCCCACCTCGTTATTCCCGCTCTCCCCGCTATTCTCGTTCACCACCTCCACGCGGGCGGGCGAGATCAAGGTCACACAGCGCTGGTTATTATTCTCCACCTCCAAAACAACAAAGGCGATACTCTAGGTAAGTGGTTAACTCGTTTCTTCCCTTTGCTCTTTTGTTTCCCAACAGGCAATGGATGCTTTGGTACTTTGGACTTGTTCATTTGTTAGTGTCCATCTCATGTGTTGTGACTTGGTTTATGATTCTGTGAGCAGATCGGTGTCACCTCAAGAGAGGAGGTATAGCAAAGAGAAGTCATTCTCACCTCGATCAAGGAGCCGCAGCCAGACACCACCTCCAAGGAGGGCACCAAGTGAGGAGGGAAATGGGGTTAGGAGGAGCAGGAGTCCCAGCAGAAGCCGCAGCCCACCACCGCCACCTAAAAGGAGCAGGAGCCCAGCAGATGATTACCCCAGGGACAGGGAGCTCAACGGAGGCGATAGGTCCCCTAGCCCATGATTCTTCAGCCTGGATGGAGAGTTGTTATTCATGTTCGTTTTATTTCTTCTTCTAAAACGGTCACCGAGTTGTCCTGCAGCGTATTAGCGGATTTGGTATGTGATGTAGGTTGCAATATGCTTGCTTCTGCTTTTGTTTTGTCTTTGATTCGGAAACCTGTAGCATGGTTGAGCTGCTGCAACTTGAAATTCTGCTGTTTTTCATCAGACCAAGGTACTTAAACATAATGTTCTGTTTTGTTTTTGGCTACCATTGAACGTTACATATCTGGAATCTGGTATCATTAGCCTTTTCTGTTTGAGCTCTGCTATGGCTTCACAATCGACACCGATTGTACCAACTAATTCAGAAGAAAAGGGAGGGCGAGAGTTGCCCTGAGAAAGTACACTCTTCAGACATCAATGACTGGAAACGCTAGGCCTAGGGGACGTAGTACATTGGATTGGGGAACTTGAAAGACTTGGTCGCCATGGCCTCTCCCACCAAGCTGCACCACTGATGCGAATAGTTAGCATGCAGCCTGTACCCTTCCTTCACCAGCTGCAACCTCTTCTTCGACTTGAGCTCTCTCATCTGCAACCCTGTGTCTGCTTTTTCCCTGCATCCCACGCCAACCCATTTCAGTATCAACAACGAATTCGCAGTTTATGACTTCAACAAATTCAGCTAAATGTTCTTGGTTACCCGAAAAGCAGGCGATCCCAGCCGGTGAATCCTGCATTCACGAGGTTCCTCTCGGTGGCGCTCCTCTGAGCCTCCCCTCTTCCGCTTATTATGATCAACGCAAAACCCAGTTCCTTAAGCTCGTTGTAGAGCTTCAGGCTCGCCGGGAAAGCAGGGGCCACCGCCATTTCCACCCAATCAAAGTACGCAGTTAAGTTCACCGTCTTGTAGCTGTGAAAATTTTTTTAATTACGAGGCTCGAATGTGAATTGGGCAAATCAATTAAAGCTATGTACGGTACCCGAACTCGTAGTCACGGAAGTAAGGCAAATTGGTGAGGAGGGTCTCGTCGAGGTCGAAAACCCAGGCGTCCTTCCCGTCGCCGGCGATGTCCACAGTCTTGGCGTACGCGAGCGCGGCGTAAGCCAGCATGTCGGAATCGGCCTGGATGCCGATTCCGGTCATGTAGTCTTCCACGTACTGGCGGCACCTCAGGGGTTTGTTGGAAGCCAGATCACCGGCATTGTTCGTTTCTACCGACAGCCTCCAGCTGTCGCAGTAGACGTCGTCGTCGTAAGCTACGGCGCCGTCGTGATGGTGGGAGGCGGCGGTGGGGAGATGGTGGGAGGCGGCGGTGGGGAGCTGGATTGTTGACTCAGAAACGGCGGCGGTGAAGATGAGGCTGAAGAGGGAAATGAGGGGAAGAAGAAGAAGAGAGGCAGAGGGCGCCATTGGGGAAATCGAACGACCAAAATTTGGTCAGGTTAGAGATAAGAGGCGATGATAGCCATTAAAAGGCATTTAGCCTGCCCCTGTATTTCTTTTGGAGCTTGGCCAGTCCTTGTGGATAGAGTACTTGTCCTTTCCTTTTCCCAGAATAGTTTTGATTATGTGAACCAAAATGTTCAGAAGTTTTTTAAAATGGCAAATACGACCACTAAATCCAGGTTTTTGGAGACACAATTATCTTAATAAGAAATTCACAACGTTATTTTCCCTATGGTAGTAACAAATGTGAAATTTTGTGGAATACTGTAATATATCGATAAAACATTTACCATTTAGCTATGATCTATTTGTACTCATCGATCAATTTGTTGTTTGACAGCGCATTTCGAGTACTAAGAGTTTACAATGTTGAATCGTTTTGAACTTGACAAGCTTCAACTACAAGCACTTAACAACATTCATATGCAAAAGGCTGGTATTGTCGCTCGTCTATTTTCTAGCTTTTTTTGTCAAAGATATTCTCAAATGGGAACAACTAGATACGAATTAGCCAATCATCGATAAGAGAACCTTTTTCGTCACAGAACAGCTGTTAAACTTACGCAAGTCCTGCTAACTAGCCTACGAAGCACATCTTACTCAATGAGAAGTGAGAACAACAGAGCATGTAAAACGACAGAACCAACGAAAACCATGCTAAATGACATCCTTACAAGACACACTCCCACTTGGTACTAATTTACAACGAAATCCATGCTAACAGCCATTCCTGCTCGTTAAAGTTTACGCACGACTCTTTGCAGAATTGGGGGACCCTTCAAGCTCAAACTATAGTTGTTTTTGCACAAGATTGCAGTAGCGGGAACATGTCCTAAGATCTGGGACAGTGCTTGATGCAGTGCACAGAACAGTTAATAGCCAATAGCAGTGGGAAAGCTTGGGGCCTTCTTCTATAAGCAGCGATTGTGCAGAAATTCATGCGACTGAGTTCTTAAAACATGCCCTACCAGAAAGAATCCAAGTAAAAGGAAAGTAAAAGGAACCATACAAGCTTAGAACCAGTCATAGATCGAACACAAACTACCATCATCTGTTTGTTGTGTCCTTGAAACCAAAACAACTCTAGAGCCTCAGGGAAGACATGGCAATTCACAAATGCGCATTAGGTTTGTGGTAAGAACAACAGCTAGATGCTGTAGCCAACCCACCTACCATCTTTTATCTCCATGTCGCCCCTAGTTCCAAGTCGTGCCTTCAAAACCACTTCTGGTCCACCTATAGTCTGAGGACTGAGATTTAAGCATGATTGGATTCGACGATCCTTCTTAATAGCAACAAACCAACACATCTAAAAATGGGCAACATCAGAAGCATTATGCGAACATTGAGCCAGAATCAGGAACTGTAACCATAATGGATTCGGCAAATTGGAAGTTGATATCCAGCTCCCATTAGGAACACCCAATTCGAAATGTAAGATGTCTCCATACCCTAGGCTTCAGAATTGGACTCGTAAAATAAAATGTACACAGAATCATTATATCGTATTTCTCAATAATACCGACAAGATGAAACAATTGGAACAGTACCTCAGATCACACAGTCTTAACAAGGTATCTGATTTCCTGATGGACTCGGGGAAGCAAGTAGGGTGAACTATCATGTCATTGCATCCAGTTCTGAGATCTGAAGCCCTAAAATAGTCAGTAAAAAGAGTAGACCCTGACAAAAATTATCTGTGATAAGAAATGCAGCAAGAGATCAACTTTCGATTCCATCATTGCATTCATCACACCACCACTATCATAGAAATGGCCTCTTCACCTGTCTTAATTAAACATGTTCTCAGTTCATAGACGCTTCACGCCTTGATTTTCAAGTTACCACTCATCATTGCATTCACCACACCACTACTGCCATAGAAGCTTCACACCTTGAGAAATCACCAAATGGGATACAAAAGGGGGAGACACTCTTGCCACAAGAAATCAGTACTCAATAAAAAGCTACCTGAATCTATAACACGCATAGACAGAGAACTATTTAGTAAAAAGGTACCTGAATCTATAACGTACATTTCTAGAATGTTTTGATTTCCCTAAATTAGAATCGCAATAAAAGTATGTTAGAATCATCATTTATAGAGCTGTAGCGTATTATTATGTTATGCTTCGAGTTGGGAGAAGACAGATTCGTCCACATACAGAGCTGACTGGAAGTCGAGAAACGACGACAAGCCTGAACACAATTCTGACCACATTGCCTCGTACCGCACAAAACTGGAGGAGAGGTGGCAATGTGCGGCAAAATAATCAAGTGGAACTCCAACTCCAACCCTGACACCACTGGAAAAGAACAGTTGAAGTAAATAGAACAGAGGATGAAATCAAACCTGCCTCCTAGACGGCAATAGAACTGTCTATAGAGAAAAGCCAAAACAACCATTTTAGCAGGAGTAGGAGCAATGTCACTCAATAGATGCATTGCAGGGACCAGATACAACACCCTTCCAAATGCTGTCACCAATAAATCGGAGAGCAATGACAACATGTGGTATCAAGTAAAAACCCAACTCTCAAACAAGAATAAGCACCGTCCATTTTATGGATCTGCAGCTTGCGGAATATCGCAACACAGGCAGAGTTGTATCTCAACTTGCAGGCTTTGAATTGATCATAAGGAATAACAGAAAGCGCAGGCGAAAGTTAGTATTAGCAACACTGTTATGCAGAGAACCGAAGTTCATAGATAACCCACCAAAAAAAGTGAGTAGCTCATATGAATTCAAGCGATCACTCGAGACTTAACTTTCGTCCATGCCTCCTCGTTGACTAGGATCACTTGAATACCACACTAGTTTCTGGACTGTAGACCAAATGGGAACAAAATCAGAACTCCTAGCTTCCCAAGATCCATAAATGCAAGATGTCTATACTGCAGGCAAAACTACCTCATCTGAGTTGCCAATGCATTACCTCTGACCTAGAAGAAAGCTGCAATACTAACACTGCACACATGTAGGCAACTCGACCCGAGGTATCTTCTTGGTTCTACTGTCAGTAGTGAATTATAGATAACAGGTCACTCCAACGAAGTCTGTCAATCTGCTAGTGCTTACTTCAAGCTCTTTCAACCATAAGCCATACCTCCAACCCAAAAAATATGAACCCTAGGAAGCACAGGAATGAAGCTCAATAACGATTCTAAAGCTGCAAACTGGATTACAGCCGTCAATCACCAGTCTCCCCGCAAAACGGACCTGGTAAGTTCCTCTCTGGGCTAATTTACCCATATAGATCATCCCCCCTGCTATCTTTTGACACCCCACTGAAATATACCAAACTACAAAAGTAAACAAGAGTACAAGACAAAGAAGTCTCGAATGTGCATCACTTTGAAGTATGAACCATTGAAAGTTATGCCAAATAGTAGACAATTAAAACTTAAACTAGACAAATAGGGCATGTCATAGATCTAACACAAAGTACCATCTTTCTCTAGATGCTTCATACTTAAGTCCAGAGCCTCAAGGAAGAATACAACAGTACACAATAGATTCATGGCACCATACAGAGGTGGTCACAGCACTGAGCAGAGTCCGAGAACCAAGAATGAAGCATGATAGGAATTTGCCCATTTATTGAGGTCTTCTCTTAATCGGATCGAATATAACATGCGAATTTCAGAATCCTTCTCAATACAAAAAACCAGCACATGTAGAAAGGACAGCATTGCAAGCAAAGATTCGAATATTGATGCGAAACAAGAACCTGTAACCATAATGTGTTTAACAATAGCAACATAACCTTCTTGCTTCCATAATACAGATGTTATTAGCCTTCAAGATGTCTATATACAGCTCCCATCGTGCCTAGGAACTCAATACGGTTCCTTCCATTATCAAGATAATGCAGCTGGCAGTTTACAAATGACTTAGGTAAGGAACTCCTGGATGAAATCATAATTTTGAAAATTGGCCGTATAGGAAACACGATAAGAACATATTAACGGGGCCTCAAAACTTACAACTCAAAAAGTTCCACGACTTTTCAAAAATAATTCTAGTCGAGAAACACGTTTTCAGATTCGCATCAAGTGTCTTAACTCTTAACAACACAATATCAGTTCTAACAGGTTAAAATTAACACTGATCATAATTTCCTTTTCAGGCCCCATTACCATGAACTTTCATGAAATTTAGGTCAAATATAATAGCCGCAACAGAAGTTGGCACCAATAGAAGGGCGCAGCCTGGAACACTTGACTCCATATTCACGGTTTCAGAAGCTAGATATCAAAAAAATTGTACACAAAATCGCCGAATTCTCAATAATACCAAGTTGAAACAATCAGACCAATTGATAGGATACCTTGGCCGCAAAGTCCAACAAGAAATCTGTGTTCATGGACTTGAGGAAGCCAATACCATCTAAAAAGCATGCATCTCAGCTTCATATTCTGCAAAACCTCATATTATGAATGATCTCGCAGGATTCTTGAAAGGGACCATGCCTACTTTATAGACACTTCCTGTTGAGAAATTATGCTCACACCATAGAGGAGATTCTTATGCCACAAGAGAACTCTTATGCCCTAAGCCCTGTTCAATAGAAAAAGTACCTGAATTTGGAATCTGCCCACACAGAGTTAGCATATACAATATATGTTCTCGTAAACAACTCGAAGCACGCTAGGATAATCAACTTCCCTCCAAATTAATATAAAGCGAAGAGACAGTTACAAAGCAAGTTATTATGCTAACTGGGAAATGGAGCAACTACAACAAACCCAAGCACAATCCCTCTAAAGACTGCACTGCACAAAACTAGAGAGCTGGAATGTGCACCAAACAATCAAGTGCAACTCCAATTCTCGGACACCACTGAAACAGAACAGAGGAAATATAGTAAATAGTGCAGGAACCAGATGTACTACCCTTCCTAACGTTGTAGATAGAAGAGCCATAACAAACATGTGTCATATCAAGTAGAAGTCTAATCTCCAAACAGGAACTGAAAGCTATCATTTTACAGATTTGCTGCTTTGGGGAAGTCGTGAAACATGCAGAGATACATCTCAACTTCATCATTTGGAGTAACAGAATCAACAAGCAAAGATATTAGCAGCATTCTAAAGCAAAGAGAATTGATCCCATCGAATTGTTTTAGAGAAAACTTCGATTGTTGACTTCCTGTATATGACAGTGTTTACATTGAAGACTAGTACAATGCTGAAGAGATGTAATAAAGCTGAAGTACATGAGTCCAGTCGAAGATCACATAATGGAGCTCGGCTCAAGTCTAATGATTAACAAAGTGCAGCAGACAACATTATATTAAATAAAATATGCTTCTGCCACAAGGCGGCAAGAACATAATCAACGAGCAAATTTCGAGATGAATTCAACACAAATATCCCAATCATAAACTCTGCCTACAAGATGGGACAATGATTGCAGGCTCTTAAACTGCCAGTTGCATACAGGCAACTTTTCAACCGCATCAGATCCAAAATATAACCAAAACTTACAGACTTTACTTATGTCACCAACAGTTTAACCAGTTCAGCCACAGAGGTTTCATGTTTGCTAATTTTTCACAGCCCCCGACATAATACAAATGTATATAAGACAGAAGGAAGCCTAACGTGCACCACTTTGGATTCTGATAGCAGTAAGGTGCCTAATTTTAAAGGACTGACTAATCACCCATTTACTACCCTTAAGGTTTACCGACAGATCAATCGATCAGAGGAAGATGCATCCAGCTTCACACCAATATACCTAATCTTATGCAACCGAGGCCATCTGTAAACAAGCCCAAGTTATACAAAAGATTGCTAGTTTAAGATTCAAGACACTTTTGCAAGCCCTACCTCAATGCTTGAATAAAGTGCAGACACATTGCATAACTAGGGACCTCTCGAGTTCAATATTTTGAAATTAGACTCCTTCACACTACACTGTTAGCTATTCAACCACAAGGAACCACGAAAGCTATACCAAATTACTATATTTACAAGCTACCAGCTTTCTGAAGTACCTTGGAATATTAAGACCACAATATATCCAAGGCTCCTCGAAGAGCAGAATAATACACAGGAAAGTTTCACGGACATCAAAGACAACCACAACAGCCAGATGTATCCCAACTCATTCCCTCTATTTTCACTATCATGTACGCCAAGTTAGAATCGTGCTTTCAACAAAACAATACATACATACCGTTAAAAGCCAGTACTAGTGAGAAAGCCTGATAAGGAAGTTGTCTCGCTCGGTTCTGACATGCAACTGTTAGAAAAAAATCCATGAAATCCATACATAAAAGGAAGGGACAGTCCGGAAATCAAAATGTGTTGTACCTTGTAACACGGCCACTGAGCCATGCTACGGGCGTCATATATCAAGGTGCATGGCTCAGGAGTGTTTTTACCTCTTGAGTTCAAGGTATGTAAATCAGCTGAAGTATCTTTTTGCTTTTGCTGTCATCCGTAACACTAATCGGTAAGACCAGTCTGACAGTATGCCAGTAGAACATGATCCTCAGCAAACATAGGAATCAAGCTTAATAGTTCTAAGCTGTAGTAGACATACTTTACAAACCCTCAAGTCACCGATTTCACCTTAAAGCAAACCTTGATAAGTAAGAAAGCATATCCCCCTGCTACCGTTTTTTAACTGCAATTTACCGAACTAAGAAAGTATGCCAGAGTACAAGACGAAGGAGCATTAAACGAGTGCGGCTTTATATTTCGATAGCAACCGTGAGGAACTATACTAGCTGTAAATTTATATGGAGCTAACAGGGAAGTGGTGCGACGATAACAAGCCTAAGCACAATTCCTGTGCAACCGCATTACTACATGCTGCACAAAACTGGAGGAGACCGCAATAAAAACTGTCGATAGAATAAAGGTGAAACAAACATTTTAGTAGGAGCAGGGACAAGAATGCTCAATAGATGTAGTGCATGAATCTCCCAAAGGCCGTCGCAAAGACAGGGCATGTGTGATATCAGGTAAAAGTCTGATTTCAAAACAAGAACAAGCAATGAAAGCAACCAGTTTATGGATCAGCAGCTTGGAAAAAATCGTGAAACGGGCAGAGTTAGAACACGACTTCAAGAATCTGAATCCATTACTAGGAGTAACCGAATGCACTGATGAAGGAAGTACGATAATGCAAAGAACCAATGTTTAAGTATTTCCCTCCAGAAGGTTAATCGAGAACCAATACCATCATTGGCATGGACACAAAAACAAACACAAAGATCGAGTATGGTTAACCTTTAGATTCCTGTTCCATTCAATGAATCGCATCGTGATGCTCATCCAATCTGAGAATCCCATTCATCTTGTTGAATCTGTTGAAAGCAGAGTAACCGGGGTATAAAACAAGAAAACTATCTCTCACATAAATACAAGGACCTGAAATATTATCTGAATCATTTTTAGAGAACTCTCTTAAACTGCCAACAGCATTTAGACGACTTTCCAGCTGCATCAATGAGATCCAAAATAAAACCGATACCAAGAGACTTGCCCGGCCAAAAACTAATAGGACCCAATCCACCTTTTACCATTAATGAGTTAATAGTTCGGTTCGACAGTAAATTTTGCATAAATCCAGCTACTTAGCCCACTAAGCACATCATTACTCAATGAAACAACAAAGCACATAAAATGACTGAAACAACGAAATCCAATCTAAATAACATCCACACAGGAAACACATCATTATTTGGTACCAATTTTATTCTCGGCCCCTTCAACATATTTTACTCAGAATAATATAACAATGGCCTGGCAAAATGCTTGTGCTGAGGTTATTCCAAGTTCCCAACCAGAGCACATTTTCCAACAGAAAAAATTGATCCTCATGAAATTGAAGTCAGGGAATCAAGCTCCAAGACCAACTATTCTAAAGCTAGCAGCAATTATCAGCATCACAAACCATCAACCATTGTACTTAATTTATTTAAAGAAAGCCACCGCTTCAGATTTTGACAGTGACTAATCAGGAAGGATAGATAAATCTATCCTTCAAAGAATCACAAACGACCAGCTTATAGCCGTTCTCTGCTCGTTAATGTTTACGGACAGACAAATCGACCCTCCACAGAATCACAAAAGATCGGCTGATAGCCATTCCCTGCTCGTTAAAGTTTACAGACAGATAAATCGACCTTAGAAAGCAATGTACCTATTCTTATGCAACCTCTTAGACATCTGTTAGCATGCCCAAGACTCTTTTGCATGCCATACCTCCAATTTTAAAAATATGCAGCCACATTTGCTGAAATTGGGACCCTTCAAGATATGGGGCCTTGCCTGATGCAGTACACAGAACAGTTAATAGCCAATAAATATACTATCTGAGAAAAAGAGCTTAGGGCCTTCTTTTATAAGCAGAAACTGTACATAAATTCGTCTGACTGATTTCTTCAAACATGCAACTACCATAAAGAACCCAAGGAAAAGGGAACATACAAGCTTATTACAGACGAGTCAAATATCTAACACAAACAACCATCTTCCTCTAATTGTTGTGTCCTTGAAACCAAAACAACTCCAGAGCCTCGGGGAAGACATAGCAATCCAAAAATGCACATTAGGTTAGTGGTAATCACATTGGCTAGATGTAGTCTCCATCTTTTATCTCCATGTCGCCCGTGGTTCCAAGTCTTGCCTTCAAAACCACTTATGGTCCATCTATGGTCCGAGAACAGACATTTAAGCATGATTGGATTCCACAACCCTTCTCAATAGCAACAAACCAACAGATCTAAAAAGAACAGCATCAAAAGCATTATTCCAACTTTGAGGCAGAATCACGACCGGTTGTAACCATAATGGATTCAGCAACTTGGAAGATGATACCACTGACACCACTGAAGCAGAACAGAGACTCAAAGCAACTTGGAACAGGAACTAAATCAAAGCTGCCTCCAAGACCTGAATTATAGAACTGTCTATATAGAAAAATCAAAACGCCATTTTAGGAGTAGGGACAGTGTAGCTCAATAGTGTAGTGCAGGGACCAGATATAATACCCTTCCAAAGGCTGTCACCAATAGATTGCAGAGCAATTACAGCATGTGGTATTAAGTAAAAACAAAATTACCCCAATCATAATCTCTGCCTAGAAGATGGGACAATGACTGCAGACTCTTAACTGCTCATGTCACTACCAGTTTAACCAGTTCAGCCACAGAGGTCTGCTGTTTTGCTATTTTTTGACAGTCACCGATATCACACAAATGTATATAAGATGGAAAGAAGCCTAGTGTGCGCCACTTTGGATTCTGATAGCAGTAAGGTGACTAATCAAGGTCAAGTTGTACACGAAAAAGTTAGCTAGTTTAAGATTCAAGAAACTTTTGCACGTCTTACCTCAAGGCTTGAATGAAGTGCGGACACCTTTCCATAACAGGGACCCTTCAAGCTCAATATTTTGACATTAGACTCCTTCACACGAGTTGTTGTTAACCACTCAAACACAAGGAACCAAGGAAGCTTATGCCAAATTACTACTATATATTTAAAAGCAACCAGCTTTCTGAAGTAGCCAAATTGATCTCAAGACCACAACATATCCAGGGGCTACTGAAGGAGCAGAATAATACACAGAGGAAAGTTCACAACATGAAAGGCAACCAAAGCATCCAGATGTAGCCCAACTCAGTCCCTCTATTTCTATGATCATGCACATCAAGTTAGAATTCGATAAACCAATACATTCGGATATAAAGGGAGACCGTTAAAAGCCAATACTAGTGAGAAAGCTTAATAAGGAAGTCGGTCCCACTGGGTTATGAAATGCAACTGTTAGAAATAATCCAATAAACGGTACTCTAAGTGTCTTAACGGGCGTAGGGGATTTTTGGGTACTTGAAACTAACACGAAGAAGCAGACAACCATTATGTCTATCTTTTTATCCCACCTATGAATTATCCCACAACGACGGATCAAATCAACTTTTGAAGCGGGACAAAGAACTTAAGGACCAATTTGATTATGCTCCTCTTGCTACCCAATCCATAAAAGGGCAGATTCGGATAACATATCAACTTTTGAAGCGGGACAAAGAACTTTAAGGGACCAATTTGATTATGCTCCTCTTGCTACCCAATCCATAAAAGGAAGGGCAGATTAGGATAACATATCAACTTCTGAAGCGGGACAAAGAACTTTAAGGGACCAATTTGATTATGCTCCTCTTGCTACCCAATCCATAAAAGGAAGGGCAGATTCGGATAACATATCAACTTTTGAAGCGGGACAAAGAACTTTAAGGGACCAATTTGATTATGCTCCTCTTGCTACCCAATCCATAAAAGGAAGGGAAGATTCGGATAACATATCACGACGGGGAAAGTCACCAACGGATCAAAGCAACTTTTGAAGCGGGACAGAATTTTAAGGGACCAATTTGATTATGCTCCTCTTGCTACCCAATCCAGGCAGGAAGGGCAGATTCGGATAACATACCAAGATGGGAAAGTCACCGACGGATCAAAGCAACTTTAAGCTGGACAGAGAACATTAAGGGACCAGTTTGATTATGCTCCCTCTCGTCACAAAGGTCAGATTCGGAAAACATACCGCGACGGGGAAAGTCACCGACGGATCAAAGCAACTTGTGAAGCGGGACAGAGAACTTTAGGGACCAATTTGATCATACTCCTCTTACCACCCAATCCAGGAAAAGAAGTGCAGATCCGAAAAACATACCACGATGGGGAAAGTCGCCGGAGCCAGAGAATTCGACCCTCGACACAGTAATCATCCAGCGACCAGTAATGGCACCCAAATCAAAGTCTTCTAGAACTGGAACGTGAGGATTTGTATCGAGGCATTTGTACAGTTTTCATCAAAATTTCTAGGGCAACCGGGCAGGCCGAAAAAACAGCTTTAACGAGCAGAGAAGATATCGTTTTTCCTATGAAAGACGTGAAGAATTCACAAAAACCTAGAACACGGAACGAAGGAGGGAGAACCGACCTCATCAATCTCGTCGGCCGTAATCGGAACCCTAAAAAGGAAGAGCCAAGCCGAAAGAGCCTTCTTGTCTATTTCCAATCTGATCCGACCTTTTTGGTGATGGCAGCAACTGTAACAATGGCCGGAGGATGTCGCCACTTATATAGATTTCCGAATGCGGCTTTAAGTCGGTTCCCTTGCCAGCTGTAAGAGGGCACGCGTTAATTGAACTGTAGGATAAGTCGGTTCCCTTGCCAGCTGGACGGACACGTACATAACACGTATTTCGCTTTTCTGGGCCTGAAGTCGGTTAATACTGCCAGCTGGACTTCCCGCCTTACGAAATGCTGATGGAGATGGACCCCGACAAAGGAGGAAAAAGGCCCAGAACTCATTATGTCATCATTGCTGGCCCAATTGTAGCTCCCGAACTCAGCCCATTGAGAAATATACTGCTATGCAAATTTTATTGGGCCCATTATGCGCCAAACAGTCACAAAAAGGTTTTTGGCCCGTTATCGGATTTAGCTCGGGGCGTGAGTTGCAACTGGATGGGCCGGCTACTTGGCTATTGGGAGTCTAGGGATAGCAACAGAGGGTAACTGATCCAACTCAACCAATGATTAAAATACCGTACCGGCGGTTCGACCTGAAAAATCTCTTACCGGAAGCAAAACCAGTAAACCACTATTTTAATATAAAATACCATACCGCTGACTTTTCCGGTACGACCTCTGGTACCGTATTTCAATCCTTGAACTCAACACAGTTAAGCAGCTAAACTTGAGACTGATGGGTTGTGGGACGATCGGACTAGTGCGGATAAAACTATGTCTTATTGTTTACTAGATGGGTCGGATATGAGTTTTTTCAATACTCAACCCGCCTAACCGAATCACACTCAAATGAATGATCATGAAATCATATGGACTATCAGGCATCACCTGGCACACATACAAAAATATGAAGTCCATGGATGCATATTGTGCAGCTAGTGTGCACTATTAAGAGCATCAACCAACAGCTTACAACCATGCTTATTGATTTATTGATATATTCATTTCATTACATAATATTTTATTATAGTTGAAATTATATTTTATTATAGTAAAGCAATCTCTGTTGTTTTATTCCGTATATCTGTTGTGATATTAATATTGTTGTTATCAACTGCCACTAGGGGTGGGCAACGGGCGGGTTGGGTGGGTTTTGGTCTCAAATTGACCCACCCGCTTACTAGTGGGTTGGAATAATTGTGACCCGCAATCCACCCACATACTTCTACGGGTTGGGTTGGGTGGGTGGCGGATGGGTGCGGTTGGGTTGCGGGTCAACCCGCAAAAACAATTCTCCAACTAGCCATTAAGAAAGTTGATTAACATTTATAATATGTTCATAACATTTATAATTTGTGATTTTGATACAATTAATAATTTATAGTTTGCATCCCAATATTTAATGGTTATTAACAATAATCTGCATACCAATATCCAATATGTAATGGATATTGCACAACACAATGATCAATAATAGTAGTCAAAACTATTATTTATTCTCCAGCTTTTGAAGTCTATGGTCAGACTATAGTGCAGTTCGAAAATATGATGAATATTCGATACTATAAGAAACAACATTTTTTCATGTAAAAATAGGATGCGGGTCATATGGGTGACCCGCAATCCACCCACCACCCACCCACATAAGTGCGGGTGGGAGATTTACCAATCCGCAATCCACCCACATCAATCACCCTCTCTATGCGGGTCGAATTATTTGCGGGTGGATCGATATAAATCCGCGGATTAACCACCCACGTGCCCACCCCTAACTGCCACTATAAGCGTTGAAAGAAAATTTATATCAATAAACTACGTGAAATTACATTTTTCCAGTCCAATGAGTGATAAAGTAGGAAATTATGTTTTGGTGAAATACATTTGAGTGTGATCTTCGTGATAGTTTGAATGATTAATGTACTTTAGAAAATGTTCAAAATATGAATACATCATATATTATTGTAAATTTTAATTTAATGAAGTTGCATAGTGATGTATATGTGTGGTTGGATACATAGCAAAATACGATACGAGTATGTTACGTATAAAATACGTACGGAAATTTTACTTCATTTCTAAACTAAAATTACGTTTAATAGTACGTCTACAATCATCAATATATAAAAGTAATTATTTTAAAAGTACAGAAATATATAAATTATAGTTAAGTTAACAATTTAGCTTATTAAACATACATATTAAACATTAAACATGTTATACGGATTTACTATCATCTCCAAAGAATAATAAAATCAATATTTTTTTTTTTGAATAATTTTCCTTTTCCCTATACATTCTCATTTCTTTCTGGAAAGCACTAACTTGTACAAAATTACCAATTTAATAAATACTAACAACAACCGCAGCAAAAAAAGAATTCCCCCTCCAAAACCAACCAACATTAGGACGTGGATGGTGACATGCCAGCCAAATCCACCTACCGATCCAATGGGCCCTCAGCCAGTAAGGCCCAGCTATTGTCCCCATTTACAGCTCAGCCCCAATCATCAACCCATGAAAGGAGGCCAAAAGTCCAAAATGACATAAACAAATCAACCCTACCCAACAAATTAACCTTAAACCACTCGCTCAAACCAACTGTTAAACTAATTTTTACCGCCCGCTCCCACCCTATTGGTCATCACAGCATTAAAACTTTTTTTTACCTCCCCTCACCTCACAAACCATCCTGATCATCATGGCAAAGCTCCTTCCTCAACTTACTCGAAAACAGCCTACAAGCGTCCATGCTAAGGTCGACCGCAGCGGATAGCGCCACGAACAGCGCAGCATCCCCCGTGCAGGTCACGTGCTGGACCCCGACCTGAACCACGGGCCGACTAACCTTCCCTTCCCCTTCCACGGTCGAACCCATCACGAACCCCTTCGCCGACCCCGACCGGGAAACCGGTTCCCTGACCGTCCTCCCGTCGATGTCGAACCGCCCGCCCTTCCTCACCCCGACGCTCCCCTCCGCTATGGCGACCCGACCGCCGTTGCTTTCGGTCATCAGCTCGAACTTGTACCCCAGCCCATCCACCGCGCCGCCGCGCTCCCTCCACGCCTCGAGCCGGCCCCACGGCTTCCACGTGCTGACCGAGAACCCGTGCGGGCGGAGGATCAGCCAGGCCCCCGGGTTGGACCGGGAGACCCGATCCGACCCGGGCGAAGGGACGAACGGGGTGATCATCGACGCGGCGGCGACGGGCGAGCCGGAGAGGTCGTGGATCGTTATCATCCACCCCTTGCGTTCCCGCCGGCTGGCCTTCTCTCGCTCCCGGGTGGAGAAGGTTTTGGTCCACGTGCCGTTGGAGGATGCGCTGTTGAAATCCGATGGCAGAGATCTGGAGAGAAACAAAAAAAGAAAAATTTACAGAGGTGGGTTAGAGATGGAGAAGCTAGTTAATCACGTAATTAAGAAGATTTTGTTATCGTCACGAATCAAGATCAAACTAAAGCAGATTTTATCACATGGTATGGATTCCTTTTTATGTTGGTGGTGGTGTTGTTGTGTTCGACTGTTGAAGAGATTTGTGGAATATATTTTGGTCTTTGTTTGACCAAACTTGCCAGTTTAGTTAGTGACCATTATTAAGGCACAAGACGACAAAAAGAACAATAGCTGAGCAACCACAGCTAAAAGGTCAGCATTTGCCAACAACATAGCATCCGATCTAATTACGCGAAATATGTGAACAAGTTCTCGCAACTGGAGTGTGAGCACCATAATCGAGTTGTTACGAGTGATATTGGAACTCCAATTCGGGTTTGGGTTGTGTCAAATTCCAACTAGAGTGCATAAAGGTTACTGGGAGCATGGTTGTCATGCCGGTGGCATGCCACCCGCTTGAACCTGGTTCAACCTGTGCCGGTCATGAAACCGGCATGACACCACCGGTATGACCGGTATGATCGATTTACGTATTCTAAGTAAAATGACATCATTTTAATGAATTTAATAAATACAAAAATTAATTTATTATTCATTTTATGAATGTAATAGTTAAAAGTTGATGATATTTGTTGGATTGTAACTCAATTGTCCACAAATATGTTTAAATACATTGGATATTAATTGTTGTCACATTTTTTTAAACCAGCATGAACCGGCACAAACTGGTTATACCACCGATCGTACCATTCCACTTGCCAAACCGGCACAACGGTATAAACTGGTTTGACAACCTTGCTGGGGAGACTTATGTGGAGTCAATTTTGGATATTGGAGGAGACATAGGGACAAGGGTTATTATGAGTTATGACTATGAACATTATTACTATTTTACCATGATAGAAGGAAATCAATGATAAAAATGATGAAATAGATAAGGTGGTGGTGGTGGGCCTTTTGGGCTGTGGCCCAAAATTTTGGAACAGCAAGGCCATGTGTGGGTGTTGGTTACCAGCTAGCAAAAGCTAATCTACAAAGGGAAAATAGATTTGACAAACAAACCCACATGCCTAACAGCTTTTATCACACAACACACCAATAACAAGCCAGAAATTTAGCCAATATAGGGCCCCTCCTAGATGACTTAATGACAAACCAACCATAAATCTTATCCTTTATCCCAAATTTCACCCTAAATCATGCAACTGAGCCGTCGTAAAAATTGGAACGATACAGAAAAAATTAACATGCTTACAAAGAGAAAACAAAGCGTTAAATTCCGCGGTGAAAAATAAGTAAGATGAAAAGGTAAAGTAATATACCGGGAGCGGGAATTCCGGTCAGCGCTGAACTTGCAGCTGAAGACGGGCTGCCGGATGCAGCCCTGAATCTGGAAAACCACGGGGCTGCACTCGGGCTCCCCGCCGAACTGGAACACGAACCGCGGGTCGGGCTCGGCCCGACAAACCATGTGGATCCGGGCGGCGGGTTTGCCCGGCTGGCAACGGAGGGTCAACCACCCGTTCTGAAACACATGAGTACCCGACCTGCTGCAGGAATTGGCAGCATTTTCCTTTTCTTCCCCAAAATCAAGTTTCAATTGGAGCTTCCCCAGCAGCCTCCCGCCGCTGACCCCGCAATTCCGGCCCATCCCGCCGGTGTAGACCGAGACCCGGAGCGGAATCGGCTTGCCGGAGACGCGGCGGAGGGCGGCGGCGTCGAGGTGGAATCCGGGCGCGGAGGTGGTCGTTTCGGGGGCGGAGGAGGAGGAGGAGTCGTCGGTGGTTGGAGGTGAGGGGCATAAGGGTAAGAGAGCGGTTTGGGTGGGGAAGCCTTTGAGTTTGAGGACGCAGAAGCAAGGGGTGGCGGTGGGGTGGACGCCGGAGCCGGCGGGCTTGGTGGCGGCGAAGGGGAGTTTTAGGGATAGTGATTCGATGATTAGGCGAACGAATGGGCAGGGATCCATTGTAGCAGTGGTGGTAGTAGTATTGCAGCTATGGTGTTGGGTTTTGTGTTTTTATGTTGTAGATTAGCTAGCTGTGGATGATTGAGGTAGGGAAATTTGTGGTGGTGGGAGTGGAAATGTACGCCAGAGGAAGAGTGAGAGGAGAATAGCTGCAGAGAGCTGGAGGCAGGGGAACTTCGTGAACATCTATAAGGAGGGAAGGAATTTGTCGGCTACTTCGCCGTCTATAACGTTCCACTTTTCTTTTTCTTTCTCCCTCGCTCTCGCTCTCTAGCTGTTGTTTGGTGGTTTGGTGAGGGGCTTGTTTCCAACGTTGTAAAACCGGTTTATACAAAGGATTAGAAAACGGTATCGTATTAGCGGTTCGCAATCAGAAAAATTTCTTACTGGAAGTGAAATTTGGTTGGCGGTATTTAGCGGTTTATATGAAATGGTTGCATCACTGTTAAACAACGGTTGCAACATATAATTATCTTAGTGATCACTTTTTTTCCGGTAATGATTTTTTAATCCTTTTGTTTATACTATTACATGTCGGTTTAACTAGTGAAACTGTTTGATGGGAATGTAAACGGTTTGTGGTGGAATTTTAATAAACTATGCAGAGAATAGGAAATTATAAAAATAAAATATATTATGCACGCATACATATATGTATAACATATTTGATGAAAATTTATCTACATTTAAATCACCTACGAAATTAGAAAACAAATGATAAATCATCATATGTAAAAATATATTATACTTGATTTAACCTCAATATTTAGCATCCATATTTGTATAAAATATATTACAAACATACTGACAAATGTTCATATTTAAATTCAATTCAATTTTTTCAATTATATTCACCAAAACAACGTTATTTTTTTTTTCAGTTGGACCACTGATTTCTTGGTTTTGACCAATAATGATCATTTCTCACTACCACTTCATACAAATGGTATTCCAGTTGATTTTATAACCGGTACGAATTGTACCGGTCAGGAGATCAGTGGCGGACACACGGGTGTTTGGGGTTGTCACGGGACACCCCTAAAATTTGAAAAAATGATTATCCAACCCCAGATGGTAAATTATGCATGGACAAAAATATTCTAATTGATAGTCGGGGACACACAGGAATTTGAAAAAATAATTATCCTATTCTAATCTTTTACTTTGTGTATGAGAATATTAGTGGTAGTTTGGGTAATTCAAACGTAGGACACTGTTATTATTATTAATAAACATAATTTCCATTAAGCAATTCGATTTTAAACACCGTGTAATAGTAAAATGGCATTCTCTATCTCTAATTATTTTCAAAACCTAACAATTAAACAAATTTCAAGCTATGCTTAATTTGTATTGAATTTATGGTTGTACGACAAGTGTTAAAAGAGTCTTTTCAGCTTTGCATTACATCAAAAACAAGTTTAGTAATCGAATATGTGATCAGCTCGTGAATGATTGTCTGGTAGGATATACAGAGACAAATTTTTTTGAGCAGTGTAGGCACCAAGTGTATTCTGCAATTATTTCCAAATATGAAAACACATAGTGGACTTTTTTAAGCGGCACGAGTAGGTATTTTCTTATTAAAAATTTATTTAATTTTATTAATTATTTAAAAATTAATTTATTTTTTAAAATGAGATACCCTATATAAAATTTCTGGGTCTGTCACTTCAGCAGATCGCCCTAAAAAGTCATATTAGTTTCTGGTTTTCTTTTGGGAGATGGAAATGGACGGGAGGAGTTGGTTGGTACGTAGTTAAGTGTAGTGAGTATATCGTGCAGGAGTGAATGATGTTGGCTGTTGGGGATAAGATAATGAGTAAATGCCAGCCAATTGTTGCATTGTCCTTCTTGTTCATTTTGTAGAGTATTTTTGCTGGATTCAACAACAACATTGTACATTATTATTTATGCTCTTCTTGTTGAAAGGAATCCTTGTGCTAACTGGTCTGCACTCTCTGTAAAAAAAAAAAAAAAAAAAGATTTATTTTTTATTTATTCAACCATTCATAGAGTTTTTTCCGGGCCTAAGAGATATCCAGATCACAAAAGTTTGATGTTGGTGAGTACATCTCACAATGTCTTGTGCTTAGTCCGGCAAATCAATACTACATTGATTTCAATAAGAATTTAGGGAGGATTTGGAAAAGAACGGAGAATTTATAATTAGAGATTATGAGACATTAGAAGGGGAATAAACTGATTATGCTTTGTCAATTGGTTATTGATTAATTTTTAGGAAAAATAGAACTACAATATATAGACGACGATGGTTTAAATCCTAATTGACCTGACATATAAAAATAAGGGTTATAGGTATAATCTGCCCCTCTACTACGACGTTTTATCAAACATGTCCTTCTACTATTTATTACATCAAACATGCTCATGTACTTTGTAAAAACGATCAAATATGTCATTTTGTTTAAATTTTCATCCAAAAACCATTAACCAAGGTCGAACTTTGGTTTGGGCGGCACAAATGTCTAAAATATCCCTAATAATTTCACTTTAGAATTTTTTTTGTTCTTTTGTATAGCTAAATAATTCAAATAATTTCACTTTTAAGAGACCCAGAGAAATAAAACGGGAGACAAAACTGACATTTTCTCTCCCATTTGCCGATGTCGGGTTGTCTAAATCTTGGTTCAGCCATGATTGACGATTTTTTTCAATGGAAATTTTAACTGAAGGGCATGATTGATAATTTTTTCAAAGTACAGTGGCATGTTTGCTGTAAAAAATAGTAGAGAGACATGTTTGATAAAACATCATAGTAGAGGAGCATATTATACTTATAACCCTAAAAATAACTATAATACCCTTAAACCAAATATCTATGTTTCTACCATATACCAAAAAGTGTTACATAAATCATAGTAGCTAGCCCTTGGTCATTTGTCTTAACAAGAGGGTCATATTTAGAGATTAATGTGCGTGATATATGAGTAATCAAGAACGTGACTATTAAGTATGAGCTTATCTGCTTTTGATAAATTTGAAGAGTTTTTTATTTTATTTTTAAGAATGTAGCATAAGCTCTATTTGACTAATACACCAGAAACTGATAAGCATTACTTATTTCTTAAAGATAATAATACAAAAATACATAACCAATTTTGGATTCAAGTTGTAATTATGCATTTGAAAATACCTACAACTTGTAATATATGCAATCTTCAACAATATCGTATGGTATGTAGTTGACAAAAAATTTATTCTAGTTTAAGTCTTGCTAGCCAGCCTAATAAAACGCACATCTTTAGCACTTTTGCTGAGAATATGATTTTTCTTTGGATGTGTATTATTATAATATATACAACCTACAAGGAGACAATAGTACTACTGTCTACAGGAAAGCAATTTGGCCTCCTTTTTTTCTTTTCTTTTAAAGAGTAGGTACCTAATTACTAATTAGTGTATTACGCTTCCTCTCAAAAAAGAATTAATGATTCCGTTAAACTTTCAGTCTCTTGCGTTACCATACTTCTACATCCTAAGATCTAAACATTGGAAACTAAATTATTGTAAAGAGTATTGTTCATCGTACATAAATTCTATTTTTAAATAAAAAACAATTATATAGAGGGTATATATATATATATATATAGACCAAATTATTTTAATGTTGAACATAAAAGGTCGGGAAATGGCCTAAAATAGAGACAAACACATACATCATTGGATTCAACTCCCTAGATTAACATCATTGGATTCAACTCCACATATTAACAAATTCAAGTTATATAAACATGTTAAAGCAATGAGAGCGGAACAAGAAAAAAATATTGTTGGCTAAATATGGATGATTAGCTGATTAGTCATATTTATCCACAAATATTCCCAGAACTGCCAGAAGGAACCGATCATATACGAAATAATAGTTTTTTCAGGTAGTAAAAAAACAAAAAGGAGATAAGTTGGTGGTCAACTAGTGACTAAACCATTTATAAAAGAGCTCTTTTTTGTCATAATATTGACAACTCTTTATTACCTTTTTTTATATGGGTAGAATCCTTGATTTATCTTTTATCTGCGTAGGGAGAATGTCCTAGACCGTACGGGTAGAATCCTTGATTTATCTTTTATCTGCGTAGGGAGAATGTCCTAGACCGAACTACGATGTAAGATGAAAGTAGTGGAAAAAAAGGATTCCTGCAAATCTAACCAATGAAATTACAACCATATATAAAACATAATTACATAAAAACAATTGAAGCCATTGATACATGAACAAATTAGTTTAGACAATTTGTTCATTGAAAAGCATAATTGAAGCCATTGAAGCCATAAGATAATTGAAGCCATTGAAAAGCATAATTACCCATTTATTAGTTTAGACATATCCCAAGGGATATTATAATGTCTCCAAAATTGAAAATGAAAAATCAAGATTTTGGATAGATGGATTATGTGCTTTTTTAGTTACAAATTTTTTTTTTTTTGCCTACTACTAATTAGCTATTGGACCCGAGTAAAGAAAAGGGTAAAAGGGGAGGTTATACAACTTGGAAAGTGATAATTATTGTGCATAAGTCAAGGGTAGGGTGACTATACGGTCCGGTCCGGTTAAATTGGCTTAAATTGATCTAGTTCAGTCCGTTCTTTTTGAAAATATAAGGACCAAAGATTGGATTGGATACAGTCTGGTCTTGACCCGTTCCGGTCCGGTCTTGACCAGGCCCGGTCCCAATTCGGTTTTGATTTTATATTGAGCTTGTGGGGATTTGAGTGACCTAAGGCCTGAAAGGGTGAGGAGTTGGTTAAGTTTTGTACTAAGTGCAAAGGTTTGTGACCGTTTATGCAAATTACCCTTAAGTTTTGGGTGTTGAGCTCTCTTATCCGGTCTTTATACAGTTTTCGATCCGGTCCAGAATGATTTTTTATCTCAAATCTAAGCCTAAAGATTGGATTTGATTATTTACTATCTGGTCCCGGTCCGGGTTATATGATCCGGTTTCGGATAAAACCAAAAAATTCGGACCGAATAACCAGCCCTAGTCAAGTGACAGTCCTCCTCTCGGGTCGGGGTAAACCGGACAACGAATTGGACGGCATGGTATGCGGGTCCCGGCCCGAAGGATGGTTGGCGCGGTTCGGTTAAGGCTGTCTCCCGGGTGTCACTATGGGGCATGGCCCGCATGGCCTATAAATGATTTTTTTTTTTTTGTATTGTAGATATTAATACCTTTGACTTAAGAATTAGTGCTAAGAAAAAATTTGGTATTAACTAATGTACATATATTTTTACCTTTGACTTAGGAACGAAGAGTAATTATAATGAACACCAATTATTACAAAGCAAAGCATGATCGAAGAACATTTTATTTATTTTTGGATGAATAATTACTTGCTGCCCCCAAACCCTCCAAAAGCTTACTGATGAAAGTGATGTGACAATAATTATTGCTTAGTCTGAAATAATGAAACATTAACACATGCATGAATATCCCTTGACAGCTGCAAAATCATATTACAAGAATATTAATTTTAATTAATTTTCTCAATAGTTTTGTGAATGACTTCATGCTCATCACAACCTGACATCACTTAGTGTTCAATCTTTTGTACTTCTCATGGATATCCGAGTGACAAAAGTCGATACACATGCAAGCTTCATACATATGATTAGAAATATACGAGAATTGTGTTCTGCATTTGAGAGTTAAAGTAGTTGGTAATGCTTTACCTCCCCCATCTCTCTAGCTGCCATGGTTCAAATCCCCAAAGTCTACGATTTCGCGATATCGTGATAAGTAAGTAGTACATTATTATCACGGACCTAGAGGTTTAATTATGACACTAGTGTGGAATCATTAGCCTGTATGTATGTATATATTGTCTGATTGGATCAAGATCCTGCAATTTGCCAAGTAACACGACAGCACAGTTGATCAAATTCATCAGGGAAAAAATTGTTTGCTGTAATGACAACCCAACAACGAAAAATTAATCAAAGTGGGACTGCGGGCAGCAGAAAAAGCCGAAAGACAAAGATATCATGCGCCAGAAATAGAGAATAACATGCCCGATCCTGGGAGGAAAGGAAAACTTGTCCGCTAATCCACATTGTGAGTCCCTAATTAATACATAAAATACAGCTGCCCCAAAATCTCCGCCAGTTCAAGTACAGCTGTGGCTCGACGGCGCCGGATTATTGCCAGAAGGTCGGCATCAGAGCCGACGGCGGCGAGGGTTGATGAATCCAGAGGCTGTGCAATTAGCGGCCATACATTCTGCCAAGCTGGTGGTATGTGCCTTCATCATGGATTGCTCTCATTGACTTAGGTGGGGCCTGCGACAACCCAAATCGGTTAATGGCGGGCCCACTAAATTGTGTTGATGGATACTCGTACCCCTAAATTAACAAAGGCTGCAAATGAGCCGAGTTTTGTTTAGTTCAAGCTCTTCGTATTAATAAACGAGTCGAGTTTGTCGTTGTCTTGTTTACTAAAAATTTGGCTCTTGTTTTTCTCGAACCTGTCTAATTAATGAACTTGCGAGCTTTTTACTTAATCCTGACTCGTCAATAAGATCACGAGTTCGACTAATTTATTCTAAATGGTTGATCCCTTAACCTTAATATTTGTATTTCATGTATAATACATGTGTTCTATGTCATGATGAAGAAAATAACAATAGTCAACTTTTCTTCATTAATTGATCTCACGTTTATATGCACTATTGGTATCGTGCTGTTAAGTTCTTATCATGTCATTTCATATAGTAATTAGCATCTTACGAAATTTATGGTACATAATTTCTCTTTTAAATTTTAATAAGACGTACGATGCACTCAAGTACTCACTGTCTTAAATATCATGTAGGAAGAGATATAGAATTTAACAAACCTACGAAATATCAACAAGTCAGCTCATAAGATATAGATTGATTCGCTCATAAACTGGTAGTCAAGTTGGCTCACTAGTCACAATGTTGAGACTTGAGATATCATGAGTAAAAAAAAAAATTCAACTAACGAGGTGAGATCAACAAGCCATTGAGTCGAATTGACTTGCGAGACTCGCTAGCTGAACCAGACTTAGTTCAAACTCAACTCATTAATAAACGAGTCGAGTTTAGAACGAGATTTTCTGAATCAAATATTGAGCAGTTAGTGAACAACTCAGCTCACTTGCAACCCCCAGGTGACATGTACTATAATATGCAAACCGATTACTTGCAGTGAGTAGCCAATATTGGAGCAGTTAATGGCTATATTTGTTTGTTTATTTAAGTTTGAAACGAGGAAGAATTAATTAGATTAGGTTTCTTAGTTTGTTCATGATTTAACGAGGCGGTTGAGAGAAGGAATAAAAATCTTGAGGATTTGATTTGATTCGAGTACTCTTAGTTGCTCTCATGAAATTAGGAGCCATGACTTAGGAATGATGGGGAAGACAGGTGCTACCTATGCATATTGAACGGCGGGTCAACTTCGGTATTAATGTTGGGCATAGGTTAATTGGTTCAAAGTCAATTCAATTCTCAATATATTAGCAGGTGTTGATGTGACTTGAATCGGACTATCAGCTGTTACGACTGGCAGTCGGGGGTCTCGCTGGAGAAGTTATGGGTTTGATCTGTAACCGTTTCCTTTGCCAGATTGGATTAGTTTTAGACCCACATGGAGAAGTACTATAAATACTTCTCATACTCCTCTGTAATCTGTAATATCCTCGATATAGTAAAACTGGCTCTCTCTCGCCTGTGGACTAGCTAACACACATCGTGTTAGTGAACCACGTAAATCGTGTATCTGTGTTTTTCGATTCTCGCTTTCGTATTCTTGCTTTATCGATTCCGGCAATTTCCTGATCCGTAGCAGCGCGTTTATAACAGCGGGAAATATATGCAACCATCTAAAATTCTTTATATGCAAAATTGAGCGGCTCAAATAATAATACGACTGAAAGGACCAAAATTATTGGAGAAATGATTCAAATGAGGGTCATCGTAAACGATTCGAGTTGAGTTTTCATAAAGTTTTCATCCGATTCATTAATAAATGAGTCGAGTTCGAGCTTGGCCTGTCTACAAAAACCTTGATTTGTGTTTGATTCGAGCTCTACCTCAGGTATCATATCATTTGGTTCATAATTATTAATTGTTCATATCATGTTATTTATAACAATTAATATATGAGCAATTTATGATACACTAGACATATTTAAACACGTGCTCAAATTCGTAGAATGGTGAGATACATAAAATGTAAAAACCTATGAATTATCAACAAACCAATGATAAACCGTTGATCAATTCGCTCATAAGTTGCAAGTTGCGGTGACTCGCTAGCCATATTGTCGAGCTATCCCATAGCTCAAATCGCACTAGCTCATGAGTTGAGCTCAACAAGCCACCGAGTCGAGCTGACTTACGAGTCTTATAAGCCAAACACGGGTTAGTTCATATTTGACTCGTTAGTACCAAGTCGAGTGTCAAACGAGCTTTTTCATTTACACAACCCTAGGAGATAGTAAGTTGTAACCACATTATAGACGAGTCAAAATAACCGCACAAAAAAAAATCGAGCCCTGGGCCATTTTATCCCAATTTCACTGGGCCAAAATGTACATAGGCTACAGAGCTTCTAATGTGACGACGAGACCAAGTGATTCATTTTCCTCCCTCCGATCAATTATGGGCCCAAAGCCTTTGATGCCCAATCTTCACCATCAGCTCCAACTTCTTGAAGCCCAATCGGAACGACCGTAGCCAGGACAGACAAAAGGATGTACGCAAGTAACTCCACGGAAACCGCCATGGAATCTTCCATATCGTTCTCGCATCAGCAGTAGAAGAACACAGGAATCGAAAGAAAGGCTAACTAGTGAAGGTCTGAGAAGAGATTACCTTCGCCCTCAAGCTTCCAAGTTCCCGTTACCGCTTGCAGAAGAATCGCTATTTCCAACTTGGATCCGTAACGCCGTTGCGCACCGCTCTTCGGAGCTCCGTCTGATAGATCCTCATCCGTCGCCGCCGTCCGATGTCGTCCCCGGGAGAGTAAGCTTCTTGTTTCATTCGTTCGTCCTCCTCGTTTTTCTCCGCCTGATACTCTTCGCGTTGCTTGAATCTGTTTGTCTCCGATTTGGGAGAGAAATTACTCTGTTGAATGTGATGATGGCTTGACCTAATTTCGGAAGTGAATTTCGTCCGAGAGTCATGTCTGGTGGAAGATTTCAGAAAGTAGAATTAGTTTGGTATAGAAAGCTTCGGCGCAGAGGTTTCCATTTCCGTGCCTGATCAAGCCGGGCTTAGTAACTCACGCATGGCTTTCTTTGAGGTTACAGGTACTATCATTCTCTTCCACCCATCACCAAGGCTTATGGCACCGTGTGCCTGGCGGTTACTACAGTATGTTCGCTCAAGCTGCTTCATCCGGCGTATATAGCATTGATATATGAGGACGTGTTGTACCGATTTCAGGTATTGTTCAACGTCTCCATTTCAATGGAAGATTGGCTGTAGGACTCCCGACTGATTGCGGTTGTCTGTTTATCTTTCTTCCAGGTGTGGAGGCTTTTTACTAGCTTCTTCTTTCTTGGGAATTTCTCCATCAATTTCGGTATTCGCCTCTTGATGATGTGAGTTGCGTTCTGAAAGAAAGTAGCAGAATCTCTTATATAACGTTTTGCTTTGATATGTGATGTTGCTCTCCTGTGGTTATTGACTTAATTCTGTTAACCGAGTTATTCTGGTTGGCTATATACTTTTCCTAGCTCTGATGTGTTCCAGATGTTTTGCAGAGCAAGATATGGTGTTCAATTGGAGCAGGCAACATTCGACAGGCGTACCGCTGATTTTCTCTGGATGATGATCTTCGGAGGCCTGACTCTTCTGGTATGTAATTAGGTCCTCTCTTTCTTTGTTCTGTTTTAGACTTTTAGGTGAGAAACAATGACTGTTGACTCCTGTGCTATTGATGTCTGGAAATGCGCCTCTTTACCGAACTTTTACTTGGTGTTGCCAGTGTTGTGAACTTCTATTTAGCTCGCGGCTTCTAGCATTGGACTGTAGGTCTCCCTATTGATGTGTTGGCTTTGTGGGTTATTAATGTGGTTATTAACTGTTGTTTAGTGAATCATGGCTTTGTTAACCATCGTATCTGGATAACGAGCATTTCCCTGCACCACAGGGTCTGTCTGCCATCCCTTTTCTGTGGAACCCTTTCTTGGGCATTTCACTTGTGTTCATGCTGCTTTATGTCTGGAGTAGAGAGTTCCCAAATGCTCAAATCAACATATATGGCCTGCTGAATATTAAGGTATTGCCAACTTTGTGCTCTCGTGTTGTAAGGCTGCAATTATTTTTGTATCTTTGATGCTCTGATCTTTCTGTTGGTAGAAACGAGAAAGCCTTGTGTTTTATATGCTAATGATCGAAGTTTTTTTTTTGTTTCCTCTCCCTCTCAGGCATTTTATCTACCCTGGACCATGCTTGCCCTGGATGTTATTTTCGGGTCTCCAATTTTGCCCGATCTTCTGGGAATCATCGCGGGTCATTTCTACTACTTCTTGACGGTGTTGTACCCGCTCTCAACTGGGAAAACCTATCTGAAGACCCCAAGATGGGTGTATCCTTTTACATTGATTTCTTCCTTAGTTCGTATCATCTTTCTAATAACTAATCTCAAGTGTTTGAATCGTTCACATTGACTGCAACCTGCTATAGGTTTTTCCTAAGCTGTTTATAGACAGAAGCTGGTGAGAAGATACAAAATAGGAGCTCCAGCAACAGTGAACTCCCGAGCGGCAGCTCAGCCCGAGCAGCAGCCGGGCACAGGATCAGCCTTCAGGGGAAGATCCTATAGACTCAGTGATTAGTCAGTTTTCTTCTCACCCTTTTGTTAGGAATGTCGATACAAAAACTAAGGAAGCAGGTTGTAAAGAAGCTTGTCAGAGGGAGTTGAAGAGAATCAATCTGCTCGATTTGTTGATCCTTTACTTATGGAGCTGTGGGTAGCGTTTTTATGCGTCATCGGTGTTTATTTCACGAGGCCGGAATCCAGTCCTTGTCTAAACAGAGGGATGAAGTAGTTCATTTGTTGGGCAGATTGATTTTCTTTTCATTACTTGCATTATTTACTCTCTAATTGTGGAGATTTCGAAATATGATTCTCCTGGAACTTCCGTATCCTCATGCTATGTCACATGGTTTCAGGCTATCTATACAGAGTAAATTGTAAACCACAAGAACAATTACAATTTTTGAGGTTATGGTAATCTACTTATTATGTCAGAACTAAAGACAAACGTTAGCACTCGCCGAGTAGCATCGACTAGTTTGAAGCCATCACTTATGGAATATCTTCGTCTTATTATTTTTATATATTGCTTCACTCTTAAAATTGATTAGAAACGCCTCAATGAACATGTCAATGTCTCAACTCTCATTCAATCGTGCTTGTTAATATAGATCTATGTTTTTATTGTCTCTTTTAATCCAGTATGTATATTAGAACACGTCATTTTTTCGTTCTTACTATTTATGCGTTTCAAGTCAGCTGACACATGATGTTGATAACTTGATATGATGATTAAAATTTATAGCAAAACAGCCCGGAACATGAAGAATTTCGAAATGTAAAATCAGTGGAAACTATGGTGAATGAAATTACTACAGTCTACAAGGCCGAAAAACGAGCTTGTAAATATAGCAAAACGTGAATTCCGGAATGCGTGAAAAAAATAATATTCGTTTGGTTAAAAATGACAGTAAAAGGCGGAAAGAAAGGTTTCCCCAAAACCAAGCAAAAAAAACGGACGGTCCACAGCTCATCAATCAATCATCTTCCCGGACCGGATCCAATCCGTGAGGTGGTATACAAACCCATTCAAACCTTTCCCTCCGCATCCATCGGCCCGCTCCACCTTTTCCCCTTCCTTGCTCCCACTACAAAACCACGGTGGAAAACTCGAAAAAGTGGTAAAACGTAAAACAGAACTCGATTAAAACAAAATTTTACTCAGGTAAAAAATAATTAACCCTCCCCCCAGAAAATTAACCTACTCCGATCAACAGCCCGGCCAAACAGAAGGTCCAAGTTCTCGAACGCGCGGCAAAAAACAAAAAAACAAAAAAGGAAAAGCGCCCACGCGCCGGTGAGCCGGAGTCAAAACCAAAAATAGGCGAGAAAATGTCGTGGCAGACTTACGTCGACGAGCACCTGATGTGCGAGATCGAAGGCCAGCAGGGCCAGCACCTCGCCTCCGCCGCCATCGTCGGCCACGACGGCAGCGTCTGGGCCCAGAGCTCCGCCTTCCCTCAGGTAATTAGGGTCAACAACAGTAACAAAATCCCTAAAATTGTTCTCTCCATGAAATAACAAATCTGCGTTGTGGTTTAATTGATTTGTGGTATGGCAGTTCAAGGGATCGGAGGTAAGCGAAATCATGAAGGACTTCGACGAGCCGGGGCACCTCGCCCCGACGGGGCTCCACATCGCCGGGAACAAGTACATGGTCATCCAGGGGGAGCCCGGCGCGGTGATCCGCGGCAAGAAGGGCGCCGGCGGGATCACAATCAAGAAGACCGGCCAGGCCCTGGTGGTGGGGATCTACGAGGAGCCGGTGACTCCGGGGCAGTGCAACATGGTGGTCGAGAGGCTCGGCGATTACCTCGTCGATCAGGGTCTCTAGATCCAGCGATTTCCCCCTCTTCCGGCCAAACCCCCATCACCCACACCGTATTTGACCTATGAATTTCAATTTCCTCTTTTTCTTAGTACTCCATAATATAATTTCTGAGCGGCACGACGAAAGTGCTGCTCTTTCTCGTTACCTTTTTCTTCTGTTTTCAATTTTTTTTTTTTTCCTTTCTGGGTTATTGGTTACAAGCTTGCATTTTCTCCCTGTTGTGTGGGGAGATCCATGGTGCAGGGCTGTAACCATTTGTAAGAACGAAAGTAGTCCAGGTCGACTATGGCGATCTGGATGATTGAAAGTTTTGGGATGTTTTTTTCCTTTTTGATTTTCTGATCTCGGTTGTTTCTTGTTTATTTGATGATCCTCTGTTTTCTTTGTCGATTGATATCAATACAACCACAAATTATGGCATGAAGCTTTCGAATTTCTCAGTTTATTAATCTGATTCCATAGATATGGTTTAACGAATGAGTTGCGTGAGGATGTTGGATGATTTGACTAACCTTTGATAAAATCTATTTGTTGGTGATGAGATACTCGAAGTCCAGCGATTTATAACATACAAATTTAATCCCACTCTATTGATATGGTCTGGCGAATTTATTACGTGGATATGTTAAGCGACTTGAGTAGCATGATGAGGAGGGATCAGAATCTGATTGTCATCTTGTTTCGACTCTGGATCTTTCTATTATAATTTCATCTTGTGTATGCTCATGTTCAGTTGTTACGACTTCTCTTAACTTTTACGTTAATCATGTCGTTCTCTCTTCTTCATTAAGTATCGCATAGAGTTAAATGATCGTTGTATTTTCTTATTTTCACATGTACAAATGAGCGGGCAAACTCATACCTCGAGCAATATTTTGATGTGAGTAGTTGCTAGCTAGGATAACAAAACCTAAATACTTCACTTTTCATTCAAGCATATCAATTGCTAGCTTGAATGCTGATCAAATATGTTCTCATGATTATTGTTAATTACTGTTATTTTCATGGACGTTTATGTCTAAATCGTCTATGCTATTCCCTTAGATTATTATTACTGGGGAAAAAGATAAAGGAGAGAAATTTGTGGATATGAAGCTTATGCTTGGCAGGAATCAATAACCAACTCCAACCAGCCAGCCTTTATTTGTCAAAGTGATTGATTAAGAAATGCAAATCCATGAAAAGCTCTCCTTTTCCTTTATTAATTAGGCACCAAAGTTTCGAAATTTTAGGCCACAGATCAGGCACTTTCCATAAAGCAAGAACTATGATTGGTATAGTGCATTACCATTATGCTTTGGAAGATTGTTCTCCCATTGATTATGTGAATATGAAAATAAATGTTTCCTTCCTCTAATATATTGTATGTTTTTTGCTTTACATATTGCCATGTGAATAAGTGTATCTGTAAAAAAAAATATCTATGGTTTAGTGCATTTACATGTGAAATCTTGTCTTAAATTAGTCTAGTTGATATATCTTTTACCAAAAAAAATTGAGATTAAAATAATTTAGACGAATATGGAGCACCATCTTATTTGTTGGAGTCTTGGAGAATAGAACAACGACAAATCAGTAGCAGGAGCGACACAATTATAAATCGCCAGTCGCCACCAGCCTTCAAGTAGCAAACAACACATAATTGATAGTTTAGTAATGTGTTGTGTTCGAGGCAATAAGTTGTTAGTGGATTTAGGAAGTTCGATCATCTAGTCAAATCTGCCTCACAAAGAAGAGGATCGTCATTGTAGGCAATGATTTCAAAAAGTTCCAATTTTTTTGACCGACTTAATATGAATAGGCGCATTAATTTAATGAGTTTAAAAAGAATTGTATATGATTATAATAACAATGAAAGAATGATTTGTTATAGGACGTGAAATTTAGTTATCATTAACGATCTTCCGACCAGTAAAAAACATAAAACAACATCAAATCCTTCTCAGTTATAAGTTGCAACCTTGTGTCAAGGTTCCACTCTCTCATCCATCTTAACCCATTGAAATGAATAATTGGTCTTTGTGGTGTCTTTAAAGGAGGAGCCGTGGGAGTTATAATTGACCTTTGGTAATTGGTTACGATGCCAATCTTAATAAGGAAATTGTAGAAAGTAAAAATATAGAGGATGATGTACACATTTGAAATAATTATATTTTTTAAAAAGGAAAAAAACATGCATGTTGGGAAAATTATTAAGACATGGACAGCACATATGAAGTTTCCCTTTCTAAAATTAACGCTTTAATGATCATTTCACAACTTTCCAGTACATAAATCTTGTTTATTGTTTCCCTTTCTCTTTTGTTAGTATAATAATTTTTTTATTGAACATTTCTTTTTCTGTTTAGAATGGTTTTTTTATAAACGGTATAAAATGGTTAAATAACAAGTCAAGCACATATTTTCTTGATGAAAATAAAACTACTGAATGATGACCGAAAAAAGGCGGTACGGCAACTCGACTTCTTTAAAGATTGAGGCGTGGCTTAGAATGAGGTACGCCTTGGGAGCAGTGGCGGACCCATAAATTTTTCATAGGGGTGTCATCTTTTAAAAATAAATTAAATAAAAATAATTAATAAAAATAAAATTGTAAATTTGAAAATACCTTACTCGTACAGGTTAAAAAGTCCATGATTTGTTTTCATATTCGAAAATAATTGTAGAATACACTTGGTGTCTATAGTGTTAAAAAATTCTCTCTATATACCCTACTAGACAATCATTCACGAACTTATCGCATATTCGATTTGTAAACTTGTTCTCGATGTAACCCAAAGCTGAAAGACTCTTTCAACACTTGCCGTATTAAGGGTAGCTTGAAATTAGTTTAATTGTTAGGTTTTTAAAATAATTAGAGATAGGAAATGACATTTTACTATTACATTTTTCAAAATCGAACAACAAATGAGTTGTAGGTCAACAAAAATTAAGTTTATTAATAAGAATAGTGTTTCATATTTGAATTGCCCAATCTACCACTTATATTCCTATACACAAATGACAGTAGGATAATCATGTTTTCAAATTTCAGGGGTGTCCCTCACTATCAATTATAATTTTTTTTTGTCTATATGTAAATTATCACCGAGGGTTGAATAATCGTATTCCCAAAATTTAGGGGTGCCCGAGGACACCCCTAAAACCCCCTGGGTCCGCCCCTGCTTGGGAGGCCTATCCATTATGTGGAAAAAGAAGTTCAAGTTACAGTTTATTCTACAATATTGATGTGATAGTTTCTTGAGATAAAGAGTCATTCCATGCGTTACTCTGGTATTTATGGTCGTCTATTTCAAGAGGATGGTTATCTAACTCTAGAAGACCATCCACATCCATGACATACAATTTCTATTTCATATGTGGTCCCTACTGCCACATCAACAACCTTTACTATTTCAATAGATACCAATTCCATTTGCTCTACATCAATGAAATTCACTTTCTATTTCATATGGTGGGCTCAACTGAAAATTTTACTACATACTATCAATGATAAAATTAATTAACTAGTTCATTACAAATATATTATAACTTTAATCAACAACTAAGTGCGTTTAATGATTTTTGTATTAACTACTATTGATTTGTGATAGTTGTGACATATCATAAATATATATACGTGTGTGTTTTATTATCATTATCTTCCAGAATTTGAAGTGTACTATCAATTCAGTTATTAATCTAATGATAAGTTTATATTATTTTATGTTAATCTTTAATTTTAATAATAATAATCTATTTAGTCCTAATTGTATGTTGAAACCATAAAAGTTGAAATTAAAAAAAACTGATTTGTCAAAAAGTGGACAGGGGACCCACTACTTTACCCCACCATCCATTTCATTTGCTATTTCACGAAATGAAATATTTCATTGTTGAAAGGATGGACCACATCCATGAAATAGCTTTGAAATGGTGCCACCTCATAATGAAATTGGCTAGTGAAAGCCGATGCAGATGCTCTAACTCATGAGAAATTTCAAAGACAAGCAATTTACCCTGAGTTTGTATGGGGGATTTCAACCTCATTACTAAGTATGGGGAAAACTGGAGGAAGATGAAAATCTTGCGACAAATTTCATTGTAGTTCTAAGGGAGTATGAGTCAACAAACCTTACCAAACAACTAAGGCAACAAACCTTGGTAGCTTTTGAGAAGGAGAGCAATTTATTTGGAGCAGGGAGAACAAGCGAAAGGCTTCAATGGACACACATTTACTTGCCATCTACGAAAAGTTCTGGTGAATGTATTTGGTTCGCTTTTGAGCCACCTTAATTCGTAAACACAAGCTCCATTAGAGATCAAGCGAAATTTGGTTGCTTTGTCGTAATTCTTCACTTAAAAATCGAGAGTTTGAACTCCACACGACAAATTTGAACATGGCTAGGATCCACTTGAATAGATCAATTGATTTGGATTTAAGTTATATTTCAATAGTGTTCCGGTCTAGTTTTTAACTCCGCTAGAATCTCTTTTCCTTTGTTCACGATGAATTGCATGACAAGTAGTCGACAGATTTTCTTGAGTTTCATTTGTGCTGTTTTTTCCCCCTCGGCTTAAGACTCGATTAACCATCACAAATGAAAATTATTATGTATACTTAGTAAACCGATAGATGCCCAAAATCACATATCCTCGAACAACGAAAGCATTGAACCAGTGGTAAAAAAAAAGAGAGGAAATTTAACACCACTAACGTTCATAGTTCATTGTCCTTTGATTAAAATTTCTTTTTTCCCCCTTCTATTTATTATCAGAAGCATATTTTCTGAATATTACAAAATACGAATAAATACAAGTTAAAAAAAAAAAAAAAGGAGGTGGCTCGAATAATATATAAAGGGTCCCGTCGATTCAACGCAATATGTGCGCCCAGTCTCTGCTGTCTTCGCAGATAAGAAAATACACAGAAACCTACCCCTAATCTTCCTCTTTCTTCTTAAGGCCAAACGCTCACCTTCAGCTCCTCCACAAACCACGCCCCTTCCTTTCAGCTCTCAACCAGTCCACAAACCTTCCTTCCTAGTTCTCAGCCAAGCAGCTCGCCAAGATGTCGTGGCAGACTTACGTCGATGACCACCTCATGTGCGAAATCGAGGGCAATCACCTCTCTGCTGCAGCCATCATCGGCCACGACGGCAGCGTTTGGGCCCAGAGCGCTACCTTCCCTCAGGTTGTTGTCTCCTCTTCTTTCTCTTTGCTTCCCTCCTTATGATTCCCACAAGTTCGATTCGTGTGGATTTGGGGGGTTATACTGCTGTTCTTATCTATCTGTTTGCCGAGGGTTTGTGTGGTTTTTGACCGGTTGATGGATTGGATATGGCTGAGAAAGATGTGGATCCTGCTTGACCTGTGCTTCGTTTGAATTGGGTTCACTTCAAATTTATAGCTTTTGAGCTGCTTTTTACGATCTGGGTATTTAGCTTGAGGATCTGATCTCCCTTGGTTTGGGCGTGGGGTTTTTCGATTAACTGGTTGTGGTGAGATTTGATTTGGGTTTCTTTTCCTGTGATGGAGGTTTAATAGCTATCTTTCTGTGATGCTGAATGGAAAGTGAAGATGAACTGATCAGGGGTTCATTCGTTGACTAGAGGAGAGCCCTGCTACTTGTGATGCTGTTGGATCGAAGGTGTTTTTTGCTGATCTGTTTGTGATGTTTTTGTTTCAGTTCAAACCGGAAGAAATTACTGGCATCATGAAGGATTTCGATGAGCCTGGTTTTCTTGCACCCACTGGGTTGTACCTTGGAGGCTCAAAGTACATGGTGATTCAGGGGGAGGCTGGAGCTGTCATTCGAGGAAAGAAGGTGAGGATGAATGAACTCTGTGTAGCTTTCTGTTTTGCACCTTCATTAGTTTAGTAGGAGAATCTTCTAAAATTGGCAAATGATTTCATGGGTTTTCTTCTGGTGGTCCATTTTGAGCTCATTGACTCACAACTCTGAAAGTCTTGATACTCTTTACTACATCAGAACCCACGCCTTCCTGTTCTGTTATGATAGTTGACAACATTCTAGTCTGTTTGAATCTAGTGTTCTTAGCCTATGACGTTCTTTGTACCATGGTTTAGCATCATCCAGTTGCCCAGCGATTGTACATTGCTTCATACATTTGAAAGTTCATTTCATCTAATTCATTCTGCCTAAACCTTTGCTTTTGCTGAAACGTTCAGGGATCTGGTGGTGTTACCATTAAGAAGACGGGTCAGGCATTGGTCATCGGCATCTATGACGAGCCAATGACTCCTGGGCAGTGCAACGTGATAGTGGAAAGGCTCGGGGACTATCTCGCCGATCAGGGTCTTTAATCACCTCGTTTTTTCTTATCTTTGTTATTTATCCCTGTCCTCCTGGCATCTAATACAAAACCTTGCCTCTGTCGGACATTATTTAGTAGCTTAAGGTCAAGGGGAACACTGTGTGAAAAGGAAAAAAAAGAAAGATGGGAGTTTGATTGATGGTTGTTTTGGATTTTGATGGATTTGAGTCTCTTCCTTTGTACTATTTTGATGATGGTATTATCATGATGATTGTCTAAATTACATTTTGGGGTTTGTTAATCGAATCGACGGGATTGGTTTTTGGTTGTCACTAAGTATTGCTTCAGTATGGCTGCTTTCTTTTGCGTTTCTTGTTTGTTTGGTCTATATGGTAAGAATAGGAATGCTTTCTGGGTGTGAAGAAGATAAGAAGTACAGTTGGTTGGCGTTATTTCTGTGTATATTTGCATTGCATCAGGCGGAGTTTATTTTTAGGTGATTCCTGGTTTGGAGACTTAACATGATAACTACCAAACTCACTCAGGCACGCCATTCTCCGCATTTTAATGAAGTAACCGTAACATATTTCAGAGGTTATTCCTGGAGATTTGGTAGCTCTAGACTGAGTCATATGTAGATGTATGCCCAGTTCTCTCTGAAACGTTCATAAAGTACGTGGTATCGTCAGCTCGAGCTTTCTGTTGGCAACCTTATCAGAAGATATGTTAGTATGATGGTACTGGAAACCCCTATGCAAAGTCATAAGACAGTTCTCTAGTCTGCATTCTACCGATATAAAGTTGGCATTTTTGTCCGAAAACCGATTCGATTTTTATAGTAGTTCAAACGATCATTTACAAATTTTGTTCAGCGCGCAGTTTAAACGACTCGGCATAGATGAACACTGACGATCTTAAACCAAACCCAGACAGAGCTGGGGGAGGAACATCATCTATAGGTGGCCAGTTTTTTTTTTTTAATAGCTCAATGCTAGCAAGAAAGTACAGCAGATGGATTCGTCTTTCCTTACCATCCTCCCTCCTAACACTAACAACCATAACACCAATCAATACATTGACATCATATCATACAACACCATGGGGCCGTCGTCGATCCAGTAGAGCTTTACAATTGCAGGGCTACCTGTCTCTTCCTTCCATGGTCCCAAAACAGAAACAAAAATCTCTTCATTTCCAGACTCCTACCCTGCTTACACAAATACCATTCGTCAACACAGAAGGCGAAGAAGAGTTGCTAGAATCAAGCTGTAGGCCCACTTCCTTGCCAGATTCTGTGACGAGGATGAAGTCTTAGACGACGAGGATGTCATTGCTGTTATATTACTTGCTCCCGTCTTGTTGGTCCTGATTGGTAACAACAAAAGCAACACCATGTATTTAGCTATAATAAAAGTAATACAATATGGCTGGCTGGGAAAAGACTAGAGAAAGAGCTTTGGCTGCAAGTAACTTACCCCGCTGTCATATACAAACAGTTATCATAGCCTGCAAGACATAAGTAGACAGGTTTACGGTTTAGAAAATGCACATCATCAAAGAGATTGAGAAATTAGAGTTTGGACACTCGGAGAGAGAGGAGCATTACTTGGATCCTTGTCAACTCTAACTCCAGTGCCACCAAAAGTGCAAGCGATATCAGTTGCTCCATTCTGCTGGTAGTAAGCATTGAATGCATAAGAAGCATGAGAAGCCAGATTATCCGGCTGGAAACAAGGCTGACTCGGCTGAATAGGCGAGCAATCCACATTCCCAGTACTACATGCCCAGTCAACCGCATTCTGCAAATCAAGCTGCGTCGCATTACTGGAAGCAATGCACCACGTCTTAGTAGTCCCATTGAAACCACCAGCAGTCCCATTCGAGTTCGGTGTTGGCATGCCTACCACAGCACCTCTGCCACTAAAATCCAGATTGTAAACGCTCGTCTGATCAGGATAGAACAGACCCCAGTTCCTCTCCGACTCCAACCCAGGCTTCCTGTTCTCGTTGAACAGCGAGAAGATGTACACATCTACATCCTCCCCTGGCTTGGCAGGAGTCCCTGTGTCATTGATCACGTGGCGGATCAAGTTGGCATTGTAGATTTGCGCGTTATCAGGAGTTGCAGCAGTCTCCTTAGGCGAACCTTTTGATGGCCACCCTGTCTCAGTCACCATAACCTTGATCGTTCTGAAGTTGAGAGCCATCAGTGCAAAATAGAGAGCATCTATTTGAGCATCGAACATGTTGGTGTAGAGCAAGCCAGTGTTCGGGTCGATTACTTCGGAGGAGGACTGGAACAAAGCATAATCCAACGACACATTGCTTGGAGAATCTCTGTACGCATAGTAAGGGTAGATGTCAATCATGAAAGGGGATTGGTTCTCAGCGAGGAACTCCAGTAAAGGTTTGAGGAAGAGCGCATGCTTGCTGCTGAAGGCACCAGCTGAAGGTGGGAAAGAGCGAGACAAGACGCCGAGGGAATGTGTGGTTGAGACCTTAATCTTCTTGTGCAAGCCGAGCTTTTTTAGCGAAGTGAGGATATTGTGCATGGCGGGTACAACAAGAGCCGACTCATTGTTTGGTGCTTCAGTGACTTCAGCACCAACTGTGATATAGGTGATCTTTGTGGCAGGGTAGTAAGGGAGGATGTTGTTCTTGAGCCATGTGTCGGCATTGGATTGAAACTGGGAGAAGGGGAGCAAGTCCGAGTTTGATATACCGATCATGAGCTCGATCCCAGTGTTGGCGAATGCCTTGAGAACTTGGATGTTCGCATCGTATATCCTTGCGTATTTGATGTTATGCTGCTGAATGAGGTCCACGGCTTTATCAGGTGTTGGGAGGTCGTCGGCATTCCTTCCATAACAAACTCCAACTATGCTTCCTCTGCACAGAACTGCAAATGGAAATTTGGATGAGCCCAACTTCCAGAGTACACAGCCGAATAAAGGGTCTCCCCCACTGGAAAGTTTCTTTCCTTACAAAAGCAATTACGTGACTCAAGTTCACTTGATGTTGACTAACAAACAACTACCCTCAGGCCTCAGCAATACTTAAATGCATTTTGAGGATAGTGAGGACAAACTGTTTTACCAACCCATTCATCCAGAGCAACACTGAACCAAAACCAGGACTCCCAAGACTCTCTAGCTTTGATGGTATTTTTGGAGAGAAATGTACAATCATGTTGATCTCACAAGACAATGATGAAACAGATAACAAAAGTTTGCTTCAAGCTTGAGAGAGGTAATGATGCCAGGAAAGAAGAAGGCTTTCCATATTACCACAAAGGTGACAACAAAAATTTTCGAGATTTATTAGTCATCTAACAGCCAACATTTCAAGAGTAGAGACAAAATAAGAGGTGGGCTCAAGCCACTGTAATGGGGGCATTATTAGGCTGTCAAAGCAGTGGTCAAATTGAATAAACAAGTTCACAAGTAGGAAACAAAATTCTAGAGACTGGTCCACATTTCTCAACACTGCATCCCAGCTGTCCACAAACCTATCAAATGAAAAAGAAAAAGGGAAGTCTCGAGTATTACACAATCACACATAAGCTCAGAAGTTAGTAAATGCAGGGGTTACTAGGACCATTAGATACAGAACCTGGGTTTGGCAAACCAGAAAACAGGACGACTTGAAGACAAAAGGACAGGGGAAAGTGAGGGAAAACTAGTGGAAAAGGAAAGGCATAATCTAAATGGGTGCTTCCAAGTAAAGAAATCGATTCCGGGAGAACCCATTTCAGCAAGTAATAGTTGAACAAGAAAGAAAAAAACCCCACATCGACATTGGAAATGGAAGAGAAAAGAGAGCATACCCGGAAGTGCAAACAGCAGAGTGAAGGCTAAAACTAGCTTCAATCCTTCTTCTCCTCCTCCCTTCCTCCCCATCACCGCTTCTTCTATCCTCACTCTGTCTCTGCTGCTTTCTCTCTATCTCTATAGTAAGCGCGCCCAGCAACTCACTCCCCAAGGCTCTTATTATGGGTTCCAAAGGGAATCGTACTGTGGAGGAGGAGACACAGACTAACGTCTCTATTTCTCGCTCTTTCTCTCCCTTTCTTGCTATATTGGTATATGCGAAAAGGGCCTTCTGCTGACTCTCTCCCGGAGCTCGAGAGAAGGATGGGGAAGCAAGCAGCAGAGAGCAATAGTGGAGAGTAGAGTGTGGTAATGGGTCAGTGTTTATGTCAGAGTGCCCAGAGAACAAGGGTTGGACCAAATTTCTGAAACCTTCTACCTTCTTTTTCCGAATTAAAAAAAAAAAAAATCGTTTTTCACAATTCGAGAATTAGGATGTCTGTTGCTTTGGTTCCTTCCCCGCTTTATCCCTGCTGCACCGACTCAGTAGGCGAAACCGAAGTCCGACCAGTTTTGCCTGGCCCGATCCATGGGCCCATGAGAAATGGACAAATGAAACAAAACAGTTGGACTTCGGCCCGTAAAATCCCAATCCAGGAAGTGATATAGTCTTCTGAACAGGCCCAGTCCTGAAGCCCGAAAGCAAGGATACCCCCAATCGCCACGTCTAACATTGACGTAAGCGTTTAAAAAATTATTATTAATTTGAATTTTTTTAAATGCGCGGTCTTTCCGGTTTGAAATAAATTGACGTTAGAAACTAAATAGTATTTTTTTTTAACTCTGTTTGACTCTCTCTGAGTTGTTCGTCGCTTTCGTCTTTTTCCAGAAAACGATAAGGAGTCTCTCTCTCACTGTCTTACATTCTCTCTGTAAGAAACCCTAGACAGCGAAGGCAGTAGTACGTTCGAATCTTCCAGCAGAAGAAAGCGAAAGATCATGAAAATCAAGAATCCATTGCAGCAGCTGAAGCTCTCTGTCCCGGCTCAGGAGACTCCGATTTCGTCTTTCCTGTAAGCTGCGCGCATTCCTCCTACTTCAATTTCACTGTTATTCAATTCGCCGTCTGCTTGAGTTTTCCGAACTAGAGAGTCTGAACTGTGAGGAATCCAGTTGTGGTTTAGCTTTCCTCAGCATTACTGCTTAGAGTGATTGATTTAAGTCTTGATTGATGCCGTGACTTGAACATTCATCAGCACAGCAAGCGGTACGTTTCACGACGGTGATTTGCGGTTGAATCAGAATGGTTTGCGGCTCATCTCGGAAGAGAAGGAATCTCAGGTAACTTGAATTCGTTTTGACTTTTTGGCTCAATTGATCTGTTGTATTGATGTGAAAGGATTGAACGAATGGCTTGAAACGATCTGTTTCTGTTCTCGGCTGTGGATTTTTTGCACTTTGTGTGTTCTTGTCTTCTTGATCGTCCTAGGAGTTTGATTGGAATTTGAAGCTTGTTATTCTCTTCTTATGGCGGCTTTGATTCTGCTATGAGGATTGTTAATCAACCGCTTCTTGCCCTCTTGGAAGTAATATAGCTTTACCGTGATAGCATGAGAGCATCGGTTCTGTTTGCATTCGCTTAACTCATTGGTCGTTGCATTGTAACCTTTGGTCGTCCATTGCCTCAGCAACAGCTTTTAGATGCTGTCTTTGCATTTGACAAAGTTGGCTATTTATAGGCTTGACTATGAATCTCTTATTCTTGGTAGTCATCTGAGAGCAAGGAGCTCGACTTTGAGTTCTCAAAAGAAGATCTTGAAGCGATCAAAGTGATCGGCAAGGGAAGTGGAGGTATTGTGCAACTCGTTCGCCATAAATGGGCTGGGACTTTGTTTGCCTTGAAGGTAATTTACTTAACCATTTTTGCCTTGGTTCATGATGCTGTTTTTGCCTACCTATTGGGAAGTTCAATTGACCTCTTGAAACCATTTATAATGATCAATTCATGCTTTTGTAGTAGTAGTAGTAGTAGTAGTAGCAGCAAGGAATTCTGACACAATGTAGTATGCTTACAGGTCATCCAAATGAACATACAAGAGGAAATCCGTAAACAGATTGTACAGGAGCTGAAAATAAACCAAGCCTCGCAGTGTCCTCATGTTGTCGTTTGCTACCACTCATTCTATCACAATGGGGCTTTCTCACTTGTGTTAGAATACATGGACCGCGGGTCTCTTGTAGATGTGATCAGACAAGTTAAAACAATTCTTGAACCTTATCTTGCAGTTGTCTGTAAACAGGTATATCTGATCTTTCTTCTTCACCAGGTTTACATTTCTTAGATTGATCCAGAGAAGAGGTCCTCCCAGAGAGTGTCTTTCCTGCTGCTGATAATTTCCTCGTAAATGCAGGTCTTACAGGGTCTTGTATATCTCCACAACGAAAGACATGTTATACATAGAGACATTAAGCCGTCGAACCTGCTGGTAAACCACAAGGGGGAAGTGAAGATCACTGATTTCGGCGTGAGTGCTGTGCTGGCCAACTCTATGGGTCAGCGGGATACATTTGTTGGAACTTACAACTACATGTCGGTATGTTCCTGCTATACTGGCTTAGTCACTATATTTTGTTAAAACAAATGCCTTAAGAAAGAAGTGGCCAATTGTTGAAGTTCTGATTCATTAATAACATTTTCTTTACACTCATTGTGCAGCCCGAGCGAATTAGTGGGAGCTCCTACGATTACAGCAGCGACATTTGGAGCTTGGGCTTGGTAGTACTTGAGTGTGCTATAGGACGCTTCCCCTACATGAGATCAGAGGATGAAGAGGAGCGACCAAGTTTCTACGAGCTCTTGGAAGCCATTGTAGATAGCCCTCCACCCACTGCTCCACCAGACCAATTCTCTCCTGAATTCTGTTCCTTTGTATCAGCTTGGTAAGGAATTCATAACTCCACACCTTGAGAACCCAAGGCAGAATTCCCTTTATTCTATCGATTCTCCTACTCTCCCACAAAGTTAGAGACAAAATAGAAAGAAAAAAATACAAAGCAATACCTGATTATTCCAAACCTTTTACTACTACTTTGGATTCTTGCTCACTGTTGTCTGTGATTTCTACAGCATACAAAAGAACCCTCGAGATAGATCATCGTCATTGGACCTCTTGGTGAGTGTTACAACATCGTTTGTTTTAGTCTCATTTCTCCAGATGGCAGCTTAAGAAACCTCGGAGCCTGATATTGACCTTCTTTTTTTTTTCACTCCAGAGCCACCCTTTCATCGAGAAGTTCCAAGACAAAGACATCGACCTTGGAATTTTGGTAAGTAGCTTGGAACCCCCAGTGAACTACCCAAGATAAGTTTTCTCTTGTATTCCAATCCTTCCGCTGTGTGAGGCCAAACTACCTCCTTGTCTTGTAATGCTTAAGTCAGATTTTATAGCGTTGAAGCCGATGATGATGCATCACGCAAATTCTTTCTTTAAAGTACCCAAGCCAATATCTTTTGCATACATCACCACCCTTGTTGATGCAACAATGATACAAAAGATGCAGTTTGGTTTGTTGTCTTCCTTCAAGCCATACATGGTGTTCTCTTTTTTGGTATCTTCATCGTTGTCTTCTATGCGAATGTGGCCGTCTTGATTGTGCTAGAGGGACCATATAACTGTGGTTGTTGTTTAAGGAAGACATCGTATGTATGTGGTCTGTCTGATGTGGGAATGGGGGGAGAAAGGTCAAGTTCTCGAGTCTGCTTTTGCTCAGTTTTGCATAAGTTTCCACGCAGTGGATGTGTTAGCCTGTACTGTACTGTAACGTGATTAAGGTGTGAAGCTAGATCAGCTCTGTTGGCCGTATGGAAACAAAGGCCAGAGTTTTTTTGCTCTAGAGGGTAGAGACAATGATCCCAGTTGCCTTATTCCTTATCTCTTTGTGAACCTTAACCAGGAATATCTTCTCGTTGGAGTGCATTTGTTGAGATGTGTCAATACTTGTGTTCAGTGATACTGGCTGATTTGACCCCATAATTATCCCAATGATAAGCATTTAGTTTATACATAAAAAAAAAAAAAACAGGTTTTGTTTTCGTCATTCATGGTAGACCTAAATTGTTCACTTTGAAATGCATCTAAAACGAATCCTTTGTTGGATTTTTTTTTCTTTTTTCAAAATTTCGGTGTTGATGGTGTGGATTTTTATTTGGGTGTATCAGATTTGTTATAGAGTGATCGTCATGAATATTAAAGTTTTATTCTCGTCTGTTGTCTATACATTCAATTCGAGCGTTATTTGTTAAATTCTGTTGTTCTAGTATCATGTATGCATATATTTCACATCCTATTTGAAGTATAACGAGGCATATCTTATGGTCGAATGTTCGTACATTTACGCTTCAGTAACCAATTGTTACTTTATTAATTGGTAGCATTTTGTCACTCCTTAACCATCTCTCTTGTAAAAATTCTCACGTCTATCTCATTGTCTTATTCTCATTTACTATGGTCTATGGAATGTAAAGTAAGAGCTTGAAAATTCTTAACATTGTCAAAGCAGCGTAAAAAAAGAAGGAAGGGAATTAACGGATTAAACAAAAGCCGCACAGCATCTTTTCATGCAAGTAAATCCAAAGAACGTAATTAATGATTACACTTCGTACCGTTTTGTTCTATGCACAAGAACAATTTTTGTATCCGACCCATAAAACGGACTAGATCAACGGGCATAGGCATTCCCGCCGGAGAAGAAAGAAATCCTAGCGGCTCCTTTCAAATTCAAGCTCATCCTCTCGCGGATTTAAGATAGAGTAGAGTATTGGGCCACATTTTAAAAGAAGTAAGTAGGATTGGGCTGTAATCAATCGAACACTGAAATGAATATCTAAAATCGAAAAATCTACAAGAGACGTGGCCCGGGGGTGCCCCCCTAGATCCGCCGTTGATCCTCCCTCGTTTAACCTGTAAAAAAGTATGCCTTGATCGAAAGATTTTGTATTCGAATATCGAAAATGTTTTATTTCCATAATTGATTTAGCCACAATGTATAACAAGTACTATGAAAACTGAAAATTCTAACGTCACGTTCATCAATAAAAGAGACATGTAAAAGAATAGTAAAAGAAATCGTATAAGCTCCCTTATGCAATATTAAACTAATCAGTTCTTGACATCCATCTTCCAATTCAGTTAATGCGACTAATGATTCCTTTGGATACAAATATTATATTGATATATATGTCGTTGAGAAAAACTTGTAGGCTTTTTCTAGAACCTCCGATTCTAAGCGATGTTCCGAGTACACATGTATTCTTCATAACACATGACATGTATTCTTAGTATCCGTAGTTCCTTTAATGTATAGTCCATGCATTATATATTTGCCAAACAAAGCATTTTTAAATCCCCACACATTCTTAGCATACACGTAATTTTAATGCACACATTATTGTAACACACCATTTCCGGAATCAAAGGTTCCAAACAACCCCTGATTTCATAATTATTAGATACGGATAATTTTATTAATAATTTAATATAATATACATATTCAACTACAGTAAATTGTGAAGCACGAATCTAACAAAGACATAAATCATCGACACAAACACCACATCCAAAATCCCATCATTTTTTCCTACCAATAATGGCCAATTATATCTATCTACAAGCTGCTTGATCCTCAAAATCTTTATCATCATGAGAACACGCATGCTCTTTTTTTCTAATCATTTTTCCCCTTCTTTTTAATGACGTCATATTACCTTCTTCCATTGGTGTCAAATTTTGCAGGAAGCATTATGCTGTCGAGAGACGAACCGTCCATCTGTCCAGCTCCCATTTGATGGAAAGCCGACGGTGGGCCCCGCAGGCTAAAAGAGCAAAAAAGAGAAAATGCACATGTGGGTACTAAAACGAAACTAAACCCATTAATGGTGGGCCCTTATCATTAAATGGGCCCCCGGTGTCCCAAAACCCGTGGGCGCGGCCGCATGGATAACATTAAAGTATTCATTAATAAAACCATGGATATTCTGCAATAATTAACTAAATCTAAATAATCTAACATTAAAAAAAAATATTTTAAAAATACAAGAAGAAGAGAGGAAATTAGGTATCCACATATCATCCTTAAGCAATTTGAAGGCAGTGCTTTCAGGTCAACTTCCTTATCCTCTTGTTCTACTAGACTACTACTTCTTCTAGGGTTATTTTGTTCTCTTTCCCCTCTAGGAGGTCTTGAATCTTGATAGATATACAGAAGAAGTGAACATCACTCAATGAATTAGATTCCTATATATCTAGTGAGAGTTCTAAACGATCTTAAATCGATACAGGGATCGCAACTAACTGGAGGGTGCTTATCCAGAAAGATTTGGTTGTTGTTATGCTCCCAGCTAATCCAGCATGTTGCCATCCACCCCCTGTACCAAGCGTCTTGATCATACCAGCAATATCACCGTAGTCGGGCTAACTCATATTTTCCAGAGAGAGTATTAATGTTTGCGGTTGATAACCCGACCCACCAAATTCAAAGATGTGATGACGTTATTGACAACCGTATTGAACTAATGATAAGCTGTTACTTGTTCATTGACTTATTTGTTTAAATTATGGCAACAATTTGGTCTGTGTATTAAATTATGGATAAAACCTAAATCAATTTCTTTTGACCTTATCGCACACAAAGGGTCAAAACGGAGGCATATTTTGGAATGATGATGTCTATTTGGATCATATTTTGTGCTGTTTGTTTTACCATTTGTGGAAATCCAATTAGGGATAAGTTTTATAGCCAGCTAGGTTATGTTTGTCGATAGTAATCTCTCTGTTTATCTTTTGGGTTTGGCCCTAACATTAATTATTAACATACAACTGTCTAAAATGATTCTTCTAACTCTTCAACCGGCCGGCAGCTTCCACAAAAGAAAGAGTAGTAGATCCCACTTTTGTTCTTTATTCAAAATAAAGTTTTAATTAATTGATTAAGTGGCCACACAAGTCAAATGTCTCTTGCTTTTGTCCATTACCAAATTTGTGATTTACTAAGTGGAATTTATCTTAATTGGAAAAAGTACTTATACTTCAAAAAAAGTTATCTTTTCTAGAAATAAAAATAAAATTGAAACTATTTATGTAAAAAAGAAACAAATTCAATTTCCTCCAATATCTTAACTATTTTTGGCCCTTCCAACTCTGAAGAGAATAATATGCATTCTTCAAATGAAAATAACAAATTTCGAACAGTTAGAAATTTAAAGAGTGCTAATTCGTCGCCGGTCATCATAAACCAATAAACCGTATATGATCATATAGATAATAGAAAGAACAAAAGAGCACTTCGTTTCGATTATTCTTATCTTTTTTCAGTACATGATCGATTATTATGTTGCGACAAAGTAATTAGACTTTCAAGGAGACAGATTTTGATCTCAAGAACTTCATAATTTATTTGATGCCCCATCAAAAGAGTACCAGCATGCAATACTTGTGTTACAGTCGCTTGCAACCATTTGGACGTCGCATGATATTTGCCTTACACGATTTTTCAGTTCCCATTCACAAACACGTTCTTAGTAAAGTCGTTAGTGTATCAAGGGAAACACATGTTCGTATCCGCTAGATCAATAGTTTTGCGGCATTTAGAAGCTAGCGATTGTATTGCCAACTTATAATGATCGAAACCACTACAATGTGAGAGTAATGAGAAGATATCATAATGCAAGTTTTGCGCTAAAGCCGCCTATGCTGCTTGCAGCCATTTTGGACGTCTTCTATCGCATATTATTTGTTGTTATGCTACTAAGGGAAACACTTTTTCATCTCCACCAAATAAATAGCTTTGCGGCATCTGCAAGTCGGCGAGTGTAATGCAAAACATACTAATCGAAATCACTACAATGTGAGAGTAACGAGAAGAAGATTACAAAACAAAAACAGAACTGCTTTGATTGGCGATTGCCATGCTCTTTATTTGCCTGACACGATCTTTCAGTCCCCATCGCAAGCCCGTTCTTTAGATCTAGAGATAGCAGAAGTATTCAAATTTATTGTAGAATGCAGGCCACAATCCATGTATCATAAAGTCGTTAGGGTACCAATGAAAACACATATTCGTCTCTGTCAGATAAATAGCTTTGCGGCATATGGAAGTCGACGACTATAATGCCAACACATAATAATCGAAACCATGAGAATAATGAGAAGAAAGATAAAAAAGCAAAAATAGAACTGCTTTGATTGTCATGCTCTTTGTTTGTTACTCTTTTTCCGAGAAGGAATGAATACTCGATATTTCATTGCACTTCCACTACTCTCTCTTATATACAAGTACAACAGCTTGTGCAGGCAACATTCTAACAACCTAATTTGCAAGTAAAATAACATATTTACAAGCAAAGAATTTTTCTACCTGTTAATCCGAGTCACAAAGACTATATATATTAATATGCTTTGAACTTTTAGTGTGGTAAACAATTATTTTGACGATTTTGTTGAGATTCTTTCATTGCAAATATGTATTCAGTTTTCTTTTAATGGGAAATATGTATCAATGTGGGTAATAATGATAATATGGAATTCGTAATCTCGTTGTGAATTTGTGATTAATGTTAAATGATATTGATTGTAGAAATACACAGATTCACCCTAAACTTAAGAATTCTTTTACATTTAATTGATACATCAAATTACGTATTAAGGATGCTTTAGAAACAAAATTGAGCTAAAATGTTAAATTGAAGAGTTACAACTTACAAGTAGGTAGCCTGACTAGTTGAAGGGTTGATTGTTTTATTTATCAGTAGGGGTCATGGTTCCGAACCGGACATAAAATTATCGGTCCATATAATGTGGTAATCTTTGGTCCTATGTAAAATTATATCCCGTGATATAAATGTGTATCATAGTGATGTTAATATAGTAGAGTCTAGAAATATATTAATGATCATTTAACACTTTTCATCGTCTACCACTTGTTAGCACCCTATATCAGGATGGTATATTTGGTTTTGAAACTTTTATACCCAAAAATTTATAATGCAATAGATCAGGATGAACTCGTTGCTTCTAGTTAAAATTTCAAAATTCGAGTTAAAAACGAAGGTGGTACTAGGGTGGTATGAAGAAAAAAAATCCAAAATATATTGAAAATCAATATAATTTTGTAGATCACAACGAACTCGTTCCACCTGTGAAAAAATTGAAATATGATTAAAAGAAGTTATAAGCCTTTTTGAATAGTCTAATCACAGTATAGTGTTGAACAAGTAGGGGGTAACAATTGAGTTTTATGGTGACAAACTAAATGGAGTAGGTAATAGTGATTCTACTGTTGTTAAAAAATATGCTAGACACGCTCAATTGGATGAACTTTTTCAATTAGATCTGCTACTTTGAAATCAGACGAAGTTTCTTGCAGAGTGGAACCATCCAGTATCCTATACATGATAGATCTTTCAAAGAACATGAGGGTTTTTTTCCTTCGAATAAGCCAATTCATTTGGGATCCTGTAGATCCACTCTTTTTTTCTTATTCAAAGATCAACCTTTTGTCTCTGTGTCTTCACATCGAGAATTCTTTACAGATGAAAAGATGTCTTCTTACATCACAAACAAACCCTCCTATGAACAATGGTTCCAATTTTAAAAAAAATAGAAAGAAAAAAAAATCTTTCAATTTCACCTCTTTGGATATAAATCTATTTAAAATCAATGACCAACAATTACATTTATTTTATTAATGGTTTTTTTTTACCTGAATTAGGAAAAAGAGCATATGAGAAATTAAAGAAAGTAAATGTCATTACTTTAGGAGCCAAAGGATAACGACCGTTTTCTCCCTCTCTTCTTTCGCCCCCTTTTTTCTTTTTCTTTTGCAGGCAACAAAAAAAAAGAAAAAGAAAGATGGTGGTGGTGACTAGGATTTTGGATATGTCTTCCCAATATACACTACTGCCCACGATCTTATCCTCTCCCCTCTCTTCCTAGTAATATGGGAGCACCCACAGAATTAAATACTTATTATTAATTATAATAATCCTAATAAATAAATAATAATAAGTTAAATAACAGAAGAAAATAGGAAACCCCTACCCAGCCATACACTTCCCTCAAAGAAGATGACGATGACAAATCACAATAAGATAAATATTTATGAATTTTCATTATTAAACAAAGAAAATGAAATATTTGTCAATTCCATGACATATATAAATAAAAAGCATTATCCTTTGCTCCCAAACCCACCAAATATTTCTGTTTATGTGTCCCCTTTCTTCCATTCCATTCTGTGTATGCTCTCCAGGTGCATTCTTCCAAGCCTCTCATCACAAATTCCTACAAAGAAAATAATATCACAAGCAGAAAGAAAAGAAAAAAATCCAATCCAGTCTCTGTTTTCTCTCCCCAATCTTCTGTATTCTCCTTGATTTCTTGTCAGAACAAATTCCAAAAAAAACATGGGGGAAGTTGCAGGAAATCGCCATGATCAGGCTTTCTTGGGCGGGTTGAATTTGATGAAGGAGGGGAAGAAGAGATGGGCAATGGAGGAAGACAAATTCTTCTTCGAATCAAGATCTGTTCTTGGCTGTAGTAATAATCATAAGAACGAAGAACAGCCAACTTCATCACAATCATCCATTGGTTCCCCTTCTCTCGACACGACGTCGTCTTGCTTCTCCGATGAAGAAGAAGACGACGATGCGTCGTCTTCCTCTTGTTCTCCTATGGGCTCGGCCTCGTCCTCCAATTCCTCGTCTTCTTCCACATTGGCTGCCAAGAACATGAATGACAGCAGCCCTCTTTACGAGTTGTCAGAGCTAATGTCCCAGCTCCCAATCAAGTAAGCAACAAACAAACGAATTTCCCCCAAAGGTTGAATCTTTCCCCCCCTGTATTCTAATGGGGTTTTCTTAATTTTTCGCAGAAAGGGCCTGTCGAGATTCTACGACGGGAAATCGCAGTCGTTTGCGTCGCTAGGGAGCGTGCAGAGCTTGGAAGATCTGGTGAAGAAGGTGCCGTCGGGGAGGATTCTGAAGATGAAGTCGAAGTGCAAGAGCTTCTGTTGGGGCTTGGAGAGGCAGAAGAAGCACTGCTATGGCCCGAAACCGGCCATCTCCAAGAAGGGTGGAGGTTCAAGTTCCAGAGTTTCCTGTTTTTCTTCACTCGCGAAAACGCCTTCTTCTTCTTCTTCTTCTGCTACCGCTTCCTCTGTACATCAAACGAGCTACTTGGTTTGAGAGAGTGTGAAATCCAAATCAAACCCATGTTCAGGTTTAAATTTTGGCGGATTGGGTCTTCGTTGTATTGCCCTAAAGGTATCGGCTTTATAGCAAAGCACCACCGGTGGTAGTAGTAGTAGTGTTATGATCATGTTTATATGACTGATCAGGTCTCTAATTAGGAGGGTAAGAAAAACCCAGAAAGAGAAAAGTGATTGATTGTTTGATAACTTACTTACTTACTTACTGACCTAACAGAGAGAGAGATTTTATGGTTTCAACGGAAGGGAAGTTTTCATGTTGTTCATTGATTTATGAAAAGGGTATTCTTTTCTGTATTTTTCCTTGTTATCCTTGTTTCGGTTTCAAAACTGCAAATCAGATCTATACTGAAAGAGACCAAATCCAGATGCCTTGCATTGCAAGCTTTGTGTGGCGTGTAGACGGTCCTCTCCTTTTAGGAAGAGTTTCCTTTTTTTTGGTTCATGAGGTGGGAGAGTTTAGGGGGATTTGGTTTCTTGATGGAGTCACAAATTCTCTCATTGACTTTGACTCCCAATATTAGGAATTTTCAACGGACTCCTCCTAATCTTGCTACTCTGCTAGTATGGAAGAAAGAAGGCTGAAAATGGAAACCAACTAGTGTACATAATCACTATTTAAAGTTTAAAAGGTTATACATTTACGGTTTCAGATTACCAAAACAACTCTAAACAGAATCGTGATTTAGATCCCCTCGGAGTTTCTTCTTTGCAATTTGCCCCGAACAATTTGGATTTTTGTGAGGAGTTTTTGTTCTTTCGTTTGTTGTCCAACCATGAATGAGGAATTGGGCAAATGGGAATCCATGGCCTGCCCCAAAACCAAAAGTGTTGCGGTGTCCTGACCCAAATTTTGTCAAAATAAGGGTACCATAAAGAACAAAGAAGGAACCATTGTCGGCAAGGGAGACATTTCAACCGCCGAGAAAATGATGTGATGATTGGTTATTTATAGCATAGTGGTGCTAGCAGTGCACAATTGTTCTTAATTTCATCATTGATTTAGTCATACCTGTTTGAGTTTTGACAAATTCGTAACTTTTGGGGATCTGATGATGATAGTTGGAGTGCAAAGCGTATGAACAAACTTTTCAAACCGAAGGAAAGAAGCAGCTATGAGTGTACTTTGTTTTAATATCACTACTGAGAACATCTGTAAGTAGCATCCTCAAAAACTCAATTCAATACCAGTGTGATTTTTCTGTTTCCCAGTCTCCTAAATCTCCTCTTGTTCCTCGCAGCGGCCAAAATCGATGTATGAATGCTTGCCGATGGCAGTTTCGGGAGCAGTCGGGACTGAATTTTCATATCTTGTAGACAGGAGTGATTCCAAGAAGGAAGAAGCATTTCCTCATCACCATTGCTGTTGCTTCACACAACAATAGCCTGCTTGTTTCCTCCGCCGAACCAATCACCTGCTCCGTCCCACGAAGAAGAAGAAAAACCCAGGTTATTGTACGAGGAATAATCGCATTTTGTTGAGCAGCGATATCGCGGAGGCTTAGTTTAGTAGAGCATTTATTCACCTGACAATTGGAGTAGAATTTGCTGAAGTTTTCAGATAAGTTGTAGAGGTATTCGCAGAGGATGTTCGGCAGTAGGTTGGTACACGCCTCTTCCACAATCTGGATAGAAAGTCACGAGGAGTACATATAGCCACTATCAGAGACTCGGAAATGATACAGCGGTTGAAAAGGGTAGATTAGTCTACTGGAAAATGTATCACCCCATGTTACCTCAGAAAATCGAAGTAGATGAAGCCCCAGAACACGCTCATCTTGATGCTCCAACGACAATACTCCAGTCTGTTTAACCATGCGAAAATATGAAGACAAATTCTTAGATCCGTAATCAGCACCAAAACTTATAAAAGTAGCAACTGGCTTGTAGCATTGAGAAAATATCACAACCCATTTCAAGTTCACAATGAAAAGAAGGATTAATAGGGGAGGAGGCAACTGCTTACTTTCTTCAACTCCTCCACATCTTTGCCGGACTTTCTGATGATGGAACAGATCCTTGCATGTGCGTAGAGCAAATAAACAGCCGTGTTTCCCTGCCCCACAACATTAGGCAAGTAACGAAATTAGCACAAGCAATGACCAACAATTTAAATCATACTACCCGTCTGAGAAAAAAAAGGGGGAGCCAGTCAGCATTAGGAAGAATATATAACGTCTCCAAGCTTGGCATCAACAGTCTCGGTTTGATCCTTGACTAGAAACCTACTTTGAGACACTCCCACAAAGAGATGGCCCATACCTTATCATTCAGCATTTGGTCGAAATTGAAAGTATAATTGGTCAACCGATTGTTCTTCAAGTCAGCATACCTGCGGCCACAAAAGTCTCAAGTATGTTATTCACAAGAATCACGATAAAAGTCATGGCCGAACCAAAAGCAAGTCCTCATTCATCATAACAAGGCAAAAGACTAGAGTAACTGCCAGATCTACTACAGAAAATTATATTGAATAAATTAGCTATTCCACCTCACAACAGCTTTCAATTTGATCCCAAACACAGCCTCACTTTAAAACGTCTCTTTTCTAGCCCAGTTAAGGGATTCCCGCTTATGGTTTCTACACCCAGACAAAAGTAATAATCTTGAAACTTGCAATTGTTCTCAATTATTTCTTCTTCCAAGTAAAACATCAAATGCCCCACTCATGCTCGGATCAACAAATCTTATAACTTCTGACGTAATTCTGACAAAGAATGTCATAAGTATAGCAATTAACAGCTAGAATAAGCCATGGTAGCATATTGATTCTTACTTAACAGCGCCATAACCAACTGCTTCAGCTGTTTGGTCAATCTCCTCCTTTGTCCAATCTTTATCCTTTTCTGTTGAAAACAAACCAAACTAAGCCAAGTTAGTAGGAAGATGAACTCTGGCACTAAAAAATGAGATATGCAAAATAGATAAAAAAAGGTTCAAAATGTATAAGCAGGAGAAAAAGTATATCCGAGTTATCATACCACGCTCTTCAAGCACTGCCTTACTTCGACTCTTGGCTTCGTCGAGCAAATCAACTAACCGAACTACTTCTGTAGATCGAGTTCTGAATCGCTTGCCATCTTCTCCAAGAACAAGCCCAAAACCAACATGGCTTGTTCTAGGATACTTATTAGCCTCAGTAGGGAGCCAACCAGCAATCTTAGCAGCCTAAATTGTAGAAGAGAAGGAAGATCTCATCGAATTGAAACGTCATTTTTTTCACTTCCATTTCTAAATGACTCAAAAGAAGGAGAAAGTATGAAAACAATACATATCCACATTAAATGCATTGAACTTACCTTGAATACCATCTCAAAGTGCTGCTGCTGACCCACATCAGTAACATAGATAATCCATTCAACTTTCTCTTCATTGAGGCGATACCTACACATACCAAGTAGTGGTGTACGTAAGTTTAAGCATTTCAACTAAGATATATACATTTTGGTACTAGAGAATTGAACTAACCAGAGTGCAGTCAGATCAGTAGAAGCATAATTGTAACCACCATCGCTCTTAACAACAATAAGAGGAATATTAAATCCTTCGAGAAAAATTACACGGGCACCCTCACTTTCTTCAACCAACCCTTGATTGGTCAGACCCTCTATAACTGAAGGTATGAATGGATTGTAGAAGCTTTCACCCTGCAGACCAAAAAAAGCACAAACAGCATTTCAGTTTCTAAAATTAGTGCTGTATGGGCACAAAGATGTAGCATAGAACGATGCGTCAAAATGAGCAAGAATTCAATCCAAGACTTCAGCCTTATCCCTAGGGTGCACAACATAACCAAAACTCAATTCCTTATGGCGAGAATCCTCCAAGGCGGGCATAGAATCACTCGAATTACTTAGTCCTCTAGACCTTTTTCAGTAGCAATATTATCATGCAATATTGATATAAATCTCAACAGAATGACTGGACAACAGATCCAAGGATTCAAGACAAACTGAATAAAGCTTAATGAGACAGGTAAATAAAGGTTATTGCTATACGGCATCAAGTCCAACAGAGATTTGATACATACAAGAACAATAGGTGAACAACTTTCCCCACACAATACAGAACAATTTCCTAGAAAACCAAAAAAAGAAAGTACCTTTTCCTCTATCTCAACTTTGAGTCTGTCGTAGACACTGTCGAACTCCCTCCTACTGATTGCACAGATCTGAGCCCAAGCATCTCTGTACCTCTTTTCTCCGCCCTGGATTCGAAGGAATAACAAACCTAACAGATGTCTACATTGGTTCTGATGCAAATTCATGATAGTACTTTACAAAAGAACAAACATGCAGATAGCTCAAGGGAGAATTATTAACCTGGAGGCGAACAACTGCTTTCTGTGCGCGCTCTTTAAATTCGGAATCATCATCAAACCTTTGTTTTGATGCCTTATAGAATGCCTAGAAATTATAATAGAAATCATTGCTCAGAAATTTCATTCCGTCCTGTTTTCTACAATTAACCTCTCCCTCTAATACAAAAAGACACATTGCTGTTTAATATGAAACGGACAGATGGGAAAAAATCAATAACCATGTTGCAAACATTATAAGACAAAAAAATAGTGTAGGGAAGCATGTCACAACACCTGTAGGTCTCCAATTGCTGTTTCATTAACTGCCTCAATGTTAGGGAACTTCTCAAAGAGGTGTTCTATCAACATGCCAAACTGCAAAATAATGTACATACAATTAGATATATTCTTACATGAGACACGAAAATATGCACATGGCGGCCTAAAAGTATGGTGCTATAGATATCAAAAAGAGGAAAATATTCCATAACAGTATACAAAACAGATTTCTAAAGTTGTTTTCTGCAAGTATAAAGTATCTTTAAGAGACCTGTAATATAATATCATCTCAAACACAGAGTAATTTCTTGAAGAAAACACATTGGGCAGACACAATTATTGTACCTAGTTCATGAAACCTAGATAACAGATATCTATGACAAATAGTATGACACCCTAGTCAGTGCCGGAAACAGAACAGATTAAAGATTTCGTACTTTTTACATCCTTTGCTTTCGTGTAGAACAAACAAACTATGTAATCATACAAAAGCTGCAATGCCAGGAATCAAGCATGCACCTATGTTATATTCAGAACAGGGGTAAGCCACATTTCTCGCACCTACAGACTTTAGGCGGTAATTAATACTCGAGTAAACTGAAGATACCTGGGTTCCCCAGTCACCAACATGGTTTCGCCTAAGAACATCAACATGTGAGAATTCAAGCATGCGGGCAATTGTGTCTCCAATAATTGTAGATCGCAAGTGACCGACGTGCATTTCTTTGGCAATGTTTGGCGACGAAAAGTCAACCACAGCCCTCTTAATTGATAACTTAGGTGCCCAAGTATCAATCCCATCAAGAAGCATTTTTTGGATGCTCTGCAACCACACCAAAATTTTCAGTAACGATAACGCTGCGGAATTAGTATAATAAAAAGTACAAGTGCAAGTCAGGTTAGGAAAACACTAAAGTCAAATGCAGATATACCTTAGACATCCACTTATTTGATAACACAACATTCACAAATCCAGGCCCAGCTACAGAGCACGATTCTATCATCTCTGTCCGAGGGAGATTTTTCATGATAGCCTGACCAAAGAAAGAAATTATAAATACACATACAAGAAGTTGTCCAAGCACTATCTCACCAACAGAAGAGGAGACAAACAAGCTTGGCTCACACAATGAACTGCACGAACTGTAACAAACAAAGAAATAGCTGATACCTGTCCAACTGCCGGGGGTCCCTTAAACTGACCACCTCCTTTTCCTTTAAGTTTAGAGAAAAGTCCCATGGCATTATTACTGAAAGAAACAAAACCCAACCAGCTTCATCTACTAAATACAGCGCCAGAAATCAGTAAACGAAGCACTTGACGATTCCCACCCACTAGAAACCACCAAACTCTCCTGATAACTAGTTCATTCTACTGAAAGCACACAAAATTGGAGCTCAATCTTACCACTGGTAGTCTCCAAATCTACCCACCGTGCTTGCAGCAACAATAGGTTCCACATCGGCCTCCTCCGGGACCGTTGCTTGAAGCGACAATTCAAACACTTTCGCTATCAGTCTCTTCACATTACCAACATTCTCCTCATCCTGCAAAGCAGTCATTCAATCACCATACCGAGCAACAACTCAGCAAGGGCGGGAAAACAGACCCCACACAGTTCCTGAAAGCGCCGTCAATGTCAAAAACGAACTTACATTCGCCATGGTGGAAATCGATTCCGTCCTAGCAGAAAATGCAAGCGCCCTCGAACTCACTCTCAGCAAGCCTGTCTAGTTTCACAACATAACAGCACGACTAAAATGAACTTTACAGAATTACTACAACAGAAGCTCAACCCAAGCAGCTTCAACAACCTAATTCGAACTGATTGCATGCAAGATGATGATTAGATAAAGGCAGAATCAAAAAGAACGGGATGCTCGAGGAATCGGCTGCTGCTGCGGCGGCCAGTGGAAGAGACTGCAGAATGTGAGAGGATGGATTACGGGGTAGAGCTTACCGGCGGCGGGCAGTGGGGACGAGCGGAGACGAGAGAGGCGACGGAAGGAGAGCAGCGAGGGAGAAGAGGCCGGCGGGAGGAGAAGAGCTATGGAGGAGCATAACATTGCGTTTTGGTCCTCTTCCTATTTAACAATGGGGGAAAAAGGGGGAAACCCTGGCTGACTCAGTTTCCTTCACTCGGCTTTGGGCTTTGGACTCCCCTACCGTTTTCCGTTGCAGGTAGGTGCAGCAGTTTCCTTCCTAGCCTCCAATTTTCTTGCTCGCTACTCTTCTTGCGTGGTCTTGAGGGACTTATGTGTAACACTCGGCTATTTTATTCGGAACTTTCTCACAAAAGTAGGGTGTTCAAATGGTTACGATCATTATTACCAAATTAAATAAGGCTAAATTTTATTTAATCAGAAAATACAATATCATAATCAAACTGTCCAAACTAATACAACAACCAAATTAACCAAACTAAAGTTTAATAGGTTTGGTTAATTGGTTAACCAGATTAACCAATATAAAATCATATTATCATTAAGTGAGAAAATTTTCGGTTAAATTATCAATTCACAACTATCATACATTAGGATACAAATGTCATATTGGATTCCTTTGGACACAAATGACACATTCTTAATAGGTCGGGTTTCCTAGTGGTATTAGCCCTTTATATAATGAATAAAACATTCTCATAAAAAAAATATAATGAATAAAACATAACAATCAACACATAGTTATAGTTGACCCTTAACATAAATACATGCAACTAAGACAATTATCTTACGGTTAGTATAGAAGTATTCGCCTAACAAAAATTTATCACAATGGTATGGGTTAATGAATTGTTGTGTTTGTTTGAATTGACATAGTCTTTTGGCAATTTTCATATGCTGAAAAGGACCTTGCTTTCAAATTTTCATCCAACATAATGTATGAGATTTATCTAAATTAGGCGTTCATATGTTGTGGTCTACACTCTACATATACAAATAATCATTATAGGAACAATATCAAGCTTTATATTTTATGAGTCTAAAAGGATGAGCGTTTAACTCTTGAGTGGTTATTCAAAGTATTAAGTATGTGTATATATTAGATATATAACTAATTATTTATCTGGTTAATTTGGTTTGGCTGGTTAGGAGTGCCTGAAACCAAGCCAAACCACCTAAACCAAACAAGCTAAAACTTTAACCAAACCAAACCAATTATCCAAATTAACCAAACCAAATTATCCAAATAGTACTCATTAAAACGGTTACCATGGTAACCACACCGTTTGAACACCCCTACCTACACAAAAGTAGCAAAGTAGGGGTGAACATTTCAAATCGAAAACTGGCTACACATCCAATTCGACTCGATCCACCCATAAAATACGAGAGTTTCAAAATAAATGGGTGGGCGAGAATTTTGGGGTTTTTTCTCAATATATCACCCAAAAATAAAATAAAATAATCTAAAAATATCATTTGAAAAAATCATTCATATCACCCTTTCACAAGGATTGCATCCTCTCATGACGGTTAAAACGAGGACCATAGGAGGGTGATGCGGTTTTTATTTTCGTCGCCTACAGCACGTGTGTGGTGGTTGGGGTCAGATTAATTGTGCGTCACCTCAACGATCCCGGCCAAACAGTGACAACCCCGCTCGGTTTGCATTTTGAACACGGAAACTGTCGCACCCCCTGCGGTTTGCATTTCGAAAACGAAAATCGCCGCACCCCCCCTGCGCTCATCGTTTTCTTTTGGTGTTTAAGTCGATCAACAACACTTGAGCAAACCAACAAAGGCGAATAACATAACTTGAGCAAACCAACAAATTCGAACAACATAACTTGAATGCCAACAAAGTCCAATAATATTACTTGAGAAACCCAACAAGGAGCAAACCAACGGAAAATAAATGATCAAGCAATCTATATGCCATTATCTAGATTGGCAATGTCATGCCCCAGATTTTGAGGGTCGATTGGTCCAATACAATTTCATTTATCATGACCTGGTACTTTGCATATGAAACAATATTTTGACCCTCGTGGTAGTCTTTCAGATTGATCCATCTAATTGGGAATCCTTTTTACCCTCGGTCGTCCCGTTTCATGTTTATGTTCGAACGTTGGGTTGATCACATTTCCTTTGTTACACTGGCCAGTAAGTTTCGTTCAGCAATGAACGAAAACTCTTTGCATAGGATTTCTTGAGCGAGTCGATATTGAAGTAAGGACTCACGAAGTGGAGGAGGTCTTTGCTCCCGGACTTGATTATGACCATGGCATGAAAACAAGGCAATCCTCTCCCCCAATACTTCTGGCAGGAGCACTCCCCTTGTTTTGTCCTTAAGTTCACCTTGACTTCATGGTGATACCTCCACGTCTGCCATCCTTCCAACGCCTGGTCTCAACTGTATACTCACCAACATCTCGGTTCATGGTGATGAGCCTATGCCGACTGTGTTGCACCAAGACGAAGCATTTCTCATTTACAAAACGGTGTCACTTCAAACAATCACAGAAGCAGCCTGGAACAATACTGTATTGGAGTGTCGCCCTTCGAAGTCTATCTCTACTGCTTGAGGAGAACTCCTCGAACAACGATCTTCTTCATCGATCGTTAACTCTCACAAGAAACCACAACAGCTTTCTCGAGCCTACTTCACCTAGCACCGTCTCTACGGGAGCGGATCAGGTCAGTAACTCTTATGCTGAGTAACCATCAGTAACATGTCCACATCTGCATGACATCAACATCCCCTCTCTCCTGGAAAGTCTTTTATCTTTTCCCCTTTAATCTTTAACGGACGATTTCTCTCTCGTTTTAAGTCAAAATTTAAATTTTTTTGCACAGATGAATCAGATTAAATGTGCTCTTTAAAATGATATCCACTTTGATATATTTTTAGTACAAAAAAATTGAATAATTTTTTATCAGTCATTACCATATGGTATGCTCATATTTAATACCATATTGTAAGAAAGCCTACCATGATGGTATGAACATACCAATATGGTAAGAAGGTTGAATACATGATAGTAGGAGTATACTAACTGTCATTTACGACTTTCATCATTGTTTACCACAAGTTACAACCCACATACCATAGTGGTAAAGTATGGCAATTTTTGGTCCAGTATTTTTTTCACCCAGAAATTTGTAGATCCAATAGATCATGATGAACTCGTTCCATCTGAGCAAACGTTTTCAGAAACGACTTAAAAAAGAAGAAGTTACCATATGGTATGTAGTTGGTATTCTCGAAATATATTGAAAATTGATCTCATTTTGTAGAGCACAACGAACTCGTTCCATGTGTGGAAAAAAAAATTGAAATCCGAGTTAAAACGAATAAGATAAGAGCCGATTGTGAAAACTAGGAAAAATAAAATGTCTTTAATTGACAACCTTTAGATCTGAATTTTCTGGGTCTACTTAGATCTAATGGTCCAGATTTAGTTACTCATAGGTCAGTAACCATTGGTTACTGACCCTATCCTAAGCCCCGTCTCTACTGCTTTGCAAAATGATGAAGGCTATGAAGCATGCTTCTTAGAAAACGGTCATCTGCTTTCTTGCCTTATAAATCGTGAGCCTCTAACTCCAATTAAAAATTGGTAGTCTGTAGTGAGAATGATATATGTTAATCTCTTCCACTTTAGGTCCATTCTTGTAGCTACTTCAGTAGATTAAATCACAGCGTATGAGTGTGTACTGGGTGATTTTAATCTTGGGAAGTAGGAGTGTTGAGTGTCTTTATTCAAAGAGCAGGGTTCGCTGTGTACCTGTGCACTTTTAGTTCAAAATCAATAAAATCTCTTTCTTTTTGTAAAATGATCAAACAAGAGAGTTTAAATTAGAGTCTTTCCTTTAGCTCTTCTCCCATTCTGATTTCACAGACTGCTCTTATGTTTGTACCCGTCCATGATATCTAGGGCCTTATCAGAGTGGACCTTACCACGTGCCTCCTTCGCCCTTGCCCAGTGGAGTCGATTTACGAACCATCCATTCTTTTCGAGAATGTCATCTCAACAATGACAGAGATTGGCAGTGCACTAACAGCCTTGTAGACGTAGACTTGAGTTCGTTATGACAATACCCCACCTGGTACCTCCGTACTTATGAAAAGTCTACATGGATATGTCATGTTGATCAAGCAAATGCGCACCTTCGGGGCATAGCTCACAGATCTTCTACAACTTATCCATGAATTTCTTCTCTTGGTAGGCAATAGTTGCGGGACATAACGAAGCGTTGTTAACATTTATGTAAAACGACTCGAGACCAACATAACTTGATTGTGAAATAGAAAGCTTACCAGTCGCCAAACACGATGACCATGACTTACTGCTCTCCATGTCACGCCTTCTTATAGTTAATATGATATCCATAACGACTTGAAATGTGGGCGATTATTGTTTCCACTTTCAAATCGGGTTGTTGCTTAATCACGTGCTTGACAGCCACGACAACCACCCTCGAAGTCAACTCGTGATGGCCTTGGGATGTTATGGATGACACACATGTGTCGGTGTCGCACGAGTGATGACCCCACGACCGATTCTTTTGCTCTTGATGGCCCGAACCCTAGCCTTGCATCCCTCATGATTCTTATGACATCTAACTATTAGCCTCTCTGAATCAGAATGTGGTGTGCGCCATTCAAATAATTAGTCACAAATTGGGCAACATATAGTTCTCCCTACATTTTTTTACATATATTGTAATAATGTTTCACAAATATGGTGGCAACAAAGTTACATGATGTGAATTATACCTTATCGAATCAATTTGAATGGAAACATTCACATATTAGCAAATGCTCAATATGCTGTGTATGCTACTATTGCAAGAGAAGAAAAAAGGTCAGTATGCTCACAACAAGACCAAGTCACTCACTGACCCAAGCCAAGAACAAACACGGCAAGTCGGCAAGGACAAGAGGCCCAGCGAGCATCCCTATGTCGTCCCACTCTCGGCCCAAGTCCATCAACGGCTGATCCGATGCCCGGCCGTTACACTCAGAATGGGGCCCAGTCGCTCCTGACAAACTCCCCAAAATTATTGCTGAGAAATTAATAAATAAAACAAAAAATAGACAATAATTTTTTTTTCCGGGGTTGTTCTTATCCATTTACCGTGGTCCAATCACAGCACTCCACCGCCCACTACCCTTCCCCTGCCCACAGTATTTCCCCGATCTCGAGCTATATAAACCAATCCCTGTTCCGTGATCGCCGCCCTCACAGTCACAGAGATCACAAATCATTTTTCCTTCTTCCATTTGCGCTTTCGTAAGAATCGTTGAGAGAGAGAGAGAGAGAGAGAGAGAGAGAGAGAGATTGTCGGAATGAAGCAGGCCGGGAAGAGTCACAAGGTAGCTCAGAATGGCAGCGGCAGCAAGGCGATGGCCGATGCTCGGAAGGACAGGAAATCGGCCACCGGTATGAACGGATCGCCGAAGAAAGGAGGCCACGGAGGGAAGTTCACCTGGATCGGCGGCGACGGCTTCTACTCGCGCGAGGAGATGTTTCCCCGCGGCGGGGAAGCGGTCGATCTGAAGGATCCGAACTTCGAGGAGCCGGAGATGGTTGCGGAGGAGGAGAAGGAAGAGGGAGGGATCCAGGCGGCCGCCTGAAGGAGAGAGATCGCGACCGCCGCAACCATCGGCTGGAGACTGGACCGTTAGCGAGCTGTAAATATTAATTTACTGAATCGTGCTGTTATGGAGTAGATTTAGTCTCGTCTTTTTACTTGGTTTAATTGTAGTTGTAGTAGTAATAAAAGGGGAGATCTGTAGAGACGTGGTGGTGGTGGCTGTACTGGCGTTCGGTGAAATTTGATGAACCAAAGCTCTGATTTCCGTTTTGACTGTAAATTGGTTTCCGTTTGGTCGCCGGGACTAATGGAAGATCACTTTGATTTTGAGTTAGCCAAATAGAAATCGACATTGTTGTTCAGGGAGCCTCGGCCCTCAGTTGGCTTGACGGAATACGAGAGTGATGAAAGGCAGTCACGCTATTGTGCTCGCTTCGAGCACATCATGGTTGTTGGATGGATCCAAAAATGTCTAATTTCTATTACCAAGTGCGCACAGTCAAATCAGAATGTGAGCATCACAATCGAATGTGAGAAAGTGGGGGAGAAAGAACGGAGAAGAAGGAGAAGAAGAGTTGCATTAAAGAAGACTGTGTCAATAAAAAAATTTCATTGCTTATTTAGTTTGAATTTTTATTTTTGTCGCTGGTCACTATCAATTCAACTCTCTTAAATCCGTTTTAGGCAGTGTTGTTAAAATCGAATTAGGCATTGACCCGGATGAATAAGAGGTTCATGCTTTATTGGATAATCGTTGATTAGCCAAAATTAAAAACCGATATAAACCGATATTTGAGTACAAACAAGAAGAAAGAAGTACAGGAAAAAAAATGGGAAAAAGTCAAAACCCCAAAAAGTACGTGGCTGTAGCCACTTTTAGTGTTTCTAACTTTCTACTAGCCTATTACCCGGCCCCTTGGCCGGAGATAGCCCCAAAAGAATTGGTAGCAGAACTGTTGCGAATATCTACACATCAGCTTGCGTCTTGAATGCGTCTTTGCTCGGCCCGTTGGTCTATTGTGAAGTAATCACTATGAATAGATTTTGGTAATAATTAAGTAATGGTCAGTCATTTTGCATTTAAAAAATATTAGTATTGATACCCACAGTTACATCACGAAAGATTTAGAAGTATTTCATACATTTAAAAGCACTATAGTGTTGATGAAAATACATATAAATTATATGAAGTAAGGAAGTACCATATTTTTTTGGCAAATAATATTGACACTTTACACAACCCCGTCCATCAATTCATATTTCTTCATGAATTTACTTGCCCGACATCAACTACAATCCTGATACTATGTGCTTCCCAAGATTAAAATAAAACAAATATTAATATTTAATAGGATGACAACTGACAAATGCTAGACGAATCCTTTTTCTGGAAGGGCATCTTAAATCGAGATCCAGAAGACCATTGAATCTGCACCGCAACTGTAAGTTCATATGCTCTAACACAAAACCCAGGAGAATCAGTTAACCTATATTAACATTTCCGAAGCTGCAGTTTGACCCTTTATAAAACAAATAATGCATCTGAAACTTAGTTGTCGACACTTCCCGGTTCTAGCTTTACAGCCTACAGTGTAGCAAATAGATAATTCGGGCATGAACATATGGGTTGGGAATATGGCAAGTCTGCTGGTGTATACAGAAAAGAGCACATCAATTTTTAAAACAAAGGAAGCATAATATATCCTACCAACATATATAAAACAAAAGCACTTCCACACTGCAACATACTGCATATATCCTACCAACATACTGCGGAAGACCATTGAATCCGCATCACCTGTAAGTTCATAAGCTCTAACACAAAACTCAGGAGAATCAGTTAACTATATTAACATTTCCAAAGCTGTAATCCTGATACAAAATTGTTAAATTCACGCCCAACAATTGAGCTATTGTGCAATTTTGGGTTTGGAACAGTCATTAGTAAATTGGAGCGGGCTCAAACTATTTGCCACACATCCTACATATAAGTTCCTAATTATCATAATCCTAATTATCATAATCCCTCGTCCGGATGGCCCAAAAGAGTTTGCAACTCAACCATCCGAAAGTTCTAGCAATATATGGGTCATCCAACAACTATGTATAATTGCCTACTATATATGTACATTAATTAAGAAAGCAACGCATAATTGCCTACTATATATCTACATTAAGAAAGGAAGGTATATTTGTCTCACAAAACCTTCAGAAACTCCATAAATAAATAAAGTCACGACCTTTGACCAACTACTTTCAGTAACCCATTGGCAAGAATAACTTGAAAACAACCAAATCACATTAATCTTCCACATCGTTCCACGGCCCGATCAAATCACAGCTGGTATTTTTTTCTCAGTTACCACTTACCATCTTGTCGTAGTTGTACCACTACAATTTCTACTTCACAAAACAGTTATAAAATATTAAAGTATGATGCACTGACAAAGAAAGAAGACTCATTCACCAGTAAAGAGCATCGGTCAAGATAACCAACAATGTAGCATACATGAGTTATCTTTGGTTTCTGTAATAGGTTCGAAAAACCCCAACAAAGCTCCAATTATTTCGTAAAGCTTAAAACCAAAATGGGAATGGAAGAACGAAGTAAAAGGATAAACTTTGGTACCTAAAGCTGGGTTTGCCAGCTGCAAGTCTTCTGCACGCAAGACTAAAACCATTAAAACTGTTTTAAATGTGTCGTAGAAAGTTAAAAAAAACACCAGTTGCGAGTTTCACACTGCAATCCTAATCACAGGATTTCTCTGCTAAGGTTTCCTTCTTTGTAGAAACCAAATTTTTTTATCACTTATTTTTTTGAAGAGCAATCAAAATCAAAAGAAGGGGTAAGCACTAATTAGAGTATGACAGTCTCTGAATTCTCGGAAACTTTAACATTTTATTTTGGTCATAGTTATCAATGCTTCTTCTAACTGCTTCATTACATGCATTAATCATAACTGATCTGTGCACACAACATTGTCATGAGACTGCTAGATCAAACTTATGCTGCTAAAACTGGATGATTCCCACCAAGATATAACCATTCACACAACAATAATGGATAAGAAACACCAAGCGTGCATCGTAAATTCTCTGAAGCTAGTGTCAAACCTGAGAGTTGCTTTGGAACCAAATGCTTGTGCCAAGAGTATATCTGCATCGAACATCATACCAATTGGCCGGTGATATGTAAGTATTTGTGTGAACGAAACAGTTTATAAGATTGCAGGTATCAGAATGCAGTTGAATGAGTTTAGTATTCTAGATTCCTAGGTCTGTACCAGCCACTCAATAATGTCTTGCCATTATGACCATGTAAGAGTAAAGAAATAGCTTCCTACTACTATGTTGCAGATGCATGAACATGACAACTCAATGAAAAGGTTTCCAGTATGATAAAATTTCAGGTAAGAATAGATAATCTGCTCCTTTAGCAGAGTGATAAAGATTGATAATGTTCGTCAGTTCTATGAGCGAAAAGAAGCATCATATGAAGTCTAGTATATACAGGTTTAGAGATTATTGTTTTATGTTTGGAAGTCACAAATGTTATGATTATTTTAATAATCTATAATGCAGCCTTGTTATCAGTACAGGTAACTAAAAAGGGATTGGATTCTATTGAATTTGGTAAACGAAAATAGTTGGCTAAACATACATCATATTGATGCTAAGAAGACTAACCGAACAAATGACGTAATCTACAGCAGGATGTGGTTTCATATTTCAGCAAGAGGTCACAGATAATGATAGAATAAGAGCTACTGGCAGGACAAATTTTGGGTCAATGACAGGACAACCACCTGCATCAAGGAGCTAATGGCGGGATACTATAGAATTGTAATGAAGGAACCCACACGGGATATAAGTTGAATGAAGTTGAGATTAAGACGCAGACTTCACAGTGTCTGATTCAGCACCCACACACCATCCTAAGCTAGAGTGTACTTCCATTTGCATTCATCTATTGATTGTGAAGAAGAAAACCATATCCAAAGATTCTACGTAGAGGCAACCGGTAATAAAGCTTACCCTCAAAGGTAACCCTATCGAGATTACCTTTCTTGGTTTATTCAAAGATAAAACAAACCTGTGAATAATACAATCGCCGACACAAATTCAGGGACCCCAACAGTTGGCGGCGATCCGAGAAGCAGGGAAGCAGCTACGCTGGTGACCTCCGCTGGAACAACCCAGTGCCACTATAATAATGATATGGGTTAAAAACTAAAGAGGGAGAGGGATAAAAACACAACCTTTGATTACACCTGTATCTTACCTCACACGCAGAATTTTCTTCCGACTAAGAGGTGGGAGAAGAGAAATGGAAATCGAAGGCTAAACACCTGAGAGGCTTCTGTTGAACCATTCGCTGTTGAACCATTCGCCGGGAGTTCATCCTACTCTGGAGTGGTGAACTGCTTTAAAGGATTTCGCCGAGGGTTGTTGGTCGTGCAGAGGAAAGAAAGAGAAAGAAGAATACAAATCTCCGAAAATGGTCTGCCAGGTCGGCGAAAGAGGGAAAAAAAGCCCGACTAATTTGGCCGCCGTCAGCATCCGAAAATATTGTTGATTTCCAAGATTGTCCCTCCGAGAAACGCTCCTGAGGCAGCAAATTTGAAATGGGGAAGCTGTTTTGTCCTTCCAACTGTCCGACTGCGGAGATGGCTTCACTCGATCCTTTGATATCGTCATGATCGTTCATGTATCACGAATTAGCCGAATTTAGCTTCCTCCTCTCTTGCTAACAGGAAAAACAGAAGAAACTTTGATTAATTAGGCTCACCGTCATTGAGTACGGCGATGATCAAAACCATGAATGGGGAGAAATCAAACTTCCATATCAACGCAATCAACATGAACCCAAGCTGCCAAATACCACAGGCAATCCAACATGACTCAAAAACTAAGTTGCTATAAATGCCACAAGACAAAATTGATGTTTAGATATTGTAGACACCACATTTTGTCCGGAGCAACCATCCTACTCAAAATTCGGAAGAATATTCCATTTAAAAATTAAAAAGAAAACCCAAGTGAAAGTTTGGACGAGGTTGGTTGAGATTAGCAGTGGCAAATCAACAAGTACCAATAATTTCGAAGTCCTCTTTCTGTTTAGTTCGAATATCTGTACTAGGTAGGATTAGCAGTAGCTAATGACTACCAAATTCGCTTTATTTAGAATAACAATAGTACGCCGTCACGACTACACTAGTATTACGGTTAATGATTAGTTACATAGGTTTGAAATTGGTCAAATGAGATAGGAAGACCATATTAAACTTACTGATATTGGTCAATATTGGTCGAAATTCATAATCAAGAACTACTTATTTAAGAAGTTGGGATGTGGGTCACGATCAGGAAAAAGAATAAACAAGCTAGGTGGAAGCAAATCAATTGAATAGTTGGCCATACAATAATTACACGATCATTCTAATTATAAGTCGCAAAAATAATTACATGCATAATTACAAAGTACAAATGTACAACTAATAATTATTACATTTGATAAGGAATTGAGGATGAATAAAATAGGACTTCTTTTTCTTTTGGGCACCAATCAGAATTGGGGGCTTAGCCAATTAAGACTGTTTGGGCCCCCATTGATCATCATTTTGGGCCGGAAACGGACTAGAGACCTGCAAACAAAAAAGAAAATGTTAGAAGAACAACCTAAAATAAAAAAACCACAACCCAGGCCCATATTCAGGCCCAATTGACTCTGGTCAACTCTGGTCAACTTGGTCGACCCGGGTCAACCCAATCAAGTATGGTCAGCCCGGGCCAACTATGGTCAACCCCGTCAACCAAACCCATCATTCTTATCTAAAGGAGCAGCAGAGTAGCAGAGCAGCAGAGTCTCTGCCAAATCTAAAAAAGAAGATTTCGGCCACCTCCTCCAAGAACCAATCCCAAATTGCCAACAACATAAGTGGCTAAGGCTACCACTTCAAGAGCAAAGGAGGAGCAGCCAACACACATGTATGAACAGTAAAAGGCAGCCATATATAAGGAGCTGTTTTACCCCCCAAACAAGGGGAGAAGGGGGAACGAGGGGAAGAAGAAAAAACGCTACAAAAAATAGAAATATTAACATCCCAAACAGTTTTTTGGTTCTGGCTCTAAGCCGAAGTTGTTCATTGGAGATTGAAGGAGCGAATTTGAAGATTGATTCAGGAAAAGGCCATTCTTAGGCCAAGAAATTCAGGTTAGTACTAGTATCAACTTCCATCTTTCATTTTTAATCAAGTCATTGCAGTCATTATAATGTTATAATCATCCATCAGCTTGCCTATTTATATTCAAGCAATTTACTTTACAATCCACTTTATATCCAAGCACTGTTAAGATATGCTTGCAGTGATGTCATTAAGCTTCTCTCAATTTAGCACTTGTTTACTTTTCTCATCAATTGATAGTCTCTTATAATCTTATACTATGTCATCATATTTACTTTTAGGTTATTAGTTGATAAACACTAGATCATCATACACAACAAACAAAATCAAATCCAGATCTATGGCAACTATTATCAGTTTCCAAATTAATAAAAAATCCTTTTTCTAATTAAATTACTGTGCAGTAGCAGTGTCATTATCCATAACCTACCCAAAATCACAAGCAGTAGCAGTTATTTACATGTAATAGTCTACCAAATCACAAGCAGTGGCTGTGATAATTAATGATCTAGCCTATTATAAGTAAAACTAATTGTGTTTTCTTTTATGAACCTGATTTGCGTATTATGAGTCCAAAGCATATAAAACAACCGATTTTACCAAAAGTCAGATCTGTAAATCATTTCCTAGTTCACTAAAAATCAACATTCTTGCTAATAAACCAGATCTCACAAATTAGGCAAAATATAGATTAATTAGTTCTAGTTAATTGCTATCCTCTAGCAAATCTATGCTCATGCAAAACCCAGATCTACCTAAAATTGCAACCCAAATGCATATAGAAATTTTAGGAGTCCAGAACTCGAATCTGTCTAAGATCCGTCAAATCCAAAGTAATAAACCAAGCAATGCCTTCATCTTTTCGTTTAATTTATCTTAGCCAAATAATCTAAGTTAAAAAAAGGGCTCACCTACATTAATTTCGAATTAAAAACCTGTGACAAAACAAGAGTAGAGGTCAGATTCGATCAAAGGAGTAATAAATCAAAAGTAAAATAAAAAAAACCAAAACCTCACCTGTCGACGTCGTCACACCACCGCCGGCGACCATCTACTCCCCTTTTCCTCGTTCCCTCGCGCAAGATCCAAACACAGAAATATCAGAATCCCGTTTTAGTTAACTAGAAAATAAAAAAACACACATGCAATCCAAGATCAGAATCATAAAACGAAAATGAAACCGGCAAATAACCCCCAAATCGCACATGCAAAAACAAAAACGAACCTTAAACTTAGCCGCCGACGACGCCCTTCCTCTCATCTTCGACATTTCCAGAAATAAGAAGAAGAGAATCGGGTTAGGGGATTTGCATTTCGTTTTGTTTGTCGTGGAGACGACGATGAGGAAATAACGAGGAGATGGCGGCGTTTGTTGGGCGAAGGGTTCGATTTAGTTTGCCTGGTAGGGAGAAGAGAAGAATCGAGAAGGGAAAAACGAGAGAGAGGAGAGGTCAGCGTTTTTGGTTCTCTGGAGAAGAGAGAGCCGCGAGAGAAAGAGAGAGAGGTAAGCGGCGGCCTATTTGGGATATTAGGGCTAGGGTTTTAATTTTATTCAGTTTAAGATGTTTATATATGTTTCCAAAAGACTAAAATGCCCCCTAGGGTTTCAGCTTATTTCGCAGCCATGCCACCGCGTTTTTGAGCAATTACAAAAATACCCTTCCCCCTTTTGCTGCACCAAAACGAGAAATAATAAACATTATCCCCCCCGCGAGTTTCGAACCATCGTCCTCTGGGTCAAACGCGAGAGTGGTCTGGCGTTTTAGCCAGTTGGGCTGCTGGCCCTCATGCATTAATATTATCATCCCGTATAGTTTTATTTATTTAAAATCCTTAATATGAAATGTAGAATTGCGGATTAAGTTTATCTCGTTTCTTTTCTAATATATCAAAACTCCTCTTAATAATTGCAATTATTATATTATCTTTTTGTAATTTCATAATACCAACTTAAATTTTACTAACAATAAATTTTGATACAAGAACCACGATCAATGGAATGTGGTAATAATTTTATATAAAATTTTCAAAGTCCTAACGAACTACGTGGACTTTGATCCCGTCTAACGGGTACGTAGGCAACCGGTAAGGTTCGAGTCCAACTAACCAATTAATTATATCTTTTAAGTCAGTGGATGTATAATTTAATTACAACTAACACGATTTAGTTTCTTTAATGGTCCAGTGGGACCCTAAAATTACTAAATTATTACTAAATATACACCCAACTAATATGAAACTTATCGACTTAAGTAGTACCGATTTAGGGCGTTGTGGGGTGTGATTTCACTTCCCCACACGTAACCGTACTCCCGAACCCAGAACTTCATTTTCGCAGACCATATCTCGGTTCTGACCCTAGGGTTAGAGCTGATCCTAAAAGTGTTCGATCCACTCCAAGTAAGATCGATGGCGACTCCCAAAAATGCCGACGCGACGACCTTCGGACCCCCCGGACGGGACGGTTGCGACAGATATACAGAGAACTTACAACAATACGGATGGTGATGGAGACGGCATATATCTGCAAAGAAGATAAGAAGGACAGAATCAGAGAGTCTTAGTAAGGGGCACTTATATATGAGCATCTAACAACTATTAACAGAAGGAAAAATGGTGGAAGAAGAAAAAAAACCGTGAAATTTTTCATTCTCTGGAATATAGCCCTGCTGGTGTGCACAACACTTATGATCACACTGAGCCCCGGCTCAGTGAGGACGATGTCAGAAGCACCTCTAGCTGCATCAGTTGCGTCAGCAACTGCAATCCCAATATCAGCCTTCTTCAGTGCAGGAGCATCGTTCACACCATCTCCCGTCATTCCACAAATGTGTTTCTTCTCTTGTAGCCTCTTCACAATCTCATACTTGTGCTCTGTCGAAGGGAACAAATTTTAAGTTACTTTAAAGCATACTACATAGACTTTCCCGTCCTTGTAAAGCAGCAATTAACACAAATGATATAAGCATTTTTCAAAGAAAGCAACTAATTAAGTTGACATATTTAAGGTAATCGTATAATTTTTGTATAGTTCTGCCAAAGCAAGTTGCTCGACGAAAAGGCACAGATCAGTCAACGTCGACATTTTAGCCACGGATTGCCAAATCAACCCTGAGGAACTTGCCTTACCTAGTGAACCACCAAGAAACAGAAGACAAAACTACAATGAGGCCTACGACACCTAAAAAAATGTTTTCTAAGTGTATCGTTAAACATGTGATGATGAAAAGATTAGGGTTGAAGGTAACTGATATGGAATGAAAGAGCATTCATATATCTTGAAAGTTGAAATTAAGATACTATCCAAAACTATATAGATCTCATTCTTTTGCAACTCTTGCAAATATTCATATAATTATGAAAGGCTCTGCTAACAAACATAACTAAGCTGTTGAAAATAAGACAGGACACTTGAAATCATATGCAGATTACATAGAGCGAAAACAGGCAAATAAATTCATAAAGCACACTTATGTAAGCAAAACCGAAAGATGAGATTGAGGCAAAACTGAAAGATAAATCAGACAGTCATGCAAGGGAATTTAGAAGTAATGAAGCTTCACTATAAACTCTCATGGCCGTCGACATGGAAGCAGACCAAAATGCCTCCAGAGAAAGCTTAATAAACACAACAACTAAATCATGGGCACCCCTGAATGAGCACCCCTGAATGCTAAACCAAAGTTGAAAAAGCTAGGGAAAGATAACTTACTTGGAATCTCAGCTTTGAAAGGGACCTCAGAATTCACTATTTGAGGCTGATGAACGAATCCAATTCTGATCAGGCCACATATGTCAGTTCCCTGACCCCTCGACTTGACGAAACCCTCTTGAAAATGCAAGTACGTAGTTGGAACCGCGATTGAAGGGAGAGGCACCGAAACCCAATCGTACAGCCGCAGACACCGAAAGGATTGACGAATGGCTGGAAAATGGATGAATTCTGCCCCCTGCAGAACAATCCTCGAACGCCCTGCGTGCACGGACGGCCTGAAACCAGTACAGCTGAAGTTTGATTACTGCCTTCCCAAGAGATGTTAATGAGGTGATCCGCAAGCTCAAACCCCTTTTACACACACCGAATTCTCCATACTTAAGTGTTAAAAAAAGTTCTGGTAACAATATCCTTATGAACCAAATCCACCACAAACGTAATGTTACCTAGCAATTATGTATAATGTAATACCAATATCCTTATGAACCAAACTGGCCGCAAGCTCAAAACCCTTTTACTGTCCTCTCTTATTAAACCTCAAGCCTCCACAAACGTTCCTTGAACTGTAATCACCTAGCAATTATGTATAAAAACACAAACCCTTTCAATACAATTTGAACCTAATCAAAACAGAAGCTAGAAAACCAAAGACGTTGGGATCGATTGAGATGAATGAATTAAAAATATAAACAACACAAAAGAAGGAAAGATCACCTCAAGAGCGCGAGAGGGCTGCCGGGATACTGAACGATTTCGGCGGTCAAGACGGAGGGCTGGAGAGAGGTGGAGACTCGGATTGTCAACGGCGGAGGACGGAGAGAGGGACGCTCGGATTGACTGGGAGGAAAATTCAGAGGGCCGATGGTGGTGAAGACGGAGGACGGAGAGAGGAGGAGGCTCGGATAGACACCGGCGGAGGACGGAGAGAGGGAGGCTGAGATAGACTGGGAGAAAATTCAGCAGGCCCGTTGCCGGTGAAGACGGAGGAAGGAGAGAGGAGGAGGCTCGGATTGACAATGGCGGAGGAAGGAGAGAGGCAGGCTCAGATTGGGGAGAAAAAAATCAGCAATGGGGCTCCTGATTGACAACCTTCAAAGGAGAGAGGAGGAGGCTCGGATTTACAACCTTCAAAACTGTCGTTCCGAAATTACCCCTCCGACAAACACTCTGGAGGCTGCGATTTTGAAATGGGGGTTCTGTTTTTTGCTTCAGCGTATTATAGTATGTGTTGATTACAGTATTACCAAAGTTTCCTTTTTTTATAATTATTAATTACGTAGCCTGCCCGTTTTCTTTCTTCCGGGGCCGGATTCATGTCCGGGTCCGGTTATTACCGATATGATCGGCCGGTCCGGTCCGGTTTATCATAACAAGGGTTTTAGCCTTTAGGTGACAGTCAATCACAAAATTTTACGGTTAATTAGCTGATGTGTCGATTAAAAATAGTAAAAACAAATAATTTTCATTTTTCACCTCACCATTTATGGAGTAGTGTCATGCAACATGTAGGCCACCACTCATCAAGAGCATGTTATGTTGCCGATGCTATAGTGGGGAATTCCAATGGAAAAACCTATAATTCGGGGTGACAAAATTATTTAAACTTAGCTTGTTTTTTAACAACAAATCACAGGCCACTCGGTTTTCAAACTCCAACGTTTTGTATGCTTTAAGAAACTTTTTGATATGTTTTAGAAACCGGTGATACTCTTTTATGAGATTTCTGGTATGCTTTAAGAAATTTGTGGTCAACTTTGAGTTTTCTTGTATACTTTATGAATTTTGTTGATGATGGTGTTTTGATTTGTGTTATAAGTTTTTTGGTCGACTTTATGTTACTTGATGGTGAGGGCAGGAAGCAAAACAAATTAGCAGCGATACATGCATGTACCCTTGTAATTTTTAAAACCGATAAAATAACATCAATTATGGCCTACCTCTTAGAAATAAAAAATCATCAAAACAAAAGGTGTCTAATTGAAAGTTGAAACTTGTATTATGAGTCCATGACGTCCAAGCCACCCCAAATTATTTCATAGTGTTAACCTTTTTAATTATTTTCATCCACATAAATCATACCGGACCCTAATCATCAGGAATCCCCAATCCCCCCTGCGCTATGATTCCCCGAAACGGCTAGAGTTTCGAAACGCCGTTGCCTGTGGGAAAACCGAAGCAAAATCCACAAAATTATACGCAACCATTCGCTCCGCTCTCTTCTCCTCTCTCTCACGGCTCCGGGGAACAATCTTCTTCTTCTTCTCTACTCGCCTGCCAGAGAGGCGCTACTTCTTTACCAGCTCAAACTTCGGAAGCGGGTAATCGGGTCTCGGGACGAGCCCGCCCCATGCGAATTCCGGCCGGTGGAGTGAACGCCGCCGAGAAGTGAGCCCACCGGGAAGAGAACGAACGCGAAATTTTTCGGAATGGGAAATAAGATCGCGCGCACGACGCAGGTCTCTGCTTCAGAGTACTATCTCCACGATTTGCCTTCTTCCTATAATTTGGTTCTCAAGGAAGTCCTTGGCCGAGGCCGGTTCTTCAAAACCGTGCTCTGCAAGCACGACGAAGGCTTGGTCCTCGTCAAGGTCTATTTCAAACGCGGCGACTCTATCGATCTGAGGGAGTACGAGCGCCGCCTCGCCTTCATCAAGGAAACCTTCCGCTCCCTCGATCATCCTCACGTCTGGCCTTTCCAGGTTCCTTGCTTGTTTCTCACGCTGCTCTCCCCCTACTACCTCCTTGATTTGGTTCATTTGGCAAACGCTTAATTACTTAGCATTTCGGAGTTCATAGTCAGTTGTCCAATTTCAATATGTGGTTCTTGTAGAATTGGAGTAGGGTTCTGATTGAGTTAAAGCTTGTAATGAGCCGAGTTTTGACCTAGCTTGAGCTCAACTTGTTAATAAACGAATCTAGCTCGAGCTAGGCTCATTTACTGAAACATCACCTCATGTTTGATTCAAGCTCGTCTCGAACTTGATTCATTAATGAGCTCACGAGCTCTATTCGAGTTCAACTCATCAAGCATCTCGTGATATCGAATGTGAAAACTTCGTAGACTTTTGTTTTCTGGAATTCCTCTTAATGGGTTGCCTTTTTAACAGTTTTGGCAAGAAACTGATAAGGCAGCTTATCTTCTAAGACAATGCTTCTTCAACAACCTGCATGATCGACTGAGTACCCGGCCATTCCTCAGTCTTGTGGAGAAAAAGTGGTTGGCATTTCAGGTGTTGTACATGTCTCTCTTTGGGGAATTGGAGAATATATGTCCAATGAGTAATGTTGCTGATGTAATGAATTGGTGCTTCTGTGGTTGTGCAGTTACTTCTGGCTGTAAAACAGTGCCATGAAAAGGGTATATGTCATGGTGAGTGTCGAATGTGATTATTGAATCAGATTGCTGAGGAGTGGCTGTGTTTTTAATGTATTCCAATCTGTACGTGCATAGGTGATATCAAGTGTGAGAATGTGTTGGTGACTTCATGGAATTGGTTGTACCTTGCCGATTTTGCGTCTTTCAAACCAACTTACATTCCGTATGATGACCCCTCTGATTTCTCATTCTTCTTTGACACGGGTGGACGCAGGCTCTGCTATCTTGCACCTGAGGTGAATTTTTATTTATACCTTTTCCCTTCTCTTTGTCCTTTATGTTGATTTCAGTTACCTCCACTTCATACACCCGTGGCTTTTTGTTGGAATAAGAGTAGCCCGAACTAGTTTTTCTTATGAATAGAATGGTCTTACTAGTACCCTACCCTTGCTTTATTGCCAGAAATGTTATCACCGTTTCAAGTCTTTCCTTTCAATTATCTTTTTATTTTAATTAGTGTCATCGAGCGTCATTTTCAAAATTGTGCCTGTCATGGATAGCAGATATCACACTTTTAAAATCACAAAGTATTTATGTATTTTTTCGCTGAAGATGCAGGGCTGCTTTCATTTTAAATTCATGCCAGCCTCTGAATCTCCCGTTGTCCCTCCTTTGCATGCGTTTCATTTTAAGTGAGTGCTCATTTTGGAAATTTCAGAGGTTCTATGAGCATGGAGGTGAGATGCAAGTTGCTCAAGATGCACAATTAAGGCCTTCCATGGACATATTTGCAGTAGGGTGAGCAATCTAAGCTATAAACACTATTGCGGGGGCAGTTATGTGAGAGGATTTTTCTAGTTACCATTTGCAACTAGAGCAAACAACTTGCATATGATGGATTGTCTTATTTTATTTTATGTTACTAGTTTATTCGCAAGAGTTAGTATGATTCAATTGAAAATGTTATTAACCGGAATAGATCCTCCGATTTATGATAGGTTGGTTAGTGTGTAGTAGTGAGATGCAAAATTGCAAGTGTATGATAGTGTAGCCTTTGTTGTGAAGAAAAGAGAACCGAAACAAAGTAAACTGTTGGTAGAGAAAGCTTAGCTCTATGTGTTGTCAAATTTCTCATTGTTCCTTTTAGGAGCTATAGAAATTGATGTTGTCCTGCCATAGTGTCTCGTGTCTTCTGTTCTACTGTCGAATCTCTCAACATCATTAGTGAAATTTGTTCCATCTGCTGTATCATGCATCTGATTGTTGAAGTAATAATTATCTGGACTGTTTTAACTTTTATGTTACTATTAGGTGTGTAATTGCAGAGCTTTTCCTCGAAGGCCAGCAATTATTTGAACTCTCTCAGCTTCTGGCTTACCGGAGAGGACAATATGATCCTAGCCAACATCTTGAAAAGGTTCTCTCTCTCTTAAATGTCTTTCCTGTTGTGTGTGTGTGGATCTTTCTCTGCTCTTCATTTCATCCCATTGAGGTCCATATTCATTACTTCTTTGTTTTCCTTCAGAACTTCAGTGTTTGGCTTCCTTGATTACATCCTGTTCTAATGGTCCTGATTGAAGCTTTGCATGATATCCACTCCGAAATTCCTCAATTTTCCAGCACATGAACAAACTAGCTTTGTCCCCGGCCTATTGGCCGGGATCTTTTAATATATTTTTTTAATTTATTTCAATTTTATTAAAAAAACTTACGTTGTTATAATTGATTTTTCTAGAGAAAAGTTGTCGTTGTGACTCCAATGTATACATTGACTCAGTGCCTATGTTTAACCTGACTTTTAGAAGTGCTTTTCGTCTGCAAAAGTTGAAGCAGGGCCAAACATATATAATAGTTCGGCTTTTGAAAAACCAAAAAGCGTTTTTGTATAACATAAAAGCAGAAGCTCCGATTTGGATCTTCTGCGAAAAGCTATTTTGAAAATATAAGATTATCCTTACCATATTTTAATTTTATATCAGAAAATATGATTTTCCTTCATTTATATAATTTGAAAAATAAAATAAAGTATAAAATCATATTATTTAATATAAAAGAAGTCTAATAAGATCCATTTTTACTACATTTTATTGTTTAGAATTATTATTCATAGTTTATATTATAAGTCATTTATAGTCATTTCACACAATCTCTCGTATTAAAAAGCACTTTTAATAAATTTTCAACCAAACACTCAACTGTTTTTTTAAGTAATTCTCTAAAAGCTCAAGCGATAAACTGATTCTGCAAAATCTACAACAGGACCTAACTGAGCTAGTATAAACTAATTTCTCAATCAAGTTCTCATTGGTCAATCAATAATTTTAAATCTTTATCTAACCAAAACAGGTTTTTAAAATAAAACATTCAAACTTTTAATCATTATTAAAACTCTTGGTTCAATTCTCAATTCATAAGTCAATATAGTAAATATTGAAATTTTAATGATTCAATTATAAAATCTTAACTCATGCCGTGTAGCTTGATGTCTTTATAATTCTAGGAGAGTTTATTTTCATGACTAAAATTTACAAATTCCTACAACATCGCAATTGTAAGTCTTTGCCAATTTATTTTCCTGAATAAAATTTACAAACTCTTATAACATTGCAAAATTTTACATGGTTATGAAACTTGGGATGTATTGTAGACTACATATATTCCTTTTTATCACTAATTAAAAGTTAGTCTTGTCGACATCACTAAAGTATAATTTTAAACTCATGGCAGAATACCAACCACATAACATTGACAAAAATACTTAAAATCCATTCTTAAAATGACCCATATTTTTCTGAACAAAGCACCATATAATGTGAAGAATCAGAAAAGTCAGGAAACAGATAAAACTTGTGTAGAAGGAAAAAAAAACCGAGAAAAATTGTACCGCAAGTGGAGATTTGGGCGAGGGAAAAAATATTAAAAAAAGAAGCACTACCGAAAATCATTGAGAGGCTAGAAAAGTTGACGTGGAGAAGGGGTTTTGCATAAACTCTTTCATGGGTAGTCGATTGGTGTGGCCGTGTGGGTGTTGTTTCGTGATTCTGCTGCAAAATGCCAGCGAATTTTGCATTATGGACCTATGGTAGATGGTAGCCGTGATCGGATTAAGTTTTGCACGCTGCACACAAAGCGGTGTCTGGGGAGAAACAAAGGTTTTTAAAAATTGCACCATTGTTAGGAGAGTAGGGGTTATTTGCAGTTATTTGAAGTTTGAAATTGCCGAAAAGAAGTGGTGGTTTGCATTTGATTTATTTGAATGGAGATGCAGATGTTCTTGAGATAAGGTTTGTCTTTTGGTGGTGAAAGTCTGAAAGACAGTGTCGATTGGTAGGGTTTTCTCTTTTCTGTTTGATTTGTTCTGATTGTAATAGAAGTGGATGGGCTCTAATATGAGTTGGCCCGTAGTATGGATGAGAAAGCCTTTTAACATTTTCTTATAATTTTGAGCCCAATAAAAGCCTCGTATAGAAGAGAAGGAATTTTGATCGGGACAGGGAGGAAAGATAATGTGATGACGTGGAAGCCTAAATGGATGTAAAATTTGAATCCCTGAACTGCTTTTCGAGAAAACGCTTATAATTTTTTTTAGATGGTGGGATATATGTTTGTATTCATGCTTGGAAGCCTGTTTTAAGGATAATTGTCCTTTGATTTCAGATCCCGGATGCTGGAATCCGCAAGATGATACTTCATATGATTCAATTGGAACCTGAGGCCCGCCTGTCTGCTGAAAGCTACTTGCAAAATTATGCAGCTGTTGTATTTCCAAGCTACTTCTCTCCATTTTTGCATAATTTATACTGCTGCTGGAATCCGCTTCATTCTGATATGAGAGTAAGAAATTTGTATTCACAGGATACAATCCATGGTGTCAATCTCCTCACTGAAATTTGTGCATATCGCTCATGTGTGTATTTGTGCTCACATTGTTACCTCAGGTTGCAATGTGCCAGAGTGTCTTCAATGAGATACTTAAGCAAATGATAGGCCCCAGGATAAGTGAGGTGATGCAAAGTGGGCTAAGCATGCCTGCAAATGGCATGAGTTCTAAATCTACAGAAGAGATGATAGAGAAACAAAATGCGGGATTCCCAAGGTCGCCAAGTGATGGGGAAAAGGCAGATAAGGGTTCAATTCAGGACAACTACAAACTTCTTGGCGATATCAGTAACCTGCTCGGGGATGTAGACCAAAATAGTGATTGTAGCGTAAAGGTGAATGCTACTGGTGAAACAAACTCTGCTTTCTCCCAGGGTGTTAAGGAATGTGGTCTACAATCCCCTGGTGAGCTTCTACAGGCTATATCCAATGCATTTAGGAAGAATGACCACCCTTTTCTTAAGAAAATCACGGTTGATGATATGAGTTCGTTGATGTCGGAGTATGACAGTCAATCAGATACCTTTGGGATGCCCTTTTTACCTCTACCTGAATCGAGTATGAAATGTGAAGGCATGGTTCTGATAGCTTCCCTTCTTTGTTCCTGCATACGTAATGTCAAGCTACCCCATTTGAGGAGGGGGGCCATACTTCTACTGAAGTCATCGTCATTGTATATTGATGATGAAGATCGATTGCAGCGTGTTCTACCATATGTAATTGCTATGCTTTCAGATCCAGCAGCAATTGTCCGTTGTGCTGCTTTAGAGACTTTGTGCGACATCCTACCTTTAGTTCGAGAATTTCCTCCTAGTGATGCCAAGATTTTTCCTGAATATATTCTTCCAATGCTTTCCATGCTTCCTGACGATCCTGAAGAAAGTGTTAGAATATGTTATGCTAGCAATATAGCAAAGCTTGCACTCACTGCTTATGGGTTCCTTATTCATTCAATAAGCTTGAGCGAAGCTGGTGTTCTCGATAAGATGAGCCTGCCCCAGAAATCCTCGACATCAAATAGTGAGGCTGCTGGGAGGCTTCAGACTGCAAATAATGATGCACAGCTTCTCCAACTGCGTAGATCCATAGCTGAAGTTGTTCAAGAACTTGTAATGGGCCCAAAGCAAACTCCTAATATCAGGAGAGCACTACTTCAGGACATTGGCTACTTATGTAGCTTTTTTGGCCAAAGACAGAGTAATGACTTTCTGTTGCCAATCCTTCCTGCCTTTCTCAATGATCGGGATGAGCAACTAAGGGCACTATTCTATGGCAAGATTGTATATGTTTGCTTCTTTGTAGGTCAAAGAAGTGTGGAAGAATATCTCTTACCTTACATTGAGCAAGCTTTAACAGATCAAACGGAGGCTGTCATTGTGAATGCATTAGATTGCTTAACTATTCTGTGTAAACGCGGTTTCTTGCGGAAGCGTATACTGCTTGAAATGATTGAGCGTGCCTTCCCGTTGCTGTGTTATCCCAGCCAATGGGTCAGAAGGTCTGTCGTAAGCTTCATTGCAGCCAGCAGTGAGAATTTAGGTGCAGTAGATTCATATGTTTTCCTTGCCCCAGTCATTCGTCCTTTCCTGCGCAGGCAACCAGCTTCTCTAGCTTCTGAGAAGTCTCTCTTTTCATGTTTGAAGCCTCCTGTATCTCGGCATGTATTTTATCAGATTTTGGAAAATTCCAGGAGTTCGGACATGCTGGAAAGGCAGAGGAAAATTTGGTACAACTCACCTGCTCAATCGAAACAAGGTGAAATTGCCGAGATGCTTAAGCAGCAGGATGGAGAGATAAATTCGACCGGAAGTTGGGCGGACAAAAAACTGAATCAAGCTGATAAGAAAATCATTTTGAATGGACCGTATGTGGCAGAAAATGGTGAATCGAGGCTGAGACGTTCGGGCATTACCAACAGTTCTTCTGTGGTTGACATTCCTGATCATGTATGCTCAGAGAAGTTGCAATCCTCTGGCTATTTGTCAGCACATGTTAGTGGTGTGAATAGTCTGATTCATGATAAATCATCACAAGATTTCCCTGTATATTGCTTTGGCATGGATAGGAGAACGGTCAAACTTCCTTCTGCTGCCTCTGATTCATCATTACGAGTTAGTGCCATGGAAATGAATTCATCATACATGCCGTGGATGGATCCAGTGAACAAATCTTTGAACTTGGCTAGTTCTGTTCCTGCACCAAAGCTGTTATCCAGCTCATTCAGTATTAGTGGGGGTTCCAAGCAGTTCTATAGAGTAGTGCATGAACCAGAAAGTAGGGAAAGTGATCAAACAGCCTATGTCAGTGGTAAACTTCGAGACACTGGATTATCTAGCTCAACAAAAGGGAGTTCTTTTGTAGCAGATGATACTGCTGTTCCAAGTGATATTACAGGATTGCCATCTTATATGCGGGCTACATCAATCCCTGATTCGGGTTGGAAACCTCGTGGTGTGTTGGTTGCACACCTGCAGGAGCACCGTTCTGCTGTCAATGACCTTGCAATTTCAAATGATCATAGTCTGTTTGTGAGTGCATCTGATGATTCAACTGTCAAGGTTTGGGACACAAGAAAGTTGGAAAAGGACATTTCATTCAGATCAAGATTAAGTTACCACCTTGAGGGAAGCCGAGCACTTTCTGCTGTAATGCTTCGGAACTCTGCTAAAGTCGTTGTTGGAGCATGTGATGGAATGCTTCATATTTTTACTGTGGATCACATATCCAGAGGTCTTGGCAATGTTGTTGAGAAGTACTCTGGTATTGCTGATATTAAAAAGAAAGACACAAAGGAAGGTGCCATTCTTAGCCTTTTAAACTACACTGATAACAGCGACGGTCAGATTGTTATGTATAGCACTAGGAATTATGGCATCCACCTATGGGATGTCAGAGGAAACCCAAATGCCTGGTCTCTAAAAGCAGCTCCAGAGGAAGGCTATGTGTCTTCTCTTGTGACTGGACCTTGTGGGAATTGGTTTGTGTCAGGATCTTCTAGGGGTGTGCTTACTCTGTGGGATCTAAGGTTCCTCGTTCCTGTTAACTCATGGCATTATTCTCTTGCTTGCCCTGTGGAGAAGATGAGCCTTTTTATGCCTCCTCCAAACGTGTCTGTGTCTTCCACAGCACGCCCACTCATTTATGTCGCCGCTGGTTGCAATGAAGTTTCACTTTGGAATGCTGAGAATGGGAGTTGTCACCAGGTACGTCAAAATTTTAAACTCATGTTATAAAGTTGGCGAAGGTGTATGGAAATGCCATAAAGGCAAACATGGAACATAGAAGATGATGCTGAATGTGGTTTCCAATTTGGTGAAAGTAAGATATCATGGATGCTATTTCTTTATTTATCTCTGCTGCTAATCAGAAAAACTGGTTAACCTTCGCCTCTTTCATTTTTAGCAGTTTATTCCGAACATTATTTCTGAAGTTCCTGAACCTAATGAAATTGTAGTTATTGCACTTCTCCCTCTTGTCTAATTAGATGAGGCTGATATAATGAGGAATAAGTAAGCTAGGTTGTAAGTTGTAAGTCTGATGATGCTTACATGGTAGAAAACATATCTGTATTTGCTGTTTTCTGATGTAATGTTTTTGTTATGTTATCAATTTGAGTTCCATTTTGTCCAATATTTGACTGTGTTTCAGGTATTTAGAATGTCAAATTATGAGGGTGATCCTGAAAGTTCTGATGTACCGTCAGCATTAACCAAGCCTTCCAATAAGGCAATTTCTAGATCAGATAGGCGTAATGTCAATCCAAAATACCGAGTTGATGAGCTAAATGAACCTCCTACTCGCCTTCCGGGTATCCGGGCGATGCTTCCTTTACCTGGGGGTGATTTGTTGACTGGGAGTACTGATTTGAGGATACGTCGATGGGATCATTGCAGGTCTTGATTGAATTATTTCTAGCTTTTTTGTTCCCATTTTCGTTCATTCTCTCTCGTACTCTACCTGCAGTAATTTGTACTCAAATTTGGTCCACCACTTGCAGCCCAGAGAAAAGTTACTGCATATCTGGACCAAATTTAAAAGGAACGGGAAATGAGAATTTCTTTGAGGCGAGGTCATATTCCGGGGTGCAAGTTGTGCAGGTTTGTTAAATATTTTCAAGCTCGTTGGTTAGGCTATAATCCTTTCTTGTATCACTAGCTTTTGCCCAGCCTTTGGCCGGGTTTATTTTTGTCTTTAGTCCGTTGTGTCATCCTTTTTCCGCTCGTTTTTATTTCTTTGTCCAACTTGATATGCAGTTAATTATCCTATCATGTGTGTCTCATTCTCTGCGTATCTATTTTGGAATTATGATACCTACTCTGGAGGGAAAAAGTTTTAATGCAGATTAACTTACATTAACAATACACTAGCATAATATATCAGTATCCTCAATATAATAATTTGGGGCAATAGTAGTTCAAAAACATAGTATGATGAAAAATTTGAAGTTCTGTTAACATAGTTCACAATTGAAGGATGCAACGATTTGATCATTTGGAATCAAAGAAGGCCGAAGTACTTTTGAGCTTCTTGTTTGATTATGTTGTTTCTTGAATTTGAAATGATGTGGTGGCTAGTAGCTTTTCGTTGGGGTCTGGAGCGAGCATTGCCAGTCCTAATTATCTCTTGACAACCTTGAGTGCAGGGGATGGTGTGGCTTGACATCTCTTTTTTACCCTGGTTTGAGAATGAAATTAGAGATTTACTTTGTAGCAAAATAAATTTATCCAAGTCACGTAAGAACGGAGGTGTTTGTAGTGTCACAACAAATCATAATATATATAAGGAAACAAAGACAACCCAGACGACTTAAGATGGCTATGACAGATGCATCATGTTCAAACACAAATATAATCTAGAACTTACTATGAGGTCAAGAAACTGCAAAAAAAAAAAAAAAATGGTATTTTGTTTGTGGGGGTAGTGAGACACATCCTTTTCTGTCCATTTGAGGGTGCAGATGAGTATGCAATTTTTAAAAAAGAATATATGAGTATGCAATTTTTTTATAGAATGGATGAGTATGCATTCAAACAAATAGTCAAATCTGAAAAATTAAGCTGTACATTGGTTCCTCTAATTAAATAAAAGGAAATACTTGTTTGATTTAGTGGCATACGCTGGCTTTATTGATTTAATTATAAGGGCTTAATGAAATGCTAAATCACTATATATGTATGAAGATCCAACTTTGGTGGACTATGGATCATGAGCAGAGGGCACGCGTAAGTAATCGTAATTCATAGTAGGAACCCATTAAGCATGATGTACATTATTAAGTAATTATAGAATTTTGTTGCATAAGAGTTGACAAACAATCTGCAGGGAAAACATTGCTAAATCTTGTGAATTGAATTCAGTATCTATCTACTTGAATGTTCTATCACAGCAAAATAGAGCAAAGAAGTAAAAGGACAAACTCAAAAGAATGAACCAATAACCTTATTTTGGAAGTGCACTGATGACAGCAGCAACATTAATCTTTCCAAAATAACATATTTGAGTCAAAGAACTATTCTGCAGAAAGAAAAACTAAGTAGGCATTCTGTTGGAAGAGTACAACAACAATACAACGGATCGATATAAACATCAATATATTTGGCACTGGAAGTGAGAAGTAGCTCCCTATTGATCCCAAATTTCCAACCAACAAAAGGAGATTCAATAGAACACAGGGAAAGGGAAAAATAAGTAGGCATATCTTGATTGGTTGGGTTGATGTAATATTGGATGAGAGTGTCCTGACCGAGTTGTACCAAAATCCCCCGTCGTGAAGTTCAAGCAACAGCCGTTCATAATTTGAGTGCTGGCGACGACCACCACCGGCAGGTTGTCGCCGTTGTAGCCAAAGTCACAGAGCGTGTCTTTGAATCTTATGTCAATATAGTAGATGAATCCACCGAAGCCCTTCAACGTCGCTACATCCTCTGTTTTGTACATACACCCTTCTAATTTTGGTGAGTATTTCCACCAGGAACCGGCTTGCCGGGCTTCCCGGAAACCCTTTTCGGCGAGGGTATCTTCTCCATCGCCTGATTCTATTTCTCTGAATCACGATTTCTTCCTCATATGCCCCTGCCGAAGCATACTCTACCGGCTGCTCCTTGTTGGTTCATTACCGCCATCCGGCCGTTCTGCATGCCACTGATGTGCAGTCGAACAATCTGACCGTCTTTGCCAAGACAATTCTTGGTGAAATTGAAGGTTTAAATGCGGTCGTAGTTCTTGGGGTTTCGAAGGGAAATTTAGAAGATAGAACGATGGGGCAGAGCAAGGGCCGTTGGAAGGAAAAAGGAGGGATGAAACGTTGTGATTTGGGGAGAAGGAAACAGCTGGAGTTGAGTCAAAGGGAGGAGGGCGTTGGTTTTCTCGCATAAGAGAAAGAAGAAGCTTGTAAGGTGCTGACGTGGATAGTTGTGCGTTGAGGAAGGCTTACGTGGATGGGATGGAAATCTTAAATTGCTTTAATATATTTTATAGATAGATAGATATGCTTAGTTGGATTTAGTAAACCCCCTTTACGCCGAGGGAAGTTTTGATGCTGGAGTTCCATATAGGTGATGTAGTTACACTGAAGGTAATACCGATGTCTAGAGTAGATGCAATTGTTCCATGTTTTGAACCAAATTGGCTTTCTTGCTAAAACCTGCTCAAATTTAGCATCTTCATCGTCTCATCCGCTTTCTTCTTTTATGGCTCATCTACTATCAGTTATAGATGTCTTGGAGATATTTATTCACAGTACTTGGTTATCTATCTATTATGCATGCATATGTCTTCCCTTCAAGTCTTCAAAACTGGGTAGAGCTATAGTTCCTACTTAACTGTTACTTAAGTGCTTGATTATTAATTGAGTTGAACATTATTAATTTTTTTGGTGGCCGTAGTCTCATAGTTAAGCATTATCCTCTTTTTCTTTTCAACAGGAGATTAGAAGACCCTCAACAGTAAAGTTGACTACAAAGGCAGTTTTAGCAGCAGCTGCTACAGACTCTGCCGGTTGCCACAGGGATTCTGTCTTGGCTTTGGCCTCTGTAAAGTTGAACCAAAGACTCCTGATTTCAAGTGGTAGAGATGGAGCTATCAAGGTTTGGAAGTAAATAAATCAGGCTTGCAAGTGACTTGTTGTACATATAGAGTTGGTGATAGTTCAAAATGTACATAAAGTAGTGTCCTATGAATTGCCTTATTCTGATAAGAATTTGTCTCTAAGTTCTGGTAATATTTTGAAATGATATGCCTTCTTTATTTGTACAGAATGGGAAACTAGTATAAGTATAATAACTTAACCTATTATTTATATGCATTCTGGGGTAGGCTTGTGGCCATTGTCAACTTTAATAAAAAGGATAATTCACTATTTTCTCCTGAATTATCTTGAAAACCCACCTTTTTAATAATGGGAATAGGGCGCTACCAGGTACTATCTCTCTTTTCCATATTTTTTTATTATGCGATGTTGGGGAAATGGAAACTGCTTGGTGGGATGGGTTAGTGTAGATCACCTTTCGGCCCTGTGGTAGCATAAGTTGGAAATTTTGGCACCAGAGGAGATATTATTGGAAAGATCTTCATTCGAGGTATGCATTATTCCAGTGGTTCAATGGCATGCTATATTTTCTCTTCTGCTTGTTTGATTTCTTGGGTTGCGGTATTTGTGGTTGGCATAAAATCCTGTATTTACTTTTGTAATAGTGTCAAAGTTTGTTTTCTTTGTGAAACCAGACCAGTGAACTGTGAATGGTTACCGGTTGCCTGTTGGGCTTCACCGTTGGTGCTTTCATTCAGTTGCTAAGGATCTACAGTTTGATAATTTGATGATTGTTACTAGTCTTCGCTCTTGGCACATAAGATCCAAGGTTGTTGATTACGTAAACAACAGACTACAGGATTTATCTATGATTGCAGATGTGAAATTGAATTGTTGAGGGTGCATTAGATTGGGATCAGCATGAAGTGGTTTAATGGGAGCTGGACATACTGGTCATTGAGTTAGATTAGAATTGTTGTGAGACGGTAATGACTTGCGAGATATGGGGAGCTGTCAGTACAGTGGTTAATCTGTGGCCTTTCCTCTTTGAAAGGACTTGAAAGATATTGTGCATACAGAGGCAGAAACTTCCCAGAATCTTGTAGATGGAATATAATTAGTAACCACAACAGTTTGCTAGGGTACAAAGTACTTGTATTAAGGTAAAATTGCAACTGTTTGATTTGATGAGACTCAGCACAAATGCCCTGTCATTGTTTCTGTAGCATCAGGCAGTCTCATATTCTCATTGAATTTTTTCCATGCAATTCATGTCAATGCACTACTGAGGACCTGTGCGACTTGTTTAATAACTCTCGAAACTCTTCAGGCTTCATGCTGCACTGACTGCCATGATTCTGCTGTATCTTGAGTCATTGCATTTTCTATTCCATCATCTATCCAAGGGTACGACATTGATCCATAATCATTATGCTTGGAAGGTGCATATATCTGTGAAATACAGATATGCATGTCAGCTTGACATGTCAGGATAGAGTTCCTGTCAGTATTGCATTTTATTTATGAATGCCAAGGTTTGAAACTAGGATTCAATGTTGGTTCCAAAGTTTGACACTAGGATTGATTCATGTTTCATCTACCTTTACCTCTAGGCTGGACTGTCATTATTATGTGGTAGAAATGATTCTTAAAAAGGGTTGATATAAATTTGGATATGCACTTGGTGGTGAAACAGAAACACATACCAAATGCTTCTACCATGGCCTTCCAGATAGCCCCTCTGTATTAGTAAATGCTCGCTCAGCCATCATTAGTCTGTCATTTATTGCTCTCACTCTTGCAAAGTCTGTCTTCGGTGGTGAAGTCCGCCATATGTCTTCTTCAATTGCCTATAGATGGCAAGATTACTGTGTGAGTTGATCCTTCTTCAGCATTATTATTGTCAATCTTTACTTGTGGGAACTTTTATCATATACATTTTTTTGGATGAAAGAATTATCTTATGTTTTCTCATTGTTTGTGTTTGTGGCTGCTTTTGTTAGTGCATCAACAGACTTGAGCAAGGGAGCAAGTGTTGTATTTGATATCTCATCTTCCAACTTATTTGTGCTTTTCTGTTGCACATAAATGCAATACATGTAAATCATTTATAAATCAATGCACGCTTAGTCGCTTAATTTTTCATTGATAGACAATTGCTCAAGTTCTGTAATGGGTGGGTACAAGTTCATGAGAGCTATACCCAAAGCTTTTCGGCATAGGAAAGATAGTTGAAAGGCAAAATTTCATTGTCTGCAAACTGAAGAGCTAGAAAGCCCCAAATGCTCGCAACTGCTAAGTGAAAATTGAAGTTTCAGGTTGAGATACAGGATTCAGCATGATGTTGCATACTAAATGAGACTATTGTTATTGTTTGTTTTTGTGGGGCAACTTTTAGGATGAATTCAACTTGTCATTTTCCTCTAGAGAATAATTCCATGAAGTTTTGTTTTTGAAAGTCTAGTTGCTCAAGTTTCATACCTGCAACATGTCTGTGAAACATAGGATTACCAAACTTCTCCATCCAGGTAAAGTCATCATACATTGAGTGGTACACAGGGTAATCTGTAGATATTGCAGGCAGAACACACTAGTAAATATATTGCTGATTAATGTCAAACAGCTGAGAACTTCTCGAGTATTTCAAGTTATTTTGATGAAGGTTGTGAGATCACAGAGGGTGGAAGTTTATGTAGTGAATTTAAGTTGTACAAGTGAATAAAGGATATTGTAGAAGTTAATTTTAAGCTGCCAGTAAAAGGCCATATTTGCATACGGTCAGGTGATTGCATCAGTGACTCTGTAGTCTGTACAAATTGTTCAAGGAAGGGCGGCATGTTACTTAATATTTATAGACATAGTTAATATGTGAACATCACATTGTTCTTTTTTTCTTCTTTCTAGGTATGTGGTGATATGGAGCAGAATATGCAGTATGTTCGTTACCTCCTACAGTATAAGACATGTCAACTGATGGCACGCCAATATTTTGTACAAAGGCTGTGTAGTCTGAACCCCCGACCCCTAACCTTCCAATCTGCACCATTTGAAAGCCAGGTTTAGTAAACTCTATATTTTCTCTCTATATCTCTCACTACAGTATAAGACATGTCAACTGATGCACGCCAGTATGTTGTACAAATGCTGTATAGTCTGAACCCCCATCCCCTAACCTTCCACTCTGCACCATTTAAAAGCCAGGTTACTGCACTCTATATCTCTCTCTAAATATATAGGCTGACAGTGGTGTAAACTGCCTTCTTCTGTGTAGGTTGTTTTGAGAGTTCAACACAACTCTAAACAAGGATTTGAATTTCCCTAACCTGAGTAGAGCCGCTGGAGCTTGCCCATGAATCGTAGACAGTCTGTGACGTGTTCTTTGGGTCTTTAAGCATCATTTGTGAGTTTGATTTATTTGAGTGTCCAAAGGTGGTAGGCTCGGTAAGATGAAAAGTCTTCTTGATTTTTTTTCTTCTCTCCAAAGCCTTCCGTAACAGTCACGAAATCCTTTCCCATTTCTTTCACAGTCTAACAAATTATATCACAAGAATTCTTCTGTTTCTTTCATAGATTATTAGATACAAATTCTTCTGTTTAGTTGTCCATTTGAGTAGTTCATCAAGTTGAGGAGTTGCTGAAGCAGGATACCCTTCATACATACTGCGATATCCACATTTAAGTGGGCAACGGCTTTTGATTTTAACACTTCCTTGTTGTCTTCCACCCATTCAGTTGATCCTATCTGCACAACAGTTGGACTATGGGCAACTTTGCCAGCCTTTGAGCAACCTGTATTTAACGTGGAGATTTCACTCATGTCCAACATTTTCCGAATATTGTTCCTGCAAAGTACTTTGATATGACAATCTATTGGGACCAGGACTACCTCAAGCAATGCTGCAGTTCCACTATTGGGATCCGCTGCTCCAAATATCCATGCATCCCGATGATTGCCTAGGAGGACAAATCTAGATTTTCGAAGCAGATAAGTCCTAAATATCCAACTCTTTATGTTCATTCACTGATTGGATCTGTTAAAATACTATAAATTTATGTTTGCGCCTTCATGGATAATCTTTTATTTTTAAATCTAGAAAAGAGGGGTTTGATGCTTTAAATATGCAAGCAAATGAGTTTTATATATCTGATCCTTGTTTGCTATTTTATATAATCAGCATAATGAAATTGTGCGAATAATTGCACGATTCTAAAGTTTTCTCACCGATCAGGCTCTTCCAAGCCTTCAATTATCCCAATAACAGTATGTATTTTTGCTATAGTCTTTTGTAGCCTGAAATCCCATACAGTGGCCGTAGTCGGTGGTGAATGAAATCATACTTTAATTACTGTTTTAGTAAAAGCATCTATAGAGAGCTTAAATCCAATTAACTTAGGATTATATTACCTACATTGTTGCTGAGATTTACAACCCCTGGCCCTGGTCCAACCCTGTAGGTTGGAGAAGCAATAGGCTTGGACCATCTTTGCTTCCTTGCCACCTTTCCACCAATCGACTTTATGATCGTTTCACCATATGCTCCTGATATTGGAAGCGATGGTTTGGATGGAAGGACTCTTGTCTTCTCTACTTCCTCATAAGCTATCCTCACAAGCTTCAGTACTCGGCCATCCAGGTGTTGTAGGGTCGCCAGCCTCTCTGTAAACAGAATCAACCTGAACTCCTGTTGGTGGCATCCATTTTGCATCTGGAAACCACCTTGTATTCTTTCCTCCACCTCCATAGTCTTTCCTATATATATATATGATAGTTCCTATAGCACCTGCTGCATATGGATTATCCACATTGTCCCCTCTGAAAATCTTCCCATATCTTGCCAAGACGATCGTCCCTGAAACTTTGATCCCCATTTCTTTCAGTGTTGCAAATTCCTTTAAGCCCCCATAGTTTGCGTAAGTCACAGGTGCCTCCACGGTCCCTGACTTACCATACCCATGAAATGTCGGCATAACCTCGTTTGCAGCACCTTCGTAGATCTCCTGGCGAAGGTTGAATATGATCGGTGGATGACCTGTTTCAGGGGTTAGTATCAAGGAACGTGAGGCAGGGTATGTCAAGGCTACACATTGGAGACCGTGTGTGACTTTATCTTGTTTGAGATTAGGATAGACTTAACATAATCTGCTGTCTCGGTGTTGGCTTCTGCGCCAGCAATTTGAGAACAGCGGGTAAGCATTTAGAGGTTGTGTGCTACGGACGCATTGTCGGCGAGGGCGTTTGATAGGAAGAGAGAGTGGTAGTAGGACTTTGGAGAAAGAAGTGGGTAAGGCAAAAAATGCAGCTCAGGAATGTGCTTGGAGATGGATTTCGGTTCTGTAATGCAACTTCTCAATTACGAGAAGTTGCTGTAAATAGTTGTCTGCTTCAATAATGGCGGCTGGGGGTAACAAGTGTCTGACTTTATGCAAGAACTAAAATGCTTATAATGTTTATCATGGAGCTCCATGGTTTATTTCTCAAACAAGCTTCAGGTACTCTATGCAGTTCCCTTATGCGTTACCCTCCTCTTATCTACTGGTGGGAAAATTTGTGCCTTCGAATTTGTTGTATAATTTCATTCAAGCTCACAAGGGCCAAACGTGTGAAGACCTACGTTTGTCTGCATCTAGCAATATTCGAGCCGTAAACTGTGTTGTAGAAATATATACATCTTTCTCTTCTTATTCTTATTATATTGTCGAGAAGTATTTTATTTTTCAATTTTAATTTTACCCCAATAAACCAAAACAAGAACCCAAATTAACTGGCAGTCCATGTTTTCATCAGCCCTTGTTCCTTTGATGGGAATTTTTTTTTGTTGGTTATTTTGATAATTCACATAGTAGGGTGAATGCGTACAACGAAGGATTTGAAGCTAATTCTGATCGTACTCGACTTTCTGAAATTTATTTGTTGCACCATTCTTGCAAGGGGTTTCAAAGTACTTGTATTGAAGTGGAGGTGAAAGGTACTGGTTTGGAGGCATTCAGCATGGCGGCTGGTTCCTGTCAGCACCTGTAAGTCTCGCCTTTTACAGTACATTTCATGTCAATTCACCGCTAAGGACCTTAGTAACTTGATTAATGGCTCTGGAGACTCTCCAAACTTCATGTTGCACCACCTTCCATGATTCTTCAGTATTCAGACGCTTTGCCTGCTCTATTGCATCATCAATTCCTGGGAAGTACTTTGTTCCATACACATTATGCTTGGCAGGTGCATATATCTGTTCCATAGAAAAAATTGGTCCATATCATTGACTTGGACTGATAGAACTTCCAATCAATTATTAGACAGGCCAATGTGGTCTGAGCTTTTTACTTTAAGCTACGTGGATGGTGTAGTTGGAAATGGTCTCCAAAGATTTTGAGGGAATAACATGAGTCAGGAATTGGTAACAAAGTTAGAAGCATACCATATGTTTATACCATGGTCTTCCAGAAAGCCCCTCTCGGTCAAGAAATGCACGCTCAGCCATCATTAGTCTGTCATTGATCTCCCTCACTCTTGTGAAGTCAGCTTTCACAATTGATGCCCAACCTATGGTTTCTTCAATCACCTATAGATGCCAGCATACCATGTTAGTTAATTGCTTGCTATTATCAATCTTCTGTTGCATACCGTGTTAGTAAATTGCCTTGTTCATACCTTTATCTCATTGTTTATCTTGGCTGCTGCTTTTGATAGTGCATCAATAGAAGTAAGCAAGGGAGTAACTGTTATCTGATTTGATATCTGATCTTCCAACTCCTCCGCATTTCTCTGTTATACATGGATTAAACACATAAATACCAAATTTTCTCATGATAGCCAGTTAGTTACCAGAGATGTACCCTGGTTCTGCACAAATAGCCGTACCTGAAGCTCTTTAGCATAGGACTGATAGTTAAAAGGCAAAATTTCCTTGTCTGCTAACTGGAGAGCTAGATATCCCCAAATGCTTGCAACTGTAGGTAAAAAAAAATTAAACTTGAGGCTGAGATGCATGATTCAACATGTAGTTTAGCTGCATTTGACACAACATTATGGCCACTCTTCTCTTTCGGATTCAGTAGAAGAATTTTTGTATCAGTTTCTTAGTCCAAGTAAGGCTTCAGTATGGACTGTTTGTATCCCCTCATCTAATAGAATGATTCTGTTGAGCATAACAGTTTTACCATCTGAAAAGATAGTTGAAATTCTCCATTCTACACACCTGCAATGTGTCTGCGGAACATTGGGTCACCAAACTTCTCCATCCAGACAAAGTCATCATACATTGAGTGGTATACAGGGTAAGCTGCATGGATAAATCTATTGTCAGCAGGGCAGAAGAAAAATGCAATTGATGTCCAGGTCAAGGAATCATACACAGCTAAGGTTATTTTAGGGATTGATGACTACTTTGAACTATGCAAGTGATTTATGGTACTTCTTGGTTAGAGACGAGTTTAGGCTGCATGTCACTGCAGACTAGAAGTATTATATGTTCACAGAGCGTTGTTTGTTTCTTTACTAAGAAAAGTTCATCTTTGTGGCAAGAGAGGACACTCCTTTTCTATGGATTGTAATTTGCAAGGTAATCGGTAGACATGCAGATTGTTACCTCCTCCGTAAGTTACTTCAAGGGATGCTACACCAATATGCTGTACAAATGCTGCAAAATCTGATCCTCCACCCCCTAATCTTTCAATCTGTACAGTTGCAAGACATGTTAGTGCTGTAGTTTTGGCAAGGAGGCCCTTCAACCCTTCAAAATCTCCTTCTTGGAGCTATCTACACTTATATGGTGGTTTTCAGATTCCTTTAAGAAGAATTGGAACAAGGCGTGAAAAAATTACCTTTACACTTGGGGAACTGCTGGAGACAGCAGCCCATGGGGAACTGCTGGAGGCAGAAGCCCAAGAGTCATAGACAGTCTGTGATGAGTTATCTGGGTCTTGAACCTTTAGACATCAGAACAAATTTGGTAAATTAGATGGAAGAACAGAATTTGCTATGCATTCTGAAAGCTTTCTGATAGACACGTCGTTTTGTTCGTCTATATAACATCGAAAAACACGTCTAGATTTCCTGTCTTGAAACTTGTTATTTCTTGGTTGCCATAATCAGGTACCTGTTTAGCGGCCTGTTTGAGTAATTCATCAAGCTGAGGAGTTGCAGAAGCAGAGTATTCCTCGCCACTCACTGCAATATCCACATTCAAGTAGGCAACAGCTCTCGAAGCCAGCAGTTCTCGGTTGTCTTCAACCCACTCAGTCGATCCTATCTGCACTTACAATTCATTTGTTTCATTATGCTTTATTTTGCAGACTCCAAATTCGTGCAAAGAGGCATATATTGTATGTGAAGCAGAGAGAGAGAGAGACCAAGCCATACTCCTCGGCGTCCCAACTGCAAAAGATGATTGTTCTTCTTGGTTTCCAGCCTTTCTTCTGCAGTTTTTCCAGTCTTTGAACAACCTACGTTTTTGTTGCAGATACATTATACAGTTATCTCCAAAGCTCCACTTGATCAGCCAATCTACTGGGACCATGATTACCTCAAGAAGTGTTGCTGTTCCACTGTTGGGATCAACCGCTCCAAATGTCCACGCATCCCGATGATTACCCAGGATCACATACCTAGCCAGTTTGCAGTACAAGAAGCAGGTAACTTGATTTCAGTTCTCAATATTTTTTCCCTTTTCTCTACTCAAATTAACCCGACGAAACTTGATATGCGATTTCGTAGCTAATTCATGCAAAATGTTCTTCTACATTACCTATCAGGCTCTTCTGATCCTTCAATCATCCCGATCACGTTATGAATAGTTGCTATAGTCTTTTTTGCCTGGAATCCCACCATTAGTAGCAACTCTCAGCGTTGCAATTTTACCTCTGTTCCAATGATCCCATAAGATTTATAACTTACGTACCTTGTAGTTGAGATTCAGAACACCTGGCCCTGGTCCGACCCTGTAAGTCGGAGCATCATCACTCCCTTGCCAATCCTCATCGGCCACCTTCCCACCAATCGACTTCATGATCGTCTCGCCGTCCGCTCCCGACACCGGCAGCGACGGTATCGCCGGCACAATCCCCAACCTCTCCACTTCCTCATAATCCCTCCTCTCACACCCTTCATTACTCGGCCACCCAGGAGTCGTAGGATCACCGGCCTCCGTATAAACATTACCCATCTGAGCTCCCGTCGGCGGCAGCCACTTCGCCTCCGGGAACCACCCGGCGTCCTTCCCTCCGCCGCCATAGTCCTTCCTATCCGAGTATATAATCGTCCCCACCGCCCCTGCCGTGTACGCATTATGCACGATGTCCCCTCTGAAAACCTTCCCGTACCTCGCCAGCACAATCGTCCCACTCACGTTGACTCCCATCTCGTTTAGAGTCGCAAAGTCCTCCACTTGTCCGTAGTTTGCATACGTCACGGACGCCGTGACATCCCCTGACTTGGCGAACCCGTGGAACGTGGGCATGACCTGGCTCGCCACGTCGGCGTAGGGATCGCCGGCGTAGATCTCCTGACGGAGATCGAACGCTACCGGTGGATGGCCTGGTTTGGGAGTCAGCGTCAGGGAACGTGAGTCAGGGTAGGTCAGCGCCACGTCATAGGAGACTATGTGGGAGTTGATGTTGTGGGAAGTGAGGGTGGTGAGTACGTAGTCGGCGGTCTCGGCGTTGGCTTCCGTGCCGGCGACGTGCGGCCGGCGGGTGAGCATGTAGAGGTTGTGTGCCACGGAGGCATTGTCGGCGAGGGAGGTGGAGAGGAAGAGAGAGTGGTAGTAGGATTTTGGAGTGTCAGTGGAGTAGACGATTGGGAATGAGGTGGATAAGGTGAGGAAAGCGTAGATTGCTCCTATGAACATGGAGCCTAAGCTTTGGGATGTTGGGAGTTTCATAGTCGTTGCGAGTTGCAGTGCGTAGACAGGGGAAATGGTGAGTGATCAGGATTTAGGATGAAAAAGCAGCTTAAAGGTTTCTTCTTTATCTGATTAAAGTATAAAATGAAATGAGATAGCGACTTAATCATTTGTTTTTTCTTTGTCGTGTATCATGTGAAGATGCCTATGTAATTATCGAACGTCAAAAGTTTAACACTTTGATTACATCAAGGTCCACAGGAGCTCTGCTGAGTTGCAGTAGAGTCTTGAACCACAGAGCTTAGTGGGTTCTGCTTTCTATATGATATAGACACGTTTTTTCGGCTTCTTGTACCTTGTGTTGTGGGCTGTGTGGTCCGCTTAGATGGTGAGCATTTAGTACAGCCTTTTATGTGTTCAAGCTGGTGCCACGTGATTTAATAATGTAGATTTCCTCGAAAGAATGCATGTCAACGTGGAGCCCAGAAATTCATTGTTTATCGTCCTTGTGGCTCTCGTGCATTATTTTTCTTTCGGATTTAGGGGCCAAGGGGTAGTATATTTTATGTCTTGTCTAGAGTTGTTTCCTTCGTTTAATTTTTTAGGGTAGTTAGTTTTATATCTTGTCTAGAGTTCTAGACGTTTATTAGTTTCCTAGTATAGGGAATCACTTCTTATTTCCGTGCTTCTTAAGCTACTGCTATGAATCATAGAATCCTGCTAGTCGACAGAACTGAAGAAACTGCATGATAACTTTACACGAATTGTGGGGTTTTGCAGGAGTTGGAAATGTTTTCTGCTTCCTCATCAAAGGAAGAGCAGAGACGTGGGAAAAGAAAAGCTGGGTTAGAAACAGAAAGACTGAAAGAGATAGATAGAGAGGTTCTTTTTGAGTGCTTTTCTCCCACCTCTTCTGATTATTCATTTTTAGTGTAAGAATCATGTCAGTTCACCACTGAGGACCTTGGCCACTTGATTGATAGCTCTGGAGACTCTCCAAACTTGGTGTTGCACTGACTGCCATGATTCTGCTGTGTTCAGTTTCTTTGCCTCCTCTATTGCATCATCTACTGCTGGGAACGACTTGGATCCGTAGTCGTTATGCTTGGCTGGACCATATACCTGCAAAAGTTAGAAAACCGTTACTAGGCTATATTGGCTTATAAGTTAAAGCAGGACCACTTACCTGCAAAAGTAAGCAAGAAAACCGTTACTAGGCTATATTGGCTTATAAGTTAGACCCAAACAATTGTCAGTAGTTGGAGGCTTGCCTAACGTGGTCCTGATTTCTATTTGTTCCGCAGAGACATACCAGATTTAGTACCTATTCATACATTTATGAGGGGGGGAAATGCCATATATAGTTGATAGAGTTGATCCTGAAATGATGCTGCTTCAATAAGGAATTTGGGAGCAGAGACATACCAGATGTTTATACCATTGTCTTCCAGGTAGTCCCTCCGAGTCTGTAAATGCTCGCTCAGCCATCATTAGTCTGTCATTGATTTCCCTCACTCTAGCAAAGTCTGTCTTCTTAGCTGATGTGAATTTGCTGGTTTCTTCAATGGCCTATTGGATTCCAGCTTGTTGTGTGAGTTTATCAGTGTGAATATTTGGCGCTTGCAGAATCTGTACTCATACCTTTATCTCATTGTTTACTTTGGTGGCTGCTTTTGTTAGTTTGTTGATAGAGTTGAGCAAGGGATGAACTGTTATCTTGTTAGGTACCTCATCTTCCAGCTCCTTTGTACTTTTCTGTTGGACAAGACATGGATACATAAAACGTAAGTTAGTTCGTCTCTTGACTTATTTATACCGGCCCTCTCTGCATAAGTTTATGATAGCTCTACCTGCAGCTCCTCTGCATAGTTAAGATAATTAAACGGCAAAATCTCCTTGTCTGCTAACTGAAGAGCTAGATATCCCCATATGCTTGCAACTGATATGCGAAAAAAGAAAGTAAAATCAGACCAGGTTGACTTGCATGTTTCATCACTTGGTACAAATCTGCAGATTTAATGATAATATATATAGCAACTTAGGCTTTAGAATTTAGTTTTGACGGAGGCGTTGAATAACTGTTTCTCTAAGAAATGATTCTGTTGATAAATTGACCAGCAATTCATATAATCTCAACATGACATTATTGTAGTAGTTGTTACCGGTTTCTCACCTGCAACATGTCTGTGAAACATTGGGTCACCGAACTTCCTCATCCAGACGAAGTCATCATACATTGAGTGGTATAAAGGGTATCCTGCAGATATAGTATCAGTAGGCAATGTTCATTAGTTTCCTAAAGATAATTATGCTTCATGTCTGTGGTGCTTGGCTGAACTGCATGTTCTATTTCTTATAGTGGGAGATAGATAAGGGATCATATGGCGAAAAGATTGTGGCATGTTTGTTACCATCTCCGAAAGACATGTCAACGGCTGCTACTCCAATATGCTGCACGAAAGCTGCATAATCAGATCCTCCACCTCCTAACCTTCCAATCTGCAACATACCAAACCACAGGTTAGGCCCATTTTTGTGATTGATTCATGCCAGAATATCAAAACAAGATGGTTCAATATCCCTTACTGGTGGAGAAGCTCCCGATCCGGTCCATGAGTCGTAGACACTCCTCGTTGAGTTAGTTGGATCTTGAACCTAAAAAAAGTTAAGAGACGTAGATGACAGAGTTCTGATTAGTTCAGGTGTAAGAAGAGATTCTTAGGTGATATGCATGTACCTTGTGTTGGTGCATTTGTTTCAAGGCTATGGATTGTCAGCATGCATAATATTCAGGTACCTGTTTAGCAGCCTCTTTAAGAAGTTCATCGAGTTGAGGAGTCGCAGAAGCAGAATAGTCTTTGTCACATACTGCTATATCCACATTCAAGTAGGCAACCGCCTTTGATTTCAACACTTCTCTGTTGTCTTCAACCCATTCAGTTGATCCTATCTGCATGATTCGAGCGGATGGTTTATGCTTTTCCTACTGCATACACTACATACATTCACACACATAACTGCGATAGAGGGGTAAAAGAAGAGACTAGATACCAGGCCATACTCCTCCGCATCCCAATTACAAAAGATAATTGTTCTTCGAGGTTTCCACCCTTCCTTCTGTAGCTTTCCCAGTCTTTGAGCAACCTGTGTTGCATTCAGTTAATATCTATCTCCCATCTGCTCCGTTTCATGCATATATTCTGGGATCGTGACTACCTACCTCGAGCAGTGCTGCAGTTCCACTGTTCGGATCAGCTGCTCCAAATGTCCAGGCGTCGCGATGATTTCCCAGGAGGACAAAGCTACAATGTTGCAGCAGATAAATCCGTATCATTCACATGTAAGTCACTTTTGCCTATGCTCTCGAATTCTATTCTTCTCAGTCATTTCATTCACTGCCAAATTACTCTAATCGCAATGGTTTTAAACTTTTCTTACCGATCAGGTTCCTCTGCCCCTTCAATCACTCCAATAACGTTATGAATTGCTGCTATCGTCTTTGTCGCCTGAATCCAACATCTCAGCAGTAAGTAAGTTCATGTTACAGCAGCAGTACAATTTTTCTATCAACAAATTCTGAGCAATGACTTACAGTATAGCTAAGATTCAAAACCCCTGGCCCTGGTCCAACCCTGTAAACAGGGCCATCCTCACTCCCCTGCCAATCACCATTAGCGACCTTCCCACCAATTGACTTCACAATCACCTCCCCATCCTCACCGGATACCGGCAAAGACGGTATCATCGGAACCACCCCTGACTTCTCAACTTCTTCATAATCAATCCTCTCACAACCTTCACTACTCGGCCATCCAGGCGTAGTAGGATCCCCTGCTTCGCTGTACACCGAACCCACCTGCACACCCGTCGGCGGCATCCATCTCCCATCAGGAAACAACCCTTTTCCACCACCACCATAGTCCTTCCTATCCGTATATATAATCGTCCCTACAGCTCCTTCCGCATACGAATTATCCACAATGTCCCCTCTGTAAATCTTCCCATACTTAGCCAAAACAATCGTCCCATTCACTTCAACCCCCATTTCCTTCAACGTCAAGAAATCCTCCACCCGTCCGTAGTTGGCATAAGTCACCGGCGCCGACACCGTCCCTGACTTCCCAAACCCGTGGAAAGTGGGCATGACCTGGTCTGCCACGTCGGCATAGGGATCCCCGTTGTAGATCGCCTGAACAAGGTCGAATGCGATCGGTGGATGGCCCGGTGCAGGGGTCAGTGCGAGGGAGCGTGATGCAGGGTAAGTCAGGGCAACATCGTAGGAGACGATGTGGGAGTTGACTTTGTGAGAAGTGAGGGTGGTGAGTACGTAGTCGGCGGTCTCGGCGTTGGCCTCCGTGCCGGCGACGTGTGGGCGGCGGGTGAGCATGTAGAGGTTGTGTGAGATGGAGGCATTGTCGGAGAGGGAGGCGGAGAGGAAGAGGGAGTGGTAGTGGGACTTTGGAGGGTTGGGGAAGAAGAAGAAGGAGGAGGTGAAAGAGGTGGTGAAGGTGAGGAAAGCGTAGATGGCTGCTTTGAACATGGAGTTCAGAGTAGGTGGTGATACTGAGGATGGGAGTTTTCTGGGATGATTGGTGAATTAAGGAGTTGAGAAGTATGAAAATAGTTGCAGAAGGGAATACCGACAGTGACAATGGTTGTTGTGGTTGTCGAAGGGGAAGAGAGGGGACTCTTTTGGCTTCATCCTGATTGGACAGCCACGTAGTGGGTTTGTCTTTCGCAAAAAGATAAATGGTGATATTCAATTGCTTTCATTTTTCTTGATAGGTCAGTTGAATGACTTTATTAGGGAATATATATCTTCATTATTCTGCTTGCTGGCGGTGTTTATGTGGGGCATAAGATGAATTGTCTTATGAAATTTTACGTTATGAACAAGGTTTTAATGCTCTCTCTGCCATGGTGATTGCAGTTGGTGATTTGTGAACAAAAAGATGGTGTTTTGGACTTCGCTGATTTGGTGGGTTTGCTGCTAGATCCTCAGTTCTTGGTCTGGATAGTTGTGTTGAATCAGGGATGAAACCAAATGATCAAATTACTAGGGGAGAGAGGTGATTTGTTGTGTGAACTGTTGTTATGTTGAGGACTAAGCCAAGCTAAGTCAATCCTTGTTGTTTTGCAGGTAACTTTTTCGTTGCAGAGCTTGGGAGGGGCTTGTGCATGTAACCGCCAGTCACATTTGGAAGGAAAGGTGCAATCTTTATGTTTGGAGACAACATCCAGATGAAAGTTAGAGCATTCTATTTCCGGCACTTGTTTCTTGAGTCTTGGTTTGAGGTTGAAATGGAAGTAATATTGGTTCAGTTTTGGAGACTCATTTCTCAGGTCTTGGATGATTTTCGTCTATGAAGGTATACTTAAAGAGGGCCCAGAAAGAAGGCCCAGAGGGGTTGTTTTGGGCCAGAAGAATCCTGATGGCCCGTCCTTCGGTTGTAAGGCCAATGACCGAAGTGAATCAATAAGAAAATCTAGTTCGGTGAATGTAGGTCTCACGCACCGTGAGGCTGAACCACGTTAAAATCCTCGTCGTGTCAATTCTTAATTTCGCGTCATATCTGATTTTTCTCAGGTTGAGACAACCATGGAAGGATCCTTCAGAAGGTCCAATGGGCCGTCAATAAGGCAAGGTTGGGCTTGGGCATAAGTCTATGACCGTTGCAAAGGATAGATAGATACTATTTCAAATAATGTGGTAATGGTTTTTTGTTTATTAATTGGTGTTTTATTTATATTATGGGGGGAATTGATTCGCATTTTGTTTATAGAACAGTATGACGAGAATGCCATGGTCGGTCCAGCAGTATAGAAGACTAATCATTTGCTCATAATTAATCAAATATTGACAAACCAAAAGACGCACTATCTCAACTTAATTGGTGTGCATCACTTCATTCCAAAATTTGTCAATCAACACTCAGGGAACAAAATTTGTTTAGTCGGAATTGGCAGGAGATTAAGTTTAATTGTTTTCTCATATCTTTTTATTAATCAGTCATACTCGGAATAGAAAGATACTTGATATATAATAACTCTATCCACTTCTTCTCTAATGTTATAAATCGGGGGTTGTTTTGGCGTAGTGGAGCTGATGAACACAGACTGAATTAAGCTTGTTAGTAGTGATGGCAACGAATCAGGTCAGAACAACCTATTTTCACACGTTATTTGAGAAAGAGAAATGTAAAAAAATTATTTTTTCCTATGAAACAAAGAAAAAACACTATATAAATGAAAGTTAGAGATAATAGGTGAACGAATGTTTGATCCAGTGATAATAATATTGGTTTTAAACCTGAAGATCTCATATTCAAATATTGTAAGTTACTACCTAACTAAAAACAAACCTATAAGACTCCTATAAAAAATGTAATATCTCCGTTACTACCTAACTAAAAACAAACCTATAAGACTCCTATAAAAAATGTAATATTAGAGATAATAGAATAAGCAAGAGAAGAAAAACATATACATATTGAACTAAATCAAAATAAAATAAATTAAGAAAGAAGTGAAACGAGACAAGACAACGCGTGACGAAAGTAGTATCCATACTCCAACCCATACTACGTACAAGTCAAATAATACTCGCTCCAAATTGAGTCAAGTCGCGTAGAGTAATGTTGGACAAAACGGTTTAAATTGCCATCTGATTGACTGGCCTTAAATCTCCATATCCATCTCGTGACCATATACAATTCCCCGACCAAGCTAACCAATTATGGCGTGGACGGCAATGCTATATTGCACACCACCAACACCAAAACCCACGGCACAAACTGAAGCTGAGAAACAACTAAAAAGCACTTGAAAAGTCGGCCAAAAAGCAAATAAGGAATCTGTGGTACCAAAGCCATCCACATCGAATAGCCACTTGACAAAGACTACTAATTAACTATCTCCCTCTCGTAGAAAAAATTATCTACAATCGAAACAGAAACCCATTTGGTCCAACGAATTAGCCCACATCAATCCGATAAAGCTCCACGAGCATTCCACCATGGCCTGATAGGGCCCATGTAAAGTACACTCAGGGCCCGGTGCGATCTCGATCTATTCGAGATCCCTTTAAAATACGTCTCGTGCATGTGTTTGTATAAAAAGGTTGAGAGTGAAAGCATCAAGTTGTTTGATTATGAAGTTATTAGGGTATCAAGTCGTTGCACCATAATCAGAAGATTTACGTGTTCATTATGTCGATTCATGGCACAAGACTCCACATATTACATATTTCCTCTCTCAGCAATAGGTAATGTCTTCTCTCTCACTTGCCACGAAATCAATGGTAACAATAAGTCACTTACGAAGCTAGTAGCAAAACATTATAGTTTTCCGAAGTCCGCAAACCCGAGTATCACTAGAAGGTAGGTAAGTTGGCGAGGTGTCATACAGATAGTCATGATCAATTTGTCACAATAACTAACTCCAGTTGTGGGAGAGATCCATATATGGATCTTAACTACTTCCTCACGAAACCCTCTCAAACGAAAATCAATTCATGAGTTTGAACTTTGCACAGGCTCGCCATATCATGTATTTTAAATAAATAATAAGTATTTTTGGTCTAGAAGACTTGAACACGGGACCTCACTTTTAAACCAACTCCAATACCACGTCATAAACCAACTTGTCTCAATAACCTGAACTGTTATAAGATGTTCACATATAGATTTTAATCACTTTCTTACATAGACTTCATCATCACCATAAAAGAAGGCAAAAAAAAAAGCATTGGTGACATCAAACTGAGAAATGTGTCAACTCTTGACATCTGCAATGGCTAAAAGGCATTGGAAGAGTGGTTAATCTAACAAGAGGAGCAAAATAACAGAGTATAATCCCTCCCCTCTACTTGAATGTAGCCCTTGGCAAGCATGTGAGCTCTATAGCTATCAACGGTGACATCAAACTTACATCCCATTTTGAGGATGATGGACTACTAGCCTTAGTTGAATTAGTAACGTAATTGTTTATAATTATTAGTTGGTTGATACGATTCGTTAATACTATTGTCGATGATCTTTGCACATCATTTATGTAAACCAGAAAATATCCACCGATACTTATCTGATCATACGAGTCGGTTAGACGTTCGTCTGTTTAAAGACGTTGATTGATTAATGAAAGGGCAGACAAGAAGTATGAAGTGGAAATACTCTTTTACTATAAGTTCAACAGAGGACCCATTTGGAAGCAACGGTTTTCTTAGCACTCATCATCAAACTAGCTAATAGGACCAAGTTCATACTACTCCTAGCAAGGATCCAGATTGGAATTTGTAACAACAATTATTCAATACCTTCACATAAGAACACACATGCAAAGAAGAACAGCAACAGCAGCAACACTCACGGGAACAAACAAACAAACAAAAGCACTCAAACAAACAACCACACAGAAAAGCCAAGCACCCCGCCTTATTCTCTTCCTCCTCTTCCAGAAACAACACCAGCAGCATTAATTAATAGAACACTATTCTACTTTTTTCCTGCAGCACAACCTCTGCTCCCCTCTGTGTCCCAAATGGTTAGTGGGGGCAGCAGAGAAACCGCCCGTGACCCTCTCTCCTTTCATCATCTCACATTCTCGCACTCTCTTCTTCCTTAATTTACCTGTCCTCCTTCAAGTTCCATGTCACTTTCCACCTAGGTACCCTAACCGCACATATATATATAGCCAATGTTGGTCCATAGACTTGCTACATTGTTCCATCCCTTCTTCTTCTTCTTCTTCGTTAATCACATCCTTAAAACCCATCCTATAATGTCAGGGATCCCCAATTCCATGTTTCTTCTCATACTCCTGCTCCTGCTGCTGAATTCAGGGCAAACAGCGTTCTGTCACACAAAGGGGCTAAAACCGGGGAACTCAATGGGGAATAATCAACAGATCCCTCCTCCTCCTGTGAATTCCACGAGAACCCAATTCTCAGAACAGCAGTTCCTCAAATGGGTCAAGTTCGTCGGCAGCTTGAAGCACTCCGTCTTCAAACCAGCAAAGAACAAGCTCTTCCCTTCCTTCACCCTCACCGTCGACAAGAACCCGGTCACCGGCGACTTCACCTCGATTCAGGACGCCGTCGATTCCCTCCCTTTCATCAATGTCGTCCGGGTCCTGATCAAGGTCCATGCAGGCGTTTACACGTCAGTTCCCCCTTAATTTCCTCTGTTTTTCTTCTCTCTGTCTCTCAACTAATGGGCTGGAGTTTATAATAATAATAAAGAAAGACTGTTGGAATCCGTGGTGAATTTTGTCCCACATTCTGTTGTGACAGCTTGGAAGTTTCCTGTTGTGTCAAGATTCCATTGGGCAGGGTTCTAAGCTTTCTAACAAAAGGGCTTTACACTGATTTTGTTTGTATGTTTGGTACAGAGAGAAGGTGAGCATCCCGCCATTGAAGTCATTCATAACGATCGAAGGCGCAGGGGCGGAGAAGACGATCGTGCAATGGGGGGACACGGCCCAAACTCCCGGCCCAAGAGGCCAGCCCATGGGCACCTACGCTTCCGCCACGTTTGCCGTCAATTCCCCCTTCTTCATAGCCAAGAACATCACTTTCAAGGTACATCCTCTGTTTTTCCTCCTCTGAATGAAAATAAAACAACCCAATTGAATTGGCTCGGTGGGGTTTGCAGAATACGACGCCGGTTCCAGCGCCGGGAGCCACCGGGAAGCAGGCGGTGGCGTTCAGGATATCGGCAGATACGGCGACGTTTCTGGGGTGCAGATTCCTGGGAGCGCAGGACACTCTGTATGATCATCTGGGGAGGCACTACTACAAAGATTGCTACATTGAGGGGTCCGTGGATTTCATATTCGGCAACGGCCTGTCACTTTTCGAGGTGGGTAAATCTTAATTGGATCAATGGGGCCAAAAATCGCGCTTTAATGCTTAAAAGTTCAAACCTTGACACTTCTGCGTCACCGATACGCTTCTACGTAGAATTATATTAGTCAAAATCTACACTTCAAAACTTAAAATCTTACTGTTTTGACACTTTTCGGAGCATACAGGGGTGTCAGGTGCATGCAATAGCGCAGTACACAGGGGCGTTAACGGCTCAGGGGAGGAGCAGCCTGCTGCAGGATACAGGGTTCTCGTTCGTCAACTGTAAGGTCACGGGGTCGGGTGCCCTTTACCTTGGGAGGGCTTGGGGTCCTTTCTCGAGGGTCGTTTTTGCCTACACTTACATGGACGACATCATCATCCCCAAAGGCTGGTACAATTGGGGCGACCCTACCCGTGAATTGTAAGCCTCTCTCTCTCTCTCTCTCTACTTCTAACTTCATCTCTCCTCGAATTTCTGGAGGGCTTAACACCTTAGGGCTAGTGAATTGGTGGACACTAGTCTAGTTGATCATGTGTAGATGATACACTTACAAAGTTACAAACTTGTAGTTCAATGCATGACACCATGACTGAAGTGCACCTTAGTGATTGTGTGTCTGATACCTATCTTTCTTTTTTGTCACTTATAGAAGGTAACATGGTTATGGTGCTTACAACCATTCTGTGTGAGAACTTGCTTACTGGTAAGGGTGGGCATTCGGTCGGTTCGGTTGAAACCGAACCGAAATTATGAATATTGGGTCCCCGAATTCTCCCAAACCTCGAACCGAATTATAATTCGGTTCAGTCGGTTTAAACCGAATTATAATTCGGTTCGGTTCGGAATTTCACCCAAAACCGAATTTGTGAGGCTATTTGTATCTTCTCCCTTTTAAATTATTCTTCACCCCCTAATATAAACAATAAATATGCAATTATATGCATCATGAATGATAAATTCAAACATTTCAACGCATAAGTCATAAAATATTTCAAATGTTTATGTGTAAAAACAACTATTAACGTAAAAATCCACTATTTGGAGCTTGCAATTATAGTAGTTCGGTTTTTCGGTCGGAATTTCGGTTCGGTTGAAAGAACCCTGATTTTCGAAATATCCATATTTTCCTTCCGAATTTCGAACCGAATAACATTATTTCAGTTTTTGGTTTCCGTTTACCCACCCCTACTCACAGGCACGAGAAGCAGTTGGATCGCGTACAGGTACATTGTGACCATTGGTCTGACATCGTGTCGAACCCAACGAGCGTTATACACCCGCTCGATATTTCAATAGTCACTACTACACCTGTGAACACGTTCTCACAGGATTGTAGTGACCATTTTAGCAAAATTATATAGAAGCTTAGTGGGGATATATAGGGAGGTGCCAATACCTAACTATTACAATTTACAAGAACCCTTTTTCCTCCACATCCTGATCAATCAAATCATGCCCATAGAGAGCTTTTCCTACCCTAATTCTTGTCAGCAAAAGGGTGCCCTTTTTCTCCTTATCCCTCACAAAAAAGAATTGGCACATCTACCGCTCTATGACTATGAGTGTGTAAATTTCCTCTTCTGGGATCCATCAAACCCGTGCTGCAGAAATCAGAATCGACGTGTACTGCACTGCTCTGCACCACCAACCTGCAGAACAGGGCTTCTTTCCTTTCTTTCTTAGCCCATCATCTCTGTCTCTACCTAACTTCAATTAGAATTATTTAATTCTTCGGGTGGCAATTTGCATTTTTTTTGGTTTATACAACTGAGCACTAACTCATAAGCATGCGTGAGATTCTGATTTCTGATTCGTGCTCTGTTTTTTTCTGCAACTTTTCTTCTGGGTGGTTTTATGAACAGGACGGTTTTCTATGGGCAGTACAAGTGTACAGGGCCCGGAGCCAGTTTCGCCGGCAGGGTGGCGTGGTCGAGAGAGCTCACCGACGAGGAAGCCAAGCCTTTTCTTTCGCTTAGCTACATTGACGGCTCTGAATGGGTCAAATTGGAAATATAATAAAAGTTTTGGGACCTTTTTTGGTTGTTTTCTTTTTTCACTCCGAAGTGTGATATTTGTAATTTTACTTCCTTCTGCTTTCCCTCTTTCGCTTTGTACAAAAAGGAAAAGCTAGGTCATTACTCATTAGTTTTGCTAAATAGGATTTGGTAGTGTGGATTAGATTAACCTAAATGGGATGATTGCTCTTTTAAAGAGTCATTTCCCAGTTATAATAAATGTCAATCACAATGCAATAAATAATAAAAGAGTTAGGTATTCTAAAAAAAAACAATTCGTAGTTAGTTTACCTTCAATTCTACGAAGTATCTCTATTATTAAAGAATGATTTGAAAAGAGAATTGAAGATTAAAGGAGGAACGAATTTGAATTTCACATACGAGAAAATTTGAAAAATTGGACATTCCAAATATGGGCTTAAGTGCTCGTTTGGAGAATATGGGTTTAAATCTACAGATTGTCAACAATTTAAAGATTCTAACACTCCAAATTGTTGAAATCATATTTTAAAATATTTATTGTTTGGTAAGTGGTAACTGTGATTGTTAACATTCAATAAAAATAAAAAATTTAATTTTATATTAAATAAAATTTATATCCTTAATAAAAAAATTAGAGTGGTTCAAGAAATATTAAAAACTTTGTTGATAGATATATTTCATGTGATAAATAAATAAAGTAAGAGAAAAAATAGGAGGAAAAAAATTTCCCAAATCAAGATATAGGATCTCTCTGATTATGAGATATTTGATATCCGTAGATTTTAGAGATTTGAAATCTCTAAAGTTAGAATCCACAATACAGAAAATAACAAAAAAAAAAATATATAACTTTTTACAAAATCTACAAATTCAGTAAATCCATGTCCTGAATCCTGTATTCCGGTTCTCCAAACTAGCCCAGCAATAGTAGACCTTGTAATTGGTGATTGGCAGATCAACTGTTGGGCTGAAAGGTATTGAGTTCATGTTGGCCCTTACCCAAGCCTATTGCGGAAAGCAGATATGGGCCAGAAAATTGGGCCCTCATAACTTGCAACCCAGGCCGCGGCCCAGATGTAGGAACCCACAACCGTTAGCGCTGAGCTTCAAACGCCTCGACAGATTTATTGGCATCTTCGGATCATGGTCCATTAAACCGTACCGTACCGGCGGTTCAAACACAAAATACCAGTATCGGAGGCTAACCCGATAGGCGGTATTTAACGGTATTAACGGTTGAACTACGGTTCAACCACGATTTTACCGTAAAAATACCCTACTACTAACTTTTCCGGTACGGTTTCATGGACCATGCTTCGGATACCTTTAGATGAAAATGGACTTTCGCCATGGCGATTTCATGGAATCTGTATATAAGTATTGTTATTATTTTAATAAAATAAAAAACATTTTGTGACCTCAGTTAAACTATTTTAGAACCAAATGATGCCTTAAATGCATTAAGTTTAGATAAAAGATGTGATTGAATGTACGAGACGGATGTTATCGGGTATGAGGAGGATATGAATATGGGGATGGTGATGGTGATAAGTTCAACGCAATTCGTCCCAAATACCTTTTCAGCATGGCAGTATGTACTCCCCTTTTTGCATGCATGTTATGCACTTTTTTCATATATAATGTTCGGATAATTTGTTTCGTCTCAAAACAATCTTACTCTTAACTCTTCAATTAAATTATGACACGTAGTAGAATTTTAGGATTTATGCAAAATAATTTACAATTTAGTTTTGCTGTTAAATATTTCTAAAATATGTCAGATCCTCGTCATTACATGGATAAAATTATGACAAAAGTTCACAGATTAGTTGTATTCTTATGTGGTATGCTTGTATTAGACAAATACTAGTGACTAAATTTTGAAATTCAATGTTTAAAGCCTAGTTCGATTGAACTCGTATTCCACTTCTATCCAAAATTATGACAAAAGGGGAGGCTCTTTGTACTAATAATGAAATAGATGAACTTGAAGCGGCTGAAATTGTACTAGAAATTTCATGCGCCGATTTTCGATCGCACAAAACAATATTCCACCATTTACAAAACCCTGTTGTCTAGAAAAAAATTGTTGAAGCCTCCATAACCAAATAAATCTCTTAATTACTTCAATTGTCTCAAAATGAAACAGTTAGATCAAAAAGTATCTTTTGGCAATATAATATGGGGGGACGCAACAACCGAGTGGAGACATTTTGAATTGCCTCATTTCTGCAACAATTGGAGTTCACAGCGAGGACAACTATATTGAATAATGCATCGGTTGTGAGATGATTTTATTTTCAAGAATCGGGATGGATTATCTCGTTCCAGAAACACATCACCCAGACCAGCCCAATGGGTTTGACACACTTCTCAAAGTAGCTGGTGTGTTCAAAGTTTTAAAAATAGGCTTGACTAATTCAGGATCCAGATGAACAACAACAAGTCATCAATAACCAATCATAAAATAAGGTGGCCACCATTAAAATAACAGAGGGAGCTGAGAGAGAGATAAGAAGAACATAAACAAGAACAAGAGGGTTCAAAATCAAATCAAATTGGTCGAAATTTTGAAACCCACAAAACCCTCAGCTGCTTGTCCCCCCACATTTGTTAACATTGATTTGAAAGCAGCTGTTGGGGTGATGCCCACATGATGCAAGCAAAACCCTAAACCCTAGAAAAGAAACCACACACAGAGAAAGACAAATTGGAATCCTTTTCCCTTCTCCCAAAGTTACCCCTTTTCCCCTATTCTATTTCACACATTTACCAATGGGAAAAGAAGGAATCAAAAGACCAAAAAGTGGATCATTATTACATTTATAAGCAAACAATTAAGTACTAGTATGTCTATAAAAAAAACTTAAGTACTAGTATGTAAGAAACCAAACACCACCATCATCATTACCAATTTACCATCATAATTTCCCCTCCAACCATATATGCAGATTGCAGACAGTTACTACTACTTACTACTTGATGTGACTGTCTGCAGAAAGTCCCACACTTGAAATGATTTGATTTGATATGGGCAAGCAAGGAAGCCAGAATCCTCAAAGTCAAAAACCATCATTGGCAATTTGGCATCACCAACTCAATAAGATCAACACAAAAATTTCCTACTGACATTAATTGGTCAAATTGATTCCATCCCACCTGTGACCTACTACTGCTCATTCTTCTTCTTTAAATTTAGGATAATGATGCATTGTCTTTGATTGGTGGTGGTGATCTCAATCTCATTTTCAAATTTCAATCACTATGGGTTGAGAACCATACCATTATCAAGAAATATTTAATAGTTGGAGAAGTTTTCATTTCTCGCTAAAGCAAATGCTTACATTGTACTCTTAAGAAATCGGTTAAGCAGAGGGATATTACAAAGAAAATCGAAATCAAATAAAAAAAGACATCTTACATTTGTAGAACAATCCAAGCTTGCTGAGATTAAAACATAAAAGGAGTACTGGAACATAGACCGAACGCATCAGAAATGGGGAGTTCAAATTTGGATCCAAACCCAATGCAATGTCCTCTCGCTTTTGAATCAAACAAAGCAGCACAAAGCATGACTTCATATCGTCCGGCACATACTTGATCATGGTGATTGAACACTGCAACATCATAAGCCGCCTCCTGGAAGACCATCCATCACAGTGGAGCTCGAAGTCGAGATTACCCGGTGGACAAGGCTACGAACCGGACTGCATATAGCTGAAAAGTTCCAATCTTTAATTTTGAAGTTATAGATTTTGAATCATCTTGTTACGTGTCAGTACATATGAATATCAATCTATGAGTTTGGAGTTTGCATAGTCTTTCCCTCTATGTTATTTGGTTAATAAATAGTTGATTTTGAGGGGGTGTTCAAATATGATATCTCGTTGATTGAATACCCTAGTAACAACGTCAAAAGCTAAATTATCTCAACAACTCAAATTACATGGGAATCAACTTGAATCGCCTATTATCATGGCCAGAATTATAATTGATTTGCCCTGATTGTGTCCAAGAGCCTCGTGGTTAGGGAGGAGTAAAAGATTCATCAGAGTGAAGGGTATGCTAGCAAGTAGCAACCCATGTAGAAAGATGAAACGAGATAAAGTAAAATAATATTCGAGGGTGATTCAAAAATTAGAGTTAATTAAACTAATTGCAATCAAAGTCCAACTATTTGAACAACCTAGTAATTAGGATCACCTCGTACGTTGGGCTCATAATAATAGAGTGTTTGTTTATGAAAACTTTCATGAGAAAAATCCAAAATCAGCAATTCCTTTCCCATGTTCTGTTTTATGGCAAATGTTTGTCTTTCACAATAATTGAGGAATGAAGATTGGGGAATTAACAACAACCCAACTATAGAAGCATTAAGAATTTGGAGAATGGGGTGTCTTACAAAATCCCAAGAAACCAAGTAGGGAGAGCAAATTCCACACATTAGATCGTTCTTTATTTTGTGATCTAGAGCCATTAAATTGATATAATAATATTATTATTATTAACATAATTTACATAGTAATTTGATAACTGAAAACACGAGAATGAGCGATCGAACAACATGATCTCGTGCATACGGGTACCTAGAATGCCTATCGACATGATACCAAATTGGAAGTTGAGTGCAATCACATGTGCAACACATTTGCTCCAAGGAAATAACCAATTTTTGCATAATAACCCATATGTAGTAATAGTGGGATAGGGAGAGAGCAAAACTTGAGGTGGCCACATGGAAGAGGCATCATTGGTTTTTGCTTCAGTCACCTCATCTATTTATTTTTGTATTTTTGAATCCAATTGCTCTCTCTACTTCAAATGAACATCATACTCATATTGACTTGGCCTTACCTTACATATACATCACATTGTGCAAAATTTGAATCCACATAGATCCAAAGGTTTCCCTCCATTTGTGTGTATATATTGTTAACAAACAATTAATCAAGCAATTGATTAATCTCAAATTGATAACTTTCTAAATTCAGAGCAGATATGAGAACGTTGGATTCTACTCTGACGGTACCACAACGATATTGTAACTTCAAGGCATTGAGTTCGAGTCTTATGGATTTCATCCCTTGTATATGTTGAGCTAGAACATTATCAGCTAATTTGGGTTCAAGTCTTGTGGATTCTACGCTTATTCTTCCTCTCTCTACTGGACTGAACCCACTTATGAAGGGCCTATTTCAAGTTGCTACCTCAATTTAAAATGTTGGTTTAGTCCATGGTACTACAAAAAATTTAGTAATTTAAGGTGTTGGGTTTGAGTCGTACTTCCCTTTAGTTTTAGGAGTAATATGGTTTCTAGAATCAAGAAAATAAACGAGTTTAAAGTTTGATATGCTCAATTATAAGTGAATTTTGAATGGAAAGGTCGACTTGATATCTGTCAATTAGGTACGATATTGTAATCTCAGTAACTTTAAGTTACAAAATTTTGCAATTTAACTAGAAGCCTTGCTTAAACTAGGATTAATAAAGAAAGTCCGAAGCAAGTTTCTTCTTTCTCCCATTGATGAACATTAACAATTCTACAATCTGCATCTCATTGTGATATTTGTAGGATGCAGCTCCAACATTAATGGGGAAGATTTATATAAAACTCTATTCAATCACTAATCAGGTGACCGTTACAGTTTTCTCCTTTGTTAATCCACCATCACCATAACCCTAATTAACAATCATATAATCAAATCTCCTTAATTGGGTTTCCTTCTGCAAATTGTTACCATCTCTGCTGTAATTGCAAAACCTCCCTTTCCCTGCCGAAATCCGACGACCGATCAAGCTTCCCCATCACCGCATTCTTGAAATTAATGGCGTCCTGAGCTTTTGAACACGACCTCTGCATCCTCACCCCGCTCAAGCTGCTCCTCGACTCCAGCAATTCGTTCAAAGACACTCTCTTTTTCCCCGCCGTCGGCGTTCCTGCCGACACCGGCTCCGGCCTCTGCTTCGGCGCGCTGTAGGACCTCGATTTCGCCCTGAACGACTGCGTGTTCGCCATGTAGTTTGGGTGGTAGCCGCCGTACGGCGACCGGAAGAAATTCTCCCCACCGCAGATGCTCTTCGCCGGAGTCAAGGGAGCAGGCGCGTTGTTGACTCCCCCGTCGCCCCCGCCGCAGCACCCTGCCCCCGGGTTCAGAAACCGAGGGGTGCTGTGGGCCGTGGAGAATCTGCACTCGTCGCCGGTCAGCCCCCAGTCGGAAGATGGGTAGTCGTGGAAGTTCCGGTGGTCGGGGATCGAAAGCCGGTGAGGCACCCGCGACGGCAGCGGAGAAGACACAGTGGTAGGGTAGTGCACAAACACCGGCGGCGGCGGGTCGTCGCCGAAATCGGGAACAGAGGAAGGCGAGATGTTTGTACATCGTCGAGATCGCGACCTGGGCCTGCTCCCTGTATCCATCTCCACAATCTTCGGCGTTTCATCGGCGACAGCGAGATTGCTGCCGGCGTCGATTATCATTCCGCCGTCTAGAGGAGCAGAGAGCCTCCGACTGTGGTGGACTGAAGCTGAATGGTCGCTTCTCATCTCGTCAAATCTCTCCTGGAAAAACAAGCCAATTACCCAAATCGATTAATTTCAAAACGCTCGAATCTGAAACGGAATGTACGAGAAATTGGCCTTGACATTTTGATTTAAGCTTTACCATTGATTTCCGAGCTCGAATTTCTAATCGATTCCGCGCAGCAGCTCTCTGAGACCTAACAGCGGCTTGTGCCCTGATTAAAGCTTGCATACTGTGAAGAGTTGCCGTCGCTTGTTTCCTCACTAAATAACCTCTCACATGCGCTTGCAATTTCACCAATCCCTTCAAAGCTCTCAAAGCCTTTCTCGACTGCAAAATCCCCCCCAGAAAACAGAGAGCTTCATAAGCCAGAGTAAAAAACAGAGCTTAATTTCCCAACAACCAACTAGCAATTACTCTACTCACCAAATAACCTCTAAAAACGGTTTGAATCCTGACAGCAGCCCACCGCTCGTGGCTGCCGCCGCCGAACATCGTGCCCCTGCCGTGGCTAGTGAGCCGGACCACAGCGACGGCAGCCTGAGCAGCCGCGACCGCTGCATCCGCCGCGGCAGCGGTGGCAGCAGCAACCGCGATGGCGTGCTTGCTCTGCTCCTTCTCCGTCTGAGAGTAATAAGACTTCAACCACGCGGCTTCCGCCGGAGAAATGTTCGGTGGGATGGTGGCCGGATTTCGACACAACGGTTCCCCTGAATCCTTCACAGAATGCCCGAATCCGCCACACCCAGTTCGCTTCTCTTTCCCCTCATCGCTATCTTTACTCCCTCTGGTTGTTGGTTTTATCCCAAACAAGTTCTTGATCCACCTAGCAGCTTTACCCATTTTCTCTCAATTTCTTGCCCCTCTCTACTAGAAGAGAAAAAAACAGGGGAGAGGAAGAAGGAAAGGAGAAACAGAGACAAAGAGAGAATGAATCAGTGAACCCAGAAAGAAAGCGGGTTACTTACATAGAGAGGGGAAAAGGGTCAAAAGTGGAACCTTGAAAGAGGGAGGAAAAGGGAAGCCGTTTTGGGGAGTTGGAAAGAAAGAACGAACCAGAGGAAGGCTGGTTAAATATTTTTGTAACAGCTGAGAGAGAAGTAGCAGAAAGTGGAGGGGAAAGCGGCAATTTTTTTGAAAAGACGAAGGGGAAACTGAACAAATTAAAGAAAGGGATTGTGGGAGAGGGAGAGAGAGAGGGGCCTCGTGAACAAATCTGAAGGAAGAGGACAAAGAAACAGGGGGCGCTGTGGAGATGCAGAGGTTATGGAGGTAGGGGGAGATGAGATGAGACTGAGAGGGATTTTTTTGTATTTTATTGTTTGTTTAAATGTGATATTCAATAACGGAAAGTTTGAAACTTTGGGATGGAAAGGAAGGAGGTACTGTAACTGTGTTATAAAAGGAGCCAACCCCACGAGAGGCCAAGGAAAGGAAGAAGATGGAGAAGAAGAAGGAGAAGAAGAAGAGGGAGAGGGTCGCTATTGAAGATTTAATTTATTTTTGCCGTGGTGTGGAAGGATTGTACTAATCATGAGTATATATGTACCAATTATTTCTGTAGTAATAACACGAAGAATCAGATTCCCAAAAGATCAAAAGTTGGGCAGAGGTGAAGAGAAAAGAAGAAGAGGACATAAATGGTTGATTAATGGGTAATGGTTAGGAATGGCAATGGGGAGGTCTAGGTCGGGTATCTTGATATTCATATTCGTCTCGTGGCAGGTCAGGTCCAGGTCGGATAATTTATCATGGGGCGTGGGTCATGGCAGGTCGATCCAACGGATATGTAATTTATGTGAAAAACTTTAAAAATGTTCATTATTTTCATTAAAAGACCAAGAAATAAACCATAATATGATAAAAGGTAGTAAAAATATTGGAGAAATTGAGGTTTTCACTTATTTACAACTTTATTATATCTAAAATATGAGGAAAATTCTAAGTAATTTGACTAAGATTACATGTAATTTAGACAACAACAGGTCGAGAATAGGGCGAGTCAGGGCAGGTCGGGTCGACGAGAGGTACCCATGCCAACTCCGCTCCCAAAATAAGCCAAACAGGTCGGGTAAAACGGGTCAGGTCGAAATTACCATACCTAGTAATGTGGTGTTTGATAGATTTCTTAGATAGGGTTGATTTTTGTAGAAAACCCACACAAGCAGCAAGTGAGATGCTCTGCATTTATATATTAAGCAACTAATTAGGATTACAGATCATTGGCACGTGTCGTTGTTGTATTGGCTACATTTAAATGTTAAACCGTGATTATTAAAGGATAAGTGTGTATGACCGAACATAACAAGTCAATGTAAAAGTCTTGGAGTCCGAAACATTTCTTGAGCAATCTTCACTCGAATCTCCTTCGTTCTACAATCCCGTTACAATCCGGATTTCTTGTCTAGCAATTATGTCACCCCTCTTCAAGGTGTAGCATGCAGTATGACTCCCAAGTCCCAACTTGATTCACTCTGTTCATATGTTGCAATCTGATCAAAGTCGTCTTAATCCTTTCTCTTGTCACATGAATGTCAAATCTCTATGTGTTTTTTTTTTGAAAAGAAGACTCTCAACAATGTGTATAGCTGACATATTGTCATAGTACACAGTGATAGGTAAGGGAACTTTCACACAAAATTCTTCTAGCATCCCATTCAACCACTGGATTTCATAAACTGTCATTGCTAATGCCCTGTATTCTGCCTTCGATGAAGATCAAGACATTGTGGTCTACTTCTTGGTCTACTAGGTAAGTGGTGACCTTCATAGGAATGTGCAATAACTATTAGTGGATCTTCTTATATATGGGCAACTTGCCCAGTCTGAGTCATAAAATCCTGTTAGCTTTAATTTGGATGTGTTGCTAAAGTAAGTACATTGACCCGATCCATTCTTCAAGCACCTCAAAACTCTATAGGCTGCTTGGAGACGTTTTTCATGTGGCTTCTTCTGTAACTGACATAATACTTGAACTGCAAAAGTAAGTTTCGGTCTTGTGATGGTAATGTAATGCAACCTCCCTACTAGCCTTATGTATTGTTCATGATATGTTAACCTCACTTTGGAGTCATTTGGTGATTGACACCCCCCCTTAGAAGAATCATGATATCATGTTTCCTTCAGCAATTCTAAGCAATATTTCCTCAGTTGTGCCATTACCATCGGTATAACCACAATCTTGCCATGAACCTATTTTGTAGACAAAGAGTAGCCCGAGGCAGATTGACTAAAACCATTCTTCAAAAGGAAGCTGACTAACACTTGACAAACCACCGTCTAGAGGTCTGTTTAAGACCATACAAAGACTTCTTTTTGTCTACATGTCATCCTCTATAAACTGGACTTTCCCAAATCCATCCTCGGTGGCAATTGCATAGGGGTGTACACACGAAGTGGTTATCGCGGAAACCGTTTTAACCGATATTATTCATATAATTTTATTTAGTCAATTTGGTTTGGTTAAACTTTTTAGCTTCTTTGATTTAGATGGTTTGATTTCAGAAACTACTAACCAATCAAACCAATTAACCAATTAGCCATACATCCTTTTAGCATCTCTCAGAAAGGTTTAATTTTTCGTTAGAACTGCACTAATTCATGTTCCCATGACACTCAAGAATGTGTGTCAAAATAGTTGATTAAGTCGTCACCTCTGCCTATGTCCCGTCTTTTACAATCAACTAGGGTTCAGTAGACAAATTACAGGTTGATCTGGTCATGTGATAAACGCAAGTATCTACTTATCTTAGTTTATCCAGAGGTCTAAAATATGAAGTGCATTATAGAAATAAGAAAAAGAAGAGCTGAGTATTTTTTTTTTTCCATTTTAATTTCTTTGGAAGGAAATGGCGTACATCAGCATCTACTTCTCCTTCTTCATCCTTTTTCGATAATTACAAATCTCTCTTCTGCAATGGCCGGACCCAGCTCTGCAAATCTCAGCCGCAGATGACTCTCAGAATCCCATTTTCTTATCTGTTTTTCCTTCATTTCTCTCTGTTTCCCTAATCTGAAGGTCTCTGCAAAGATCTTCGGTTAGGTAAATTTTTGCAGCAGAACCCCTCTGATACAATTGTTGTGGGTATTAAAAATTGATTCTTTTTCACTGTTTCAGTCTGTGGAGTCAATTGTTCTTCTTCCCTGTCCATTACATATGCGTACTGAACACCAACAAACCCTTCTCTCTTGTCAATTTCTACTCCGTTTCCCCCATTGCTCTGTTTTCTTTAGCTGTGTTTTGTTTATATATAAAAACCCTTTTTCTTTCTCTGTTTCCGGTGGCCATGCATGACAAGTAGCCTAACTAGCTAGCTAGGTAGGTACGTTTTTTAGGGTTTTTGTTTGCAGCAATCAGCAGCAGCAGCCGCTGCTGATTTTAGCAGGCATCGTTAACTCATTTTCCATTGAACAGAGCTAGCCGAGCTCCTTCAACATCAAAGGGATCAGTTTTACTAAAAAAAAGCAGATTGGGGTTTGTTTTTGAAACTTTGCTACGGTTCTCATCATCTCATGGGTTCATTGTCAGCTTAGTAACGATGGATTGTTCATATAACTTTTCCCACTAAAATATAATGATAATGGATTATATGTTTATAACCCATTTGTCTGTTTTTTTAATGAATAGTTTTGAATAAAAATTAGAACAATATTTTTGATTTATCATAGTATATAATGGTGGAACAAACAAGAGTACATTGTGTGATATGAAAATAAAATATACTATGATTGTTGAAGCATATCATAATGTAGATATATAAATGTTATACATGGTGGTACAAATATATTAACCATCATCTAATATTGTCTACCACCCTCTATCACTATTCTACCATTATGGTAAAGAATGCCCATCATGAGAAGTGCAACTATCTGGAGTGTGAGAAATTGTCTTATAACAGCCTTTTGGATCCACCCCTGAATTGATAAGGGGTTATCCTGCATGATTGGTTTTTGGATGATAGTATTGATGTGGATATTTACTCTTCTGTGGTTGATTGGGTTAGTGTGTCTGGGGAATGGGATTGGGATCGCCTTAGAACATTGCTCCCTAATGATGTGTTCTCTCTGATTACAGGAATGGAAACGCCTAAACCCGACCTTGAAGAGGACAAAACCATTTGGGGGAGTGGAACATAATGGAAGGTTCATCCTTAAATCAACCTATAAGCTGGTCGTGGAGGATTTAATGACTGAACCGGACAACAATTGGAAACTTTCTGGAACTGGAATGACCCAAGCCGTATCAAGTTCTTCCGTTGGTTAGCCAAGCATGACAGATGACTAATGAACAAGAAGAGAGCCAAAATGAAATTGAATACCAATAGCAGTTGTTGTCATTGTCCTGATGCGGAGGAAACTACTGAGCATCCTCTGTTCCTGCTCTAAAGCCTTAGGGGTCTGGTTTAATCTCAGGAATATTCTCATTGATGCTGATGTGAACACTCCCTTCCATGTGTGGCTACTCAAAAACATCACCAATGATGAGAAAGGTATTAAGTTTGGCATTGCGTGTTGGAATTTATGAAAACAAAAAACAAGGAAAAGCTATTGAAGGAAAGACGTTTCTCGGGAGGGTTTCCTCAATCGTATCGAAGCCTGGTTTAACATTGTCAAGCAGGCATAATTGTGCGAGAACCAGAGTACTATTGGAAGGGTTCAGGAGCGAGCTACCAGGGATATTTCATGTTCTCCTCCTCTGGAAGGATGGGTGCAAATTCAAATGGATGGCTCGATCTTGACTGATACTGGGAGAGAGGCAGCGGGGGGTTTAATTAGAGACCACCTAGGAAGATGTTTAAAAGTGTTCACAAGTAATCTGGGATCGTGCTCTATCACTGGTGCAGAGCTTAAGGCTGCAGTTGAAGGGATGCTCCTTGTTTGGAGGAGTGGCTACATGAAAGTAATTTTGAACCTTGATTCTGCTACAACCATTGGTATCATCCATAATCGATAGGATAGTGATCACCGCCATGGTCTGTTGGCTTTGGAGATTGCTCGCATTTCAAAGCTTGATTTGGAAGTTAGAATTTCCCATATTTACAGAGAATGTAAATTTTGCAGCTGATTTCCTTGCTAACATGGGTCACTCCTCCCCTATTGGCACTCATCTATTCAATGAGTGCGACCCGAAGTTTAAATGTTGGTTAAACTATGATGTAATGAGCATTACCCATGAACATTCTCTCTTAATTTAGGTTCTGGACGCTGATTGCGTATGCTTCCTACAAAAAAAAAAGGTATAATTGGTCCAAAAACTTCCCCTTAAATTTATTGAAAGGGATATAATCTTGTATATTACAACGAATCCGTTCCTTTTTGTGTTAAAAATTGTCAAAATCGAGTTAAAGTGAAAGAGAGAAAGAGTGGCAGCGTGTGGTCTGAAAAGATTTCCTCCAAAAATTGATATTGTTTTGTAGAACAAAATGAACTCGTCCCTTCCGTGTAAGAACTTTCGAAATCAGAGTCAAAACAAAGCACAAACAAATCGATAAAAAATGTATGAGACTGAAAAATACATTTAATCTTAACCATAAGATCTTGCCACAGTCGATCAAAAGACCTAGATCTGGTTATACACTGATTCATGATATATGGTTATACACTAACTGACAATAGATCCACGAGGTTTGAACACAAATATATATATATCTATACCTTCGTACTTTTCTAAATTTTGATATTCGTGATGTACACAATTGTTACCGCATACAAACTACGATTATGAATATGAATCGTGCAACGCATAATCCAACGGTGCAAAGACATCCTTCGGTCTAGCCTTCTTTTTCTTACTTTCTTCATAATTTTTGTTGTTGTTATAGTAGTACTTTTGGGGTACAATCAAAAGTGGGTGGATGGGTGATGAAAGCAGATTTTTAATTTTGGGTGGCTGGAGGAGGTTGCTGGCAATGGCCAGGAAGCCACAGGAACAGTACTAGCACTGGGATTGGGGTTTGTTTGACAAGCAGCTAGCAGGAAACCAAGATTTTGGCTGACCAATCCGCCATGACTGAATCTAGAACTGAGCTCACTAGCCAGTACCACCGTAGGCAGACAGGCAGAGAAAAAAAAAAGAAAGGAAAAAGGACTATAGACGTACACACCACAAACCCATGTGTACTGGTGCTGTAATTATAATAAGCAAATCCAAGGGACTATTTCCTTATAATAAACAAATTCATTTTAAGACTTCAAATGCATATCGAGAGATTGTTGCGAGCTGGTCTCTTACGTTACCTTCGATGTAGGGTTTAGTACGATTTCTCGAGTCGCTAGTTAAGTTGTACATATATTGACACGTAAAGTCCTCCTCTCATTGTCTAGGATTGAGTTGACGTCTTTTCATTTCAGTATCTTGTTGTTGTTGTAGAACTCGGGATGTCTCGGGTGTACTGGAAGGGTTGGTTTCTTTATCTTTTGCGTGTTGTTTCGTGACATCATATTTTAAGATTTCAAACACTGAATGAATCAAAACAAATCTCGACACTTTCAACAGTTCAGAGTCAGAGACTCATAAAAGAAGAACTCGACACTTTGGAACTTTTTGTTAAACTGATTGGACGCTTCCGCGAGCTTTACTAACTGTGGCAAGAAGCGAGCGCTGGAACTTGCAACTCAGATTCGAGATCAACAAAACCCTAATGAGCAAATCAATTCAATATAAATTGCAACCACTCTGACACTTCCATATCTCAACTACCACCATGGATATATATGTGTTCATCAACCTCACAGGCTTTTAATAACCCTCTGTTCTTCTGATCTTCTAGGGCAAATGGGTACGATGGAGATAGCTAGCCTGCCTAGGACTGGCTGTCCCATTAAATTGCAACCAAACTCGAATGGCATGAAAACAGAGTGTCTATGGCAGCTGATAAGATAGCTAGGGAAAGCTAACCAGACTAAGTAAGTTTGCTTCTGATCCCCATGGCAATTGCCTGAGATCTCTCTCTCTCTCTCTCTCGTTTCCATATGAAGCAAGGATTCGTCCCCATCAACATATCCTTCATTCCACACCCAAAAACAAAAGGACTCTGTAAACGATATATACCTCTTTTATAGCAATGCAGACAGGGACAATTGAGGAACCATTTTACCCTTCTGTAACTACTTCCTCCCTCTTCAAGAACTTGCCACCTTTTTCCTTTGTGCTCATTTATTGTTTTCTTCTTTCACTCTGGCTACTTCTGTGGATTATGACAGAGGGAAATAATGGAGTGGTGGTGTTCTTTTCGTTCATCTTTTCCGTCAATGGGTATGAAAGTAATTGATTGTCTCTGTTGAATATTTGCTGAAAGTTTGCCGATTCTCGATTGAGGAATGGTTATTTTGTGGTATGATGGGAGTTGGGTCATTGCGTGCTGGAGTAAATTTTGCGGATTTCGGAATTGTTTCCTGTTTAATTTTGGGGCGATGGTTTTCGAAATAACCGTTTCCTGTGAATTAATAGTTAGAGCAGTTCTACTATGCTATATAGTATTGGTGCTTTAATGTACAACTTGAAGTTGTACCATAACATCAAATGCATAAGTTTAGGTTGTACCATAAAGCAATTTGTATAATTATGTTATGGTACAACTTTACAACTTGAAGTTGTACCATCACATAAAAGTACAAGTTCAAGTTGTACCATAAAAGAATTTGTACAAAAAGTATAGGTACAATCTAAAGTTGTACATAACGTTTAAGGTACAACGTCAAGTTGTACCATAAAGGAAAAACCTATAAATGTACAACTTCATAGTAGATGTGCTTATGTACGTTTTCTATGTATCGAGTATTTCAGCTCGTTTCCATGGCTTGTGCCTTCAAGTTCTGAAAAATGTTTAAAGAAGCCCAAAGCTTTTCTATGTGGCCCAAATAACTATGGGCTCGTCATCCCCAAAAACCGTGTATCAACTATCAAGTGCCAAAAACAGGGAGACATCATTCTTCATATCCCATAACATTTTGAAATTACATGTCAAATCATATCGGAAGCTATACGGAAAAGTCAGTGGGATACTATATACTAAAATCGCGTCGTTCAACCATTTTCTATTGCTAAAATTACCTACCTATTTGAGTTAGATATTAGATATGTCGGGTCTGACGGGTCGGTACGTGAGAATTCCTCTCAACAACAACAATAATAATGGGCCAAGAAGATATAACACAATAGGCAATAGTTCATGGTTTCCAAGATTAAGGGTCGTTTGGTTTTGGTGATTGTTTGCTTGGGATAGTTACAATGCATGCATTGTTTTTTTTTTTTTGAATTTTCTGTACAAATAATACATGCATTGTTTGCTTGATTTGACACAAACTATCACTCAAAATGAGTGATAGTTAAATCTCAAGTTTTTGGTGAGATTGTTGAGATTGTTTGATTGAGATTGTTGGGGTTTTTTAACTTTTTTAAATTTTTTCCCTACTTTTTTATGTGTGTTGCTTTTTTACACTGAAAACGAAGGATAAAAGTGACATTTTACTCAAAAAGGAATATAACTTATTGAAATACTACAATAACTATCATAAAAACCAAACGATATAAACTACAATACACCAATTATATTAGATACATATATATTATTATGTATGCATTGCTAACAATACATCAATTTAACTATAACTAACTTTACAATAAACCCCGCAATATAAAGAGCCAGCTGCTGGGCCAAGTGAGAACAGCTGTGAGTTGGGCCTTCAAGGCCGCTTGAATGGGCCTGATCAGCAGGAAAAGAATGGCCGTAAATGAGGCCCATAAAACGAATGACAAGGTATGGTGGGAGAAATTAGAGTCAATGAGATAGAAAAGTAAAACACAGAATTAGCTGCTGACCAACAACAAGCAACAACATCTAGCTTTTATTTCCTGGTTAATCAAGAGCCACATCGAGTTGATTCGAACAAAAAACTTCACGGTAATAGAAAGCTCTGATTCTTTTTTTTTTCTTTTGGTAAAAACAGGGCGCTAAGGGCACCCTAACCTTTATTGCAGACCAATGAGACGGGGTGTTTGAATCCCCGCAATGTCAAAATACAACCAGTAACATAAAGTACTACTCGGGACTTGAATCCCGTGCACCCCAATGGGTAACGAGTGACCAACGGAAGCAAGATGATCAGCCACATAATTTGCTTCCCTGTAAACATGTTCAATTCTAACCAGCCATGCCTGCTCTAGCCACCGACGGATCTCAGCCACCAAAGTGTAATGTGGGTGCTGTGGAGTAGCATTTTCGATCAGGGCTTTCGTAGTGCAGGAGTCCATCTGTAGAACAACCTTCATGGTCCCCTCCTCCCAAGCCAGCCTCAACCCATAAGCAATCCCAGTCAGCTCCGCACGAGTAATCGAACCCCCTCCCAAGTTCTATGTGAAAGCTCGGATAAAGCGTCCATCGTCTCCCCTCACCATACCATATCAAAAATCAATTAGCCTTAATTAGAATAATGTTAATTAGGAATCACTAACAATAATATAACCAAAGCCCAAAAGATAAAGTTGTGCGGAGAAGACAGGGCCGTGCATGTTAACCTAGTGATAGGTTGGGTTCTGGACGCATTGCTCTGCTTAATGTTTGGGCCAATTAAATGGCAGAACTGCTCTGAGTTTTGGGGCCTTATGCACTGTCAGGCTCTGAGGCGGATGAAAATGGATGGCCCAGCGCGTCTTATCATCATCACTTCACGCTCACAGAAAGAGGAGAAAGACTTATTGGAAGAGAAGTAAAGTAATAGGAACGGACAAACAAACTAGTGCAGAGAACAGGGCCATGCAGAGAACAGAACAGGGCCATGCAGAGAACAGAACAGAGTCGTATTATAGCTTTGCTTCAGCCTTCGGCAGAAGCAATTCTCCCTTTCTCCCCAGTTCTTGGTTTATGGTAGAATGGCTCTGGAGTTTGGATGGGTCCTTACAGTGTCAGGCTATGAGGTAGCTGAAAATGATAGCCCAGCTACTTATCATCACTTCATAACCCTCCCTAGGTCCTATCTCCAGTTTTTTCAGATACCACATGTCGAGAAGTTTTCGAGTTACCCTTCTAAAAGGTCTGGTACGTACTAATGAGTTAGGTGGACATTTAATTATATGCAAGGTTCTTTTTCCTTGTATATACGATGAACGTGGTATTTGGATTGCACCATAACGGTCCTTCCCTCAAGACACGAACTTCGTGTTCTCACCTCGACGATTTTCATGATCCGCCAGACACTTTGTATCACAGACGATACTCCACACAAGGGTTTTCATCACTTCACTCTCATTCATATAACCTCCCTAGCTAGGTCCTATCTCCCAATTTGCAGTTTTTTCAGCTACCACATGTCGAAAAGTTTTCTATGACGATCGAGTTACCCTTCGTTGCATCTAAGTTAATGGACTGCGAGTGCTTCATTAGTACGATATTATCTCGTTTGGTCCATGTCTACATGGATTTACTTTTGGATATCCTTCTAAATGGTCTAGTACTTATGAGTTAGGTGGGCATTTACATACAAAGGTAGTTTCCCTTGTATCTACGAACGATGTACGTAGTCTCAAGACAATGATCACGAACTTCGTGTCCTCACCTCAACGATTATCATGATCCGCCAGACGTTTTGTATCGCAGAACGTGCTTGACACAAGGGTTTATCAAATGTAGATCTTCACTTGATCTGCAAGATATACTAGCAAATGCAGATCTCACTTGATGCGCCAGACAAATGTAGATCTCAAATCCCGGGGTCACTGAGCGAGGATCCACCGTACCGCCTTGGATCCAAACTCCAAAATCATGATATGATGTCACTCGTTGAACTGAGTGCCCCCATTAGTATGATAGTGTTCACTTTGACCCGATTCCGCACTAATATACGTTTGGGGTATCCTCCCAAAAAAGTCTCATACTAGTGAAGTTTGGTGGACCGATATCGTCAAGTATACTTGGCATGCATATCACAATGTGAATTTGTGATGAGATTTGTTTTGGGCTCTTTGGTTTATGGATAACAAGATGCATGATTTGTAACTAGGATAATGGAGGAGTAAGATTAATCACAATTAACCCATTTGTTTATCCAAATCTACACATAATATAATACACCGAAGGGAAAAACGGGAGCCCCATTTCAAATTTTCTGCAACGAGAGTGAAAGTAGGAAGGACATTTTGGTCTTCACACTTACTTTTTTTAATTCATTAAAAAGACACGTAGTGGGATTCGAACCATGACCATTTTAAGGAAAAGTAAGGATCATAACCAATCACACTAAGTACATTTGTTGCATCTTTTTAAATTAAAAAGATATAATAGCAGAGAGGAAAAAACCCTTCCCCCATTTCAAATTTCCTGCTCCAGGAGCGTTTGTAGGAATGATAGAATAGGGAGTGTCAATTTTTTCCTCTTTCCTCTGTGGAACGGGCCAACTTACCGTACACATGCGGATTTAAACGGGTTCAAGAGTGTCAATTTTTTCATTAAGCCCTTTTATTTCTCCGTGGTGATAAAATATATATGAAGAGGCAAAAACAATACTTCTTTTTATTGCTAAAAATAAAAAATTAAACAATAAACTAATGCATGGTATCTAATGGGCTAACCGCTAACCATAAAATAAAAGAGTTGAATTGGTTTGACCTACACGGGATTTGGCCATCAAGTAAAACAAATGAACATCATTGGTTTGACATTCTAAAACAAGCTATTTTCACTGGCATAATATATTATGCTATTATTTTATATCTTAGTGGCTAAAATATAATGTATTTTAAAGTTATTCAATGGTTCAACCTCGACCAACCCAATTAGTCCAATTTTTATCATTTCAAATATATATTATATAATTATTTGATATCATAATGATCAAATCATAGTGTATTTTATAGGGAATCGTTTGGTATTTGTTAGTAAAAAACTAAACAGAAAGATCTATTTGGTTATTTTAAACATTAAAACGATCCTAACATTTTCAGTTCCTTTTGAATTTCTATGGTTTTATTCCCGAATAAGTGATGTGAAAATGGCAGTCATCTCTTTTCTTTCACTATTTTTTATTTTCAAATAAAAAGTTAAAAGTAAAGAATAATTAGAATTTGGCATGGGTCGGTCAAACAGGCTGCATTTCAAGTTTTGGCCCCTTTTGATCAAGTCTAATTTATAATCACATGGTTCCCTGATACCCGATAAAAATCTCAATCCAAACCAGTTTGGCAGGTGAGTCCGTGTTTACCACCATTTTCTGGGGATACGACAACGACGGTTCCTATCCCAAATCGTGTTGTTCGTTCTTTATTTCCTTAGATTTTATCATAGCCTGAAAAAAACCAGAAAGCACAATGACGACAAGATGAAAGTTTTATAAACCAAATTAATCGGCCAACGGGCCGAGTAAAAGCTAGCAACGATTGTGAGATGCTCATTTCCCGAAAACCGACGGGATAGACGATTTTTTATTCAATTTTCTGGAATTCAGTTTCTATAAAACTTACTCCACCTCATCATATTACCAGAAACAATATTGTTTCACAAGGTAACAGGTACTTGATTTTGGTTCATAAGGCCGATTTTTGATTTGTTGCATCATTAATGTCTCTTTCCTGCTAAAATTCACTATTTTTATCACGTGTTTCCCAAAAAAACTATACAACAATAAGTTATACACCCCATTACATTATCAAATTTCATACCTCACTTTCCTCTAGGGATGAAAACAAAATCCGAACCCACGGGTACCCACCCTACCCAACTCGGTCAACGCGGGTAAAATCCGTGTTGACGGGTTTTGGGCTGGGTTTGGGTTTAAACCCGTTCAATATTCATCGGGTTGGGTTGGGTTTGGGTTTAGGTAAACCCGACCCATGGGTACCCGCCCACACCCATATAATTAATTTTCTCGATATATTTAATATTCTAAACAACTTATCTTATTTATGTTTGTGGAGACATGTCTAATTTTTTCTTTCTAATTGTGTAGAATGAAGTTGATGTTATCGAGTGGAGAGTGAAGAAACTTAATTGAAAGGAAGAAGCTTTCAATTAATCATGTTATTTATGGATAATTTGTTATTTGCTTGAATTTTCTAGAATGGTATTTTATATATATGGATAATTTGTATTGAGAGATTGATATTTGACTTTAATTTTGATAGCAACTTGTTATTGTAAATTTTTTAAGACAAAAACCTGTGGGTACCCATGAACCCGCGGATACCCAGGGGGTTGAGTTGGGTTTGAGTTTTTCAAACCCAGTGGATTTTACCCCGAATTTTTTTCACGGATAAACCCATGAATTTGGATTTGAATTTGGCAAAACCCGACCCAACCCGACCCATTGCTATCCTACCTTCCTCCGGCCAACTGGCCGGGGCCCACACTAGTCTAATTAATATGACTCAAAACATTGAAGGAGTCTAGATGAATCCCATCAACAACCCAAAAGAAGCCCTCTCTCACATCGCAGAACCGATGGTAAAGATTAGACGAATACGAACTCCTTAGCTAGCTTTTACCCAACATAGAAAAGAGTAGAACTTTTCTATCTAACCTACCCACTTGGACACTAGAAAAATGGGAAAGAGAGGGGGAATGGAACTGATTGATCCATACTTGACACTTATTGGAGGAGCTAGGACGACGAGCAATGGCATGTGGAGAAAGCCACCATTTTCCTCCCCAGATGGAAACATGTCATGCCAAATTGGTAGCGACAACAATAATGAAAAAGAGTAAAGACACATGTTTCCAGGAAGCAAAATCATGGGTGCAGTTTAGTTCCAGCGAGAGCAAGTAGGGCAAGTAGCAAGGGAATTAGTTCATTGAAAATTTTGTTTTTGTACATGTATATAGCTCATAGACATTTAGTATTTAGCACCCATGATGTTTTTTTTGGGTTATTGTTATTGTTATCTTATCGACAAGGACATGCAAAAGGGTCAACCCTCTCAAGCTAAGCCCTAGAAAAAATCATTGAAAATAGTAATGGATCACTTCAACTTGATAGTTTTTTTTGAGATATTGCTATTGTGGTAGCTAGAGATCACTTACTACTTCTCGAGATTTGTTTCCTCATTGACTTTGATAGCTCACAAGCATGCATGAGGCCAGAGAACCTTGGCTTTGGCTAAATGAGGGAGGAAAGTGTGATAGATTTTGATACTAGCTAGCTATAGCTTGAAATTTGTTTATCTGTCGTCGTCGACGAGAAGTGTTGAGGCTCTCGTTGTTCGGTCTGGGAGTTGAGGTCTAGGAGTGAATCCAATGATTCAGTGGTATATATATGGACTTTCACACTTTTTATATATTTATTCCAGGCCTGTTTTTATCATTTTTCCTTTCCATTTTGAAAAATTTTGTGTTGACATTTTTAGGGTTTGGGAGAAGTTGCTTCTATAAACCTTCTCAACCCTATACAATATGGGTTCTCGTTGATATATAGCGAAATCAGTTTCTCCTGCTCATGGTTAAATTAACACACACGTTGTACCAGTAAACCACATTACATTCATTTCTTAATCCGCGCGGTCCAATACCGTTCTGTGTCATATCAATATTCCTTAAACTCCTATTCTTCATGTCGACCTCAGCTGAACTCGACTGGTGTGTTATGGCCCCATTCATTTGTGGCCTATTCTCTTCTCTCAAGATGACATCCTTTTAAGGCTTTAACCCTACTATCGCAAATGTCGTCGTTGTATTACATTCTACCCATCTTTTCTGGCGGTGGGGTAAAGAATAGTGACTAGTGGATGCGTTGTTGAACTGAGACTGGCTGCAGCCTGATACCCACTCTGCGTCTCCCCTCGTGCGCCTCTTCAGAGAAAGGGTTTTTGCTTTCTTCTGATAAATTCATGCAGCTAGCGCAGAGGACAAGACCTCTCTGCTGCTTGTAGTTAAGAATGCAAGCGGCCTTATTGGCTGCTGCTTATTTTCCTCATCAAAGGGGTAGGGGCCTGAACTTCTGCTGTGGAGGGCTAATTTGTTTGTTTGTTTGTGATTCTCATCTTTCTCTACTTGGGGTTTTTAGCTAGAAATCAAAACACAAGGTTCGAAAAGATGCTAGGTGTAAAGTCGGGCATTAGGGTCTCGCCTAACCCGGTCCCTATAGCTCATTTAGGCATTGTATGCGTATCTAGGCGTTTGAAGAAAAATTAGTATTTTTTACTGCGTGATGATGAACTAAAATATGAAATAACAATTTACAATACTTTTATACTTATATTAAAAATAATTAATAGCTTACTTAACCCTTATATATAAAAAAAGAAAATTAGCTCACAAATTCATGGAACCATAGCTCAATAGCTACAAAATGTTCCTTAAGCTATGGAAAATATTGATATAGAAGATTTTAGTTTGTAGATGATCCAAATCCCACCTTTGATACTGACCGTCTAGCTCCATCTAATTATACCCAGGAGGCCGTCCTAAGTGTCGCCTTACTCTATCGATGTGTTTTCCTTAACTAATTTACTGCGAAACTGCCAGACGAGGTGTTTTGACGTTGCCTGACGTCTAAGCGCAGTGGCGTAGCCAAAATCTCATGATTTATGGTGGGTCCGAAGTAAAAACAGAAATATATAAATCAATTTTAGTTTCTCGACTGATTCTGGTTTGAGAATAGAGAATTCAACACCGAAAATTATGTTTTTGTAAACTCATACCAAAGTGGCTCCGCCACTACCAAAGCGTGTCTAAGTAGAAGATTAAACGTGCCTTCTTGAACCATGAGCATACATATTTGAATTGTAACCCTATCATGAAATTCTTTCAAATACGAATCTCATACTCATGTCTTCCGTGTCTCGTAAAACCAAGGATTGAAATAGCGTACCGGAAAAGTCAGTGGCCTGGTAGGATATTTTATGTTCAAACCGTGGTTCAACCGCTTCATATCGTTAGATACCACCTATCAACCTTTTCGCTTCCGCGGTAGGAGGCTTTTCTGGTCAAACCGCCGGTGTACAGTACGGTATTTCAATCTTGCTTAAAATAAAACAAAACAAACCTAGTCATTAAGCCAATTCATCCCAATACTTAGATAGGGTGAAAAGTGAAAGGTGTCTGCCCCATGGTGAGACTTTGATTTTAGGGAATAGTGCCATAATACGACGGACTGCATAATGTATGTTGTTTCCTGCTACTACAAGGAAACAAATTCTCTCTGGTCCAAAAACCACGTGAGAACTGGGCCACCAATCGATCGTTTTCCCCTTTTCCATGCAGCTATATGATTGAAAACGGCAGAACACACACTGAATATAAAGCTGCGTGGAACATGTAAAACTGTAAGTATGCGTGCCTTTGCCATTTTCAAAGAGATTTGACGATATATAATCGGCAGAATTCAGACTTAGTTTAGTGCTGTAGTTTTTAAGGACGAATTCGTTCAGTTGTTCATTGAAAATGATAAACTAGCTAGGCCTAAGATGTTTTATTTCTGAAAATAATGATCATAACCAGCTCATGATCAACCCATAAATGCGGTTAATTAACAATCAAGAGTGGTTCTCTACTAGCTAGGGATGATAATAGGGTCCTTAAGCTTGTTGGCTTCAAGCTCGGTCCTTTGAGGTTGAGTCGGGTGGGTGTTTTCTTATGATTCTCCAACTATTGTCTCTATCACGGATCATAATTTTTTTTATCTAACAAATTTTTTCCATTGACATACTCCAATAATGATGATCGCAGTGACCATCAAGATCGGAAGTGATGACATGCTCCAAAAAAAGGAGTATGTCACTTAATCACTCCCTCTCACGTGTTTACTATATTGTTCCTCTGAGTTTATCTCTCTGGCTTATTTGTGATTAGCCTCTGATACCGTTGTGTGAGAAACTTAGATCGAGAAGTTGCGATACTCTTCATAATTCAGACTTTTTGAGGGCTAAATTCATTCACTTTATTGAATGATTAACTAAGCCTAATAAAACACATCTAGCCCCTACAAATATTGTTACTCTAGAAAACAAAGAGCATAACCAGTTGACAACAAGATAAAACCAGGAACTAACTAAAAATCAAATTAAATTACTTATCGTAAAATAAACCAAACATGATTGACCTTGAATATGTTATCTAGCCATCCAGAGCTATGCGGAACTATCTTTGATTTTCGTGTCCATATTTGCATATATTGTTATCGATTAAATGAATTGTTTTGTATATACCTTCTAAATCCAATATGCAACAAAATAGTAAAAGTTGTCCTTCCCAACTCATTTGAACACATAGCGTTACAACAAACCACATAATTTTGTGTGCATTTTGAAATTTTGTTCCTTTGTCGCGATGGTCATCCGATATAAAGAATGTGTGGCCGAAACAGAGAATTCAAAATCGGTCCCCTCTTATATATATGGCATGTAGGATATGTGTCCAATTCAATAGTAGCTAATCATCAAATAATGTCAAAAAACATAAATTTCAAAAGCCATGGCCCTGGTCTAAGATGGGGGTTTTTTTTTTGGGACCACTTCTAAAAGCTACATTTTACTCTCTTTGGTGGATGTCCAATCGTAATCAAATGAAAAAAGGATTCCCTATATGGAACAAATAGTACGCTCCCCCACAATTAGGATCAAACTGTAGTACTCTCATGTGAGTTTACAGAAGAGACTGAAAGTGATATATCTATACCTAGCTAGCTTGCCCATACAATATTCTTTGAGCTAAGGCATTGTTTGGCTAATGGATTGTCATGAGACAGGATCCATGCGTGGAGTGACGGAGTCAGAAGTATAAACTACGGGAACTAAAAAAAATCTACAGTTGAGGGTTCGAACAATGTCAATGGAGGGGGAGCCTTACCAACATAGAAAGTTATACACTTATGCTAGAAATTTAGGGTTCGAGTAAAAAAAAAAAGGGTTTTCTTCCCATCCCTTCGTCTTGTTGTTTCTGGTTCCATGAACCAAAGAAACGGTTGATTTTACCGACTAACATGGTATGTCTGGTCTGTACCCGATAACATATGATCTGATTTCTCATCCGTATTTCAGCTCTCCCCGATATGAACCATAAACCGTCAGGACCAGACCAAACTACTTTTTTGTGTGGCAGAAGTTTTTTCTTCAAAATTACTTGGTGTGTTTAAGAGAGAGAGAGAGAGAGGGGAGGTAGAAGAACAATGATGGGTGTCAAGTTGTAGGTAGGTGAGTGCAATAGATTCCTTTTCCTCATGCATGTGTCAACTTCCAAGCTGGATCAAGTTTGTACATTTTCCATAACAGGCCATTTTTGTCTACCCCATCATCCATCACCCTTCTCCCCTTCCAGCTTAGAAGTTTCAGGACCAAACATGTCTGAATCTTTGAGACACCCCTCTCTCCCACCTATCAACACTACTCCCCCCACCTTCATCATTATTCCTCTTCTATTATCACTGCAACATGTACTGCTCCCCCCTTCCAAATTATATAAAACAAAATACAGAGAAGAAGGCAAAAAAAAAAAAAAAAAATCGTTCCTACATCTTATCGTACCGAATTGTGAAAAAATTCATTGCACGTCGGACTGTCAGTCATCATCAGGGTTTTCTACAATGGTTTTCACAAAATCCTTCAATGATACGACACAAAGCTACAATGTGTGTGTAATATTAATGCATTTACTGCTTGACCATGTTAAAACCCGCAAACAGCCATAGACAGTAACGATAACACAAATAAAAAGACGCTGAAGAGATCATTAAGATGCCAATCCGCTACAGAACTAGCTATAGTTGTGAACAAATTAAAATATGTGCTAGCAAAGATCCTAAGATACGATAGGGCACATCGCAATGTGATTGTAATAATGCATATACATACATAGAGAGACACCCCATATCCTAGTTTCTTTCTACTTGTTTTCTTCCCCTTCATTTTGTAGTGCATATGCCCCATATTTCTCTCTAGTGGCTCCCCAATTTGAGGACCCATGCTCCCCAACTCGTATTTGAACATGTTGTGTAGAGATTGATTGGGAAGGAAGAGGAAGGCAGCCACAAAATAATATGAAACAAGTAATTAATAAATTGATAAAGGGGGAAAAATAAAAATAAAAATAGGTATGAAATTAGACAAAATTTCCTCTTTTTCATATTATCTTCATCCAAAATATCTCTTCCCCTCCAACCCCAGAAAAATTAGTAATTCACATATTAAGAAAAATAATAATGAAGAAGAAGATGCTACACTCTTTGTTGGGTCATCAATGGCTGTCCATCATCTTCATAATCCGCAGCAACCACGCCACCACCCCCGGCGCAGGTTAGCGACTGGGCCCGCCTGGCCTGGAAACACCAGTCAGTATTCCCGACGACATACAGCATCAGGCCAGCGCAGCAGATCTGGGCGGAGAGGAGCCCGATCCATAGCCCACAGAACCCGAGCCCGGCCCAGAATGAGAGCCCAACCGCCACGGGCAGGCCCACGAGGTAGAACGCGCCGAGGTTCACGTTCGCCGCGCTGGCGGGCCGGGCGCTGCCCCTGAGGACACCACACCCTACCGTCTGCGGGCAGTTGCCGAGCTCGCACAGCCCCAGGATCGGCAGCGCGGCCGATGTCAGCCGTAGGATCTCCGCGTCGCCCGTGAACATCCGGCCCCACCGCCACCTCATTCCCGACGCGAACGTCGAGGCCGTTAGGCCCATCACGGACGCGATCAGGACCGCCACGCCGGCCGATAGCTTCGCCCCGTTGGGCCGGCCCGCCCCGAGCTCGTTTCCGACCCGGGTCGACACCGCGAAGCTGAGCGAGCTGGGGAAGACGTAGATCAACGACGTCGTTTGGATCAGGATCCCCATCGACGCCACCGTGGCCTGCGGCGATGAGAGCAGCCCGCACAAAACAATCATGATCTCGTACCACCACCACTCCAAACAGACGGAGACGCAGCTCGGTCCGGCCAGCCGGATCAGCGGCTTCCAACCGGAAAAACAGTCGGTCAGATTCGGTTTGGTCCAGGTAGGCTCGTGGAGGCCGTACGCCCAGACGTAGGAGACCAGAGAGAGGAGGAAGATGAAATTGGACGCGGCGGAGGCGGCGGCGACCCCGGCTACCCCGAATTTCAGCCGATTGACGAGGAGGAAGTTGAGGGGCAAGTGGAGGATGGCGGCGGAGAAGGAGGATAAGGTGAGCGGGCGGGTGATTCCTTGGGATCGGAGGTAAATTCGGATTGGGTGGATGAATGAATTGGTGAGAAGTTCAGGTAAAGAACAGAGGAGGTAGGTTCGGGCTAATCCAGCGATTTGGGGATCCTGCCGGAGAAATTGGAGGATCTGGGCGACGTTGATCCAGAGGAAGGAGATGGGTATGCAGCAAAAGAGGAGGAAAATCACGGAGCGGTGGAGGGTTAGGGAGAGGAGTTTTGGCTGTTTGGCACCGAAGGCTTGGGAACAGAGTGGGTCCATGCCTAAGGAGAGGCCGGAGAGAACAGAGTATCCGGTGATGTTGGCGAAGGCGATGGCGAGGGAGCCGGCGGCGAGCTCCAGGTCGCCGAGGTGGCCGAGGAAGAGCATGGAGAGGATGGAGCGGGAGTAGAGGATGAGGGCCGTGAGTGCGATTGGGAAGGCGAGGCTGAACAGAGCTTTGGCTTCGGTGATGAAATCGGCGAGGGAAGGAGGTGTGTAGCAATGGCCGCCGTATTTCTCGTAGATTGCTTGAGGCGGGCTTGGATTTGGGGAATGGAGAGTGGTCTTCTTGGGAAGTGAGCAGATGGGTTGGACGGCAATGGCGGTTTTTAGCAGGGAGTCCGCCTGTTTCTCGGCGACGGACAGGGTGGCGACGGCGATTGAATTACACATACTGATTTGGGATTATCAGTTTTGATCTACCGTCTCCTTCTTCCTTCTTGTTGTTGGTGGTGTGGGCAGAGAGATACTCTCATGAAAGAGCACTCTAGCTAGCTTTTGCTTTGTCTGCTTGCTTCTTTTGTTTCCTTCTTCACAACACTCTGCAAATATCTCTCTCTGTGGAGAAATGGACGTATAGAGTTCTCTCTCTCACACACACACAGAAAAGGAACGAATCAAAGAAGAAATAGAGGAGGGAGCAGCAGGGGGGGAAAGGGTGTAATGTGGACGAACGGCGTGCTTTTGGGATATATATAGAGATGGAGGGTGGGAGGGAGAAATGGGAAAGTACAGTTGGATTTGGCAGAAGGGGGAGAATTGGAGAAAGAAGAAGGAAGAGAAGAGTGCCTTAATTCGTTTTTTCCATCTTTGTCAACACAATGGGAGGGAGATATATAGTAAGACAAAAGGCTATGAGATCTCTGTGGAGGAACTAAAATGAGAAATTCTTGGGGGTAATCTTTGCCTCACTTACTCACTTGCTAGTTCTGTCCATGGTTTATAATGGTAATACCATCTTCAATGGGATGGTCAAAATCCCAAATTTTGTGACTAGATTTTCACCTCTATCTCCATGATAGGTATTTTCTTCTAGTGGGATCAGGGTTAAAATCTAGTTGTGATTTTTTTTTTCAATCTAGTTCAAGGTAGATTTCATTACTTTATTTAGATAATCCGTGTATTATTTTTATATAGATAACATTAATTAGTTAAAACAAATATTTTGAGATACTTTTTTTTTTTAAAAATTGACATATTTTTCGTGATAATATCATTAATGACGAAAACATGATTGTAAATTCATCACATATGACATATAATACCATTAATTGTCTAACAATCTCTAATAAGAATAAATTGTGTCATCAACCTTGTAGGGGTCCAATGTGGTCACCAACATCATTGCATTGTGATCATAGTCACCAAGATCCCAAAGCATGATACCAACAAGGGAGTCCATCTTGGTCATTGATTTGATGCCTCTCTAGGTATCAAGCATGACATCAAATGGTAACCATAGTCATCAAGACCCAGAAGCATGATATTTAGGACGGTAACTAGTAAGTTGATTGTCAGTTAAAACTGATAACCAAATTGATAATGACAACCAATGGTTAACCAATAATTGTTTAGTGGTTATGTTATCGACAAGCTGATTTTTCTTATTGGTTAACCACTAAGCAAATCGATAACCGCCTACTAGGAAACCACATCATTTTGCGCCTTGGCTAAGAGGCTAAGTTTGAATGTTCAAGACTAACCAAAGTCACAATTCCAAACATCTCATACCCTTCATGTCGCAAACAACCCTCCACCAAAATTTCCAAACGTCTAGCAAAATCAAAACCTAAAAGTCACCCCTCTCTCCAACTCCCTTTCAGAGTCGTTAGAGTTAACTTTACTATCTAGTTGTCTTTTGTTTCTTTGATGTTTATGTATTATGATGATCTTGTGTTTGATGTGTAGCTAGTTGGTACTTGCTAACTGGATAATGAGGTTTGATTATATTTAAGTTTATGTGTTGGGATTTGGATTTGGATTCAGAGCAAGAATTCGCGATAGACGATGTATTGTATAGATGTTATTCCTCGTAATTATTATTTGTATTAACAACATAGAATTATAGCTAAATGATTTTGTATGATCATATTTTATTGTTAAAAAGGAGAAAAAATGTCAATGATTAGTGATTGAACGATAACCGGTATTATTATATTTTGTGTTGGAATGTAAAATTTGTTATTGGTTAGTGGTTAATTGGTAAGCCAATCAAATCGATAATAAAAAGTTAACCACTAATGCTTATTGGTTCTGTTATCGGTAATAATTTTTGGCTTAGTAGTTAACGACTAACATAACTAATTAGCACTCCTAATGATGTCAACAGGGGGTTCGTCTTGCATACATATACCTCCCTAGGTATCAAACATCGCACCCAGCTAGGTGATATGTGATGGAAGGCGAGTTCTGCCAGTAGTCTTTCTGTCTGCAGATTTAACTCGACGGATTTAGCTTAATGATTCGCAGAGCGGGAGCGTAAGAGCGTATATTTTCCGAGAATTATAATTTGAGAGCGTTGAAAGAATGTGAATATTATATCATTTTAGTAAATATCATTTGGTTTTTTGGGGGGTGAAAAGATAGCTTGCATTACCAAGAACCAATAGATCACAAATTTTACAACTCCGAGCGGAGTCAAGCGCAGAAATCAAACAACCAGCGAGAGCAAGAAACAAAGAAAGGACCTTTTGAGCCACCTTATGGGCTACCCTATTGTCCTCCCTGCCTACAAATCGGATTACATCCCCCGTCACTCTCGAAAACAACTAATGAACATCACACAACACAACCCCTCCCCGACTATCACGAGCACTTGTAGAGTTTACTTTATGAAGGACCTTTTGGCACTCACCACGACCCCATCCATACCACGCAGCACTATACTAATAGCCGAATGCGAACCATGCCCCATTGCTCCATCGAAGTAACACACCCAATTCATACCCTGCGCTACATTGTTATTGATAATGCTCAACCGATCGTCTTGCACCTCTCCATTAAGCCTTCTTGGATCCGTCCCAGCAACCCGTTCCCGCACTTGAACCTCAAACTGACGTATGAGAATATCAATCTGGTACTGGACACCCTCGAACACGACCCAATTATGGGATTTCCAAATTTGCCATAACATCGAAACTATCCTCATTACCACAACATCCAACGACTCCTTCTCGAACAACCAACTCAAAGAAAATACCAAGAAAATAATGTCGAGAAAAAATAAAAGAAAAATTGTAGTAGGATAATAGCTTTAAATAATCTGATTATGCCCGAAAAAGGAACAGACTTCAAAATTTGAATAGAAGCATCGTTTATCCACCCCCATCTACTCAATTGGTTGTTAATGAAAGAGATTATATCTTCTTCTTCCCTTCGTTTCTTCGTTTCCTAAGCCGACGCAGGAGATCTGCGGCAGATCTACCAAATTCTATATCGAGGCCATTTAACTAACATCCTATCCTTTAATTTAGTCTCAAGCCCGTGATTTGATGATCTGTTCCACAATCCACATTCACGAACTCGTGGTGAATCTCTGGAAGTAGGAAGCTTTTTTTGCCTCTCATCCAAATCTTCAACAACTTCCAATATCTAGTGTCGCATGTATCATTTTCTTCTTTGCTATCTGGATCTCTACCAGCACTGCATGTATTCCTTTCTCTCACGAATAATCAGGTCATCGTCTTCGAGCCAGAGTTGTTGATTTGGCTATTACTTGTTTCATTTCATTCTACTTATAGAGAGAAAAATCTCTCCAATAAGTGATATATGAAATAACATTTAGGGTGCGCCTATGGTGACATGCATGTCACCGTAACTTGCATTTTTCGGTCGACCTCAGTTAGGATTAGGTCCACCTAATATGTTGTTTCAGTGTAAAAACAGTTTCATGGTGCGTACTTTGGAGATTCATATCTTACAATTGGCTCGATGGAAATTGGAGATTAATCGCTTGTTTTGAAGCTGGAGTGTCCCTCTACACATTGAAGTGCTTGGGAGCTTGATAGGAAGTCGAGAAAACCATTTTTGAACCTGATCAAAAGACTATGCCAAAGCTGGGAAAATGGCTGAAAATGGGTAAGTCTTGGAAAGTGTTTGTGAAGTCTACTATGGAGCTCAATTCGAAAAGCATGGATAAGATTCGAGTCCAGGGGCCTCTACCACATGAAAGTAGGTATGTTTGTCTACAAAGTCAAGGCATTGGATGAAATATTGGAAATCTGGAAGGCTTCAAACAAAAGGCTCGAAGTTGCAACGAAGTAAGTTGCCTTCTAGCACAAGACTGAAACAACATATTAGGTCGACCTAATCCTATATGAGGTCGACCTAAAAGTGCAAGTTATGTCACCGTAGCAAAGTCCTAACATTTATGAACTTTGATTGTCGATGCTCTGAATTTTAGTATGAGCTACAATTTTTGTGTTTTGGAAGTTTGCAGTTTTTGTAAGGTAAATGTGACCCAACGACAGATTCAAGTACACAATCAGAGCAAGGAAATAAGAGATGGACGGTAGCGCTTCGTTGGTGGTTTGTGTCAGGCAATCGTGAGGCCAACTGAGCAAAACACTTCACAGGCTTTGCAAACCAAATGAACGGAAGACTATTTCTTTCATGTGCCATAACACTCTTGGGCCACACTCTAGGCCGTCGTTCGCAGCTAGCGCCATAATTTTCCTCCTCCTAAAATATACCCCTCCAAAAATCACTCTAGAGGCAGAGATTTTTTTATTAAATATATGGGGTTGGCAGTTTTGTTTTTCAGCTATTAATTATAGTGTAGATCACTAACTTTAAATAAAATGTAAAGTATTCTTCCAAAAAAAATGTAAAGTATCAAATACAGAATATGTCCTTAGTGTTTAATTAAAAATATTGCAACAAATATGATGTGGTCTAGTTGTTTTTATATTTATTTTTTATATGGGTGATATAAATTTATCCTTTATAGTCTAGTTGTTTATAAACTTATAATACTTTTTCTTCATTTGAGTAACATGAGTTTGAATCTCATTACTCAGCTTCTCAGTATATAAACAAATGAGGTACATTACTAAATGAAGCTTCCTGAAATCGCTCCCATGTCATGGAATTTGAAATGAGGGTAGGAGATTTCCCATTAAGCTTTAAAGCAATGAGTTTTGTTTAATTAAAAGAATGACAACAAATGTGATCTAATTTGATTGGTTGGGTGCTCCTTCTTTTATCTGAGCCATCTGGGTTCAAACCCTGGTAATGCACTTCTTGATATGTAAACAAATTGGGTGCAATTACTAAATAGACCTTTCTAATTAAAATCGCCTTCAAGCCACAAAATTTGAAATAAAAGTGGCGGTTTTGTTTTTCCGCTATAAATATATGTGTAATAATGTAATTAGCAACTCTAAGTCTTTGTGCCAAAGTTGTCTTATATTGTACTAAATAATCTTTCCAAATTCCAAATGTGTTCCAACGAAGTCGATATTTATACGTCTCCATATATGTATATATATACGTCCACATTATACATACGTAACATGCATACAAATTAAATGGGGGTATGAAGTGATCCGACCGACAACGGAATATTAAGCCTGCGTGTAGGCTTAAGATTCGTATTAATTTATTCTCCAAGCTCAGGTGCTTGCCGAGATTACAACTAATTAACCGGTTTTGTTAAGTCAAAGGGATAGTGACCCCTAACCTTTGTTTAATAGAATCTGTTTGTAAATCTTTGATACATGATCAGTGGGTACTGACTTACATTTCATTTGTGAACGAGATCGCGACCGAGTGGTCGTGCTGTTGGTTTTCAGTCTGGAGTTCTTAGGTCCGAATTCTAGGAACAACGTTTGTTTTCTTTTCCCCCCACCTCTCTAGTAGCATTCCTGATGAACAAGTCTATGTCTAAAAAAAAAAGACTTGCATTTCATTTGTTTGATCATTTCGAGTAGAAACAAATTGTAAGGAGACGGAAACAGTCTTTTGATTGAAATTTCAATAGTTTCATAATTGCCTCATCTCACAAACAAAAAAATCCATTGTTTTCACGATACTCGTCGCGCACATCTCAATGCAAATTGATACAAAAACAAGACAATTCAAATTGTCTCGACCCAGTTGCTGCATCCCATTTTGTTTTTTGCCAGACGAGATTATTGAACCAATTACTTCATTTCGAGACAATGGGGACAAATTGTCTCATCGAAATGTTGCATCCAGATGACTATGAGGCAAATTTTGAGACATTTTGTTCGACTAATTATAATATATATAAGCTCAAACCAAATACAAAATGCGTTAAGTAGTCCTTTTCCTGGACAACACCTAAAAGCTTTGTTGAATCTATGACTTCAGAGAAAAAGTTTCTATGCATGCATTGAATACAAGTTTGTTTTAACTTGCAAGGCAGAGCTGTCTGTCATTTGAGAAAAAAGGCAAATGAAAGACTAAAAGAGGTAGAGTAGTAAACGCGATAAACGGAGGACTCCCAGGCTGAAATCAAGAACGGTCTCGACTTGTTTATCACGCAACTACTTTATGTACAGTGTTGAGAAGTAGTTATAATGAAGACTAAGCTCTCTGCGGTATTATTAAATCACTACATTCTAACACTATATATAAGCATGGAAAATTATGTCATAATTAAGTGCATGTTAAGGACGGATCGGATAATCGACAATGCAAGCAAATAAAGCACGTATAGATCTACGTGATTTACTAACATAATGCGTGTTAATTAGTTAGTCAATGGACATGAGAGAGAGACAGTTCCACTATACTTGACGAGATTACAAATTACAGAGGAATTGAGAAGTATATAGTACGTACTTCTCCAAATGGGCTAACACAGTCCTAACCTGGTAAAGAGTTCCCCACTCCCTATCGCAGTGACCATGATGGCCTTAACCACTCGGAACGTTCAGCAAATCCAAGCAGTGTTGGAACTTGTCATGTGAAGCCGGCTACGTAAACATATCAGCGAGACCCACGGTAACTTTCAATCGACAATAGATAATCCGATTAAACTTACATATCAAATAGTGCACCTAAATAACAAATATGCTTACTCACTATACATGAATTCTTTGTTTGGGGAAGTTGGGCAGTGGGAATTAGTTGTGATAGGTTGAAGAGTTGAATAAGGATTAAAAAACAAAAAAAAAAAAAAAGAGGAAGAAAAGGATATGTGAGATGAAGGAAAAGATAGGGCAGGAGTGAGGTGGGTATAATCCCAACCGGATGGAAAATGGGAGACAGCAAGCTTAGCCCTTGTTATCGAGTCCTCCCAAGTCTCTATCCCTTCTCTCTCTTATCTCATATTCTCATCATCGTCTCTCCACCACTTCAATCTCATCCATATAAAAACTCTTTGTTCGAATATCATGTCGAATGGATAGGTGTGTAAAGTAACATATACATAAAATCGATCTCAATCGATAGATTTATGATAAGACAATCATATATATTGTATGTACGTTAAACTCGAAAAGTTTTAAAGAATGAACGTGGAGTAATTCACTTTCATAGGGGTCAGACTGGTGTACACTTGGAGTATACTATACTCCAGGTACTCTTAGCGAGATATTACTATCTAGATCATGAATTAAATCGAGTTTGGGACATGATACTATACCCTAACCTCTAATGAATAAACTTCGGGCCCCGATTCGTTAAACTCAAACCCGAAGTTCAATTTGATAGAAAATATTAATTGACCATTGAGATTGGCCGGAACTCAGAAAATGAGATCTAACGGCCATATCACATGGAGTATGGTATACTCCTGGAGTGTACCAGTCATTACCCACTTTCATATAGGGGTCGTTTGGAACCTTTGATTCTCGAAATGATGTATTACGAGAATGTGTGTATTAAAGATTATGTGTATACTAAGAATGTGTGATTTTGAAAATTCATTGTTTGGAACTCATAAAAGAATGCATGGATTATATTTTAAATGAACTATGGATACTCAAATCTCACAAAAAATGTAAGATTATGAATACATCATTTTCTATGTATTAGAAATACAACATGTATTATGAAAACATGCATTATGTTATTACATCAAGTAAAAAAACGTTGTATTCTCAGGATACATGTATACTGAGAATACAACATCTGAAATCGGAGATTCCAAACGAGCCCATACATTATCTTATTATCCGTGAATGATCGAGAAAATATAAACATGTACTAATACCTAACTTATTTGACGATATGGTTTCGGAGTGTAGAAATCAACGACGAAAAGTTTAATTTTTCAGAACCACAATCTGTGCATGAGAATTGAGAAACCTTTAATTTTGCCCCCGCCCACCCCATTAGTGATGGCAATGGAGCGGAATGAGTATCTCAATACTCATATTCGTCTCACTCCAAGCACGTGTAAGGTCAGGTAATATTAGTGTGGGTACGTATCGGGCAGGTCGATCCATTCTTATATATTATTTGAAGAAAATATTTATTTTTTAATGAGTGAAAACAAAGAAAAAACAATTCATAAATGAAAATAGAGATAATAGGCAAATTAATTGAAATCTAATAAGTTGAGAGATGAAATCTTACACTTATAAAAAGATATTATTGTGTGAAAATATGAGTGAAGATCAGTCTGAGATATGAGAAATAAAAATAGTAGAAACGGGTAAAAAAAACAAAGCGAGATGAATGGGGGAAAATAAAAATAATATCGATGCCCCACACCACACTACTATATGAGTCGGATATTACTCAACCCAATATGAATCTGGTCGAATAATATACAAGACGGATTCAAATTGCCATCACTATACTTTACCCCACCCTCTTCTATCTGTTTTTTCTTGTAAACCCTACTTCCCTCTCCGTCTCCTCTCTAATATAAAGTCATGTGCACGTCGTTTTCTAAAAAAACTTTAATATACAGAACGGATTCAAATTGTCATCTCTATACTATACCCCACCCTCTTCTCTAATTTTACTTGTAGACCCTACTTCTCTCTCCGTCTCCTCTCCAATATGAAGTCGTATGTCGTTTTCTACATAGTCTTTAAGATACTGGACGGATTCAAATTGCCATCATTATACTACGCTACACCCCACCCTCTTCTCTCCTTTTTATCCATCGACTGACCAAGTCCAAGTCTGTTAGAGTGAGAAAGGAGCACTGGCCGGCCCTCCCAGCTGCTGAGGCTTTTTTTTCCCCCCTCCTCTTCCTTTTTCTCCCCTCCAACCCTACTTCTGTTACGTTGCTGAACCGAACCACGTAAAAGAGCCCTACACATAACGATGAATAATGTGTTAATTATGTGCATGGAGACAAAGGAAGGAAGTCGCCAAAAATGGGGCGTTTCATGATAAATGAGTGACGTTCATGAGGAAGAAATGAGAACCAATTATAACAGTGCCTATATCTTCTTCACACAACAATTTCGTTATCTGCAACTGGCTTGCTATAGTGCTGCTGCCCTATCCATCTCTTCACTGCGTCACGTTACAAGACTCCAATTTCCTTCTGTTTCTGTGGCTATATGCGCTAGCTCTTTGATTTGATTCCCACCCATTTCTCGTCTCTACCTGTGCTTTCTTTCAACACAATGACGTTTGCATGTTTTGAAGTAGTATTTCAACCTAGCCATTGAGAGACCCACCCACCCACCCACTACCTTTCAAGCTAGCTGCACATTTTGTTCCATGCAAGAAAGGATCTTGATATCGTTCTGATCTTACACATCCATCGATCCTCATCATACAATGTGATACTGTTGATACTGTGGTTCGTATTAGGATTCGAACACGTGAAATCTCTCGGTCGGATGCTATGATGATGATACGTAAAAAAACCCAATTACTTTCAATAACTCGAGTTATTGGAATAAATTGAAGAATACATATTGTGTACCTCACACCACCAGGTGCTAATGCTATGTATACCAACCAAGGTTCCAATATGGTGATAAGCGTAAGGCGGGCGTTGTTGGTTTACCTATAGGCCTCTATAGCCTAACTCGCCCAGATGGTGAAAGTAAAAAAATAGCCGTTTGTACTAAATGATGGATGAACTAACATTTTGCAACACTTTCGCACTTAATTTCAAAAGATGAATGACTTACGTACCTACCACTCAACAATAAGAAAATTATATAGTTCACTAGTTCATAGAATCATGGCTCAATATCTCACAAAGTTATTGAACTACTCAAAAGATTGAGAGAGAATATTAAGTTTGTAGATGATGTTCAATTCCCTTAGACGAGTTATTTTAGTATTATCTAACATGCACCTAGACGTGCCTAACTATGCATAAACTTAAACTCGTGATTTGATCCTTATTATTACCCAACACACCGATGAGCCATTGAACCTCACATACATGATTGTTGTAGAGGAAACCCGAATTAGACATAGCAATGGGTAGATCCCATTGGGTAATTTGAACCATATGGGTATTGGGTCAGACCCAAATGGACTTATATGCAATTTTAATGATTTTGGGTATGTGTTGGGTTTGAATTGAGTCCTATTTGGATTATACCCAAATGGGTCTAATTGAGTCTGGATGATTATCTACACGGGAAAAAATCAACCATTCATTAGCTACTTTCAACTCAATTGTACACATTTAATGTAAGTATTTCTATTTTTCAATTATTTTCATAACATAAAATAAGTCAGATATTTGCATTATAATTGGGAACCATCTTGTTTTGGACTTCCAATATTATTGGTCCAATTCAGACTCAAACTAAAAAAATGTGAAGGATATGCCCCAAAAGCAAAATTATCTAAACTTGATTGGACTCGTAATAAATTGAATTTGGGTAATACCAAACTTTGAGACCCAGTTCACGTCCCTAACCCAAATAATTTACCTCATGCATCCAAAACAAAAATCTAACTATTAGAGATATTTTTGGACAGTGATCCCCAACTTGAAACTGAAGTCATCAATTCGTTTGATCAGAAATCCATCTCATCAACAAATATTATGCTTCTCATGTCAAAAAAAAAAAAAAACAAATATTATGCTTTCAATCAAAATCAAGTGAATGCAAGTGGGTAGCTTGATCTGAAATCTATCTACACAATCCACTTTTTATACTTTCGGTCATGCTCTCTCCACTCTTAAGTGTTCCATCATCACATGTAAACCTTGATTATTTTCAAAGATGAACTTATTACATGCAATTATTAGAAGTAACTACCTTTGTCCAAACCCATCATGTGTGTATAAGGCCCATACCCAAAAGAAAGAGTTGACTACATTTATTTCATGTTGGTCTTTTCCACCTTAAAGCACATAATTGACCAAAATTTTCGAATTCGATACTAAAAAAAAAAAAAATTGTAAAACAAATACCTACATTACATGACAGAAGAGTTACCTGTTTCGAAAAACTTGCATATGTCCATAAACAAAAATGGCCACAATGATCCATAAAAAAAAATGGCCACAATGACAACCAACTACAGCAGAAGTACATGTTTTTTTTATGAACAAAATACGCAAAGGATCAAATAAATTGAAATGGGAAGAGGAAGAAGAAGATGATGATGATAATCAAAACTGGAGTACAGGGACACGTGGCGACACCCCAGATGGGTATCAAACTTGAGAAAGCATGCTAGACATTTTTTTTTCCTCCACGATGTTCTTTCTTTTTGTTTTGTCAAAAAGGTTTTTCATCTTCATCTCCCTCTAAGGAGCAAAAAGGCATATGACTACCAAACTAACTAGCTAGCTGGATTTGAATTATTATAATCATTATTATTTTTAAAAAAATATTTTTGCAATGAATTAGATGACTCCCCTAGAAATTCCAGCTATTTTTAGATGATTTTCTTGCTCAACATTTGAAATTAGAATGTCTTAGGGTTTTGTTCTTCTATTTTATAGGTGAACACCCCATTTTGTCTTTTTTTTTCTTTGTTTAGGGTTAGGAGAAGGGCTCTTTCAATACCATATGTGTAACACCTTAAATTTTTAGTCAGCATACGAAATATCTTATCATACATACATGAACACAACATGCTCAGAATATGTATCATTGAACCGCATACTACTTCTCCTAAATTCTATTCTTTGTCGATTTATCGTCTATAACAACATCCACATTATTATCGCTAGGCAAATCCCTTAATAGTCCTACAATAAATTACATACTATCATATTATAGATTCTATTCAAACCCAGTGTTAATATCGACAGTAGTACTGTTGCAGTTTAATTAAGAAACTGTTATGGGGACAATCCAAGTACCATATCGGTAATACAAGGGAAAAGACCCTTGTATATAACCAAACTCATTAGTACGAGATCTTTTGGGGAGAAAATCCAAGAGTAAAACCGTGTGGGCTTGACCCAAAACGGATAATATCGTACTAATTGAGCACCTCTATGTTACTTTCTTTCTAGGATCCAAGTAGAGGCCCGTAAGCAAGCTAGTTGATGCATGTAGTACACGTCAAAAGGGAAAGACAGGCTGATCAACACCAATGGACAGTTCATACTGATCAATCTGAATCTAGGGCAATACAAATTTGGTGGAGGAGTTAATTAATTAGTTTATTCTTGTGAAAAAAAGGTGAAAGGCAGTCTCATGCATGTTTTCGAGGGGATGGAATCTTTTCCAAATTTGGAAAAGAACATATGCCAATAGGAAAGAATATTACAAAAAAATATACGGAATCGTGCAGACAATTCACCCCAAAAAGATTTGATCGTAGAAGCAAGCAACATAATCATTTATGTCACGTGGAGAATATTATAATTAGAAATGTACTGAGAAAGGGAAAGAGTGTTCTAGTGGAGCTTTGTTAACTCATCAATGGCAAAGTCCAGCTAATACAAATCTCTCCTACCCAGCTAGCAAGCAAGCTCCCATCTCATGAACACGTTATGCTCTTTTGTTTTGCTTTTCCTTCCTTTTATGAATCTGTGGGTTCTTTGTGGGCAAGAATTTTACGATATTCGTAAGTAGCGGTGTGCTTCTATGTACAAGCTGAATTTGTATCAGTATTGAAAGTACAAGTTCAATTTGTAGTACAAAGGAATTTGAAAGAAAATGTATAGTATATAATTGAATGTATACCGTTATGTTAAGGTACGTAGATATGAAAGTATTGCTAGCGAAGCTCTCTTGTGAGTATGTAGATACCATACAATTAGCAGTGGGAAAGCCATGATTTGAAACTACATGTGTCATTTTTTGTTGTTGTTGTAATCTTGAATACCAAATAACACTCAGAAAAATGGATCTCAATTTTAATTCTGGAAAATAAATCAACATTAGTAATATCAAACAGTGATAAATTCGGTACGGTATTCGACATATTCCAAACAGTACCGATACCAAACTCCCAGCCCTATAAAACCACGATGAATTTAATCTCTACATGAGTCACACATCTTAATTGATCGTGATGCCTCGTAAAACGTAGTATATTCTACACTAACAATGCACGTGAAATTCCAACCAAGAATGTCACTATCTTAGACTAATAGTTTTCTATCATTGGCCACACACCCAAGAGCATAGGAACTTAGATTGTGAAAATAACATGTTTGGTATTAGGAGATCTCGCAAATTATTCCATTAATTAATTAACCTATATTATGTCAGAGTATAATACCTAATTTCCCTTATTATGAATAAAAATCCCTAGTGTCATATTGATTCCGACCGTCTAGAATATTAAAGACTGATGGAATATTAATTAAGACTTTTAATAATTATATATTGAGATGGGCGGTGGTGCGATTTGGTTCCAAAAATGGGTGATTGGAAAAGAAGCCCTAAAAAAGGAATTTGAGAAGAGAGATCGAAAGCCAAGTTGGGAGGGAGGAGACCCACGCGCATGCCATCTCCCACGTGGGACGCATTGCTTTGCTGCACATCACATGGTCTTTGTGAGAGTGGGAAGACATTATTCATCATGCTTCTATGTCCATTCTTCCAAATTCCAATTCGACTAGGATGCTCACAACCCATATATGATAATACGAATTCGTACATTTGAATATCGTGAGATCAAGTGTTTGGAAGATGACTTTTTATTACGAAATTGTCATTGCATCCATCAAATAATATCAAATAATCATGAAGAGTCTCGCGCGCTCGATCTAACAACAAGGAGCAACACCTATAAACACGTACACATTTTTGGAATGTGTTGTGGATAACAGAAGTGTCATTCTCCTAATCTATAGCTAGCAATAACTCACAAACATATATATGCCTTGCCTAGCTAGCTGCCCCGTCAGGTTGAGGGGCAGTTACGGAGCGAGTAAATTTGAACGATGAGATGATTAGAATCGTGATAATTGAGAGAGAGAGGTTAACGTCTTACCGACTTCTCTCTATTTTCTAAATTTATTACAAAATATAATTTGAGAGAGTTACGTTGTAGTTCTTCCTGACTTCAACCTAACTACTCGGGAGGCTCTTCCCATTTCCCTGGCCCTAACTTTCTTATTGCGATAACGAAGTTGCCTAGCCTAACTTCCTGACTTTCTCTCGTAGTTGTTAAAGTACTCTTTAACTAGGAACCCTAATATCATATCCATGCTAGCTAGGTATATCGATTTAGCGTTCGGTGATAAGGACCTATCTACTCCGGTCTGGTCCAGTTAACCAAACCAAAATCCATTTAAACCAAAAACCAACTACATTATCTCCCAAAAAAACAGAACCCGAAACCGATAAGAAGAGTTTCGATTTCGGTCAAGGATATTAGGGTATACAGTGAGATTAACTCTTTGTCGATGCACGATATAGTGGATCAGAAAATGTCGTATAGTATTCATTTTTGGACCTGTCTGGAGCTTAAGGTATATGATGAGATTAACCGACTTTTTGATGTGGCAGTAGATCCTTTGTTGATAAAATACTATTTTATTTGAAGTATTTCTTAACTTCGGTTTCGGATCACGTCAGTAACCTTAGGGTCAGTAACTATGAGTAAGGTGTCCACATTAGCGTGACATCAACATCCTCAATCTTATGGAAAGTCTTTGATCTTTTCTCCTTTAATCTTTAACGGACAATTTCTCTCGTTTTAAGTCGGAATTTAATTTTTTTTTGCACAGATAAATCAGATTAATTGTGTTCTTCAAAATGAAATTCACTTTGATATATTTTTGGAACAAAAAAAATGAAGATGTTTTTTACGATTCTATACCATATATGGTATTAAATGGTATTAAATAAAAGCATACCATACGGTATGAAAGCGTACCATGGTGGTATGAACATACCAAGACTGTAGGATGGTTGAATACATGATAGTAAGAGTATACTAACTGTCATTTACGACTTTCATCATTGTGTACTACAAGTTACCACCCCCATGCCAGGATGGTTGAATACATGATAGTAGAAGTATACTAACTGTCATTTACTACTTGGAAAAAAAATCCAAACAATATATTTAAAGTTCTAAGTATTTAAAATCATGTATTTAGAAATACACACTTATCCGAGCAACAACTTCTAAATCCTTTGCATTTCAAATACATACATTGTCTTCCATCCAATTACACTGTAAGATAACCATCATTAAGTTCATAACCCGAAGCTAGCAGAGCAGCGCAAACTAATTACAATTTTTTGTTGCAAGATACTAAAAAAAAATCACTAGCAAGCCAATTACCTAGTAATAATACTAAAACACGACAGATGTTTCTTCAGCTTCAATTAACTTAAACCATCTTAAATAGTTAAGCTCCTTCTTTTCAATTCCCCAAAGACATACAGTGGGATGGGATTAGATGCTAACCCTTATAGGGGTTAGAACCGTGATAACTAGCAAAAAACGCTACTAAAAATAACGAAATCACTACGGATTATTATAAAATCAATACAACATCTAAGCTAAATCACTACTAATTCAAACTCGTAGTAGTTTTTCCCTTGGTTAGGACGGTGCTAACTATTGTACAATTAGCACCGTAGCCGTTCCCACGTATAGTTTATTATTTACCACATTGGTCATTAATCTCCTTCTTTTCAACTCAAGAGGAACGTGCATTACGCTTACCATCTTTGATTAGGGTGCTATTTTTATTGTATGGTCTTAATTAGCATTATTATTTTTTTGTTTTACTTTTAAATTTTATAACAATACATTTTTGTTACATTTTTGTTACCATGAGATATATTGTCACATGCGAATTATTTGATTGAAATGAAATTTGATATTTGTACAAGTTTTTCACTCGAAGATGTTATATTAGCATAGTAACCTTCTACTACAACTATTCATGTACATAGACAACTATATACTTCTTTTATTATTTAATTTTAACATTGTTCGTTTGTTATATAACAAATTATAAATACTTGATTATATTCTTGAGTAGTACGTTTATTTCTATTAAGTAGACCATGGATGGAGAGACGTACCATTGCTTTGATTTTTACTAAGTAACATGCATTTGATCATCCCTTACTGAAAAATGAAAAGTTCAGAGTTTCAGGTGTGTACTTTCTTTCATCCCTTCTTTTAATTTCTTATATACAAATTAAATTTTCATTATAGATGAGGAACACATCCAAGGAATTCCTACACGATAGATTCCTCAAGCTCACCAAACATATATAAAGCGAAGTGATGTACGCCCAATTACTGAGTCATTTGCTAAAATGTAGATATTTAGGAAATGCTTGACACTTGCAAATGTAGACTTTGCAAATTAAATGTAGACATTACAAATGTATTGTTTGTTTAAAAGTTTTTAGATGAGTTATTTTTAATTGAGTCATTAGTATAATGTTATCATTTTGCTCTTACATTTAAAATGTTCAATTATCTTGTTTCCTATTCTAGCAAAACTAACCATGTAAATAAAATCATTTTGTAACCAACCAAACATATTATTTGGGTGTTTCCCATGTATGATACTACTTTCTAATTTTAAATAATAATTTATGTTAAACTTTCTTTATAGAAGATATAGCCTCCATAAGTCTCGAATTTTAATCTAATTACGTCGCTTGTGAAATTTTTTTTTGGGGGGGGGGGGGATGAAAATAATCTCATTTTGTAGAGCACAACGAACTCGTCCATCTGTGCAAAAACAATTGAAATCCAAGAACGAAAAAGATAAGAGCCGATTAAGAAAACTAGGAAAAATAAAATGCCTATAATTCACAACCCTTTGATATGAATTTTTTGGGTCCACTTACATCCAAAGGTCCAGATTTTATTTACTTATGAGTGAATAAGAGTAGCCAATGGTTTGACCCTATGTGTATGTGGAGCCCTTAACCTCTTATATCGATAAGTGCTCTACGCATAAGGTAGTCAAGAATCAGCAAGTTGTTGGGACATGTTCTGAGTATGAGTTTAGGAACTTCCCCTTGCATGCCCCTCCAATAAAAGCCCGTAGGTTGGATTTGAAAATTGCACAAAGTTTGTCATATACATTGTGTTGTAATCAATTATTGTTGATATTGGGGTCAACAGAATTCGAACACATGACTTTAATCTCGTTCAAAGTCTCTAAACTATGTTGAAAACAAGTTTTGTTGCAATAACTTTAGTTGTTAGAAAAAGTTTTGATAACATTCCCTTCCAAATGTATGTAAAAGAAAAACAAGCTTGTTTGGAGTAGCATGTAATTAAGGAAACCTATAAAACACATAAAATATTTGTCATGAACTAGTTACTCCGAATAACTGAGGTTGTTTGGAAAAGGTTGCAGAATGCATATAATATTATTGCGTTATATGGTTTCTAAGGGATTGAAAGCCCGTCTGTAGGCCTTAAGTTTGCTCATGCTTAGCTTATATGGTGTTTAACTCAACTATTAATATTGGATGTCGTGAGATTCAGATTCAAATACACGATCACTTTGTTATAACAGCCTCTGATATCATGTCATGTAAAGATAAACCAATTAATCTCGATAACTAGAATTTTACCAAGTTAATTGAATGAATTTTATATCATTTTCTTTTGCTTAACAAAGAGTAGCAAGTAGCTATGTTCGGAAAACTCGTCACAACTAAAGGTAAGAAATCGACCCCAACAAGGGATTTATCTAGTGGTATTTATCAAGAACCAGTTAGTCCTAATAACTCGAGTTGTTGGGAGAGATTCAATTATGGATCTTATACCACACACTAACACCCCCCCCTCTCAAACGAAAGCCAATTCACGTGCTTGAGGTTTGCAGAGGCCCACCGTACCTTGTGCTTTAATCAACTGTTAATATTTGGGGGGTCGTGGAGAGATTCGAACACACGATCACTTGGTCAAATGAGCTCAGATACCATATCATAAACCAATTGGTCTCAGTTGGTTTATGACAGTATTTACCATTGGTGTTCAAACCCGGAAGATTTTATTTTAGAATCCTTTGTGTGAACACCTAAATTAAAAAAACAAAGCTATGTTACCATTATAAAAAATGAAAGTAGGAAACCCACATGGCCTTTCTGCTCCAACGTTACCTCGCAGCTTTTTGCAAGTTCTCAGCTCGACAACCGGCTTCCAACTAACTTGTCTCCGATGGTGTCTGTCTGTGTGGAGGGCTCATGTCTTCATGTCTTCGGTCGGCTTCCAGCTTTTGGATTAATACAGGGCACTAATCTAAATTATAATCACTCCAAAAAGGCTCCACAAATAGGCCATTCGAATATATATACTACTTATGGAAACGAAAAAAACTTATATATACTTCTTGCAATTGTGACCATGTGGGGTCGAGTCGTGGACATTATGTAACGATGGGTCGTGATAAAAGTATCGATCTCTGTTTTGATTGGCGTAACTAGAAATTTGTTGAAATGGAGTTCGAAAATAATAACTCTTTTCAAACATAGGTAGTTTGCGATAATTTAAATCAAAGTTCAATTGCACATGAATGACGAAAATGGGTTATAGTTTCATCAAATTCGTCATCTAAAGATGAAAAGAAAACCAAATAATGATACTTATATTTTTCTTTCTATCAAATTTTTAAAGTGGATTCTTCCTAAACGAACTATGCCAAGCAAGTCTTTTCTTGATATCACATTATACCTAGTATTCAATGGTATCTTGACAAGTTTTGCAAGCTTTAAGATTACAGACCAGGTTCAGACGACACCCAGTAAACGACAAATAATCCGATTCAAGTCGTATCAACACTTTGACATCATAAAATGAAAGTTTTCGTATTAGGAAGATAAAATTCCCTAGAAATTAGCTAATATGTACTCACTAGGCATGACTCCAAGGGCTCTAAATCAAACTAAACCGGTTCTTGAATGCACCCACTACATTCAAGGCAAGAGATAATGTTATGGAGAGGAGAAATAGTGTTGCCACAAACATGGTTGGCCAGGAGGGATGAGACCGATTACTTGCATTGCACTTTGAATGATCGATTACAAACCAACAAAGCAAACCAAAATCGGAACAAAGACACACAAACAAACTCAAGCACATGGATACTCAATCTGTGCTTCAGAGATACAACAAGAGGTTATGAAGGAAGATGTACGTTTGCACCGCTTACCAAAAATTTCTTGTTTAATATAATGGATTGGATGGAACATATCTCAATTTTCATTCACAATTAACGAGACTTATAGAGTCCTTAACCGTGATACATGATGAACTTATGAAATACATTATCAACAACGTAACTAAAATACCATGAAACCCCAATGAGAAAAAATGACTACAATATTGTAAGACTTATTTCCTTCATGATAAATAAAATCAATATTTCAAAAGTACATAATATATTGTCCTCATTCTTTATATTACAATTATTGTCCTTGCATGAAGGTAAAAAATCGATTGACCCAATTTAAAGTTGTGGGGGAGATCCAGTTACGTTGAACAGAATTGAAAATGCAGGAATTCGATTGTCTTTACACCTTTAAGAAGAAGAAAAGGAGAGAATCCACCTTGGCACACTTCTTCTTTATGGCAAAGTTTTGTTACATATATATATATATATATTTTGACATCTTTGATGATAATCATGGTCAAATGTGTAATATGTTGCTTTTCCACGCACGTAATATGAAGATATTGTATCATATGAAAAGAGATCCTTAAGCTATATGCTTAATTACTAAAGAAAACACATGAAAGGAGAATGAATGATTAAGGGGAAATTTTCAGTCGTGTGGGTGGAGTAGTCCGCATTGTGAATTATATTGTTGGTCCCAGGGCCGCATTGTGAATTATATTCTAGGTTGTATTTGTAGGATATGATTAATCGATTATGAGTATAATGAAAATTTTAGTTATATTATTTCTGGTCATCAGGCAATATTCTCATATATATACACACTATGTATATTGATATTTAAAGTATTGTTTGCGTTTGGAAAATCCTATCATATTAAAAATAATAATAAAAAAACTTAATGTATTAGCTAATATTATGGAGAATACGAAAAATTTGAAAGATAATAGATAGTTTTATCTTAAAAAATGTTAGAAAGATATTACATCTCAAACAACGATAACGTAATCATTTGAATTTCATTACACTTAAAAGTCAATTTGAAGCATATTTTAATTTTGGAACAGGGTCTCCACCTTCCATTAGACGGACCTGGTTGATCCATATATGCAGTCTTACAATAGTGAGTAACGAACATGAGAGTTAGATTATGTAATTTTGATTCTGTGGTAGGATACGCTATAAACAACTCGTTTCAATAGTTCGAGTTGTTGGGAGATGCTCATGTTTGATACTAAATCACTTCCTTACAAACCCATCAGGCGAAAGTCAACTAATCATGGGTTTGAAGTTTGCACGGACCCATAACACCATATGTTTTAAATACAATTATTAATATTGAGGATTGTGAGAACTTGAACACATGACCTCAAAGACAAACCAACTCTAATATAATGTCTTAAACCAACTGATCTCAATAACTAGGCTCGTGTATATATGATACTTAACCACTTCCCTACACACTCCGCTCTCAAACGAAAGCCAACTCATAGATTTGAAATTTGCATAGGGCCACCATACCATGTAATTTTGAGACAACAATTGATATTTTGTAGATGTCTATTTATGATACTTAATCACTCTCTCCACACCAATTATTAATCGTTATTAACCTAGTCAGCTAATGATGCTGCTGGTTGTGGTAGTTGGTTGACATTTGGATAAAATGAAAAGAACAGAAGATATGTTTGAAAAGCCATTTGGTGAGCCATATGAAGAGACCAATTAAGGGACTGGAAAAGCAATGCCAGCTGGAATTAATGAATGATAATGATGATTATAGGATTTGATTGGATTTGCATGGACCAACAAAACATTGTAGCTTCTAGCTAATAGGGTGCAAGAAAATAATTGATCATTGTATGACAATCCTCGATAGAAGAGTCTCCTTTAAGAAAAGATTTCGTCGAAAAGATTAGTTGGGAACGTAATTCTACTAGAGTATGTTATATATTGTAGTGACGTTGTTATTCAGATCACGAACTACCCGAATTCAGAGTACGATATTATAAGATAATTTTTAATGGCTAAATAGTAAACTCTGATTTTCTAGACTATAGACCAATAGACTATCATCTCAATTTTTCGAAAAACAACAATCGACGACTCTTATTCGTGCGACTAAATCACTAGCTAGGACTATTGTATTGTAGGCTCTATCAGTACGGTGGCCATCATCACATAATTAATGCTATCAATTTTGATATATTTAGGAAATATAAAATTGCTTCGATCTCGTGACAACATGACATACAATCTCCGTATTTTTCTTTTCGGATTCTAGGGGGTTTAACACGATCATATATGTGCATCTGGATAATATGAGACAAAATATGATAACTAAGTCACATATGCTTAGTTGCTTGAAAATATCAACTGGATCACTAGACCAACATTTATAGATTTTAGATTTAATGGTCGGAGTCGAGTTGGTCAAAGACACACTCACCCGATCCTCGCCTAATAAACATGATCTCATTATTATTTTTATGTATATAAGTCAAACTACTTAAAGACTAATTAAGGATATTATAATTAATTAGACGCACAAATGAACGAGAACAATGAGAGTTTAAAGGCAAGCAATCATGGATAGATATTGTATTTTATTCATTTATTTTGAAGTGACATGACTAGTTTAGAAATATCTTAATCTTAACCTCGCTGGTTTGGGTATGTTTGTTTCTGGTTTAGGAGCAAACACAATGGTGGGACTAGCCTATGATCATTAAGTGTGATATTTAGGTAAATGATTAAACATGAAATGATTATCGTAGGGCCAGCAACTACCATTTAATTGAAGACTGAGCTCAGTATACATATTTTGAAAGGTTTGCAGAGGACATTAATTGGTTATTGTTGTCGTAAATTATTTCGATGAATACTGTCAAGAGATTACCGTTTCATTCAAGCTTTTTCTTTGAACCTTGGAGGAGGGTGGAGGAGGGTTCAATTGCTCTTGCAGAGCTGTTTGAGATTGCGCATGGTCGCAAATTTGCTTGGGAGATGAGAATTAGGAAGGTTATTCTCTAATCAGACTAATAGACTGGTAGACCGTCAGTATAAAATTTGGATGGATTGATTTGATATGTTTGAATTAATTTCAATTATTCGGGTACATATAATTCAAACATAATCGTTAAAAATGACTGATTTTCTAAAATGAGACGATTGAAAAAAAATATATATATTTTATGACTCAGAAACATCCTCACGCACACACCGCTTGGGCGATAGCGGAGCGAGACCAAATATGAAGGTTCTCTTGCTTGAGCCCTTTGGGCCCACCACTAAGGTCCTCTTTTAATGCCACCGAGAACACCACAACTGAACTCGAAATGGTTTGAATACAAAATCAAGGATCTCTGGAGAGTTTTACTAGTTAGACTATATGACCTTGACGTAGTTTTTTTTATAACATCTGAACACTTCCTTAAAAGAGTAAAATCAAGATAGAAAACCGACCTCAGAAGCATCAAACATCGACAGCATTAGAGTCATTTTGCGCTGGATAAAAAAATATGGGCCCATGAAGCTTGCTTCATCCATGAACTGCAAATGGACAGGTCTATCATGCTTGGGCCTACGGGCCGACGCTTATCCCGTTCATCTTCTGAAAAAAATATAGTGAAGTGGGCTGGAGAATGAAGGCCCAAGTTTGATCTCCACTTCGCTCAACTGGGTCGACGCTCTGTTTCCCATCTCCGACGGGCTTTCCCTCCCCCCGAAAACCTTTAGGCCCTGTTCACTTTCATTTTCGTTTCCTGTTTTCTGTTTTCATGTGATAAATTTGGCAACCGAAATGAGAAAACTTGTTTACTTTTCATTCTGTTTTCTATTCGTTTCCAACTATGAAAACAGAAAGTGGCAACTTCCTGCTGTTTTCGGAAACGATAAAATGTTGTTTTCACCTGTTTTCAACATCTGTTTTCTCAAAAACAGGAAATTAACCAACGTCATCCGCCGGCAATCTGAAAACCGCGGGGGCCACATTTCCCGCCAAGTTCCTCCTCTGGTCCGCCAAATTCCACAGTATCTCGGCAATGCCTCGCTCACTCGATTTCGATGCTCTGCTCTCAAGAATCTTTTGTCCTTCTCCAGCTACGGCTAATTTGGAGAGTAACTGTCAGGTCGAAGCAGAAGTCAACGGCGAGCGATTCAAGTTAGGGTTTCTGCCGGCGGTGCCGTTTGGCGCGTCGGGTGGTGGCGGCAGAGGTATGGTAGCGGCTGGAAAGTGTTCGGAGCAAAAAAAAAAAAAAAAAAAAAAATGCCGATTTGGCCCAGAAGTTGATGGAATTGAAAAGTCAATGTTTGGAGATGATGGTGCCATAAATTTGCAGAGTAAGATCATCTCTGGCATTCTGAGGATTGATTATAAGGTCAAAGATGCTAGTGAAGGAATCCGCATGATAAGAGAGAGAGAATCTGCAAGCGCAAGGCTCTCATTGTTCTTGATGATGTGGGTGATCGGTTTGAATTTGACCTAATCTTGGAGAAATTGGATGATTTCTCCTCGGAAACTAGGATTATCATTACGACGAGAAATAAAAGGGGTTTGGATTTTCTTCTAAGAATTTAAGTTGTATGAACCTGGAGAAATGAGTCCATATCATGCTCTTCAACTTTTCAACAAGCATGCCTTTGGGACGGATAATCCTCAAGAGGAAGTAGGCAATTCTGTCTGAGGAGTTTGCGAAAGTTGCAACAGACCTTCCTTTGGCACTTATGGTCGTTGGTTCACTTTTGTTTCGCCAAGATAGAGAATTTTCGCCAAGATAGAGTTAAAAGACGTACCTCCCACCAAGGTGCAAGAGAGATTAAAAATAAGTTACAACGAATTGAGTTACAATGAAAAACAAATCTTCCTTGATATTGCTTGTTCTTTTATTGGAGAAAAGAAAGTATTTCCCCTTTACATGTCGACATTGTTTCCTCTATATTGTGCGTTCCTGCCATTCAGGAATTCAACTACGTCGATATGTACGGGATGAGTTAGGGTGGTTACTCAATTTTATGTAATCATGGTGGCTACTAACATCTATACCCTTCATTGTCCTTATTTCATCCTATTATTAAATTGACGGTGAAGATTAGATTAAGGGTAATTTTGAAAACGAAAAATATACCACACCAGATTTCTATCCTTTAAATAATTAATTTCTATATATTATAGCCAAACCCTAATCCCTCACTCTCCTCAACGAGACATGCCCGCCCGCCCCTCCCCGGCGACGGCGAACCCATCGCCCTCTCCTCCTCCCCTGTGCAAAACATTCGCCCACCCCATCTCTCGTGAAGCCCATAACGATGCGAAGCACCTTGAAGTGAAGTTGGGAAAGGATGCTTTGGTTTCAGCGAGCAGTCAAATGACATGGAAAGAACCTAAAGAATATAACAGAGGAAAGAGATACTCTGAATCTCCTAACACTCATGCTGATCCTTGGCATACGTCGCGGTACTCCTCCCGGCGGTGTCAAGCTAGTTACTCATTCAGATCTCGCCGCCGACAAGCCACTCGCCAGCTTCTTCTTTCACGGCCCAACCGGAGTTGGGAAATCACGGCTCGCTAGAGCATTAGCAATGGAGTTCCTCGGGTCGACAGATTCGCTCGAAAAGGTGGGATGAATAAAAACCCTAGATCTGATTTTTTTCTCGCATTGGTAGTGATTTTTTCGTAGTGGAAGTGTTTTTTTGCATTGATATTGTTTTTGTCGCATTGGTATTGATTATCATGTAATGGTATTAATTTGCATGTATTGGTATGGATTCAATCTGCAATGGTATTGATTTCTTGGGAAATGGTATAGATCTATATTGGTAGATTGTTTATAATGGTAGTTTTCGTGTAATGGTATAGATTTATTTCTGCAATGGTATTGATATTTTTCAAAGTGGTAGTGATTATCTAATGGATTGGTAGTGATTTCGTGTTTTTTTTCTTTTGCAAAAAGATTGAGAAAAATAAGGAAAATGGATCTGGCTGAAGATTATGGAAGTGAGAGAAAGAGAGAGAATTGTAATTAATAGATTATTGTAACTACCTAAAATGTAATTTATTAAAAAAATTAATTAATACAATTTATTTTTCATACCCAATTTACCCTTAGTAACCACGGTGATTAATACTTATATAGAATCACCGTAACCTGTCCCCGATATGTACACATTGCACGTGAGCGGTTATGGTGGTAACTTGGTCCCTGTAGCCACCGTGGTTACTAAGGATAGTGATGGTATTTTGGTGCTTATTGTTTTGGTAGTGTTGCATATGGTTATTGGTAGTGTTGACGTAGTTGTATTCTGATATTCTGATGCTTATTGTTTTGGTAGTGGTGCATATGTTTATTGGTAGTGTTGACGTTGTGGTATTAATATATATTTGTTTGGATGGATTGGGATTGAATATCAAAAGAATTACTTGCATTTATGTTAATTGCATTGAATTAATTACAGTGGAGAAATAATTTTATACAAAAACTATATTATTCGCTCTATATATCTCTCTCTATTTGATTCTACCTCTTTGCCTTCCTCTAGTCCTTTCATCCTTGTGCTTCAACGATTGTAACCATCTGTACTTTTTTCGACTACCTAACAAAAAATCAATACCAATACGAAAAATTAGTACCAATCTAGACAAAATAAATACCAATCCAAGAAAGATCAATACCAATACCAAAAATCCATACTAGTCTAGAAAATCAATACCATTATAAAAAACGTACCATTATTAATTACTTTTTTTTTAATAAAGTTCATTTTAGGAAATTACAAAATTATATTAACTACCATTTCTCTCATTTTCACAATCTTCAGCCATATGCTTCTTCCTTCCTTTTCTCAATCTTTCCATTGATTTCGTTCTATCGAACTAATATCGCTGCAACAATAAAACAATATCAATCAATTACAAAACACTACAGTTGCACAAAATACCAATACCATTCGAGAAATAAAAACACTACCATTTCACAAAAACACCAATACCAATGCGACAAAAATAATACCATTGCGTGAAAATTAATAACAATGCGATAAAAACAATACCATTGCGACAAAAATAATATCAATGCGATAAAAACAATACCATTGCGACAAAAATAATACTAATGCGCCAAAATCAATACCAAAACAAAACAAAAAATCCATACAAAAAACACGAAATCACTACCAATCCATTATACAACCACTACCACTTTGAAAATAATCAATACCATTGCAGAAATAAATCTATATCATTACACGAAAACTACCAATATAAACAATCTATACCATTGCATATATGAAGAAAATTATGAACATTGAGGTTTAAACCAATACCATTAGACTTTGAAGAACTACCAGACTAGCATTGTTAATACTAATACACGTGTAATGAACCAATACCAATCTAAAATGTCACTACCAAACGAAGATGAATGAATATCATGTTGTTATATAACCAATACCACTGCACATCGAATCAATACCATTGCAGGACTACCATTACACAAAGGACAAACAATACCAAATAGTAGTGTACTACCAAAAGAAAAGGCGATTTTCCTTAACGAATGTCATTACCAATACCATTGCTTAGTAAATCAATACCATTATGCAAATAAAAAAATTGCAGCCAGTGGAGGAATACGATTACAATTTACAAACCAATAACAAATACTAATTAAAATTATAAGAGCTAATTATACTGCAACAAAATGATCGAATGATCACTCGTATCAAAGCAAGCAATAATACATGGAAAATATACCCAACCAAAAATAGTTCCTCAATATCAAAATTGAAAACGTAAAAAAAAAAAATCACAAGAACAAATCATTTAACGAAGAATCAAGGAAGATTATTCCTATTAGCAGCAACTTTACAAGAACACATCATTCCTCACTAGTCACTAGCACAAACATAATCACAAAAAGAAAAAAAATAACCTGGTGTTGTTGGTAGAGACATGTTCAAATAATTCCAGCTTATAGATAGAGAATCGATTTCTTTTTGTTAAGAGGGGAAATTGAGAGTTACGGTTTCTTTGAGGACGGCGTGGGAGGGGTGGTGTGGGGACGGCGGGGGAGGGGAGAAGGCGGGAGGCTGGGGAGAAGAAGAGTTCTTGCCGGGTGGGAGGGGAGAAGAGTGAGGAGGCGGCTGCAAGTTCTTGCATTAGGGTTTGCAGTATAATATATAAAAATAATTTTTTAAAGAATAGTAATCAGGTGTTGTATTATTTTCGTTTTCAAAATTATCCTTCATATAATTTTCACCGTCAACTTAAAAATGTCAACTTAAAAATAGGATGAAATAAATATAATTAAGGATGTAGATGTTAGTAGCCACAGTGGTTACTCAAAATTTAATAACCACTCTAACGCCATCTGACATCCTACGGTATTGATCAATCCAACTGGGCCTTTATGTCTCTACCCAATCCCGCCTCAAGTGTACTCGGCTTGGCCCAAAAGTGATGGACTGGGCCTGGCTTCCTTACATGCCGGTTGGACGATGAGAGGTGAGACGAAAGAGACGGATGTAAAATTAAACTGGTAAGGGAACCGCCGAAGAGTTCGACAACCGGCGAGAATGGAACCGGAGCAGAAGAAAAGAAAGTTCAAGCCGCCGCCGCACAAGTCGAAGTAAGTAATTCTCTGGACTTCTTCATTTCGTTTCCCGACCCGAACCTTATTCGACTCCACTGGTGTGTGCCCTTGTTTTTTTTTTTTTTGGATATCCCTTTTTTGGTGGGCGAATTCGATGGAGATTTCAGGTAATTAGGGTTTCTGCTCAGGATTGGGAGAGCGAATTGGGTTCTCATTAGTCCTTCCTGATTATTTACGCAGGACTGCAGCATCTTCGGCTGGACCCAAAACGGCAGCAGACGAAGCAGCTAGTAGTAGTAGAGTGGATCCTTGGATTGAACAGGGTAAGACCATGGCAGTGAGCCAGGCTCAGAAAGATGGGTGCACAGGGAATTACAGAATCATGGATTCCCCATTCGGGAACTTCCTCCTACCTGTCCTCCCAACTCGTGCTGAATTGTTGTCTGGATGATTCTTTCTTTCCGTTGTTTCGTGGATTGGATCCCACCTTGGTTTTTGAAATCTAGCTGCAGTTCAGATAGGTCACAAATCACAATCATAGTTTTCTGCCCAGCATTCTAATGAAGCTATTCAGCCTGATAAAGGTAAGTAAAATTGTCTATATCGACCATAGTTGTGTCAGTGTCACACACCATTTGAAAGATCAAGCTCCGGTTCTGCAACCATCCCCTTCAATTGAAGCCGGATCAGCTTACTAAGGCTGGTATTTGCAACTCGTTGCTGCTGCTGCTGCTGCTGCTGCAGGTTAAACATGCCATTTTCAGTTCTTCCATGCGAAGGCAGTATCTTTTTCGAGATCTAACTATTGAACATGGTTAACATCTAGCTGCAGTGCAGATTTGGTTTATGAATCCCATTCACAAATCACTAGCGTAGTTTTTCTGCCCAGCATTCTAACGAATTGATTCAGCCTGATAAGGATAAGTAAATTTTTTTAATGTCGACCATAGTTGTGTCAGTGTCACTCACTATTTGAAAGATCAAGCTCCTGTTCTGCAACAATCCCTTGAATTGAAGGTTCATCAGCTTACTAAGGCTGGTAGTTGTGAGTTGTAACTAGTTGTTGTTGCTGCTGCTGCTGCTGCATGTTAAACATGTCATTTTGAGTTCTCCCATGTGAAGGCAGCATCATTTTTCGAGATAATCATTGAACATGGTCTGCACTCCGAGGTAGGTTGTGAGGGCGAGAATCCGCCTTCTCTGTAGGTACTTGGGAACTCATTATGTTGTGCTGTCTCCTTACCTTGGGCAGCTGCGAAGCAACCCTAGGCATGTTGAAGTCTTGATATGCTTGGTGGCTAGGAGGCATGTTGGAATCTTGATACGCCTGTGCATAGTGGAGTATGCTCGGCGTGTGTGCTATATAGGCCGACACCATGGGAAGGGAGTTTCGTCGGAGATGTATGCTTGCTCCTCCTGGTCGGAGTAGACGTGGTATGAGTACTGCAGTCAAGGAAGGAATGTCCATTTCCTCTACAGAAGAAGCCTTCTCTCTTTGTTCTTATGTTTCTTTTGAAGCAGATCTTGACCTATTTTCAGCCTGTGTAAGATTGCTAGCAACAATTCGATCTCGACTGAACACTTTCGGTCGCGATCAAGTGCTGCTGTCCGACGACGAGCTAGTTTTAATTGGAAAAGGCACGCATATCCTTCTAATAAGACTGTGATCTTGCATACCATTAATCTCAACAAATATTTGAGAGACGTTTGTTCTCACAACGATAAAGATTGTGTTAGACGAAAAATTGCATGTAGATAGTGACGAACTCATAAAAAATAAGTATGCACAAGTAGCAAAACTCCACCATTTGATGAAAAACCAAGGCAGAACAAAACCGAAATTTTTTTCTCTTAACTAAAAGAGAAAGATCCCCGGACGCAACATCCGCTTCAGTGACAGCAAGACTCCAGCAAAATGACAGTCTGTTTCCTTGGGTTATGCACTTATGCTAGTGGTATGGTCCAATATATTTATATGTCGATTTTCAACATTTTATATGAGGTTTATTTTACGAAAATCTACCTATAATCTTTATCCGTATTTAAATAACTTCATCATAGACAAAATGAAAAATCATCATATTTAAATGTAACATTTAGTGTCACCGTCGAAACGTTTATAATTGAATCCAACATATAACATCAAGATATAAAATGTTTATACTTAGTTTGTTAGTTAATTCCACTAAAGCAACGCCATTTTCTTTAGAGACTATAAATTGGCCGTTCCGGTTGATCGCTTTTCTCGCCTTTAACCGTACCGATTTTGACTATTGCTTCATACCAGTGGTATTTAACCCTGTTGTTTGTTCAATACCCGTTGAACTCAATTGTGCCGGTCGACATGTCAGTGATTTGACAACTATGATTCTGCGTTAAGTAATTTCCTCTTTTATATGTTTCGTCACTTTGTTTCTAATGAAAATTATTGACACTAAAATTTGAATCTATATAATGTGATGAATTTTAGCATCCTCATATTACTAGTGAAACCACGGTTAAAATTTTAGGATATGATAATTTTTCTAGTTGACTAAAGAGAGCTTCTGGCATTCATCATGCCAACGATTTTAAGCTAACAAATAAATCTCATTTATTCGTACGATAATATACCTAACTTTATAATATTTTTGTCCATTTCATTTTTCCAAAAAAAGTGGATAAAATTACCGATAATAAAGGGATAAAGTTTGGATTTAATATATCGTCATGGATAAATTACCCACGTAATTTCTACCTTATTATTGTTTTTTTTTTCTTCTTTTTGGATCAGTCACGTCGAAATCGAATGATTAACATATTTAAGACATAAAAATCCTTTTCCAAACTTAATTATTACTCTTATTATCCATTGACTTATCCATTAATCAATCCATTCCATAATTATACCGCTATTAGTAACTCTAATTTCAAATTAATAATAGTAATATCCAACAGTAAAAATGACTAATTGATCGTGTTTTTGTTTTATATAAATTCCCTATTCTGTCTCTTTCTCGGCCCAATCACCGATATCTTCTCTGCAAGAATTTTCTTCCTCAATTTCCGTTAACAGTGGATGATGATGCCGGCGCCTGCGGCCCAGATATATCTATAAAAATAACGATATTGGCTGATTCCACAAAGCCGGAGCCACAATCTCTTGACGTCACTCCAATTCACGAGGGGATTTTTTTTTTGACATTTTGTGGGGAAGGAAGCAGAGCTGAGAGAGTGTTTGGTAGGTGGGTCGGTGGGTGAGAGAATGAAGAAGGAGACGGTGGTTGCAGTGGTGGTCGGAGCGGCGGCGGTTTGCGCTGCTGCTGTTGCGGCGGACGCGTTGGTCCGCCGGAGGAGGCAGAGCCGCCGGAGGGAGAAAGTGCGGGCGATTGCGGATGGGTTCCGGCGCAGGTGCGCGACGCCGATCGAGAAGCTGCAGCGGCTCGCCGATGCTATGACTGACGAGATGCACGCCGGGCTGCTGTTGGACGGCGGGAGCAAGCTCAAGATGCTCGTTAGCTACGTCGACAACCTCCCCACTGGGTATAACTATAACCCAAAACTTAATTTCCTCCCCTGATATCTGATTCTTCTTCTTCTGGGTACGATTGGATTTCAAATTTTGTTTACTGTATCTTCAGAGATGAGAAAGGGTTGTTTTATGCGTTGGATCTTGGTGGGACGAATTTCCGGGTGATGAGAGTGGTGCTCGGCGGGCAAGAAGAGCGAGTGGTCAAACAAGAATCGGTGGAGGTCTCCATTCCTCCACACGTGATGACGGCAACTTCAGATGTAAGAATATCCCATTTGGGGAGCTGGGTTTTTTCATTTTTTGTTTGTTTGTTTCCTTTTTTGCAAATTCTGATTGTGGACTTGTACTTTTTTACAGGAGTTGTTCAATTTCATTGCTCAAGCTCTAAAGAGATTTGTTGACACGGAAGGTGAAGATATGCGGCCGTCTCCTGGTAGGCAGAGAGAACTGGGTTTCACATTCTCGTTTCCAGTGAATCAGACATCGATTTCCTCGGGCAATCTTATCAAATGGACGAAAGGGTTCTCCATTGACGAGACGGTACAAAAACCATTCACTTGTTTGTTTGATTTTTGATGCTGTAATCCTTTTAGAACATTGTGTTTGGTTGCTGTCACATTTTGAGATACATTTGGTCTTGCTTCCTTTGTGCCTGATCTCTTTTGCTACGGTTGCATTTATGTCTAATTATTGGTAATGGAAGGCAGAATACTGGTGCATCTCACTGACATTAGCTAAAAGTTCACTTCCTAGCTCTCCTTTTGTGTGTTTGTGGGTTTTTGTTGATAAATTCATTTTCCAATCCCGGACATTAGGTTGGACAAGATGTTGTGGCCGAACTGACGAAAGCTATGGAAAGAGTCGGTGTTGATATGCGCGTGGCTGCTTTGGTAAGGGACACATGTTTGGAATGGATTCAGGCAGACAGTTCGTTGAGAATGGAATTGGATGATGTAACTCATAATTTTTCTGTCATTGGTTGACATTTTCATTTTACTGATGATGTAGGTGAATGACACAGTTGGAACATTGGCTGGAGGAAGGTATAATAACCCTGATGTCATTGCAGCTGTGATCTTGGGCACTGGAACCAATGCAGCATATGCAGAACGAGCAAATGCTATTCCAAAGATGAAGGGTGCTCTCCCCAAGTCTGGTGAAATGGTCCGTAATCCGTATTATCATCCTATGTTACTTGTTACAATTGTAATTCCAAGTTTTATGGCACTAAAAAGGCAATGCTTTGTGATAATAGGTTATCAACATGGAATGGGGTAGTTTCCACTCCTCGCACCTTCCACTGACAGAATATGATAAAGCCCTGGATATTGAGTCCTTGAATCCTGGAGATCAGGTCAGTGCAACCTTTTTTCTTTTCTTTGTCCCTTTCAAGATCAACCTCATTGACTCTTTCTTATTCAGATAACAGACTGCATTGACTTCATTATAGTTTGAACCATGCTCATAAAGAGCTTTCTTTCTCGTCTTGCAGATTTTTGAGAAGGTGATTTCTGGTATGTATTTAGGAGAAATCTTACGCAGGGTTCTACTAAAGATGGCTGAAGAAGCTGCCTTGTTTGGTGATGTTGTTCCTCCAAAATTGACGTCTCCATTCATCTTGAGGTATGTTGTGTGCCATTTAAGGTTACTTAAGCTAAATTAGAGTCTTTGCCATGAGTTTCGTCATTGATGACTGATTTTTGGTTCTGATACTGTGCATCCAGGACACCGGTTATGTCAGCGATGCATCATGATATATCCTCAGATTTAACAGTTGTTGGAAGCAAACTAAGAGAAGTCTTTGAGGTACATTTCTTATTGAAGTCTTTTCCATGACTTCTTTTTATATCCTTATGGAAAGGAGAAGTTAGAATAGCCAATCCCAGCAATCAAAATTTCTCATGTTGAACTTCAGCATATAGTCTGCGACACTATCCTTTTATGATAGTTATTACTTATTAGAGTCTAGAGATAGCCAATGGGTTGGTTTGGTGGATTCACGGGTTCATGAGTTAGGTTAGGTTCATGAGTTAGGTTAATAGGAGTTCGTGGAGACGGTAGGTGGTCAGATCATATCATTCTGTTGAAAATTCGACTGGGTTTGGAGGATATTTAGATAATTTGTCATTTAGAATGCAATCAATGCCTGTTGGATAAAGTTTTAGAAGTTTGAGTACTAGTAAATTGTAAGATAGTAGAAGTGTTATCAAATAAATTTTTTTTGTAAGATAGTAGAGGTGGATTAGTTTGATAATGTAAAACTATACGGGTACTTAACTGTGTGACTATAGGGGAATTTCATAATGTTCCTTTCCCTTCTGAAGTATGAACTTTAGGATTCAATGGCTTTATTAGTTCATCATGCAAATACACAATCTGATATACTTCATATTCTCACTTCCCCTTGATGTTTTTTCCAGATATCAAATACATCCTTAGAAACGAGAGAGCTAATTGTCGAGCTGTGCAACATAATAGCCACCCGTGGAGCTCGTCTATCAGCTGCTGGGATTTTCGGCATCCTCAAGAAAGTTGGAAGCGACACAATTCAGAAAGGGGACAAGAAGAAGTCGGTGATAGCATTAGATGGCGGGTTGTTTGAGCATTACACCAAGTTTAGAGACTGCTTAAAAGCCACCCTAACCGAATTGCTTGGAGATGAAGTTTCAGAGAGTGTAACCATTGAGCTCTCAAACGATGGCTCTGGCATTGGTGCAGCCCTCTTGGCTGCTTCTCATTCTCGATACTTAGAGGCTACTGAAGAATCTTGAGAGAGCATCATGTGTAAGGCAGTAGGTAGACAGATAGAAGGTCAGACCTCCCCTTCAGACGTGTAGAACAATTACTGGAAGCAGCATCAGAATGCTAAAGCTTCCCCTGAAGCCTGCAGTTATGGCTCCGAGCTTTACCATTTCGGTTTATCGTTCTGCATGTTTCGAACAATTATTTATAGAGAATAAAATGTGTGATCGATGTAAACTGTTGAGTTGCCGTAGTCAGTCAAAAGAGAAAATTTTGTTTCTCTTGATTCAATAACCCAACTATCAAGCATCCTTTTTGTCTTAGTTAGTTGGTTACAACTTACAAGTTATTAAAAGCTATATTTATCATCTTCTCTGAGACCAGAAAGGCTGCAAAGTCTACAAGACTACTATAACAGTATTAATAGCAATTAACAGCATGTCAGCATTGCAAATTTGCAGTTGTAGTTTGCTTTCACCAGCAAGGCCATTTTCATCACTTCATTAACACTTTAGTACGCGAGGGCACCAACTACTTTTCTTTCTGTTTTACCATTGAGGTACAAAAATATTCTTGCAGGAGAAGAAAAAGAAAAAAAAAACAGCCCCTCTGGATGAAAACTAGTTGTGGAAAAGGTATATACAGAATTCACTATATAATCACTGCAGATGAAAACCAGGCCAGCCGGTAAATCACATCATGTCAAATCGAATCCTAAAACTAGGCCATCAAAATTATGATTTTCCAGAATCTGATTGTTCTTCTTCACTACTCCAATCAGCATCGTCAAAATCAGTTTCCATTTCTTCGGATAGTGCTTCTTCACTACTGCAATCAGCATCTGTCCCGAAATCCCTAGCAGAATCGTAGCTCCTCTTTCCCAGGTCTCTGGAGTCTTGTGGCGGTGCGTCCAATATGGAGATTGGATTCCTACTATTTGGGTCACCATAGAGTGCGATATGCCTGTAGTAGAGCTCGAGTTCCTTCTCGGCTATAGCAATGAAGCGTCTGACGGACTCGAGTGATTGCTCATACTTTGATTTCTCCAGTGCCTGCAAAAAAGAATTTGAGGTCTATCAATGGCGGCCAAACATTATGCACTCCATACAAGTATAAAAACCATTATTCATGGTGGTGGCAAACAGACTCCTAAAGTCATGACACATCTAAAGAAAATATTAAAACTAGACAACAAGTATCTTGCAAGTGAAACACAGTAATATCAGTGGAAATTTCGTCAACAGAAGAACACTCTCTACCTTCTTCTTTGACAATGTGTCAATTGGTGACATAACTTCTGGCTGAACATACTTCTTCCCTCGATAGAACACAATGGTATCATCACCACTTATATGTATAGGGATCCCACCACTCAGCCTCGCAATCTCCTGAGCAATCTCATGAACCTGACCAGGTTTGCATGAATTGCAAATAACCTTCACGGTCTCATGCTTCTTCCAATGCATATGCATATTAAGGATGACACCTCCGAACACTCCTCTCCGGCCAATCGGAACATAATTCGACTTCTTCTGTGCCACCTTCTTGAGGAAAAACCGCTCTTCACCAGTGAGCTTATGCGGTCTAACCTCGGGACCTTGAGCTTTGGGAACTTCATACCTCTGCAGTCTCTCAATTAGTGCTGCCTCCTTCATTCTTGCCTGCATATTCATTCAAAAGAATTAAGAGAACCAAACAACTAATGACATTCATGAAACCAAATTATAAAGTCATCATCTTTCCCAAACGCACATCGACATAGAATCATTACTTGTTTACACCCACCAAAGCAACATCGAATATGAAACACAAACAAGTTTGGATCCAAGACCCCATATGGAAGGAATTCAAAGAACAAAACCCAAAATGTTCAAGCCATTGCCATCAGGGGTTTTTGAAAGGATAAAAGGGAAGGGAGATCAAAACTCACCCGCCTAAGCTTGTACTTGATTCTCTCCTCTGCATTAGCAAATCTCTTCTTCCTATCCCTCTTCACGGTGAGGGTACGAGGGTCTTTCCTATTAGCAGCTTTTCTCCTGTCCTTTTCCCTCTTCCTTTGCAGCTTCAGCCTCTTCTTGGTCAGCCATTTGTCCTTTTTAGGAGGATCAACCTCACGAGTCTCAAATTTGGGCTTCCCATCCGATATCACCAGGTTCACCGACCCGTAGCTACTCAAGTATCTGAATTCCCATGAATTACGTCGGGGTAAACAGAACCCAATTAACGCTCTGGATGGAGATGAAAAGGGTTGGAACTTCTGGGGTTGCCAGATCGGCTTCCTGTGACAAAAATTGCTTCTCTTGGGGTAAAATTAACAGAGCTGAAGAATCGAAGTTGGAACCAGAGTGAGGGTTATTAGTTATTACCTGAAGCGCGCAGGGTGAGAGAACGGAGTGGAAAGCAGCCGAGACGAATTAACAACATGGGTAACTGAAGAACAAGCACAGCCATAAGCTCTTCGCAGGTTAGGAAACAGCATTATGATAGGTTTTGCGCGATCTTCACCAGTCGAAGAAGAGTATTGGGGTTAGTGGAGCAGGAGAAGACCCAATTGCTTGCCGTAAAACTATTACAGGGTAACTTGGAGAATCGCAAAGCCTTGAGTGAACTGGTCTCACAAACTTGGAGAGGGGACGGGATTCTCCCCCATTTCATGTTTTAAACCGTCGACACTCGACAGAGAGTAAGAGGAGCGAGAGGGAGAGGAGCGGCGAGCCGGCGAGGGAGAGAGGGCAGGGGTCCGGGAAAAGGAAGAGGAAGGAAGGGGTGTTATCGTCATTTACACATACTTTCCACTTTTCTTGTTCTCTTTGCTAGCTTATCACCCAGCTCATTGGACGAAAGTAGCCTTGTTATAAGAATCGACCGGATCAACGGTCGGGCCAGTAGAACCGTCAAACCAGTTATGATAGCGGTCCGGTTCATTGTTTGAACGGTTATTGATGGACCAAACGGTTTTTCACGGTTCAACATAAAATCAGATGAACCGACACGGTTTAACTGATCCATTGGTTCACTATTTTAACATAAACTAAGACCATCAAATCATAATTATTAATTTTATATATGCTTCATCAACCTTATTGTCGATTTACATTGTCTACTACCAACTAGAACCGTAATTTTTAATTTGAATTAAAAAATGTGGTTTCTTTTGTGAGATGGTTGGAATGATTTATTAGATATTTTCGTGATGATATGAATTTGACCTTGTTTATGGTCAATGATAATTTCATTCTTAAATTAGTGTAATATACCAGTCTTATATGTTATATATCATTAACGGTTCTATCAACGGTTCACCAACGGTTAACCGGTGAACCCTTAAACCACTAACTTTTTCGGTTCAGCCACCGGTCCGGTTCTGAAAACAGAGGAAAGTAGTCACGAAAATGGATACTCGGGCTCATTAAGTCAACAACACCATAATAATATGACTTTCAGCTCTGTACTTACTATTTCTTTAATGAGTTATAGGTATAATATGCCCCTCTATTATGACGTTTTATCAAACATGCTCTTCTACTAGGTTTTACATCAAACATGCCCTTGTATTTTGGAAAACTTATCAAACATGCCCTTTTGTTAAAATTTTCATACAAAACCGTTAACCAAGACCGAACTTTGGTTTGGGCGACCCAAATATCTAAAATATCCCTAATAATTTCACTTTAGAGTTTTTTTTTATTCTTTTGTATAGCCAAATAATTCAAATAATTTCACTTTGACGAGACCTAGAGAAATAAAACAAGTGTCAAAACTGATATTTCCCCTCTCATTTATCGATGTTAGGTCATCTAAATCTTGGTTCAACCATGATTGACGATTTTTTCAATGGAAATTTCAACTAAAGGGCATGTTTGATAATTTTTCCAAATTACAGGGACATGTTTGATGTAAAAAATAGTAGAGAGGCATGTTTGATAAAACGTCATAGTAGAGGGGCATATTATACCTATAACCCTTCTTTAATTTGTATAAGTCAATCGTCATGTAACCTCTTTACTATCACGATTATTATCATTCTCGACAACAAACACACTGATTGGTCCTCTCTTACTCCACCATGAGTGAAATGATCAGTATAATAGCCTTGTAAAAAATTTAGAGTACCAGTGGAGATTCATCTCTTCTCCTTGGTGGCTTCGTCAATAAAATGAGATTGGCGGCTATCTCTACCAACGCGTTCTACATGCTCATAGTATGGTCTTTTGTATGAACCGTTTCAACCTTACCCATTTTTACACAGCAACTCCAAGAGCTAACTTGGTGGGGGCTCTCCTCTAGGTAAACATTTTGTATCAACATCAAGCATGACAACAAAAATTGTTTTGGTCGAGATACTATCATGATCTTGTGTTGTTGTGAAGAAGTCTAAACCATTTCCTAGGTCTCATCAACCCCCAATCAATTTGACGTGGATCCTTGCTCTCTTACGGTCTTACCATCTAAATTAAAGAGGAAGTTTAGGTTAATCTCTTTCATATCTTAACTTGACAATTTCTTAGAGAGGAGATACAATCACGACTCATAATTCCTTAACAGCCACCTCAGATAAAACAATCTTATGGAAACAATACTAATGAAGCACCTGAATTACAATTATGTACATGTTTCCTATGAGGGTGTGCATGTGCAGATTAAGAAAAACAGAAGGATTAAGAAGGGAGTTTACTTGACATGCGGTTTTGATGAGCATAAATTCCATCAATAAAATTCCAGGTGGAGGTGTCCAATCAGTCGGGTCTAGACATGTGTATATTTCAACAGACTATAATACAAACACAAAAAGTTCGGTTTGTCCTTCCCATGACAACACATGCTCACCATGTATTTATTCCTTGTAGAGAGAAGAATATCAACCACCTTGTATCTGCTCCAATTATGGCTATCACTCGTGCTTTTTACAAAGTAGTAATTAGAACTCCACTTTTAAATCTGGAAGCAAGTGACAACTATCACGAAACATCATTTTGTAAAAAATTATATGCAATCATGAGGTTATTTCACTCAAAAGAAACCATGTTTTATATGTTGAAGATCAACATTATAAGTTGAATAGTTCAATTTAGCAACGATCTCAGCTCTTACATATAAAAGCTGTGTAAAAATGGTATGATTGAAGCTATTCACTATGTTAACACTAATCAGTAGAGCTTTTGCTTACACGAAACTAACCACAAAAACATTTCAAATTAGGAAAATGATGATACTGAAAAGGAGTATCATAACTAAAGCAACAAAGAGTATAGCTCTGTATCTTTAATCAACTCAAAAGTCAATCTAGAAGATCCACCAAATGAATTGATTGTTAAGAGATCACACATTACTATCAAAGAAACTAAATAACCCACCAGTAAGCTCTCCAAACAAGAACACCCAACATTTTGATATTTACCCCTCCAAAAATTTCTCTGGCATAACAATATAGGTGGATGAGGTTAGGCGGTTGTCAAGTCCGGTGGAAAGGTTTGGAAAGTCGGCGATAATTGAGCGCTTAGTAGGATGAGACATTATTTAGACCCGTTTATATTAGTTGCATCGTTTCCATCCGCGTTCAACAAACCAACGTCACTCAACATTTCCATATTTACGCTTCTCTTAAAGATTCATGTTCCTCATATTCACTCAAAAGTTCTGTGTTCAAAAATATTGTTACTTTATAATAGTTATAAAATTTAAGTATATGTCAAGAATTTTGCATCGCTTCTACGCATTTAATACTGCATTTCGATATGCAATATATACACCAATGACATTATGGTTGCTATTTTAAAATAATTATTCTCTTTTTATAAGATAAACATAAATATAATTAATTAACCATAAAAAAATATAATTAATTATTAAACTCAAATTAAAATAATCAAAATATGAAGATAAAATCCCTTTCCTTTCAGTCGAGTCACTTCGTACCTTTCCTTACTCCTCATTATAGTCCACATCATTCAATACAACCTCCTTCACATCGTCTGCATTTTCGAGAATTCAACTTGTGACTTTCGATCTCGATATCCTGATGGTAGTGGGTATCAAATACCAAAAACATATTTACAAGAGAGTTGGTGAGTTAGCTAACATTGGTGTAAAATTCCTACGATTTTTTGGATTTAAGATTCATGAATTTTATATGATTTAAATAGATAAAACAGTTTTTGACAATATAATTGGTTGGGTTTCTTGTCTTTTTTTTAAAGAGATCCCAATTCAAATCATATCACTGACGTATTTTTTATAAATGAGAAAATAATAAATGATTGTGAAGATGAGTCTATATTCCTACTTTCGCTATAGATGCAGGGATTTTGTAAAGTGGAAAGTACCTTTCTCATTTCACTATTATAGTAGGTGTAGCGAAAATAAGCGTGGTGGTTAAGCATTTGTAGGTCGGGCACTATTTGGGTCTGCTTACATTAGTAACACATTTTCTATCCGCGTTCGGCAAACCAACAACACTCAACCTATTCATATTTACCCCTCCAAAAATTGCTTTGGCGTAACAATAGAGGTGGAGGAGGTTAGTCGGTTGTTGAGTCTGATAAGAAGTTTGGAGAGATGGTGTTGGTTGAGCGTTTAGTGGGTCGTGGACTCGTGACACTATTTGGGCCCGTTTACAATAGTAGTGTATTTTTCATTCGCGTTAGTGGGTTAACTACCCGTGGTGGAAAGGTTCAATGACTTTTTTATATTTAACCTTCCTGTATTTTTTAATTTTAAAAGACCAAACATATTTGTTTAGTGTAATTGGTTATGTTTCTTGTATTTGTTCTAAGAGAATACTGTTCAAATCCTATTACTGATGTATTTTTTCCTATAAATAAGAAAATAATAAATGACTGTGAAGACGAATCTACCCTTTCTACTATCACTCTAGATGCAGGATATTTGAAATAGGGGTGCAAGTTTCTCCATTTTCTTTTATATACTAGTTATAAACTGGCCCGTTGGCCGAAATATTCATATTTGATTATTTATATTTTTATGTTACGTTTAAGTCTATCAACCCGATTAATTTTATTGACAATCTTTCGATCGAGATGATACATAAATAAAGAATATATAGGTCGAACATTTGAAAATATATCATCATCATTTAAAAATATAAAATAGACAAAATATATTTTCATAGTCATAAGTTTCACGTTTGTGACAAATATAACCATAACTATTGACTTTTTCCCTCGACTTTTCCCTTCCCCTCCTCCACCCTACCCACACCATCCCTTCCATCTCTGTCTCTCTTAAGGAAATCGACAAAGAACTTTTCATCACAAACCCTATGTAGAATTTCAGATATTGATTATGATTAGCTATTGTGATTAATTGGAGTTTTGGATGTGTAAAGGTATGTATTTTTGTGAAATGCTAGTGATTGTTTTCGTAGTGATAGTGTTTTTTCGTATTGGTATTGTTTTTTTTTTCCGCATTGATATTGATTATCATGTAATGCTATTGATTTGCATGTATTGGTAATTATTAAATCTGCAATGATATTGGTGTTTTGTGAAATGATAGTGATTTTATTTCTCGAATGGTATTTGTGTTTTGTGCAATGGTAGTGTTTTTTAATGGATTAGTATTGATTTATTGTTTTATTGTGACAGCAAAAGTATTTCGACTGAACGAAATCAAGGAAAAGTTTGAGAAAAAAAGAAAGAGAGATCTGGCGGAAGATTATGGAAGTGAGAGAAAGAGAGAGAGAGAAAATTGTAGTTAATATATTTATGTAACTTTCCCTAGCAAGATGTTGGTGAAGCAGCCATAGCTGTTTGGCGAGCAAAGTAGCGTTAAGGGGTCGTTTGCTTGTTGGATTTGAAAAATGAGGGTTTTGGCCAACAAAAACCTTGGGATTTATGTTGGATTTATTGGATTATGGATTTGAAGAGTCTAATGTTTGCATGATAGATTTGATGATGGATTTGTGATGGATTTGTTAAATAAATAACTAACCATCAAGGATTTGCAAATCCCAAATCAATATGTGGGATTTACAAGTCCGTGGGGGTCCACAGATTTGGTTCCAAAATAAAGACCAAATTCGTGGACCCCACGAATTTAGCACCCTTCAACAAACAATGAACTTATGTTAAATCCATCAAACTTGGGATTTGGGTACCAAATCCATGACCCAAATCCAACAAGCAAACGACCCCTAAAACCATGCAGATCCCTAAACCAAACTTCCCTTCGCTTTAGTACATACTAACTCCTCCCGCCTAATTCAGTGAGCCCGCCTCTATGAGCCTCGTTGGAAATTTGTAATCATACTGTGAAGTGTGAATCTCATCCAGAATACCCTCCGGTACTTTGAAGACAGACATGTCGTACGTAAGCTGAGCTTGTGCCACCGACTTAATTAAAGTCTCCCTGCCGGCTATCGAAAACGTCTTCTCCTTCCATCCTTTCAGTTTCAGTCGCACCCTCTCCTTTAAGCCATTAAAATTTTCCCTCTTCGAGCATCCCACCACTTTCGACAGGCCCAAGTATTTGTCATGTTTTTCAATCATCTTCATCCCTAGGATTCCCCCAACCAGGAGCCTTTGATGTGGTTTCACATTCTCGCTGAACGAGACTTTTGATTTCTGAAAGTTCACCATTTCTCAAAAGTGTTAGTATCCTATAACTATTAGATCCGAAAAATAACAAGAGCATAACTTAAACCTCTGAGTTAACAAAAAGAATCAATAGTAATATACCTTAGTTTGGCCCGAAGTTTGGCTTAAGTGTCAGTTTTGGCCCGAACTTTCAAACAATACAGTTATGGCCAACTTTTGAAAATAATAGATAGATTTAGCTCGAAGTTTGAGTTGGCCATCAATACTTTTGTTAAATAAAGGCTGATTAGGCGTTTCTGTTAGCCACGTCAGCAAAAAACTAACGTCGTTAATGGAAGCTGACAAACTAACGAAGAGTGACCAAACTTGAAATATTTAACTAATTCTAGTAACCATGAATAGAATAAAATATTTTAGTGCCAAACGTGAAACTTTTTAGTAATCTTGTGAACCAACTTGCAATTTACCCAATACTTCTGGACAACAGATCTAGTAAACGAACTTGCAATTTACCCAATACTTTTATATATCAAAACTAGTTAATGTTGGCTATGAACGATGAGCACTAAAGAATTTATCTGCAATTGTCTTAGTGTGTACTGTCTATTTGCTTGAATGTGCCGATTAACACACTAACAGAGAGATCAAACATATGCGTGAATGCGAATCACCTTTCATATAAACGGCATAGACCTCTTTTGAGGTTACACTGTATCTTACCATACAACATTGCGTTATTATGTTTGATTGATTATGGTGCTCTCTGAAAACGGTTATCCAAAATACAATCTTTCCCCAACTACACCAAGTTCCTTTCTGGCAAGCTACCGTCGCCATTGGAGTTCTCAAGCAGAGGGCTCTCGTCTACCATCCTTTCACCACCACTCTTCCCTCCTGAACTCCCTTCTCTTCTCCATCTCTCCAACATCTGCACCACCTCCTTCATCGACGGCCTGCTCGAGGACAATGCGGTCGTACACAGAACCCCAAGCTTAAAAACACACACCATTTCATCCAAGTGACACCCTTCCTCCTTCACCTCCTCGTCCAAGAGATCACCTATCGCCTTCCCTTCCTGGACTCGGCCCCATGCCCACTCCGCAAGGCTTGTCTGCCTCGTCGTCTTCTCCTCGCCTCCCTCACCGTTCGCCTGTCTCCCTGTCGTCAGCTCCAGCAGCACCACGCCAAAGCTGTACACGTCCATCGTCGCGTTCACCCTCCTCGTCTGCCCATACTCTGCACTTTGCAAGAAGCTTTTCGTTAGTCATGTTGGTTAAAAACATGTTAGAAGGTTGGATACTGAATTGTAAAATAGAAGAGATGATTGGTTTGTTAACAGGGGAAAAGAACCAGCGGAGTGTATACCAGGTGCCATGTAGCCAAACGAGCCAGCCACCGTGGACAAAGTAGCAGCAGCTTCTCCACTGCTGCTGCTGTTCATAATCGTCATCATCTTGGCCAGGCCGAAATCGGCGATCTTGGGGTTGAATTCGGAGTCCAGGAGGATGTTGCTGGATTTCACGTCTCTGTGAATGATGGAAGGCACACAGTCATGGTGCATGTAAGCCAGACCTTGAGCGGCACCTATGGCGATGTTGAGTCGCTTTGGCCAGTCCAATGCTGCCCGCTTAATAGCACCGGAATGCAGCCACCAATCCAGGCTGTGGTTCTTCATATACTCATAAACCAGAAGCTTAGAATCGCCCTTGGAAATGCAGCACAGAAGCTTGACTATGTTGGTGTGTCTGATCCCACTCAGGGTCTCCACTTCTGCCATGAACTCCTTGGCCAGTTTGTTATCTTCATCATTCCAGATTCTTTTCACTGCGACGAAATCGTGCTGACGATCCAAAGCAACCCGATAAACCTTACCTGAACCACCTACTCCAATCACATTGCTCTCTGTCAACCCTGCAAGGATTTTATCTTCCGTGAAATTGAGCTTCTGGAACGAGGTGAACTCCCAGGCGGAATCCTGTACATGTTTCCCTCTAACCTTCTTGATGGCAAGAAATGATGATATCACAGATACCACGACGACAACTGCTGGAATGCTTAATGCCAAGGCCAGGATGTGGGTCGTGGTACGCTTGCTTGATTGAGAAGGTCTTGAGTTACAGCTACGGAGGTTCAGGTCAAGTTGCTTGAACACAAGCCAGGATTGTTCAGGAAGCTATCGGAATAAGCACCGTTTTCAAACTGCCGAGGGATGTTTCCTTCTAGCAGATTGGAGGAGAGATTCAGAGAAGTTATAGGTAATTGACTGATTTGGGGAGGAATGTTGCCAGACAATTGGTTTTCTGATAAGTCTAGTTCTGAGAGACGAATTAGATTGGTGATTTGGGCAGGAATTTGACCCGAGAGCTGGTTTCTTCTGAGGTTGAGAGTTGTTAGAGACTGCCATGAGCTGATGTCCGATGGAAGGGGACCAATAAGTTGGTTTCCATCTAGCAGAAGAGTGGTGAGTCGAGGAAGGGAAGTCAACTGTGGAGGGATTGTACCAGAAATGGAGTTGTTGCTTGCAGAGAAGAACACCATGTTGCTCCAATTACTTACTCCAGTGGGAATCCCACCAGTAAACTTGTTGTTGCTCATCTCAAGTCGAGAAAGATTCCATGCCACATCATCAGGAAGCTGACCTGTGAAGGAATTGTCTCCAACGACCAGAGTTTCCAAATTAGTTGCAGTCCACAAACCAGCTGGAAGCTCACCAGAGAAAGAGTTGTTCGTAATGCTGAGCAATCTCAAGGTGCTGCAGTTTCCTAGCGACGCGGGCAGCTCTCCACTGAGAAAGTTGTTGTGTGCTGCAACTCCATCTAACTTCCTGTTGCTGCATAGATGTTCAGGAAGTTGACCAGTGAGGCCATTGGAGTTAACTTGAAGAACTTCAAGCATGGAATATCTTCCAAAATTTGCAGGAATTGAACCTGATAAGTTGTTGGTGTACACACTGAACTCTTTCAGTTGTGGAAGCCTGCCAATGCTCTCTGGGATATCCCCGCCAAAATTGTTGAGGAAGAGATTCAAGATTTTGGCTTTCTCCAGCTTTCCGAAATCATCAGGAATCCTGCCACTCAAGTTGTTCTGCGACAGATCTACTTCAGTCAATTCCAGAGACTCCACGGGTTGAGGAATCGATCCAGATAACCTGTTCTTGTACAGATAAACCACACTCAAGTTCTTCAACTTAAACAAGCCGTCAGGGATACTTCCATTGAGTTTATTCTTGGATAAATCCAAATACTCCAGAGCTGCCATTTCCGCAATCGTTGTTGCTATCTCCCCAATCAAATTTGCATTTGAAACCCACAAACGTTTGAGATTCTTGAGCTGGGTGAAGCTGGAATGCAACCTGGAAGGCAGAAACCCATTGTGGGCCAATACTAACTCTTCTAGGTTCGACAAGGAGCCAATCTCCGCTGGGAAAGTGGCGTTGAACTGATTCTGATTGAGATACAGAACTCTCAGCTCCTTCAACCGCCCAATGGCTGCTGGGATATCACTGGTGAAGTTATTACCAGAGAGATCGAGGTGATTGAGGCGGGACAAGCGGTCAACATCACCAGGAATTGGACCGACGAAGTAGTTCTGGCTGAGATTCAAGTACTCGAGCTTGGAACAATTATAGAGCTCCCTTGGGAAGCCTCCCACTATACTGTTGTTATAAAGATCAAGAACGGTCAAGTTTTTCAGGTCGCAAATGAATGGTGGAACCGTACCGGGGATGTTCATGGAGCTGAAATTCAGCCCCATGATCGAGTTGGTGCCGCTGCAGTTAACCTCCGGCCAAGAGCAGGGCGAGGAGGAATCTGGAAATGACCAGTGAGAGAGCTGCTGCGGGTTCTGCCAGTGTTGCTTGATTCTCAGCAGGATTTCGCCGTCATTGGCTGGAGTCTCCTGCAGCTGTGAGGCTCCATGACTGCTAAAAAAAGCAAAGACTGTCAGCAAGTAGAGGGAGAGACATGAAAGAGCCGGTTCCAACATGTTATGTTGCTCTCTCTTGGTTTTCTTTGGCTCGCTCTGGTTTTTTGGTCTGGAGAACTCAGGCGATGGAAACGAAAGATGGTTTTGGAGAAAGGTCAAGTCTTTTTGGTTTATCCTGGGTGTGAAAACCGCACGCCCGCGGTGTACGAAGTCTTGGAAAGCTGCTGAAAACTCCTAAGACTCGTGAAATCAGCAGGCTTTGTACGGAGCTGGTTCTTTTTCAGCTGCCCAGTCCCTATCAAATGGCTTCCTTCGGCAGGGAAGCGATCAATGAAGATGGAAAACCGCAGCTTCCACAGAAGCGGAAACCACCTAAAATCCAATGACCAAAAGTAAATGTTGCTGAATTCAAACCCTGAACTTCAAGGAAGCTTCATTTTACACACGTTAGATTCACAGAACGATGGCATAAACAGTGTTGAATCTTCCTGATGTATCAGATTAAAGTCTAGTTTTTCCAGAAGAGGATGGGTGCAGTTCCTGGGTTAGCTAGCTCGCCAGTTTTGACCAAGACTATTACTTTTCCATCTATGCCACTTCGCCTGTACTGGGTTTTGCCTCGTTCACTCATTTCCCACGAGAATTCTATTGTTTTCAGATTGAGATTTGACGAAAGATTCTTGCTTTTGGCATACTCTGTTCAGGGCAGGCAATCATTCAAGCTGAAAGCTTCTGGTATAACTTAGAAGCTAGAAATTTAGTTAGTGTTATGAATTCAAGCTCTCCTTCATATTCCGATCAACAACTTTCTTCTGCCTTCCTCATTCCGGCCAGCATTAGCAAGAACATCGATCAACATACAACAATATTACAAGTACCAAAGAGAACACAGCAGAACCATACAGAAAAAGGTACACTTATTTATCTCCAAAAAAACATCAGCAGAAGCAGAACAATCCATATTCAGTCTGAAAAACTCGTACAGATCATGCAATGATTAGGAATGGATCATTCAGAGTACAAACACGAATTCCATTGTTTTTGTTACCAGTTTAACTAAGCTCCAGGGTTGGATGATGATCCAAGATTCTCCAGAGAAACATTGTTGAGCCTCTCCAGGGCCAAAATAAGCGCCTGGGTGCCCAAATCGCCTTCCCCATGAGCCTTGAGCGACAGATAAAGCTGCTGAGCTAATGCCAAACCAGGCAAAGCAAGCCCCATGTTCTGGCACTCCTTTAAGCAGATCCCCAAATCTTTAACGAAATGGTTGACATAAAACCCAGGTTCGAAATCCCTCTTCATTATCCGGCCAGCGTACAAATCCAGCGACTTCGATCCGGCAGCTCCGGTTGATATCGCGCTGAGATAAAGCTCCACGTTGAGCCCTGCTTTGTAAGCATAGATGATCCCTTCCACCAATCCAACCATCGCCGAAGCTATGGTGATTTGATTCGCTAGTTTCGCGAATTGGCCTTTACCTGCAGAACCCATGTAGTTGACTTTCCCCATCAGGGCAAACAGGGGGCTCAATTTCTCGACGATGGATTGATCCCCGCCGGTGAATATCGCCAGGGTCCCCTTCTTCGCGCCCAGATCGCCGCCGGAGACGGGGGCGTCGATGGAATAGCAGTGCTTGGTCGCTGCAGCGGCGGCGATTTCAGCGGCGAGGGAGGGTTCCGAAGTGGTCATGTCGACTAGGACGCCGCCGGGGCGGAGGCCATGGAGGGCGCCGGTGGTGGGTTCGAGAAGGACCTGACGGACGTCGGAGGGGTAGCCGACGATGGAGAAGACGACGTCGGATTGGGCAGCGACGGCGACTGGGGAATCGGCTAGCTTAGCGCCGAGTTCGACGAGGGGTTGGGCTTTGGAAGCGGTGCGGGTGAAGACAGTTAGGGAGTAGCCGGCTTTGATGAGGTGGGAGCACATGGAACGGCCCATGACTCCGGTGCCGATCCAGCCCACGCGGGTGTTGGAAGGGGAGACGGCAACGGCGGCGTCGGCTGCGGTAGCCATGGAGCGGCGGAGGGAGGCGGTGGAGGAGAGAGAGTGGAGAGGGATGCGAGAGAGCGAGCGAAGTGAGAGTGTAGACAGTGGCATACGGTGGCGGCGAGCTCTTGATTGTGGCTCTGAGAAAGTGAGAATTGATTTTATCCAGCTACAAGCCTACAAGGAGAAGCAGAGGCAGAACGAACGAAAGGGATTGCCAGCTGAAGCTTTGTCGCTTTGTGTAACGCAATTCCCGATTATGTTAGGGTTCATTATTCATTTGGTTGTGAGTTCTCGAAGTGGGATCATTCCTTGAGCTAAAGGTTTCTTCTTCTCCAATATGAACCTCAGAATTCAGATTAGGGGGTTTTCACTTTTTTGTGGTTGTGGTCTTAGTGAGAGAGTTGTAGAGCTTAAATTGGTTCCTAAAACCCTTCAAAACAAGTTCGTTGCAACAAGGAACCCTCTCATGCTCAAGTCAGAACATTCTTCTGCACTCGATACGCTAGTTCCATCGGCTATGCAACTTGGACACATTAATCGGGCATACGAGCTTCAAAGGACTAAAGCGCAAGAGGTTCATGGCAAATATGTTCGTGGCCATAAAATCAGCTAGGGCACGAGAACGGTTCCATCAAGGTGAGAACACTTTGCACCGCGTGCAATGTGCATCAGTAATGTGCCAGATGAGACAGATAGACATAAGCTATGACTCGAGTTTACATATTACGATACACTAGTTTCGTACCAAGCACACAACAAAAGTGGTACCAATCAATGCCACATGTAACAACTAGGGAGTCTAAACTCTAACCCCCAGTGTAAAGATAACAGGCATATCAGATCAAGATCTCTCAATTCACACTCAATACCAACAACCATCAAGATGTTAAACGGGCTGCACTACCTCAAAAGACGACATGCAACAATCATGTCCACAAGCAGAGAGATTGCTGCCAACCCGAAAAATCTACTTGTTTGATGGAAAGCAACAACTCCCTGATATGTAAAAAGTGGCTGATGCTCGGGCTGCTAGCTACAACTACTGCTGTGAGCATAACATGCTCCAACTATGCAATCAACACACAGAAGAAAGCTCCAGTCTTTCTGGACAATGCAAATACAATGTAGACAGAGACCTCTAGATCATAATATACACCATCAAAATGTGTACTAGATTATAAGAAAATGGAGATCATTAAACAACAGCGTCAGGTTTCTAGCTAAGGCAATCGAATTGCTCCAAACAAACATGAAAGCCACCACCTTTCAAAAGTTCTAGCTGCAAGCATGCCTCTGTGAATATAGAATTAGAAACTTAATATCATATCAGAACAACACAAGACCAAAAGCACATAACTTTTGCAGCTGCAGAATGCTGATATACCAAACTATCACTTGGAACATGTACACTTCCCTAACTCAAGCAAGAACTTAAGGAGGAGACACACAGGAAACCCATTAATCTGAGGTCAGGGCAGAGCCAATAGCATTTCGAATGTAAAAAATTATTATACACTAATACTACAGACCAAGCTAAAAGATCAATCGAGAACACCAAAACAGAGAAAGCATTACTAGTTCTCCAAAAGTATAAAGCTCTTCAAAGCTCCCAACCATACGTTCTGACAATAAATTAATAGAGTTCATAAGCTCAAATCTCTTCACTTGTACTCAAAACTTGGCACCGGCGGTGCGTCAAAGCTCTCCAGTACCTCCGCTTTGCTTCCGCTACTCGATGCAGTATCGTTCTTTTTCCCTCCGCCAAACCACCCACCAAGCCATGAACCCGATTCCTGCTGCCCCTGCGACGGCAACTCCTGCGGCATCGACTGTGGCATACCCGGAAACCCGGCAGGCAGACCCGGCCCACCAGCCGGGGCGGGTTCCTCAATCATCACCGGCATGTTCTGCGGCGCACTCATAACCTTATTCAGCATGATCCCAGCACCTTCGATGAGAGCCAACAGAACCCCGCCGAAGGCGGCCGAGCGAGCCGAGGCGCCGAGGCCCTGTCGCATAGCGAGGAACCCGCCGGTGGCGGCGCCGGCGAAGATCGAGTTCCACGGATCCTCCTTCTGGCGGACGTAGACCATCGTGCAATCGAAGGCCGAGAACAGGCCGCCCCAGACGGCGAAGCTGCCGCCGACGCGCGGCGCGTTCATCCGGACGGCCTGGGTTCCGCCCGTGAGGCGGGTCCCGACGGGGGAGTTGTAAACCCCTTTGATGAAGTGGAAGGCGGAGCCGCCGACGGCACCCATGCCGAAAGCGCCGCCGATATCGTCGAGGATTCGGTCCGGGCAGGGCTCCCTGGATGTCTCCGGCGTACCCATGTCGGCTGATTTGATGAAAAAGGGAGACTTCTCGAGGAGAGAGAGAAGTTCTGGGCGGTGGTGGCTGACGGAGGAACGAAATCGAAAATAGCTGAACGAGGAAGAAGCGATATTAGGGATTTTTCTGTTGCCTCTCCGTCTTTCAAATATCGGCCTTTTTCTTTCTTTTCAAGTTCGAGACTTCCGGACCGGATCCGGAACCCGTTAGCCGAGCTCTAAGAAAATTCGGGCTCAGCCCATAGAGATCAATCCAGGCCCAATAAAATGTCGGTTAAGAAAATAGAGAACTTCAACAACCTGGGTCCTGGTCGATCCAATACGGCATCGTTTCATTCATTCGGAACTTCAACCACCTCTTCCCTCTGCTGCTATGCTTTCGTAAAACAAGACCGATAGCTCTTCAGAATCTCATCCCTTCTCTCTAACAGCTGAGAAACTGAACTTTGCGCCGGAAGTTAGCTGGGCCGGTCACGTTAGTTCCCGCCGTCGCTTGAGGTGTGAGAAGGAGGAGCTGTAAATGGGTTTCTGTTGATTGACCGGGCCAACTCTATCTGCTAGGTAATCAACTCCCTTTTCCCCGCATCTGTGAATTTCCGCCGGCGGCGCACTGTTCTTAAACATAGTCTGAGGGCCACCAAAATGTGCAGCAATCTAGCAAGAATCCATGCGTTCCCTTTTGCAATTCGGTATTCCTCAAAACCCAGTTGCTTCAGCCAATTCCCCTCGACTAAACCCTCGCTAAACCCTGCTTCCACACACTTCACTACCAAAGTTTCATATTGTTCTGATTCCCAGTCCGCCAAAGCAATCAACTTTCACCCGGTTTTAGGCAGCTGTTTTGGTGATTCGGTGGAAGTGGGTAGTAGCAGGTGTTGGGGAAGAGGGGTTTCAGGTGGGTTTAGGATTAGAATTAGGAGTTGCTCTACTTCACAACGCCCACAACCGAGTCATGGTAGAAGGAGTGTTGTTGTGAAGGATGGAAACTCGCTTCCTTGGTTGAGGTCTAACAGAGTGAAGGATGGAGGGGGGTCGGTGAAGGCTGTAAATGAGAAGCGTAGTGTTTCTCCTTGGGAGAAATCACTGCAGAGTTTAGAGAGAGTTAGTGATTCTACCCCGGATGAATCGTCCAGAAGATTTGGCAAAGAGAGAGTGGAGAGGAGAACTCCTAACTCCCCATACCGTCAGGAGCGTGGTAGAAGAGTGGAGAACGACAGGGCAGCTGGAAGGACAACACGGTCTTCGTTTGGGGCTAATAGGTCGGTAAGCAGAAATAAGCCGAGTAGTTTACCACCTAAAAGGGAACATGTTAAGGATTATGATCATGAGGATGAACATGTTGAGGAAGAAGTAGAGGAGGAAACCGAGGTTGTTAATGATGATCCTAGATGGAATAACATAAAGAGCAGGATAGAGAGACCTGAGTTCCAAAGGTGGAAGAATCAAGAGAACTGGGGAAGAAAGACATGGAAAGAGGCCAATACTGAATCGACCTTGCCTAAGGTGGTTGGTGAAGGGGTTTATGGTGTTGGTCCTGTTTTGGCTGCACTATCTGCAGGAAGAAGGGAATTTTATGCCCTCTACGTTCAACAAGGGCTGGACCTGAGTAGTAATAACAGGAAGAAGAAGGATAAGAAAGGGTTCGAGAAAGTACTGAAGATGGCTGAGAAACTTGGACTGAGCATAACCGAGGTTTCTAAGCATGATTTGAACATGATTGCTGACAACAGGCCACATCAGGGCCTTATACTAGATGCTTCTCCATTAGAGATGGTGCAAATTAAGGAGTTGGAGCCGGTTCTCCCTGGTGAACAAGAGAGAGGAGGTTCACTTTGGGTTGCTCTAGATGAAGTTACTGATCCTCAGAACTTGGGTGCCATCATTAGGTCTGCGTACTTCTTCGGCGTCTCAGGGGTAATCCTATGTGCTAAAAATTCAGCACCACTGAGCGGTGTGGTGAGCAAAGCCAGCGCAGGATCTCTTGAGCTGATGGAGCTCAGGTACTGCAAGAACATGATGCAGTTCTTGGTCTTATCAGCTGAGAACGGATGGCGTGTCGTTGGGGGTTCAGTCTCCTCAAGAGCCGTTCCCTTGAACGAAATTGCACCGGGTGAACCGACAATCCTTGTGCTAGGAAGCGAGGGAACTGGATTGAGGCCATTGGTCGAGAGATCCTGTACTCAGCTGGTTCGTATCCCTGGAAACATTCCCGTGGATGCAGCAGCTGTGGAAGAAAGTGATGGTGTGGAAGGCGAAGAGGAGATGAATGTGGAGCACTCGAAGAAAGAGTTCCAGTCATTTATGGCGGTGGAGAGCTTGAATGTTAGTGTTGCAGCTGGGGTTCTTCTTCACCACTTGATCGGCAACCAACCAAACGAGCAATCGTCAATAGGAAATTCATGATTTTGTTCCTTCTTTCTAGAAGGTAGCTTATAACTCACAGACCCTGATTTCTATTTAGCTGGATCTTAGCTTCGTTTATCACATTTTCACGATCTTATATGATGCCATTGAAATCCTTTTCCAAGAGTTTGCATTGCTTCCTATCTGTTTTGTGTATCTGCTTCTGTTACTCTTTGTTTGTCTTTTGTCTGTTTTAGACAGCTTATAGATGGAACAAAGACAGGCAGAGGTTAGCGTGTTTAAGCCAATTGATGTAAGCATGTGCTTCCATTGTTGGATTGAATGTAATGTGCATGTGAGCAGTGGAAACATGATGTCCTTTTAGAGTCCAAAAGTGTGGAGTCACAGACCATGATTCAGGAAATGCTTTTACTCAATGATCCCTCCATGGAAGTGCCCCTGATCGAGAAAGCAAGATGACGATACATGGGCACTTGCTTACTTACTGCTTAAGTGATCACTTTGTGAGTCAGTTAGCAATTAGAATTCCACCATCACTAATCATTTCCCGTCTCTTTTTACAGGATGGCCCATTCCACCACCATTACTGGTCGCTTACAGCTGCCCCACTTCCTCTCTGTTCCAGCAATTCTCAGCTCACAGATTAGGATTAGCATCATTTCAAGAAACTTCAACGCCCAACTCTTATTCAGTAACAGTGGTACTTATGGCCCATGGGTGTTGCTTTCAGGAGCCTTTTTCCAATCCAAAGATGGCTTGGCTTTAACATCGTCTGTTTTTGTGATCTATGCTTGTTGTAGACTTCGAAACTCCACTCCTGATCTGCCTCGGAAAAGGTCTCCTGAACCAGACCAGGATTTGGAGCAGAACGTACAACCCTATTTAATTAATCAGCATGGTTTTTGTTCTTTGGGCATTCGAACTCTTACCAAACTATCGATAGATAGCGAGTGAAACATATATTTGGTGTGTATGAATGGATAAATCAGTGTCAAATTCGAAAGAACCCTTCCCGAATGAGTGATTCGAGTGAAATCTGACACAACTGAGAGGTTTGGGTAAAATTATATATTTAAATTCCTCATTCGTCACAAGGTTCTAAGGTCGTTTGGAAGTTGCGATTGTTAAATAGATGTATAGTTGAGAATGCATGTATAATATTATACATGTATTGTCGAATTTTATGCATTGTAAAATACAACGTTTGGTATGTGTGATTGTGTATGTCGCATCAGCTAAAAGCTGAGACAAAACAATCTCAACTCAATTATCTCAACAATCACAACTAAAAGTTGAGATATAACAATCACTCAAAATGAGTGATAGTTTCTGTCACATCACAGAAACAATCCATGTATTGTTTCTGCTAAAAAAACAAAAAAACGATGCATTGTAAACAATACATGCATAATGACAATCTCAACAAAACAATTGCAACTTCCAAACGACCCCTGGGTTTGATATTTAAAGGCGGGCATCGGTCTATTCGTCAAGAACCAGATCAAAATTAAAGGAAAATTGAAGATCATAACCTAACCAAAAGCATGTTTTGTTCATTTGGTTCGACTTGGCCAATCCAAATTCAATTTCAGACCACTTTTATTTCATTCTTAAAGATGATTTTTAGGATCGAAACCGGATCTAAATATATTCCATTTGGTGCAAATATAGACTCGATACAATTCGATTCGACATAGACCGGATTGTTGTCCACCCCTAGAGAGGTATTTCGCCTGATTTGATGAGGGCATGAAGATAAATCAAAAGATTGCGATTGGGCTCGTTAGTTTTTCAGGTGATGGAGCAGTCTCACTTGTTTTGGATAAATTTCATGATTGTACTTTGATTTGTTGCAAATTACTTGCCTTTCATGATACTACGAAGTGGTGTCTTATCTTGTTGTTTTTTTGTGGAGATTCTCAACTAGTCATCCGGGATGTTATGTAGAAGAGCTCTACTCAGTCATGGACATGTGTTATTCTAGAGGAAATACACTCGATTATCTTGTCTTTCGCGTTAGTTTCGTGTCATTTTGCTTCCCAAAACTTTAATAGAGCTAGCCATTTATTGACAAAAGAAAATCTTTTAAATTTCAACGTACATTTGAAAAATATTCTCTACTAAAGGTGTAGTTTTTGAAAAGTTGTGCAAAATAAAATAAAAAAGTTAGCAGATTGTAACTTACTGGAGCGAACCACCTGCAGATCGCTCCAAACTGAACTGATCCACTTAGATTGATGTTGTCTCACCCGACCCGCTTTCTAAATTGTTGAATATTGCAGTGAATTGTACATAGGCGTTGGGTCGTGTTTGGGCCGGCACGACACGAGCACGCTTCAGGCCCATTTATTTTGTGTCATGCTTGGCACGACCCGTCACTTTTCGTGTCGTGCCGTGAAAGCCTATTTGTTAACTTTGCTAGGCCTGGCCCAGGCCCAAGCACGGTTGGAATCGTGTCGTGCCTATTCGTGCTCGTATTCGTGTCCGATGAAAAGGAAGATAATAAAAGAGAAAATGAAAAAGAAGGTAAAAATTAGATGAAGAAAGATATTTTAACTGAGAATGTTTGAGAAAAATAACAAATAGGGGAAAAAAGAAAATTAGAAGTATAGCGGGTGTGATTTGGCTTTGTTTAATTCTTCGTCCATTTTTACTTATGGTAATAATTACGTATATATCTTTATGACACTTCTAACAACAACAAATAATTATTTTTCTACTTGTATTTTGTAATATTTGAACCTATAATTCTTTCTATATCTATTTTCTATCAAATAAATGTTATTTTTGTGCCATGTCTGTTCTTATACTCAATAAAATCTCAAAAATATCAGGTCAAACACGGCCCACTTATATACCGTGTCGCGTGCCCGTGGTCGTGCCCGTGCCCATGAAATTTAGGCCCGGCACGACCCATAAATTATTCGTGCTCGTGCCGGACTGGCCTATTTATTTCGTGCCCGTGCTAGCCGTGGGTGGCCCGATGCTCACGTACACAGTGAACCACACCAAACATGTCTATTTTGAAGAAAAAAAATTGTAATTAGGGCATTGTGAAAATATTTTATAGCAAATATTGTATTTTGGGGGGAAAATTCTCGTTACTCATTACACCCACGAGAAAAGAAAGGCAATTGGAACAAGAAATGCAGTCCCATTGATTGCTTGGTGGTATTATTGAGTAGGAAACAGCAATATAATAAAGAAAAGGGTCAGCCAATAATGAGCAGCAAAAGATCCGAATCGAAAAAAACCGCATCTCTTCCCCTACCTCTGAAATTCGTCACTCTCTGAAATTATATCGCTTCACTGCACTCTCTCACTCCAACTCCAACTTATACTACCAAAGAACAATCCGAACCAATCACGGATTCACCTCGCTACCGACCAAATTACCCCACGATTGGGCGATTCAATCATTGTGTAACCGGCGGCGATGGCGACGGCGGCGGCCAGAGAGGCTGGTGGGGATAAGCGGAGGATCTGACCCGACTGGCGACGGGACCCCTGTTTTTTTTTTTTGAAAATCCATCCATTATAAAATCTACGCGGGTCTCACCACGCACACTTGAGAGCCCTTTTCCCTTTCAGTTTATCTTCTTTTAAATTCCCGTTCTTTCTCTCTCTCTGTACCTCTGTCTTTCCCTCCCCTCTCCCTCATCTCGCTCCCTGGTTCTTTCTTTTCCTTTTTTTTTTCGAAAACGAAAAAAATAACCAGTCTCTCTCTCTCCCTCCCTCTCATGGGTCGTCTCCGTTCGATGGCGATCTGAGCTGGAATGCGGTTGCCTGGGAGATTGAGGTAACGGAGAGCAACCGAACAAGGAGAAGAAGAAACCCGGAAGATAGCAGGAGGTAGAGAGATTGCCCAAGTATTGAGGTTCTCTTGAGGGAAGTGGGGAAGGCTGCAGAGGGATGATTTTGGGGGTCTGCACAATTATATTGGACACAGAGCTCTTGTGAAGCGGAGCGAAACGAAGGAAGGGGGGTAATAAACAAAAACGGGGGAGAGGAGGGAGAATCAGAATGTCGACAATGGAGGTTGTGGATTCGTTCCTCTTCTCTCTCTCCAAGGCTTTCTCTTCTCCAATTGCAATCTTCATTCAGATCCAGGTTTCGCCGTCCTCCTTTCTTTTTCCCCTTCTAATACAGATCCAACTATGTCTCTGTTTTTGTTTTACCTCACCTTGCTGCCCAAAGGAAATTCTGATGCGACTGTGCCAAGGTTATAAGTTTGGAAATCTTTTTCAATCTCTTTTTTGGTTTTCTGCCTTCAGTTTTCAATTTCCTTCTCTGGGTTCTGGTTATTGGTTGACATCGGCAATTTGGTGGTGAAAAGGTGGCAACTTTTCCCCGTTTTGTATTTGTATGAGCTGAATTTCGGTGAATCCTAGGCAAGTTCGGCTTCTTGCTGGAATTTGTTCAACTTTCCCTGGCGTATTCCAGCATGCTTTCCTGGAAAAACTTGACATGAGATAGTCCAACCAAATGCAGCTAGGCATGTATGCCAAAGCTCTCGACTTTTTGCTGGCCATATAGGTATTTCCAAATGGATGGATTGTAGTGACCAGCAGTTTGTGATAGAATTTTGAGGTGTGAGGGGTACGTGTGAGATAACTCTTATTTAGGATTTGCCCCTGCCGAAGTGTTTGTTTACCCAAAATCTGTATTGGATTGGTCGAGCAAGCTTGTCCACTTCCACAATTCATTTGTCTCCATGTCCTTTTGGTTTTTACTGCAACCTGTTTATATGCCTAAATTTCCTGCTTGATTTCACAGCTGTTATATATTTCGGATTTTAGGGATAGCGTCCTGAGATTTTGAAGTGCTAAATTTGATTTGTGACATTATCTGGAATTTTGGTTGAATATGGCCGGAGTAGTTGGAGGCTAAGCATTTCAAGTTCCTACATTGGTTGTCTTGGAGGGCCTTAATTGCTGGTTTTATATTAGAAATTCTGTGAAGTATGTGATTGCTTCATGTTAGTTGTGTTTGTTGTCTTACTGCTTACAATATTGGTTTCAGGAGTATTCACAGTCCATATTTCTTTCTCCATCTGTTGTTGCTGCTGCTGTTGTTGTTGCTTCATGCTAGTCCTGTTTATCTTGCAATAGATTATACTCAGTACTGAAGAGATCATAATGTTGGAGATGTAGATGCTCCATTTTATTCCACATGTTTTGAAACTTGATGTGTTCTGAAGGGAATTCCGAATTCGCTCTTGCCTGTCACAATAACTATGACTATAGTTCATGTTATAGCAACATCCTTTGTGGTCATTTTTTGTGTTCTTACTGTTATCTCTCTCTCTCTCTCTCTCTCTCTCACACACACACACACACACACACACACACACACACACACACACACACACACTATTTCACTTCTTAGGTCCTTGGTATTGCTGCTTTATCTTTCCAGAGATGGATGATCATGTCGTGACTCTGAAACTTTCACTCATTATGCAGGGATGTCTGATCTGCTTAATTCTTTCTCTTGGATGGGTCCTCGCCGCCTATGTCAGGTATCAATGTTTAATGGACATGATGACTGTAGATGTATATTGGACCGTTTTATCTCCATCAATAATTGGCTGCATGCAGTGGCCTCATTGCTCATGGTACCTTCTCACTGCAGGAATAGGGAGATTAAACAAATGAAGGATAGTGCTAAAGCTGGCAATAGCTTTTCATTCCTTTGCCATGACATTAATGAATTGGAGCACTCTTATCAGGCCAGCCTGCCGAGAGTGAGTGTCGTTATGCCTTTGAAAGGCTTTGGAGAACACAATCTTCACAATTGGAGAAGTCAGGTTAGTTGGTTTTCAACACTACACCCTTTTCTTGTTGTGTTATGCATCTGGTTCATAAGCTTTTCACTGTCGTCTGGTTGCTCTGTGATTACTCCCTGCTTGTTTTTACAGACATCATGTTAACCAATTTTTTGGACATTGAGAATTAAAGATCTTGGATAATCATGTGCTATTGGGACACATTAGTAGATCTAACTGGTCTTGTTTTTTACTCTAGACTTGAAAGTCTATCACTGTGCTTCTATACTTTTCTGTACTAGCGGCCAACTTTGTTGCGTTTACAGCTTATATTATCTGTAATCATTTTTTCCCCCCGAATCCAATTCTGTCAGCTGCTGCTCTTCCTATGTTTTGTCTGTTCTTATATTCTATCAACTACTCTTTATTGTTGTTTATGGCTCTTAATGCAGATAACATCACTCTATGGAGGTCCTCTAGAATTTCTCTTCATTGTAGAAAGCACAGAAGACCCTGCTTACCATGCTGTGTCTCGCTTATTATCTGATTTTAAGGTATGCTTGCTCATACTTACTTAAACTTATCGTCTGCTAAGCAGCTTGTTTTTGAAGTTCCATTTTGTTAATGGGGTAACACATTAGTGGCATGTCAAGTAGCAGCACGTTTTGTTAGACTGTCAATCCACCTAGCGAATGGAATAACAAACCTAAACATCATCATCTATACAGAGAAGACTTTATGTTCATAACACATGTAGTTAGAAGTTAGAACTGCTCTAATCATGTGACAGATTTTCATACTTTAAATAGTTTCATGTAAATCTAGGCCTATTTTGAGTGTTTTGGTATCTTGATTATGACCATGTGCTCCAATGATTTGTGCAGGATCATGTCGAAGCTCAAGTTATTGTAGCTGGCTTGTCAACTACATGCAGTCAGAAAATTCATAACCAATTGGTATATAATATATGACTTGCAACTCTGTAGTTGTCTTTTGGTTCTCTTGTAGTGAGGTAGTTTGTACTTAGAAGATCAACGCACATGGACATATGCAAGCTTAGGGTAACAGCTGGCAGTTTCATTCACCATTCACCATCATTTCCTAACCCTTTCTTGAAGCGTACTTCCACTGGAATTAATCATGTTTGCTGCTGCACTTGTTAAGGTTGGGGTTGAGAACATGCATCCAGAGACCAAATATGTACTATTTTTGGATGATGATGTCAGGCTGCACCCTGGGTCCATTGGAGCTCTCACTGCAGAGATGTTGAAGAATCCTGAGGTATTCTTGGAGTTTGTTGTGGTCTGTTTATGCCACATGTTCGTCATCTAATTTACTGAAAGTTCGTGCAGATATTTATTCAAACGGGATATCCTCTAGATCTACCTTCTGGTAGTCTGGGAAGTTACTGCATCTATGAGTATCATATGGTAAAAAGACACACCTCATCTCTTTCGTTGCCTCTCTTTTCCTACATGCCTAATGAATCGTGAATGTATAACACACTATGAATTCGTTAATGATGAGCATTATTAATATTTCTTTTTGGCAGCCATGTTCAATGGGATTTGCAACTGGTGGAAAGACATTCTTCTTGTGGGGAGGGTGCATGATGGTATCTAGCTCCCCACTATCTTATTAACATTTAGTCCATTATCTGTCTTGAAATTTTTATCTGTAGTAATCCTAGTTATTTTTCAGATGCATGCTGATGATTTTAGATGTGATCGTCATGGTGTGCTCTCTGGACTTCGAGATGGTGGCTACTCAGATGATATGACTCTTGCAGCATTGGCTGGTAACTCTTTCTCATCAACGATATTTTCAGAAAGTTGTAAGAAGTAGCAATTTAGCAACGACTTGGTAGATCCCTGATGTCCTTCATTTCCTCCCTAGGGGCTCATAAGCTACTAATTACATCACCTCCAGTTGCCGTCTTCCCTCACCCACTTGCTAGTGATCTTAGCTTTTCGAGGTTTGTCATGTATTCCTTTCCCAGACTTGAATGTGCTATACCCTCCTTTCCATTAAGCTCAACTTAACTGGTTGTATTCTGGTAGGTACTGGAATTACTTGAGGAAGCAAACATTTGTGCTGGAGTCGTACATATCAAGGGTTAACTGGATAATGAACCGAGCATTGTTTTCTGTCCACTGCTATTTGTCATGGGGATTTGCAGCGCCATACTTCATGGCTGTGGTTCATATTGCAGCCGCCCTTCGTATTTATGCCCAAGGGTATGCTCGGGAGGAAACAGTTTTTGTTTCAAAAGGTACTCAAAGCTTTTGTTAAGGTTCTCTCATATGCTTAGGTCGCTTAGTTGGCTGTATTTGGTTGCTGCTATCACTATGTCCAGTACAAATACATTGAACTAATTTTTATTTATTTATTATTATTTTTTTTTTTAAAATACCCCTCTTTTAACAACATGCGAAATAGTTGGCAAGCAATTGAGAAATAAATACACCAAGTACAATAGGAGTGCTACATTCTCATGAACGTGCTATATTCCTTTTTTCTGCCAGGGTTGTTACTGGTTGCCTGTTTGGCAGCGTGCACATTTGTAGAACTCTTCTCGATGTGGAACTTGACAAGAGTAGAAGTTCGTTTGTGCAACATGTTATCCCCCGAGGCACCTGGACTCTCTCTTGGTTCTTACAATTGGGTTCTGGTAAGTTCTCACTGTTATGGTGCAATTCATTCATTTGGGTGCTTATAAGCAAGTGCTTAAAGAGTTTGAAAAGTACAATCTTGCTAATTTGAGCCACACATGGGTATACAATGGAGCAGGTCTTCGTAGCTATGGTGGTGGATAACTTCTTATATCCAATATCTGCCATGCGTTCCCATTTCTCCCAATCGATCAATTGGTCTGGCATTCGGTACCACTTAAAAGATGGGAAGATATACAAGGTATGCATAATGAACTTCAAGTCTTCACTTGAAGATAGTTCCTGTTTCATCCTTTGGTTCTCTTTCTTATGATTGTTGCGATATGCACAGATTGATAGGAGCAAGGATATGGGTCCACTTTACACAGACTTGGGAGGGAAGCATTTAGGGAAGAAAGGTGCTCCTCAGAAAGCCTCATTCCTTGGCTCTCTGTGTAGAAGTTTGGCGCAATGGAGACGTCCCAAGAAATACGATGTCTGAAGATCATCATCATTTCAGAAAGAGATAGGAGTGTTTGTTTGATTGGTTGATTATTTTGATTCTTAGGGGGATTGAAAATTCAGTTCAAAAGTTATAAAAAGGAAGCAATTCTTGGTGGGTTGGTTCTACATGTTGTCCTATGTGTTTTACTTCCAGGCTGCAGGCTAGGATCAAGCTTAGTCTATTTATTGTTCATTGGTTTTGGTCTCTTTCTAGGAGGAGAAAAGCTGTTAGTCTCAATTCAATCTCAAATTTGATTCATCAATCCAATCTACTCATTTTGTGATGGATTGGTTGTAATTTTTCCATATCATTTGTTTTGTAATTTATGTAGATTGTTGTTATGCAGTTGAAAGTTCAGAAGTGAGACCAACAATTTGCTAGCAAACTCTTTTGTGGGTTCATTGAGCAGGGGTTCAAATTGTAGATTTCAAACAATGGCAGGCTTCTCAGTTCACTCGTGTAATTGCTTGGCAGAGGAGGAATACTCGTCGAGGCAGATTCCCTTATACGATGGAGTGGCAGCAGCAAGTTTCTCCCAAAATTATTAAAGTGTGGAAGATCATAGGTAAGTTCGTTGACATCTAGAACGTTGGATACTCATTGACATCAGATATAACAACCGTGATTAGAGGTTGGCCGCAACACAAGCCTTCTTATCTGAAAGAGTGGTGTTCGGAGGTATTGCTTCATGCTCTTAACAGAGTTAATTGACCAAGGTTGCGAACTACTGCTGTAGTAAAGAAGCATTTCCTGAGTACAAGAGTACTTCCTGAATAACATCGTTTCAAAATATTTCTTAAATAAGAGAATCTCCTATACAAGTTTAAGGTGATAATGCTTGCTGAAATAGAGAACCTAGAAGACAGACTGAGTTCTAGTCTACAACTGAATCTTTATCTCCTCACTCATGCATAGGACATAACATGCTGCAACTCGAGGAATCAAGTAATTGGATCATTATCTTCTCAGTGCGAAAACGCTGCAGTGCAGTTCAGCAGCATGGCCAGAAGAAGAATCAAGTTGATACAAATAGAATGTGCTTAATGTGGTGTTAGATGAAGCCAAACCCCAGGCTATGAACTACTTCTCCAGCTCTCCAATGCAGTAGTCCTCAATCAATTGAAAAGCCCCACCAGGATGCTGCGGCCTGCAATGTCAAGAAACAGAATGGAATCAAACATTCCAAGTTGGAGAAACATATGTAACATCCTCAGTTCCCCTCTTTGATCATGTGTAGTTTACTATAACGAGAACGAGAAAGAGAATCAGAGAACACGAATGTAGTTGGACCAACTAATTTGATTTATCACCAAGGATAGGGAAAACTACAATGTCATAGATCAAGATTATTCTAATTTTACCCAGATTCCACATACTCAGTTTCTGCTAAGCTACTCCTAAATGGTTAACAATCTGTTTCAAAAACACGGACACTCTGTAGTCTGTACACAGTAGCTGAAGCTCAGAGAAAGAACTGAGAACCTAAGAATGAATCTCTGCTGCCTATTCTTAACTAGTTTGGTTTAAGCATTTGCAATGGCATACAGTGTAGTTAACAAATTCTCACTTGATTCTTTGAACTAAAAATTGAATAGGGACAATCTCTGCTAAACTAGTGTTGAGGATGAAGATCAAGCATACCCATAAAACCCTTCGGTTGAATCGCTTCCAGCATTCGTCAGAATAGCATCACCACCGGGATGTTCTTCTACATACGAGGTCACGTCAAAAATCTGCAGGGAGAACACAAAAAAGGGCATAAGGAAAATAAATCTTGCAGAAAGCTTGTATTAACGGCTTTAAATGATTGGTATGGAGGATTAAACTGGGAGAAATACCATACCCTGTTCTTCACAATGATCCAACAATCAGTTCTCTTGTTATGCAAGGCGACCTCAGCTTTGCTGTACACTCCGTATACCTGAGAATAAGAAAACCAGAAGCATGGAACTTATTCAGTGGCTAAGTGAACACCAATGACTTCGACCGAACTATAAGCATGACTAGCATAACACAGCGTCTGAAACCCAGCACACGAACAAACTACAATTTAAAGTAGACGGCTGTAATCAAGATCCAAGAAAGCAAAGGGTTCATAGTAGCATCTGTCATCTGTCTGCAACAAATGCAGTCATAGGTGTATCACGTTTTCCAAATCCCTCCTCAACCCATATTCACTCCAGACAAGCAACCAAGCGTTGCCAACATTAACCTTGGCTGCTGGTAAATTTGAACACAATCATGGCATTACTAAGAACCAAGAAGTGGCAAGCCGTGTCACCTTGAAAAACCAATTGAGCATCAGGACTTTGTTCATAAATGGATTCTCATCTAAATTCCAACTTCATTAGTCTCTCACTATCCAATGAATGGCGGCTACGAGCTTAGACAAACGTGCAAAAATCAGATTCTCGACGTAGCATTGCAAAAATGCTGCGAATAGCTTGTAACAATCAGAACCCACCTTCTTTCTATCTGCGGCATTTGTTCGGTTCTTTTCTGCGACAGCTGAAAGACTCAAAAACTTTCGTCGATCAACCACTGGGAAATCTAATGAAGAATTACATGAGGAAAGAAACCCAAAACGATTTTACCAGATTTTCGTGGAATCAGAAACAAGGCTCCGAACAAGACGCCCAGAATTAGCACCGCTACAGCTATAACCATTCTCCCGCGGCTTCACCTCCTCTCCTCTGGCCGCAAGTCAGCGCGGCGAAGGAAAAATAGGGATGACAATGGGTCGGGTCGGGCGCGGATAGTGCATATCCGTTACCCTATCCATAGTAGTTCGGGTTTTACCCATACCCATACCCATACCCACATGTGAAATGAGTAGAAAATTAAAACCATGCCCATACCCGTTCGGGTTTCGGGTATCCACGGTTATCCATGGGTAATAATTTCTCTTCATAACTCCAAACAATATGTTAACATTCACACGTATTCTCACATTACGTAAGAGGAAAAGTACGACAATAATTCAGTAGAATGAAGAAAATTAATTAAAACTACACAATTTCATGAAAATATTATATTTATATGCTAAATATAAAATATGTTAGAGAAAAATAATAATTATTTCTAGTCAAAATACATATGCATGTGTATAATCGGGCGGGTTCGGGTTGGATAGTGAGAAACCCATGCCCACCCATTACCCACAATATTCGGGTTCGGATTTTATCCGTACCCACTAAATGTCTTTCGGGTTTGGGTTTTACCCTACCCGATTAGGCCGGATTTGGGCGGATACCCACGGTTACGGATATTTTTGCCATCCCTAAGGAAAAAGTTGTTTTTTTTACAAAGATTACCGACTTTTATTCCACCAAACAAATGAAAGACGAGAAACTTGGTTACAATCTTTAAAGAAGATCAGAAATGAGATCAAGAATATTAATCCAATCATCAGGAAGTGATGCTCGAGCTTTTGATCGTGCAACCCAATCTGCTCTAACATTAGGGGTCGTTTGGATTGAGTATTTGACAAACTTGTTGTTTGGGGTCAATTACCACACAAATACCACATAATATAAAACCTGTTATTTGGTATGTGATATTTGGTCTCAAACTTGTTATTTGGCAAATACCTGCCCCCTCCCAAGTATTTGGCAAACAACACTTTTTGTGTTATTTGGTCTCAAACCTGTTATTTGGCAAAACACTTACATCCAAATAACGCATCTCACTTTTTGTCAGCCAAACATGTTATTTGGGGTCAAATAACACAAAATCTGTTATTTGACCCCAAATAACACCCCCAAATACTCAATCCAAACGACCCTAAGTGTTCTGGGCACTTCTTTGACTTTGATGAGAGGGTTTGTTCGGAGAATAGAAACAATCGATCCGATCCATGCTGCACATCTCCATGGCCATCGAGAGCGATCACTATCCAAAGCTTTCACCAGCACCTGACAGTCGGAATGAACCGTACACTCGGATCCATATTCTTGAGCTAATTTCACTCCTTCAAGAAGGGCCTTAGTTTCCGCTTCAATCGGGGTGGAACAAAGAAGATTCTCAGCTCTTCCATCACACACTTGTCCATGGTGGTTAACAACCACAACACCATATGCCGCCGACTGGGAGTCGCTAACAAACGACCCATCACAGTGAATCACCAAAGACTGATTGCTTGGCGGTGGATTCGTATGAGACTGGGTTCCCCTAAGCTGAGTGGGAAGGGAGGGCAGGGGAGGAGGGTGTTGGAGCATGGAATCAAACCAGATTGTTGGAGTCTTGGTGCGCAGAAGTTGAAGTTCAAATAAAGTGTCTCTGGTCATTTATATTTAAGTCATCGAATTGTCAAGTTATATTTATTCAGTCCTTGCAGAGTCTTAGAGAGTCAGTTTCAGTTGTGAGTTGATCATGTGATCATGTTAGCTACTTTGGTGGGTTGTGGGGTTGAGACTTTCAGGGGAGTCGTTGTGTTTGGCCATTGTGAGTCTGTACATATTGGTTTAATCCACCTTGGAATAAAACTTGTCAGTTTAAACCCCATTTTGAGACTACATTGTGGTATCAGAGCATGGACTCTAAACTGTAACCAAGAAACAGATCTGCAGATTTGAGATTGAAGCAAGGCAAGAGAGAGACGAGTGAAACTGTTTGTTCTCTGGGTTGGGAAACACGAGAGTATTAAGTGAGGTTGTTTGAAACCTGGTGAGGGAGACGAGCAAAACATGAGTGAAGGGAGTTTTGCTCAAGTGTGTATTCCCAAATTCGATGGGGATTATGAGCATTGGAGTATGCTGATGGAGAACCTACTGAGGTCCAAAGAGTATTGGCCAGTGGTTCATGATGGATTCAAGGAGCCGGCAGAGGGTGAAGAGTTGGCTGCCGCACAGAAGAAGGTGTTGGATGAAAATCGATTGAAAGACCTAAAGGCTAAGAACTATTTATTTAGTTCGATTGATAAGAGTATTCTGAAGACGATTACTCAGAAAACAACTGCAAAGCAACTCTGGGACTCGATGAAGATGAAGTTCCAAGGGAGTGCCAGAGTTCAAAAACAGCAGTTGCAGGCTCTCAGAAGAAGCTTTGAGTTGCTGGAGATGAAGGAGGGAGAAACCATTACAGACTACTTCGGCAGGGTCATGGTAGTGGCAAATTCGATGAGGAATTGTGGTGAGTCAATGACTGATGCAAAAATTGTTGAAAAGATACTGAGGACTTTAACAGAAAAATTTAATTACATAGTCTGCTCTATAGAAGAATCAAAGGATATAGAGGATCTGTCTGTTGATGCTTTGCAAAGTTCATTGCTTGTACATGAGCAAAAATTCCATAAGCAATCAGCAGGAGAGGATCAAGCTCTTAAAGTAACTCATGATTATGGAAGTAGGGGAGGAAGAGGTCAAGGAAGAGGTGGATTTTATGGTAGAGGTCGAGGAAGAGGAGGCAGGTCATGGAATCGTGATATGGTTGAGTGCTTCAAGTGCCATAAGCTGGGGCACTATAGAAGTGAGTGCCCTGATTGGTACAATCAATACAATCAGCAGCAAGTTCATTACTCCATGTCTGATTCCTATCGAACTCAAAGACCGTCTCAACTAGATATGAAGGAAGATGTTCTTCTTATGGCCTATGTTGAAGAAAAGGGAGAACAAGAGGCTGATCAGGTGTCTTTAATGGCATTTTTGGAAGCACATCAACTAGAGGCAAACACAAGCTGGTGGTTTTTAGACTCTGGTTGCAGCAACCATATGTGTGGTGAGAAGAAGTGGTTTACAAGTCTTGATACCACTTTTAGCTGCAATGTGAAGCTTGGAAATGGAACCACACTGAAAGTTGCAGGGAAAGGAAATGTGAAGTTGCAGGTTGATGAGCTTCCTTTGGTTATCCAAGATGTGTTTTTTGTCCCAGGCTTGAAAACAAACTTGCTCAGTGTGGGGCAATTGCAAGAAAAGAACCTATCCTTCTTAATTAAGGATGGCCACTGCAAAATATTCCATGAAGATAAAGGTTTACTTCTGCAGACCTCAATGAAGACAAACAGGATGTTTGTTCTTCATGCTAAGCAAGCCACACAGCTGGAAACTGGAAATCTGCAGTGTCTGCAGACAAAGACAGTGAAGGACGACACCCTTACTCTCTGGCATAGGAGGTTTGGCCATCTGAATGCTAGAAGCTTGCTGGAAATACAAAGGAAAGGGGCTGTCAGTGGAGTTCCTAAGCTCACAGGAGATCTAGGTGTGTGTTCAACCTGTCTAGTGGGCAAACAACACAGACACAGTTTTCCCAAGAAAAGCAGTTGGAGAGTAAGTCAGAAACTGCAATTAATACATGCTGATCTTTGTGGTCCAATCACTCCCACTTCCAATGGAGGCAAGAGGTATATCCTAACTATTACTGATGATCTAAGTAGAAAGTTGTGGGTTTACTTCTTGTCTGCAAAATCAGAAGCTTTGGGTTGTTTTAAGAAGTTTAAAGCACAAGTTGAAAATGAGACTGGACACAAAATTGTGTGTCTTAGAACTGACAGGGGAGGAGAATTCTTGCTCAAAGAATTCCAGCAACTTTGTGAAGAGAATGGTATCAAGAGGCAACTTACTGCTGCTCTCACACCTCAGCAGAACGGTGTGGCTGAGAGGAAGAACAGATCTATCATGAATTTAGTAAGGTGTTCTCTAGACGATACAAAGGTGCCTGCTGCTTTCTGGCCTGAAGCTGTGGCCTGGACAGCTCATATTCTGAACAGAAGTCCAACATCAGCAAATGACGGAAAAACACCACATGAGATTTGGACTGGATCACCCCCTTCAGTGGATCATCTCAAAGTGTTTGGTTGTGTTGGTTACGTACATGTACATGATCATTTGAGGAAGAAATTGGATGGGAAGAGTATTAAATGCCAGTTCCTTGGCATTTCAACAGAATCAAAGGCATACAAGTTGTATAATCCTGCTACAAAAAAGGTGCTGGTAAGCAGAGATGTTACCTTTGATGAAAGTGAAGGGTGGCAATGGGAGTCTGATACTCATTCTGTATTGACCAAACTCATTTGGGAGGGAAGTGATGGCTTTTGGGAAGACTCAGATGCTGAAGAAGAGTCTGTGGCAGCAGAGTTTCAAGATGAGGAAGAAGCAGATCCCCCAAGTCCAGCAACACCTGTGATTACTGGAACTTCTGCTACCACTTCTTCTTCTGCAAGTCAAGAAGATTCAGGTTCACATACTGATAGCTTGGGACTTCCCAGTGGTGGATTGGCTCCTAGAAGCAGACATCCTCCATCTCATCTCTCAATTTATGACTGTAACTTTGGTGATACAGACTGGTGGGCAATGGTGGCTGTAAGTGATGATCCACAGACCTATGAAGAAGCTGCTGCAGATGAGAAATGGAATGAAGCCATGAGGAAAGAGATTGAGGCTATTATAAAGAACAACACATGGATACTAACAACTCTACCTGCAGGAGTAACTCCAATAGGAGTTAAGTGGGTCTTCAGAACCAAACTTAAAGAAGATGGATCAGTGGATAAATTTAAGGCAAGGCTGGTGGCAAAGGGATACTCACAGAGGCATGGCATTGATTACACAGAAGTTTTTGCTCCAGTTGCCAGATGGATACAATAAGGACTCTTCTTGCTGCCCATCATGGTCTTCCCGTATTCCAGCTTGATGTCAAGAGTGCCTTCTTGCATGGGGAGCTGACTGAGGATGTGTACATTGAACAACCACCGGGATTTGTCATTCCTGGGGAGGAACAAAAGGTTTATAAGCTCCAAAAGGCCCTCTATGGTCTGAAACAGGCTCCACGAGCCTGGTACAGTAGGATAGAGGCTTACTTTCTCAAGACTGGGTTCATCAGATGTGATTATGAGCATACTTTGTTCATAAAAACAACCGAGGCTGGTTTTCTGCTAGTAAGTCTATATGTTGATGATCTCATGTACACCAGCAACAATCCTACCTTGATTGAAGAGTTTAAGGAGCTAATGAAGTCTGAATTTGAAATGACAGACTTGGGGAGGATGAAGTACTTTCTTGGGGTTGAGGTTACTCAGTCTAAGTCTGGCATATTCATTAATCAGCAGAAATACATCAAGGAAGTACTGAGCAGGTTCAAGTTGCTTGAATGCAACTTTGTCAAGCATCCCATGGTTCCTGGTATGAAGTTGACAAAGGCTGGGGATGGAGCATTGGTGGATCCTACCGAGTATAAGCAACTAGTAGGGAGTCTTCTCTATGTTACTGCTACCAGACCTGACATTATGCACTCAGTCTGTTTGCTTAGCAGGTACATGGAGGCTCCTACAAGACAACATGTATTGGCAGCCAAGAGAATCTTAAGATACCTCAAGGGTACTATGACCTATGGTGTCTGGTACAAGAAAGGAAGCAAAGAAGACTGTCTGGTGGGGTTCACTGATTCTGATTATGCAGGTGACACTGATGACAGGAAGAGTACCAGTGGGTATGTCTTCTTCTTAGCAGGAGGAGCTGTGTCCTGGGCCTCGAAAAAACAACCAGTAGTCACTCTATCGACCACTGAGGCTGAGTTTGTTGCTGCTTCATACAGTGCAACTCAGTGTGTTTGGCTAAGGAATGTGCTGCAGCAAATGGGATGGAGCTCATGTGTGAAGGAAGCAACCAGGGTGATGTGTGATAACAGCTCCACAATTAAGTTATCTAAGAACCCTGTGATGCATGGAAGAAGCAAGCATATCGATGTTCGATTTTATTTTCTAAGGGAGCTGGCAAAGGAAGGAACCATCGAGCTGGAGCACTGTGGAACTGTGGATCAGGTGGCTGATATCATGACCAAACCTCTCAAACTTGATGCATTCCTGTGGTTGAGAAGTAAGCTGGGTGTTTGTGACATTTCTGAGTTTCTCAGTGATGTTTCTAAGCTTGGCCTGAAGGATTGAAGAGTTGCAGTGTGATGAACTGAAGCTTGCAGCTTGCAGCAGAGGCTTCAGTTCAGGGGAGGCTTTGTTGGAGCATGGAATCAAACCAGATTGTTGGAGTCTTGGTGCGCAGAAGTTGAAGTTCAAATAAAGTGTCTCTGGTCATTTATATTTAAGTCATCGAATTGTCAAGTTATATTTATTCAGTCCTTGCAGAGTCTTAGGGAGTCAGTTTAAGTTGTGAGTTGATCATGTTAGCTACTTTGGTGGGTTGTGGGGTTGAGACTTTCAGGGGAGTCGTTGTGTTTGGCCATTGTGAGTCTGTACATATTGGTTTAATCCACCTTGGAATAAAACTTGTCAGTTTAAACCCCATTTTGAGACTACAGAGGGGATCTCGGGCACGAATTCCATTCAGTAAGCTCTTTATACGTAAGTTGGCACACCTTCGGAGGCCACGGAATTCTACTCTTGAAGGTGCATTCGTTTCTCGCCTTCCAGATGTTCCAACAAAGGAAAACAATATGGATCAAGAAGCTGTGCTGAACAACATCTTTAAGGGAGCAGAACCAGTCAAAGAACACGGTTCCCTGAGGGGGTAAAGGGAGAGACGGAAATAGGGCATTCCATGCCTCCTTGGCATGTGGGCATTGGAACAAACAGTGATTGATGGATTCGACAAGGTTCAGGCACACCTGACAAGAAGAATTGGGAGCACACTTCCTCTGGTGCAGTCTTTCTTTCGTTGCTAACCCATTCTTTGAGCATCTCCACACAAAGAAAAAGTTGTTTGGAAGGGCGGAAAGCGCGAGAAAGTTTCAGCTCTGGGTATTTGATCCCGAACCCAGATAGCATAAGAAGAAAGAAAAAAAAGGAGCGAACAGTTCGAAGTTGCAGAACAGCAGAGAGAAAACTAAAAACTATATATGGGCCTGTGAGTTTTGGGCCCAGAAGGTCGACCGGCAAAAAAAGTAATGGTCCAATTTTGGACGGCCCGGCAGGCTATGGCGAGCTTGAGAATCACCGGCCTGTTATCCCTCCACTGCCTGGAGCGGGGAGCCGCGCTGCTCTGTGAAACCAGCCTGGCGCATTATCCCCCGAACTCTAGGAACAAGGTCGGTTCAGGCCTTCGCCAAACCTTCCTGGCCCAACTCCAAGCTTGGAGCGGGCAGGCCGGAAGTCGATTCATCAAGCCCAGCCTTTGAGGCCGGCCCAATGTCCCATCACCTTAGTGCCTCCACTTGGATCACAAGCTCGCGTTACCAAGCTCGGCGACAAGTTTTGTTTCGGCACAAATTATTAAACAGTACTGCCAGTTTCATTTTCAGCGATGTGGTAGATAGAAGCATTGACAGTTTGCTGCTTCTTTTCTTCTGTTTCAGTTTCAGTCCACCAAATAAGCTCAAACTCAGATTGGCAGCTCCATCTTCGTTACTTCTGTGTTTTCGTGGTTTGTCTTTTTGTCGCCGGAAGCTGTCGATTCCAGTACCCATTAGCTTTGCTGTTTCGACTTTCGAATGGCTAGGAATGGAAAGATAAGATTTAGCAGCAGAACCTTGAGCCAGAATATGAAACGGTCAGCTAAATCTCAGAGGACTCTGATTGGAAGCTAACTTCTTGCTTCTGTATCATCTGGGTTTTGGCTTTGTCAACAGCAGATCTCAATTGCTGCAGTAACATAAGCTCGCTGTTTGGAGTAAGCAGCTTGGAAAGAAGGTTTCTTTTGTACAGAGTTGAAGGGCTTGGAATGAATAGGAAGCTCTGAAACTACAAGCCTCGTTTAGAATGGAGTCGGAGTAGCCGAGCTTCAAAATATGAATTAGTGTGAGTTGAACCTGCCAAACAAACCCACTACCACCCATAATCAGACTCTGAATCTCTGAAACCTCACCTCCAAATTGATTCTTTCACACAATTCCCTTTGTACTTTTTTCCCAACATTTATTGGTTTGATTCTAATTGCCAACCACCAATGATTCTAATTGCCAACTACGTTCAATCGGTACCGGTCATGTAATATAAGCAATACATATGATACGGGAATACCCAAACTCATCCCCACCATTTTATTTGTAAATATTACCAATATCCGCCTTGTATCCGATCAAAGACGGAATTCCCTTCATTAATTGAACTGAGAAGTATCGGATACCTACAATTACGGGTAGTCGGGTACAATTGTCTTTCCTAGTTAGCTGTATACTACTAATCACTAATCAGCCTGGTGTATTTTATTTGGATTGCTCCTGGAGTGCTAGTGTACTCTTGTGAGCTTTTGTGTGCCCTCGTAGCTGGGCAACCTCGGTGTTCTGTTCTGCATCCTTTTCTTCCTCTTTTGTAGTTTCTTTGGGTGACCTCCGTCTGCCGTTTCTCACAGCTGGCCAGGACTGGTCCCTTTTGGTTTTAAGTAATGTATCATTCATCATTGTAAGAACCCATCAAAAACTCACACAAGAGCAAAAAAAAAAAAAAAAAAAAATTCTCATAGATATGAAGTTAAAATAGATAGTCGCAAAGCATCACATTACCAATTGGGGTAGTCGACAAATATTCGAACTGTCGATAAAAAGACTTTTTGAGCCACTAAATGAACAACCCTGTTATACTATCAAAGAGTAAAAGTACTAAAAAAAGTAGAAAAAGCTGACATAGTTATCTGAATTTCTTCCTAATACGCCCTGGGAGGGTGTAAGATCAGAATTTAACGCAGCACAGGCCTCAACTCAATTGAATCAGACCTCTTCCTTGCTCCTGACGAAACAGAGTTCCGAAACCAGCCTAGGTAGCTAGCTTCGAGCACTAAAATAGATGAAATCTGAGGGTTTCTTCACACCTGGGAAGAAGCACTCGAGATATAATGTTGTCTTCGAGTAACTGAGGGTGAAAACTCGGCTAATAGACTCAATGTTCCTAGGTTTGATCGCAACCAAATCCTAAGCTCAACGATCAACTCGCAAGTTGTTCAATTTTGGGTTTTTCTTATTCAATGCAATCTGAATGATACAAAACGAGTTTGAGGCCTTTTATAGGCTTACACAATTACAAACAAACTAGAATAATGATTGAAACTAACCTAACTAAGCAAGGAAACTGAATTACAATCATAATCCGAATAGACTTAAGAATCCTTGTGGGACTCGGATTACTGGCAGTGCGAGGTAGCTTCTTTGAAGCCCTCGAAAATAGTCTTCCTAGATGATTCGATCTCACCCAATCCCTTGTCGTTGTAGAAGGGAACTTCCTCTGTCTCCTCCAACTTGAATCAGCTCGAATGCATCTCTCAAACTCAAGTTATAGGTCTTCAAAGGTAGCATCTTGAACTCAGTTCCTGCCTTAGCCAAATCTGGACAGTTTCCAGGTTCCTTCATAGCATTTTGTGAGACTTGATAAACATCCTTCCTGGCATCTCCTCGAGCTCCATGACATATCAATCGAATTATAAAGACTTGAAGTTCACATTGAGCCCTTAAACTTACATTTTCATTGAATTGTTTGGGAGATATGAGCTCCCAAAGTAGGTACCTCAAACCTGACCCAACACTTAGCCAAATTCCTTTCTTCTTCTTCCAAACTCCACTTCCTTCTTCCTCAAGCAATTCCAACTTCACGATTGATCCAATTGGGATCATATCACTTCCAGCAGTGCACCACCCTAACCATGGGCCACATTCCTCTCCCGAACACGTCCCACAAGGGTTTGACAATCACCACGTAAATTGACATTGAGAAATCCATGCGTGAGTGTTGAGGGTACGATTAGTAGGTTTAAGGGTAGTTTAGTATTTTATTAGGTTTAGTCGTTTAGGATTTCGGATCAGAGTCCATATAATGCACTTCAGTTCTATTATTAAGGGCGTCAATGGAAAATCTATCAAAGTATCGTCAGAATTATCTCTCTTCTCTCTAGTCTCTTTCAAGAACCCTAATCCTTAAATTCTGAATCACCCAATTTTGCCTAATTCTCCTCTCAACCAATCTAATTCTCTTTCTAAACTCTATTTGTTACCTTTATACGGGTGCCCAAGATCCGCGCCTACAAAAGTGAGATACCATGCAATAGGAAATGACTGAAATTGTTTATGGTTAGTGATAAATTTATTTCTAGATTATATATTATATATAACTCTTATATGATAGCGGATAGCGCATAAAAAATTCTGTCAACGATTAAACTACAAACCATTAAATTTTTCGATTCATTATCCAAAACTACACAAAAATAGAAAGCAAGTAATCCTAGACAGCCAAATATCGATATCTCCCCTGTTCGACGGGAACGGATCAGGTCAGTAACCTTATGGTGAGTAACCATGAGTAACCAGCTCACATCAGCATGACATCAGCATCCCTCTCTCCTGGAAAGCCTTTAATTTTCCCCTTTTTAATCTTTGACAGATGATTTCTCACTCGTTTTAAGTCGAAATTTAATTTTTTTTACACAGTTAGATCAGATTAATTATGCTCTTCAAAATGATATCCACTTTGATATATTTCTTGAACAAAAAAAATTTGAGCCATTTTTTACCAGTTTATACCATATGGTATTGACTGGTATTGAAATAAGAACATACCTATGGTTTGAAAAGCGTACCATGGTGGTATGAACAAACCAAGACTATAGGATGGTTGAATACATGATAGTAGAAGTATATTAACTATCATTTACGACTTTTATCATTGTGTACCATAATATACCACCCCGTACCAGGGTGGTATTGTGTGGTATTTTTTGGTCATGTAATTTGTTCACCCCGAAATTTGTAGATCCAATAGATCATGATGAACTCGTCCCTTCTGTGCAAACGTTTTCAAAAACAAATTAAAAACGAAGAAAATACCATAATATACCACCCCGTACCAGGGTGGTATTGTATGGTATTGTGTGGTATTTTTTGGTCATGTAATTTGTTCACCCAGAAATTTGTAGATCTAATAGATCATGATGAACTCGTCCCTTCTATACAACCGTTTTCAAAAACGAATTAAAAACGAAGAAAATACCATATGGTATGCAGTTGGTACAGAGAGGCCAGAATTTTTTTTTCTAAAAAAAATATTGAAAATTGATCTCATTTTGTAGAGCAAGATGAACTCGTTCCATCTGTGTAAAAAAAATTAAAATTCGAGTTAAAACGAAAAAGATATGAGCCGATTAAAAAAGCTAGGAAAAATAAAAATGGTATTTAATTCTCCATCCTTAGATCTGAATTTTCTATATAAATGGTTCAGATTTGGTTATTGATAGGTGCATAACCCATGGTTATGCACCCTATCTTGAGCTCTGTTCGACGCCGAAAGGTGGAGACAACCAAACCAATGCTAAAAAAATTTCAATCAGGAACATAATAAAGCCTACGAACCCGAAGAAAAGAATCAAACTTTTTCCAACCCACTTTCCAGTTCGGCAGTTTCACACCGTCACAGTCTCTCCTTCCTAGTTCCTACCTTCTTCCCCAATCGATCCCTCTGCTTTCCTTCCCATCTCCATACCCACAATCCAAAACAAGCACACACAGACGAAGGAGTGAGAAAAACAGAGCAACCACCCAATTCATCATCAACCGCCAAAAAAAATGGGTTGTTTCAGACCCAAAAGAAGCACCAAACCCAATTCCTCATCAACTTCATTCCCACCACAAAGCAGAAATCTGAAGCACGAGATCCTCCTCCAGATCCCATCTTGCACTCTGCATCTCATGGAAGCAGGGGAAGCCATGGAGCTCGCCACCGGCGACTTCACTCTGTTCCACATCATTGAGCAGACAGGGGGAGAAGAAGAAGAAGACGACGTTTCCTCCCTCGCCACCATCGTCAGCATCGCCGGCGGCGAGGTCCAGTGGCCTTTGACGAAAGACGAGCCTGTCGTGAAGCTGGATGCAATGCATTACCTGTTCTCCCTCCCCATGAAAGATGGGGATCCCCTGAGTTACGGCGTCACTTTTGCGGAGCGGGATGGGCAGAGATTGCAGTCGCTGGATGCTTTTCTCGGGGAGCATTCGTGCTTCTCTGCTGATTCCGGTGGGAAAGGCGGCGGCGGCGGCGGGAAGAGTGGCCTGGAGTGGACGGAATTCGCGCCGAGGGTGGAGGATTATAACAGCGTTTTGGCGAGGGCGATTGCTGGTGGAACAGGGCAGATAGTCAGGGGAATGTTCAGAGTCAGCAATGCCTACACAAATCAGGTAATTTGTTCAAATGATTGGGTATTGGGATTCATTAGCCATGTTCACCTGCGAATGAGGTTTTTCTAGTTATGGAACTGAGGATTGGAGTTGCATTTTTGTAGGTTCACAAGGGAGGTGAAATGATACTAACAAGTGCAGCAGCAGAGGGTGGCAGAGATGCAGGGAGAAACAGAAATCACAGCAGCAGAAGTTCATCTGGGGTTGCAAAGAAGACCAAATTGAACAAAAGCTTGAAGCGGTAATTTACTTATCTTTCCCCACTTCCATATGCTGTTTGGTTTCTGTTACGTAGTGATGTTAGCTACATCCACAAGTATGAGAGACTAATTTCATTATACTTGAGAAGATACATCGAGACTCCATGATTTTCAATCGATGACAGATAATCTTTGTTCTAATATTAGAAACAGTTTGATGCATAAAAAAGTAAGTCTACCCTCGTTCTAGCGCTAAAGTAAGGAAAGTCTTGACGTTTGTAGCAAGATAGGTTGTCTTTGCTCTATCCCTGAGTCACGTCCTAAAGGAAGGTGGCCGGATTCGCTGATCAAACGGCATTCCCAAGCACATGGGGATATGGAATGCGTGTCTAATTCTCATTGGAAATGAATCAACTTAATATTCTTTCTGTCTCCCGCCTGACACAGTTTGACAGTCGGTGATACCTGATTGCTATTATTTGACACAGTTTGACAGACAGTGACACAGTTTGACATAGTTGTATAAATAATATAAAGAGAACAGGCACGCAGGAAAAAGCAAGCGCTTCTGGTCAGATCAATCAAGAAACTAGTGCTATTATTTGGAATGTGTTGTCTTGATTGCTGCAGTGTGAGGAAGCTATCGAGGATGACAGAAAAGCTGAGCAAAGCAATGCTGGACGGAGTTGGGATAGCCACTGGCTCAGTGATGAAGCCTCTGGTGAAATCCAAGGCTGGGAAGCAGTTCCTGTCCATGGTCCCTGGAGAAGTGCTCTTGGCCTCCCTTGATGCTGTCAGTAAGTAACCCTCATCAACCCATAAACCATTTTCATTTTCAGTAACTCAGAGATTGACAGTGTTATATGGAAATGAGCAGATAAGATTCTAGATGCAGCAGAAGCGGCAGAGAAGCAGGCTCTGTCTGCAACCTCAGAGGCCGCAACAAGAAGGATAAGTAACCGGTAAACGAAACGTTATAAGATTCATAATCGAAACTCTCTCTCTCTCTCGACGCGACGATGGTGGGTTTAGATTGATTTACATAGTAATGGTGTCGAATCTATTCGCAGGTATGGGGAAGAAGCAGGGGAGGCTGCAGGGGACGTGTTTGCAACAGCAGGGCATTGCGCCTGCGCTGCGTGGAACATCTGCAAGATTCGGAAGGCCATCAATCCTGCTTCCTCTGTTTCTGCTACTGGGATGCTCAAGACTGCCGCCAAAGGTGCAATTAGGAAATCTTAGTTTATAAGGAAAAAAAGGAACAGTGCGACATTCCATTGTGAACTGAACTCGTATATTGTTTCATTTTCTTTCTCTTCACGTTAGGGTTTGTGTAACTTGTGGAGAGGTTTATGCTTTGTCTCAATCCAAAAACTCGAAACCTTCCTCGCTTGTTGAAGTGTAAGCGTGTGAGGGAAGAGCAACAACCGTTGTAGGGTTCCTTGATTGTATTATTGATTCATTTTTGTTGCTAAGCTAGTAGGGTATGCATACTAGAGGAAATGGCTATGAATTCTCAAGGAGTTGGGTAACTTCTTATTAGGAATGACAATTCACGGATTTTTCCAAACCATCCCATTCACACTTTTAAATATTCAAATTCATCCCATACTCGAGTAGGAAGGTTTTGCAATCCCATTCAAATACCTGCGGTGTTTGGATATTTATGGGTAATGCTTGTCTTGTATATTCGATATTACTATACTTATAGTATAATTCAACATGTAGATCTGCAATTATAAGACTAAATCATACCTAAAAAAATCGTGAAAGTAACAATGATATACTCATTCTTGATACGAATTCAAACCATCAAATCCTAAAACATCCTTAAGACAATGTGTAGTACCATCCAAATCATTAATCTCATACTCCGACAGTCCGACATAACTACTAAGCAATAAATAACTAACGCATTTTTGTGAACAAAGGGGAAAGAAGAGTAGTAGTGAAGGGCGAATTGAAAGAATTAGTGCCTAGTTTGGGTGAGTTTTATTATATGAAGAAATACTCTTGGTGGGGCAAGTATATGATGGGGAGGTTAAAACCAAACTCATCCCATCTCAATCAAAAATTTTGCGAGTTTTACCTATACTTTCTTCATTCCTAGGTTGATTGAGTTGAGAGCGGTCAGATTTTCACGGTCTAGTTTGATTGTCAACTCTACTTCTCAGAGCATGGGGCTATATCTTTTGCGCTTCAAAGATTTGTAAGGATAATATTAATGTAGGATAAACCGAAATCTATTGAGAATAACCTTTCAATTCAGGCATACCAAACTAAGAAGATAACATTTTTCTTTCTCATCACCAAAAGATTATTCATCAAGATCAGAATAAACCAAAAAGGCTGTCGAGAATAACCTTTTCCTATCAACAAAACCCACCACTCTTTCCATCTTTATGTTCCTTCATATCTACCCACAATCCATGCCCTTAATTGATCTCCAAGTTCACAAAACAAGCACCCTAGTCCCTAAACCAAACCAAACTCCCCTCCCCCCAAATTAGAAGGAAGAAATGAGCCATTTCAGAATGACCCGTTCATCATCCCAGCTAAACACCCCTCCAAAACCCAAACCCACAACAAAACAAGAGACAGTCCTCAAGATCCCGGGATGCACGGCCTACCTCGTGGACGAAGGGGAAGCCCTGGAGCTCGCCTCGGGCGACTTCACCATCGCCCGAGTCGTGGCCCCCAACAACAGTGGCGGCTTCCCCCTCGCCACGGTGGTCAAGGTAGGGGGCCACCTCCAGTGGCCCCTGACGAGAGACGAGCCCGTGGTAAAGCTCGACTCTCGTCACTACCTGTTTTCTCTCCCCATGAGGAGGGGCGGACGCCCGCTGAGCTACGGGCTGACTTTTCCTCGCCACGTCAGCACCAAGATCGCGGCCGTGCTGGACTCGTTCCTCGCGGAGAATTCCTGCTTCTCTGGCTCTGGTAGCCCTGTTTCTTCATCGTCAGGCAGCAGCAGCAGCAGTAACTTGGAGTGGAAGCAACTCGCTCCGAGGGTTGAGGATTACAACAACGTTCTGGCTAGAGGGATTGCCGAGGGGACAGGGCAGATTGTGAGGGGAATCTTCATGTGCAGCAACGTTTACAGCAACTTGGTTAAGTAGCTCTGTTTTTATGTATAGTTTGCTTGCTTGCACGTACTGAAATGACAATAATTGAAAAGAGTAGGTAGTTAGTTGAAACTTGGGCGTTTTCTTTGTGTTGATGTGTAATTTCTTTGTGTTGAATGAATCAGGTGCATAGCTGCGCTGAAATGATTCTGAATGGTGGTGGTGGTGGTGGGAAGGGTGATCGAGTCAGCTATGGAGGGGCGCCGCCGGCGGGTGGAATGAACAGCTCCAAGAAGTCTAACGGTGGAGCGAAGAGCGGCGGTGGACCTAATCAAAACAGCTTAAAACGGTAATTATGTACTGTTAAGTTTATCCTTAATTATTTTTGGAACGGTTAATTTCATAAATCATATTGTTCTAATAACTTGGATTGTTGGAGAAATTATGGATTGAAGTGACAAATGGATTAGATTCATGAATTGGTGTACTCATTTATTCAGATCAAATGGATTGGTAGATTATATGTATGGATCCAGGTCCAAATGACATCTAAAGATTAGGAAACATATGTGAATTCCAAAAAGTGTAGACGCTAAAAGGTCATAATAAAGTCTTTTAGGTACCACAACGTAATTCTCCGATGATATTCTAAATAAATGTTTAGGCATCAAAGTGTAAACTATAAAAAGTACAGGTACTAAACTATAATTTTCCAAATACCGTTGAATCCACCAATCAAATTGGTTTTGAGTTAAATGAATTAGATTTGAAACGAAATTAATTTAATATTTTAGTGGATGGATTTAATTAGTAAATTGGATAAAAAAAATTAATTCTACCCCTAATTGTGGAACTTATCCAGCTTCCTTACACAAGTCTATCGAATGAGTTTGAAATTAGCACAGGTCGGTCAAATCGTTCATCTTAAAACACACCATATATTCGATTTAAGATAATTGTTTAATACCTGGAGATTGTGAGGACTTGAACATGCAACCTAACGATCAAACCAGTTATGATATCACGTAAAAACTTAATGGTCTCAATAACTCGAGTTATTGAAAGAGTTTCGGTGAATTTTAACCACGGTTGCTGGTTTTTGTGTTCCTTTTTTACTGGCTAGTGTGAGGGATCTATCGAAGATGACAGAAGAGGTAAGCAAGGCCATGCTAGATGGAGCTAACGTAGCTTCAAGCTCAGTCATGGCGCCGCTGCTCAACTCCCAAGCAGGGAAGCTGCTCCTGGCTAGCCTTCCAGGAGAAGTCATCTTCGCTTCACTTGACGCCATAAGTAAGTTCTGTTCAGTATTCCAAATGTAGTACGTTGTTATTATTATGCATATGAAAAAAGCCGAATGAGATCAATTTGTTTACGAGTGCAGATAAGATCCTAGACGCAGCAGAGGCGGCTGAGAAGCAGGCACTGGCGGCCACCACGGCGGCGACGACACGGGTTGTGAGTCAAAGGTACGGGGAAGGTGCGGCGGAGACGACCGGAGATGTGCTGGCGACGGCCGGTCATGCCACGAACACCGCGTGGAACGTTGTCAAGTTCCGGCGGGCTGTCAATCCGGCCAAGTCGGCTGCCTCCACGGCGGTCCTTAGGAACAGTACTAGCAGCTGGAAGTAATCTTCTTGGTTAATGGAAGGCTGCAAAAAAAGAAGTTTTATCATGTATTATGGACATGATTAACCTAGCTAGCTAGGGTTTGGTTTGCTAATGTAATGTTGGAAAAGTTTATGAGGAAAAAAGACACTAAATGATGTTTCATTTCACCAATTACAAGGAGGAGCGATAGGTGATGACGAATTACGTGAAAATTTATCGATTGATGAGATTGTGTAAACGAAAAAATAATTTGTATAGGTGAAATTGCAAACATGATTTACGCAAAATTGTGTGAAAAATCAACCATCTATGAAATTATCATGTGTGTTTTGTCATCAATGTGTATGTGTGGGATTGAAAGAACGCAATATACATTTGTATAGATAACAATTTTAACCTTTGTAGCAAATGATAATTTTAAAAAAAATATATAAATATAGTCATTTCGTCAATCAACTGCATCAAATTTAACATTTTTTTGGTAATTAGATTTAACATTTTGATTGACAATATTGACTGAAATAATGGGAATGAAAAATCTAAGGATTAATTTGTCAATTTTTATTATTTTTAATTGACACGCCAACTTCTTAACGGTTAAAACTTAAAAGTAATCGTTAAGTGTCACATATGATGAATTTAAGAAAATAATCACACTTTGACAAATTCCGTTAAATCCGAGGTAGAGAGATATCCATCTCTCTCACGGTTAGGTGGTACTTTCACCTGAAACAACCACCACCTTCAACTTCTTAACGATTACAAGTAATCGATAAGTGTCACATAGGATGAAGTTACGAAAATAAATAATCAGTAACTAACAATAAAATCGCCGTGGATGGGTAACCAAAAAAAAGAGAAAATTATCTGTCCATGACAAAATTGAAAAGTAATAAACTTTGTGACTAATTTAGCAAAACACTCACTCTGTTACAAATTCCGTTAAAGCCGAGGTAGAGAGATATCTTTCTCTGTTGGTTAAGTGATACTTTCACCTGAAACAACCACCACCAAACCTCTCTTCTCTTACCTCACTCACTCAGAACCGCCGCCTGCAACAGTAAGATCCTTTACCCTAACAGGCAAAAAGAAAAACCAACATCAGAAAGAAAGCATTCCTGCAGAAGAACCATCAACCAAAAAAAGAAGCCATGGACACGGACGGCAGGGCTTTGAGCATATACAGAGCCGCCAGAACCATCAAGCGGAAAGACAACTCCCTCTACAACGCCCTCCGCTCCATCTACGAGGACTCCATCTTCGTCGGCGAGATCTCCCAGCTGTGGCCGGAGCTCCCTCTCCTCGCCAATCTCCGCTGCGGCCTCTGGTACTCCCGCGGCTTCGCCGCCACGTGTTACTTCAAATCCACCGACGGCCACACCAACAATTGCTCCTTCTCCACCGCTCGCCTCAACCTCCATGTCGCCGCCCTCGCCGGTACCGCTTCCTTATAATTCGTCTCTGTTTGTTTCCCCTGTTTTTGTTTTGCCCCCACAGTTTCCTGGGTTCCAATCTGTTTTTGTTGGTATGGAATTTTTGAACGTTCGATACCCTGAATTTTTTAGATCTTGCTCTGTTTGGTTTCTGGGGAAGTGGATGGAAGTTGGTGTTTTTTCCCCCGTGTAATTGATGTTGGGAAGCTGTTATTTGATTGTTTGGTGTCTGCTTTGTTTGGATGGAAAAGTTTGTGACTTTCCCTTTGTGGGATTTCGTTCCCTTGAATTCGATTGGATTTGGTCTGTTTGTGAAGCTCTGGTTTCCAATCTGTTTTTGTTTATGATTTTATGGGTATGGAATTTTTTGAGCCTCGATGCCCTGTAATTTTTAGATCTTGCTCTGTATGGTTTCTAGGAAATTGGATGAAAGTCGGTGTTTTGTTTCCGTGTAATTGATGCTGGGAAGCTGAAATATGCTTGTTTGGTGAGAGGTTTTGATGTGCTGTTTTGTTTGGATGGAAAAGTTTGTGCCTTTCCCTTTGTGGGATTTTTGTTCCCCTGAATTCGATTGAATTTGCTCTGTTTCTGAAGCTTGAGGGTGTTGAGTCTTTTCCCGCGTAGACTGAGATTGGCTTTTTTGGTTTGGTTCTTCTTTGATGGGTAGGGCAGAAAGGAGGATGTATGATTGTTGATTCAACCAGAAAAGGGAAGAGATTTCCCGATAGCATGTCGAAGACCATCCCAATCTGGACTTGCGTCTTGAATCGAGCTATTCGCAATTACGTCTGCAGAGTGCAGAGTGAGGCAGAGGAGGTTAGCATCATTGAGTTCAGTTTTAAAATCACTGATGCTAATTGGGGAGATTATGGCTACCGTTTATGGCGATTAACATATGGGTTTCTCTGTTTTTTGGGTGGTGTGCTCTGGTTAGAAGGGTGAAACTGCTGATGTGGAATGTACAGCTTCTCTTGATTGGGATTGTTCTTTGCACCTCCCACTTTGGGTTCCCGGAACAGAAAAGGCCGCCATTGAGGAGCGAATAGACGAATGGGTTGAACAATTGGAAGCCAGTGGTGCTGACATTGCTTCTCTTGCTTCCTGCCTGAAAAAGCCCTTAAGGCCGCTTTGGGTATCTCAAAAAACCGTCATATGGCTCAACGAAGTACCTGATCACGATTCATGGGACTTCACGGCTGTCATGCTTGTTTCAGCGTCAGCCCAAAATGGTGTTTTCCAGCAGCACCGGACTACCTCGGAGTTCAGCTGGAACTATATACCGGGAGCTGGAGACGATGAGGAGAGTTGGGCTAGGGGTCTCTCCCCGGGTCTCTTCTGGAACCACGCTTATGATATTATAGGTTCCGGTCCTGAAATGTGCAACCAAAAGGTTGCTGAGATAGTTGAGAAGGACAGAGTTTATAGAGCGCAAAGAGGACAGGACGCTCCCCAAATCTGTCTCAAGAATCCAAAGGCATCGGGTGACACAGATCGGTGTAGTTCTTGTACTTCTATTGATTCGCCGGGAGGGGATTCTATGGCAGTGTTTCGGATTGGTTTCACAAATGTTGCAGTCGGAAGTATTCAGCATGGTATGATAAACTAGCATATTAGTTCAATGTCTCATATTATCTTCAATGTTATCGGTTTAAGTATCGTGTCCTCTTCTTGTAACATATTGTCATAGCCACAACTTTCCTTGCGTTAATGACTCGTTCGACTAATGATCAATCTTAACAATCCGTTGCTTCATTCCTCTTTATGTTGTGGTGCAGCCGCAAGTGTCCCGGATGTTGATTGCATATTGAATTGTGATGAAGCACATGTACATGGCCGTGTTGCGAATACCGAAGATTATTTGCATCTTCCTATGGTGGTAAGTTACAAAATAGTTTCCGAATCTAAGAATGAGGGCTGCTCCTTCGTGTGGCTGCTTTGCAATTTGCATAGTTGGTTGATGAATGCCATTGTCTGCTTGGCCAGAGCTCGAAATGGGACCGCTTTTCCTTGTCAAACAATCTGCCTGCGGCTGTGAACTTTGCGAAGGCACATCTTAACAAAGGGCGCAGTCTGTTAGTCTGCTGCCAGAATGGTACAAGATTTCTGCTATTGCAATTCACATATGCACTTTACCATTTCGTGGCGTTGATCATTTGCATTGCTTGATTTTTGGTATTCGATTTCTTGTCACAGGGGAAGACATAAGCGTCTGTGTTTGTCTGGCGATTGTGACATCACTATTCGACGAAGAAGGTAAACTCGTGGATAGATGTTGCGCGTGTGGTCGAAACATTTGCTTCCTGTCATTATGATTCTTGCTTCTCAAGAAAACTCTGCAACCATTTTTTTCGAAACAGGGTACTTCGATGATGGGATGTCGTTCGCCCAGAAGGGCATCACCAAATGGGAAATGCGGCGGAGGCTGGTGTTCCTCTGCAAATACGCGGTCACTGCGCGGCCATCCAGAGGGAATTTGAAGCAGGTGTATGGTTTTCTTTCACAAGGGAGAGCTGCTTCTTCAGATTTTGATTGAAACGATTGCTTGATCAAATAGGATAGAGGGGTACTTGTGGATGGATTCCCAGTGCCCATTGCTGATTTTCTAGTCACTTAATTGCCTGCGTCAGTACTAGTTTTGTTACCCTTCTTTTTCATTTTGCAGATTTTTTTCATTTTGCAGATTTATTATTCTTATTTGCAGCCAACTCCAGTGGTCTTCCCCCTCTTGACTAGGGCTGCAAATGAGGCTCCCCTCTTGGCTAGGGCTGCAAATGAGGCTCGCTCGGCCTTGTTAATAGATGAGTCAAGCTTGTTTATTAACGAGTTGAGTTTGAAAAGGACATTTTTTACTAAAAATTTGGCTCGTGTTTGATACATTCATTTTCTAGGTCGTGCACGGATGATACATGTGATTGATATTGATGGTCAAATATGAGTTATAAACCCAGTGGCGGAGCCACTTGTTGAGAAGAGGGGTCCTAGGACCCCAGTTGGAAAAAAATGGGGTAATCAAATCCTTTGGATACGTAGGGTTTTGTATAATCTTTTAAATATAGGACCTCATACTCTCGTTGATGTTAGCTCACCTAATGACACCAATCGACTCAAAGTTTATAACATACACAGACTTTAGTTCTTTGAAAATTTTAAGGACCCTAAGATTATCTACAATTAATCTTAATCCTTAGTTGGTTAACATGCTTAAGTATGTCTCACTTTGATTAATCACACGTCACATCAATTAATCGTGCCTAGTTTTGCACAGTAGCCACATAAGCGTTATAAGTGCCTAATTGTTTGCTTAGAGTCTAAGCGAGGTATTTTGTCACTACCTAATGCTTAGACGCGCCTAGACGTATTTAGAATTACTCCTTCTTGAACCTTGGTATTATTATACAATCATCTCCCTTGTTCAACACACTGCACACCCTTGAACAGATACTTGCTATAGGAGACAAGAAAACATTATTCATGTGAATTGAAACACACAACTCACAATATAGATAGACGATGCAACGACATAAAGTGTCAATCCACTACAGAAGTGGTTTTTTTTTACAAAGGGCAAAGATTTTCCATTACTTGTGGCACAAGTCAAAGGTTATAGGAGAGGGGCAACAACATCAAGAATCTGAATCCATTCATTAGGAAGCTGTACTACAGAAGTGGTTGATGTTAGGAAATTATATTTCCTATATGGATATGGGCTACATATTTTAATAATTATATACCTATTTGATCAAGTGGACTAATTGTAAGTGATCCATATTAGGAGCCCAAAGATATCTTGTATGTGATATGGACCTAAATGAGTGGAAACCCAATACTTACATCTATGGTTTTATGAGAGCCCATAGTTGTGAGTATATAAGGAACTTCAAGGTTATGGTACCCAATACACCAAGAGCAAACACTCTTCTTCTCTGCCATTGGGAAGATGAGAGAATCCCGTAATGGAACTGAGGAGGCTTGGTTGAGGAAGGTCACAGAACCTCCTGGATCGTGCTCTATGAGTATCGTCCAATTCCATATCGTCTTCCAGATTCTGCATCGAGTTTTTGGCGATCAACAACATGATTCCAGGTATTTCTAATTTTCTACAAAACCTTTGATAACAAGATGAATTTTCAGAGAATTACAAATGTTAAAAGTAATTCCAACAGTTGAAAGGTCTTAGAAATTAAACTTAGCTCGGGTCTAGAATTCTTCTAAAACGTTTTTGTATTCTTATAAGGAGATATCCATCATCAAAAACAACAAACTCCATACCTCGTGAACACCAGACAAACTCACGATAGCAGTTTGACGGGTACAATAGCCTTGTCGAATGTCGATGGCCAGTAACCACTACAGAGATAACACAAACCTAACGACTATCGAGATTCGAACCCCAAAACTTTGAACTTTAAGTACCCATCTCACCACCCTTGATGATTTCCAACGTGGTTTTCCACGAGCCTTTTAACTAATTGTTATCGTTTGATGTGAATTAGTGTAGTGGGTTAACATCATTTTTAATGATATTGTCCTGTTTTTTTTTTAGGTACGCCGCAGGCGCAAGACTGGTCTCCTTTCCAATGTACAGATTCCTTAAAATGTTTTTTTGGTTTTAGGATTTTACTGTTTAAAGTTCAATGCATATTAAGCATAAGGCGTACAATGATAATTAAACAAGTTAAACGATGCACGTGCGTTAATTAGATGAATAGACTATCCCAGTAGACATACGCGGTCGTCGCACTCTTCGAATTAGGTCATAATCAAAGCTATAAAAGAATAGTAATTAATCACCTAAAAATGATACTTACTGCACACATGCAAACTAAATTTGAATAGTTAATTGCTCCACTAATCAATTGACTCTTTTTGTGGCTTATCTACGTGGCAGTCTTGACCTGGTGATCGATGGCTCTCCACCTAATCTACCTAATTAAGATCTGACTGTCATCTTTAACTTTGAAAAATATATTATTATTATTATTATAAAAGTTAAACTAATTTATACAAGGCTTAAACTCCATTTTCTAATGATTTTGTGCCCGAGAACCGGTGGTTATCGATAGTAACTTACCGGCAAAAATGCTTTAACATGTAAATTTGCTTTTGAGTTCTTTTCTTCCTATGTCAATGATAAATAAATAAAATTATTGTGGTGAAGATTAAATTTCAATCTATTTAGATTGATTTCATGGTTGAAATTAAATGATTATTTTTTTGATTCTTTGATTTTATTAATCCTCTTGATTCGATGTCATCCATTTCCGTATATTATGGGAGGAAATAATTCATGGTGGTTAGTTAAGTGAAGTTTTTTTTAGGAAAATTCGACATTGCATGTCCAGAGTCTAACTATTTCACTGAAATTGTGTAAAGTAGATGAGTTATTACAAGAATTATGGAGTAAAACATGTGTCGTGCAAATATGACTGACCTTTTGGGAAGTCATATTTTGATAAGAAAAGATCGGAATGTTACAAATATAGTTCGAAGACATATTAATTTAAATGCTATTGAATAGTTAAACCGGTATTAAATTGTTAAAAAATGGATGACTCATAAACAACAATATTATAAGTATATTACACGTAAACCATAAATCCAGAATGGGATGTATTAGGCACAAGCAAGAATTAGTTCTAAAATTCTATAGTCCAAACTCCAAACATTAATGTTCTCCAAAATAGAAACAACGGTTTAATTATTAATATGGTAAATACAATACATTCGGTCTCCGTTACAAAATTAACGGTGGTAACTAACTGTTAGCCATATCTTGACCCGCAGCTATAGTTATATCTTATAATTTGTATTTCGATAGTTGTGGCTATAATTTCCCGGTTCTTAATAATTGTGGCTAATATATTATATTTACCCTTATTAATATACTCCTCTAAAATTTTAATTTGTTCGTACAGGTAATTGTCTGAACTAGTTTCTGATAGAATAGTTCAATATAGACGATTATATGAGTAATACCAACCGAACAGGTTTACAGATTCTGGTTTTACAAGCCGGTTCGGTTTTCAAAACACTCGATAACCCTAATAGATGAAACAAAAGTGACCTGCCTCAGAAAATATGAGTTCATATGTGTAGGCAGAAGGAATCCTTAAAGAAGAGAGTAACCATAATGCGTAGCAAAACAAAGGTGAGCGTACAAAACCGCAATTGACACTGCTGCGGGCACATGAATGGAAATTTTCCATCCATATACATCTAATGCAGATGTGACTAGCTATCCAAACCCAAAACCCTACCTGCCAAATTAGTTGTTGGAACCAGCTAAATTTTTTTTTCTTCCTAAAACGTATTAATTATGAACGACATATTCATATTAATATATTTTGTGAACAAAAAATTTCAGATCATTACTTTTACAAGGGTCGCAAACTCACAATGTACTTATTTTCGTAGGTGACACTTTTTTAGGGGTCCAAGAAGCTTATCGTAGAGATCGACTTCAATGAATATCATAAAACATGGTACGAGTATCAATTTTCTTGTTCTAAAATATATCAAAATGGATATGATTTTGTACGATACAATTAATGCAGTCTATCTATGAAAATAAATAAAATTCAAGTTAAAAAAATGATATATGGTCCGTTAAAAGTGATTGTAAGCCTGGATTATTGAACTTTTACGAGTATTAATCGTGTTGTTTGGGTTGTTATTTTGTCGCCTGATTAAACTAGTTTAATCAGTTTCCTGAAACATTACTAATTTTGTATTTAAAAGTGAAGTGTTGGTAGGTATAAATATGTGGCTGAGGTGACTTGACAACCCATCTAACTTGGACCTCAGTACATGGCTATAATTGGAAGATTAATTGTCACCCCAACTAAACTAAACAACCCCGTATGTCTCGATTAGGAAAGCAAATAAAGCAAACACCAACCCTTTTGTTTTCAAATTACATAGAAGTCTAACTACTATTCATTAATAAAAAGTTAAAGTGTAATTAACCAAGATGTAATTATTGATCTGCTTTTCCAAAATAAAATTTATTTAAAATAAAAAGTGGAAATTAGAGCAGAAGTGGACTTCTTTCAAGTGCTGAATGGAAAGGTCTTTTTACTTGAAATTATGATTAAAGTTAAAACACAACATTAAAATGGATTGGAAAAAATGAAGATCATAAAACTAAGATGAACATGGTCGATGGTGCTAAACTATACGGGTGAAAATACTTTCAAAATTCAAAAGTTAGTGTAGCTAGCTTATAATATACGTATGCGTTCACATTCACAGTTACTAGTTGTAATTCGGTATATTTTGACGAATCAGAATTGTTTGTTAATATTTTTTGATTAAATTGACCTTATGGTTTGATTTGAGAGAATTAGAGAATGAAGTTCACTCATTAGAAGTTAGAATAAAATATCATGTCTCAAAATCTCGTTTAATTTATGGTCTAAATAGCAAAACTAAGGTTAACATCAACACATTCATTCGGGCTACCTACAAGTCTTTGCCATATTCGGCAAACCACACTTACCAATTAAGTCGAAAACAGGATCTAATACTACATCTCATCATCTCCTATGTGCCAAACTAACCACCCACCAACTAGTTTAGTCCTCTTTCATCATTTAATAGGGTGGAAAATGGGTGCATTGGATGAATTTCGATCTCAAATTGACTCACCTACTTATACGAGTTGATACAATTGTAATCCGTTATTCGCCCACATTTTCTTTAGGGTTGGATTTGATGGTTGGTGGGTGGATGCGGTTGAATTGTGTGTTAACCCCCAAAAGTAATTTTTCGACTAGCCATTAGGCAAATTGACTAATATTTATAATAAATTCCTTTCAAACTAGGAAGACACTAGCAATTTAGACACTTTCCACTTTGTCTCTTGTCGATATGTCTAGTACTTGTGACATGTATTTTTTTTACTCATACCAACTTATCAGTGATCCACAACGAAGTATTTGTTGACAACGAAAACAAAGTCACTAACCACAATTCTTAGAGACCAAGGCTCTTTATGTGTATGGATTTGAATTCTTTGGAAAATTTATCAAATCTATTATTACTCCATCAACCAATTGTGTAAATTCATAAAAATGACATTTATGAATTTGATATTATTAATAATTTATAATTTCCATCCCAATATCCAACGAATATTACACCAACACAGTAACAAACAATTGTAGTTCAAAATATTTTTTATTTTCCATTTTAGAAATCTATAGTCAGTGTGCAGTGCAGTTAGAAAATATAATGACTACTCGAGAGTATAAATTAGAAACAATTTTTTTTTATTTGAAAGTGGGATGCAGGTAATTTGGGTGACTTCCATTCCTACCACCACCAGCTCGAATAAGTGTGGGTAGAAAATTTTCAATACACAATCCACCAAAATCAATCACCTATCCAGCGGTTTGAAATATTATTTGCGATGGATCGTTATCAAACTGCGGTTTCACCACTCACATAACCACCCTACCTTTTTAGAGGGTTAAATAAATAGATGAATACAACCTAGCGTAAGTAATAGAGCCATAGTGTCACCATCAATACTTTTACTTTCGATAAATTTACTGTCTAACAGTTAATTTGGATGACCAATACCTATAGGCTAGCTAGTTTAACTAAAGCCGGCTCTTTAGCTAATCAACATAATTATGTCCCACTAACTACTAGGATAGTCGTTAGTGTTAGTCCTTGTGTTCTTAATCGTGATTACATTTTATTTGTAGTGGATTCTTCCATCATAATCTCACTTAACCTCATATATATATTATAATTATTATTGGGTTGGAAGACTAGTTTTGATAAGAAATTTAACTTTCACGTGCTAATAGTATTAATATATATGAAGTAAACTAGGTCTCGTACAACAATGTTATGGCCGACCATTTTACCACGTAGCATGTTGGAATTATCAAGAAAGTTACTTTCGTGTTTGTTTTTGTGTTTGGCCAATAAGGACGTAGATGCTAAAGGTGATAATTGTGAGGATATAAAGTTAAGCAAGTACAAATATATAATATTACTTGGGATAAATTCCGGCTTAAAATTATCTTAATAATTAATTTCGGTTTCAAACTTGAGTTAGAAAACTACGTGTATATCTTATATTTTAATGGTTCTCTTAATGTATTTTGAACATGATTCATATGTTAATTTGTGTTCATATGATGAACACGGTTCATATTTTTATTCCCACAAAAGAAGATACATGTGTATTAATTATGTGTTCATATAAAATCTAATGGATGATTCTCTTAATTTTGTGGAATTCATATACTCAACATGATTCATACATTTCAAGAGCAAAATCCATCGTCCTGAAATGTTAGAAGATTAGATTCTTCAACAAATCAAACTTGACTCCACTTGTTGAATCTGAAACCCTAAACTTATAACTTGTTTACATTCCCTGTTTTTCTCTCGGATGTAGCACATTTTTTAAAATTTATTTTTCGATATATGATATTAGATCCATAGTTAGAATTAAACGTCAGTTGATTGTTTTTTACCTACAAATTATCACTAATAGGGATGAGTAGTGGGTGGTCTGGATTTGGAAGAGTTTGGACTCACTCATCACACGACGGATGAAGGAAAAAATGACTCACACCCACCCGTCATATACATGTGGGTGGGTGGGTTGATGGGTAAGGTGATTGTGGATGGTGGGCGGTTGAACGGGTTCGTTGAGTTTAGAGCATACATTGCAAAAGGTAACATGATTCAAAGTAATTTAAACTTAAAATGAACGAAATCTCCAAACTAAATAAATTTTACTCCGTAAAACATATGCATCTTTAAAATCAAAATAGTACTACTAGTAATTATTCACATATCACAAAAATATTCAGCTAATAAACAAAATCAAAGTCTAATAATAAACAAATAAAAAATGAAGATAAAGCTTCATCATAATTTAGCTAATTCTCCAGGTTTTCAAACTATAATCACTCACATGAACCC